GATGTTTACAAATATTATTGTGAGATTGTGATGGCGGTTTTACTGAAACATTTGACTGCAGATTGCAGCTTTTTGCAGAGGTGTAGCTTGATCTTTGGCACAAAGGGGATCTTTCACATTAAGAATAAAATGTACCAACAAAGACATAGATGAAGAAAAGTTTAAGTACTAATTCACCTAATGATAGACAATTTCACATGGCTTCCATGCCTGCATTGACCACAGGTGCCAACTAAGCAGGAGATTAAGGAGCTCTAGCCCCCTTTGAGCAATTTTGAAGCGAGACTCAGCCACTTATGGCAGTCTTTTAATAAAGCAAAAAAGCAGTATATTTTCTTGATCTAAGAAACAACAAACCAAAACATATGCCCATTTTGCAACTGTTCCCATTCCAACAAAACAGCTGATTGTAAACAAACAAACTAAAAATGCCCTTTCCTAGGCCTTGGCTGGATCAAAATTGCAAAATTGCAAAGCTGCAGAATATTGTTTGCAGTCATTTTTCTTGTAATTGTTTCAATATTACTTTGTTTTAATTGTTTTATTTGCACATTTCACTATTATTTCCATTCTACAAATGGATTACTATCATTAAACTATAAACAAATGGATTTCATTCTAAAAGTGGAATTCCTTTTTTCTCAGGTTCCCTAGACATTAAGGACTTTAGGAAACTTGCTCTCTTGCCCCCCTCTCTGTGGCCCTGCTTGTGAGATCATGTTTTTTGCCTTTTTAAACATCATCTTTTTAAATTATCTCTTTACTTGCCAAATCTTTAGGAATTCGGATAACGGCCACTGATGTTAGTGATAAGTAAGCACAGTTCAACTTTAAATTATGAATTTTCCAGAGATGTAAAATTGATGCAAACAGGAAAAGTGCTGGACAAAATATGCACACACTCAAGAATCACAGAGAAACTTGATGCACACTCAAATGTGAACACTTATCACAAATGCACTCTTGCACTCCCGGGTAATAGCTTAGCTTGTGCACTCCCGAGATCTCGTCGAAAAATAGCATGAAATCCAAACCGGATTCCGCACATGTTCGTGAATCTTGTTTATTTTATTATCTAATTTTCTATCATGGAAAATTCATACAAGTGGGCAAAAACTAAAATAAAACATTTTAAATAAGGTCATTGTTAGGGCTAGTGAAAGTGCACCCATAAATGAGGTGCGATTTTATAAAGCATAAAGTTGGTGAAAAGTTCTCACTATACGCTACGCGCCATGGTAAAAAAACTCTAAAGTCACTTACAAATGCTTCAATCTCTTGTTTCATTGATTATTTTGAATTTTACTGTGACAAAGTTTCTCCTGTCGGTTGCAATACGGCGAGGTCCTAACATGGATACTGCAATGTGGAATCAACGCTTGGCTGGAGAAGTTCAATCCATGTGTGGTAACAGCCATTTTTCTTCGCGGAAGTTATGCTAGAAACGAGGTTGCTCACAATATCGAGGTCCCCAAATTTCGCATACTCTAGTTACTTCGCTGGTTATCTATTTAACGTATTTTTGCAAAGTTAGGTGCTTATCAAACTCTATCATCAGAAGAAATAAAGTATACTTATATAAAATGTTTGGAAAAGAGAAATATAGCTTATATTTTTGTTACATCCATATATAAGTTGAATTCATTGTAATATCAATTGTAGCAGAAAAGGCGCATGAGTTTGCAAACTCCTGATCCTGTAAGTTTCACAAATCTAATTAATCTATGATATAAATAAAATTTTGGTACACTATATAAATAAGAGGTTCTCAAAGTACTAGGTTAAGCCCTCCTTTCGCGCCTGACCAGTGGTGCCGTCGCACACAACACTTCTCAGATAGGTATTCCGAGGAGACGAAGGGATTCGCCCCGGGTTGCAGAAGTAATTAAGTCCCGGGTTAAATCTTGCGCTAAACCCGCGTCTGACTAGTCGTGCCGGTTTCCGTCAAATGACGTCGCACTCAACACTTCTCAGTTAAGTATCTCAAGGAGACGAATGGATACACCCGCGTTTGGGTTGGCAATTAGGTCCCGCGTTAGGCTCTTTTGCTTATGTTCTTATTTGACAGGTACAGTATAACGGTTGGGTTCTTTCTGGACTTGCTACAAGTCTCTCTCTCTCACTATTTATTCCAGGTTTTTCTAGTCGAAACAAAATAAGGTTATTTCTCCTGTACTGTAATATCTTGAAAGATTTCACTCCCTATGCATCTCTCTGCATGCAAGTATGCCTATATACCAGATAGAAAAAGTAATCCTTTGTTCTCGCAACTTGTGAATACAGAAACACTTGGGTTAGCGGCGTCCAGTGTTGTGCTGGCAGGGGGCAAGACAGCAATTGCCCCCCTGCTGATCGAAAATGAGGGGTGCCAAAATGAATTTTCGTCCTTTAGGGCTATATAAAGGGTGTTGTCCAACGGTGTTTTAGACCTGCAACATTGAGGAGGTTGTTCTCTCTGAGGGAGGGTTGTGTTAAATGGATGTTTACGTCGATAGATGAATGAAACTTTGAAGAATATGACGATTTCTGCGAGCGGCTATACTTCTCCTTCCATGTCCATCTTATAACATCCTACGGCTAAACTTTAATCTAAACAGCTAACATAAACGACGACGGTTCTTCGCGATCTCTAATACCTATTATAATATCCCGAAATATGTAACGACTAACGAGGTACAGCGCAGTCTTTCTCAAACACTGCCTGGTCTAAATGTGCCTTAAATCTAAAACTTCTAATATCTAGCCTTTTATGTCTATACCTTATGAATGTCTTTCCGAATCTCTCAGAATCTAACTAACTACGGATACAAAATGATAACAATCCCAATACTAAGGCTGGCATTATTTTAGCTCTATTACAGCTGTTCTTTTCTATGTGGGAAGGAACGTGTTGTTTTACCCTTTTCCCAATCGCAGGGCCGCCAGACGCAGGTTTGAGCAGGGGGGGGGGCCAAAAGGAATAAAAAGGGCACAAACACTCTTGGGCAAACTTAATTACATAATTCCTCATGGACGTTGAAGTTTTTCGTTTGTGTAAACCTTTCATCAACGTATGATTCAGATTTTCTTTAAAATTCGATTTACCCTTATTTGTTTTTTGTTTTTATTGTAAGTGGAGATTGCGGCAGGCACACATCCTTCCCCCGTACTTATGGTAGGTGCATTATATTCGACAAATATTCCGATCAATTACAACATACCAAAAATAATAATCCAACAATAATACAATCATTCATATAAAAGTAACAAAAACTTACAAGTTAAACCAAAGATATGGTGTACAAAATTGAAAGGAATTATCGAACTTGTAGGCTCTATCTATTTGAAAGCAAATTTTCAGTCTTTATATATTTCAAAACGAGTTTTCAGTCTATATCCCTTCCAAAATTTAGAAAGACAAAAAATAAACAGCTAAATTGTAATCTTTAGGCCAATTGAATTCTCCGAGATTACATACACTGCAAAGTAGTACGCTAATCGACCTACCGTATTCTCTCTAATGAGCGCCCTCTCTCTAATGAGCGCCCCCTTTTTGAGCAAAATCTCCAATAAGCGCTCATTAGAGCTGGTATTGGAAATTCAGATATTCAAGATGCTACGCCAGTGTTTATGCTAGTCGACGAGGGTTCCGACTCGGAAGAAATTGACATCTTTTTTGCTTTTAACAAGTGTGATGCAAATTCAATATAAATTTTTGTAAAAACAGTGAATTTCAAAGCTCAATTTTTTTATTGATGGATATCCATCTACTGTATCTTCAATGAGCGCCTCTCTCCAATGAGCACCCGTCTCTAATGAGCGCCCCCTCTCTGAGGCCAAAGAATAAAATGAGTTACCCTGGCTTTCATTAGAGAGAAACGGTGTCAAACTGGCTGAGAAACAACTGGCGACACACTGAGGAAATTTTTCTCGCCAAAGAGACAGTCTCCTTTGCAGTAGATGTTGTTAGAAATTGAGAAGCACTTGATTAACGCCTCGATTTAAGTTGTTTTACTTGGCGCCTAAAGGAAAAATATCTGGCTTTGAAAATAGTACACGCATTATTTTTTTCAAAAAGGGCACTTTTCACACTTTTTACAAACAGGGGGGCTGTGCCCCCGTGGCCCCCCGGCTCCGGTTGCCCTGTAATCGTTTGTTGTGCGTCCTATGTAGCTAAATCATAATGGGTGTATGTGCCAGTGAACCCCTGCTAACCTTTAAACAGTGATGCTGTGGAGGGGGACTCAGGGGTCTCAGCCCCCTTGTAAAATACAGAGAGAATTTGGGAGGCGGAGCTCTCTAAGCAAGTGAGTTCTTATTTATTTAGTTGGATGAATACTGTGTTGGCATGTTGGGAATGGTAAGGGTTTGGTCATGGGTGTGGCCTCTCGAATTTGCCTACAGCACAGCCACTCCTTCCTGACTTTTACGGACAGCATCCCTGCCCTTTGGTGATTATGACTTGAACAAAAACATAATCACACTAGAGACAATGTACAAACGTAGGGTAAATGTCGGAACTATCAATGCTATTTTCATTGCTGGGAAACCTTAAAAACATCAAATATAATCTGTTTTATGCTTAAGCGTAGGTTGCTGCAGTCTGGATCTTTGGGAAGAATGGGAAGAATGCAAAGCTTTCATAGTTTTTTTAACTTTTATTTTTACCCCTTTTTCTGATTTGTTCTGTTTTTGCTTTTTGTGCTAAAAATTCAAATCACGTAAAATTTTAAATCTTAATATTTTTCATGTACAAGCGTATTACATTTACAAACCAAAGTATTTGTAATCAACCCATAAAGGGTACTGGGCACGAAAACTTTTGGGTTTACCTCAGTGTCCTTGGTTACGTTTAGCTAGCTATCCTAACATTGTTATGTAGTTTTGTTTATCTATTATAATCTTAGTTATTGTATACTTTTAATGCATCTACGATTGTTGCTGAATGAAAAAAGTTTGATTTTATTTCATTTGATCTCAGTTTCGATTGCCTCTTGTTGAAGCCCGAGGCCGAGGCTTTACGTGCGCACGAGGCAGTAATAAGAGGACAGTTTGTACTGCATTTTGCTGTGTCAGGGCGACGTTAACGGTGTTTTACTGCTGTCAAAAAACATGAATAATTCTATGCAGAGACAGTTCTCTCCGTATTCATTCCACGGAGGGTAAGAAATTCAAAAGCTTATATTCACAGTTCAACAACTCTAGATATGATCTCGACATAACGACATCAATGTAATTCATAATGAAGGCTGCCAGCCAAACTCTCAAACTTTTTTCATCAATGCATAATTGAATACAATAAACAAATTTAGATGTACAAATAACTAGTATGATAATCTTCAATACCCCTATCGTAATACGCTGAAAGAGATGATAATATTCAATGAAGACGTGTGCCCTTCCATGTTCGAAAATTGATGATTTTGGCAACGCGTAGCTGCAGGCATATGCGAGTTTTGGAGCCCCTGTGACGTGTTTCAGTGATGTTTTAAAAAAAGAATTTGCCTTAATTTTAATTGGTTAATAACGGCAACTGTAAATAGAATGAAAAATTATGAAAACTTAGGTAATGCAGAAAATTGTGTTTAGAGATTCATATAATATGTAAAATGTGAGAAGAACAAAGGAAATCGCAAACAGACATATCATTAAAGATATTCATTGTGCAGTAGAAAAACTTTTAATTTCGATTGAATTCTTGTTGGATAAGTTTTCAATTCTGGTGGCAAGGAATTGAATTTTTTTAAGATTTATGAAAGAGTTTTAAGATTAGGAAAGAGTTTTTTAAGATTTATGGATTAGTGAGATTGTCTTGTGTTGTAGTAATGTAGCCTTTTTGCACTGTACTTAGAAGAGTGCTATGTGTGTTTTCAGCACTAATTTAAGAATGAGTTTGGCAATTTCTACCTGATAATGTTTATCCCAATTGAAAAGTATCTAAACATTTTTAAGTTATGTCATTGAGCAGATCAATACTGCAAAATAAGTAACTTTAAAGTTAAATCATACAGAAAACTGAATGATTTTTGTTAGCAGAACCTCCAGTTTAAGGAGCAAAAATGTTATGTAAATGCACCCCTTATATATATGTTTGTCTCTTCAAAAGTACAATTTTGCTCATCTCATAGATAATTCATTGTAAGAATGCATGTTAAGCATTGTCAAACATCACATAGAAATGAAAGTCAGTTTCAAAGAATATACAATTATGCTTTCAGTGAGAGCAAACATTGGTAGCTCATCTTGCTCGAGACCCACTCTGTTACTACAAAACCATGTGTCAATCTTATAAGATTCTGTTATCAAAATCCCAATTTTAATGTCACCTGTGTTAACAAAAAAGCTCAGTTTTTGGAAAAGTAGCATTTGACATAGAGAATGAAAGTTGGGTCAGTATTTTGCAGTTAAATCAAGAAAAATGTCAGTTTCATGAGTAGTTTTTTCTTTTGTAGAACTGTTCTTGCCATAGCTGGTGACGATTACACAATCATAGCATCAGACACACGACTAAGCGAAGGATTTCTCATTCATTCGAGAGAATCTCCAAAGTTATACAAACTGTGAGTAGAGAACCACCACTTAAAAATAATAGCTCTGTTACAAATTGAAGTTTTTGATTCATACTAAGCATGTTTTTGTGATTGATGTTGAAGTTAAGCATTTAAAGGCTAATGATGTACTCTGTTTTCTTTTGCAAAGTTTACCAAAATTCAAGATTTCAAGGACAAATTATATACAATCTCTCCAATAGATTTTACCTGTCTGTTGTAGCTGACATTTATTTAATTGTTATTTGTTATGTTCAATCTGGCTAGAAAGGGATGTATATTAATCTAGGACAAAGAGTACAGTCCTTGGTTGCACTGGTTTTCATGGAGATGCTCTAACAGTGACAAGAAATGTAGCAATGAGATTGAAGGTATGTTAAAAACTTGCATACAGATAAATAGCTTTGTTTTTCCATAAATGTCCTTGGCGTTCATGATTCTCTTAGGAATTTTGGGCTCTTGTTGTATATACCTCCAAACACTTTCAACATTGAAATTTGAATTCCTTATTCAATTTGATTTAACAAAAAATGATAAAACTTTAATATACACAACCAAAAGAAAATTATCATATTGATTAAGCATCAAGTCATGGGAAAGGAGAGGGTTTCCCCAAATACTCTTGATTATAAATCTCATCAGTGTCAAATTGTTGATGGGCCAAGCACTCACCAACTGGAATTATCTCATGCGGATTTTGAAAACAGCCAGTTGGAAAATTGACAGGATAGCTGTCGCATATATTTCTATGTTGAAAATGAAAAGTACACATGAAAAAAATTAAATTTTCCACCTTTTGTTAAATTTTATAAAAAGTGAAAGCATTGGAGACACTAGTTTTTAAATCTGAAGAGTTTTCAGCCAGTGGTAGAAGGCTTTAGGCTTAAAATTACTTTAAACAAATGTTATGCAGGGCTTTTTGTTTGACACAAGCTGTCACTCACGATCCCATCAGCACTCGCGCAGACCCAACCATGTGATCGTTTGACGGCTTGCACAAAATGGTAAATTGTGAGGAATAAATGTCTCATCAATTAACACAATTCTATATCAAGACACAGGAAATATGAGTAAGCTGACTTAGCCACATCTCAATGAAAAAATGCATTGGAAAACCAATTCCACAGCGAATATTCAGGAATACTTTAGGTACTTAGTATTTGAACTACAAAAGTACTTGGGACATTTTCTGGGCAGTTAAAGCATTTTTGAAAAGGTATAAAACAACATTTTGCCATCATCCGGCAATAAAGTCTATATGACCTTCATGATATACATAAAGTTTATAAATGAAGCACATTTGTATTAGGTATTTATTCTTTCTTGGAGTGCATTAAAGCTCATTGCTACCTTATAACAGGATCATTGCTATCACTATCAGAGCGATCACTTGCGCAAGAGAAATCACACAAGCGATGGGCCACTTGCTTGGGCTATTTCTTACGAAAAGCGCTAGTTATGATCTCACAGCCTACACACAGGCTAGTTTTTAAATCCAAAGAGTTTTCAGCCAAAGCTAGAAGGCTTTAGGCTTAAAGTTACTATAAGCAAATGTTATGATCTCAAAGCCTACACACAGACTGTTCTGTACAGGAAAATCCTGCTTCCTGCATGTAAAAACAATGTATTATGTCTTGTTTTCTAGAAATATGAAAATGAACATGGCAAAACTATGAGGTTTGTTACCATTTATTTAGCTTTTCTTACTGCTTAAGTATAGTTGCCTTGAACACTGCAATTTCAAAATTTTGATTATTGCATGAATTATCATAGTTAGAATTGACTTCAGAGACCTGAAATCATAATCATAATGTCAACAAGCATCTGAAAGTCAGCAGACACCAAATGCCGTTTAATATAGTCCCACAGAGCAATAAAGTTCCTTCTTTTTTGGGGTATCAATTACATGACTCCATTTTCCAGCAATCGTTTTTTTGGAGAAGCACTATTATTTTCCACAGATTGTCCTTTTGTTATTGTTTATATTTTTAAACATTTAAGACTCCAAAAGTCAATTGGATATCAATTGTTTTCAATTCTGATATGGAAGACAGTGGCATTTTTAGGACTTGATTCAATAGGATTTGCTTACAAAATTAAATGATTAACATTTCACATTTGCTATATCATTCCTTGTTTATGAAACAGGTATTGGAAAACTTCCTCTTTATTGATTTACTTAATTTTTTGGAAATTAGGTATCAACAGAGTTGAATAATCCCACTTCCTGTCTTTAAGTTGCTTTTTTATATAAATGTATATCAAACTGAGTTTAGTATTGATTGAATATAGATAGAGAGCAATATTTAAGCATATACTTTATTAAAAAGATACTGTTATTTTAGAAAATGCCCTGGAAACTCAAACTATCAATATTTTCTACCTTACAGCTGTTCAGCAATTGCACAGATGTTGCAAACTATCCTCTACTATAGAAGATTCTTCCCATACTATACATATAACATCGTAGCTGGGCTTGATGCTGAAGGCAAGCAATTATTTGCAAGATTTGTATAAATAATGTGCTGCTAGAGTCTCTTTTCTTTTTTCAAGCAGAATGATGTGCACCATATATTCAATAATCAGTTACAGAAAATGCAACGTTTGAAGAAGCAATAAGTATTAGGATGTATGAAAAAGTTGCATTTACCTATAGGGAAGAACATTGGCTGACAAAATTAAGTGAACTAAACTAATGCAGACAAAATATCAGAAGGAAGAACGAGATAGGTCATTTTGAAAACATGATTATTACTTCCAATTTAATGGAATAATACATTCCTATTGATTTGTCTCATCTACAAATTCTTTCATCTGATTTTTTTTCTTTCATCTGAACTTCATGCTCAAAAGTTACAATTAGCACATTGTTTTCTAAATCAGAATCACAGCTTTCTGTGAACCATTTTGTTAATTTTTCTGTTCAAACACTACCATGCACAATGTCTGCTGAACAAAATATTTTGCTGATGAACATGGCAATTTTCTTCAAAATTCAGTGCATTTTGCCTTCCATTTTCCTTTTGGGTAAATAAAGGGTAGCATCAAATTCTGGTGAAACTATAGCCACTCTTTTACAATTTTGGTTCCTAATCATCATATTTCTGAATGTTTATCATTTATATACTAGGCAAAGGTGCTGTTTACAGTTTTGATCCAGTTGGATCATATGAACGAGAGAAATACAGAGCAGAAGGGTCATCATCAGCAATGTTGCAACCATTCCTTGACAATCAGGTAACTCTATCAACACTGATATTGCTGATATTGATATTGCTGTGACCATACAGATAATGGTTTCTTTGTTAATAAAGTGGTTCCTTTCTTTTCTGGCATTTGACCATATTTTTTCCAAGATTTGCCACTATTTTTCCAAAATCCCCTGGTATCTTATCTAGTATCTATGGAACAAATATTTACATTTGCTTCTAACTTATCTACATTTACCTTTGTGTTTTCTGGCATTTCTACCTTTCCTTTTTCCATATTGTAATATTTTCTGTCTTAATTTTTACTAATAGAATTAATTTGGGTAATTTAGGAGAGCAGGAATTATCACCCATTTGTTACTAGTTTTAATCAATTGCCTGGGAATTTATTTTTAGTTTTTGTCGGTTACCAAACTTTTGTCATCAGAAAGTTGTGCACACAAGAGGGATATATAATCCATTTTATATTCTTGATCTCTGTCACCTTGTCATTAGTGCGCCCCATGCAGTTCATTTTTGATTGAATGCTGCTCACTTTTTTAGTAAAGCTTTTATCTTTCCTTACCCAAATAACATCACCTGTAACGAAGATCTAATTTGTAGGTAGGGAGAATGAATCAACAAGATCCATCAAAGGAGCCATTGACCAAAGAACAGTGCTTGCAGTTTGTAAAGGACATTTTCATTTCTGCTGCTGAGCGTGATATCCACACAGGCGATGGTGTCCTTATCAATGTCATAACTAAAGATGGCATTGCAGAGGAATTTTTCCCATTGAGGAGAGATTAACTTGATTTAAAGCTAGTGATGTTCTTTCAATGTTTTAGTGTTCTGTAAGATGGTTGTTGAAGAAAGATAACCTCATTCAAGATTCAGTCTTCTTTTATTCTAAACTCCTTCTTAAGCTAACTGCCAAATCTAAAATTGTTTTTACGGGTTTCTTGTTTAAAACCTGTAAATATGTAAATATCCAAGAATGGACAATTTCTTGTCTTTAGAATCTTTAAGGTTAAGTGCGCCGGCAAGGAGAGACAAGGGGGTGTTTTGAAATCCTCTAATGTTTGAAAAGAACTTCGTGACATGTCGTTTATGTACGACCTGTAAGTATATTTGCAAACCGTCGTTTTTATATTTCATTCGTTTGGTCTCATCGCCAAATCATCACATATTAGTCAAAGAAATCGAAAGTCTGTTGCAGATTTTAAACGTTTGCTGTCATTTCAGGCTTTTATTGACATACCGTTATAATTAAAATAAGCCTTGGGGTGGATTTCATTTGTCCAGGTGTGATTCAGTGTTTAGTTTAAGGTTTTCAACTGTTGACATATTTTGCGGTTATAGTTTAATGAAGATATCAGACAAGGTGTTGGCCAAGGACTTTGTTGAAACACGTAAATACAGATGTGCTAGCTCTAAAGTTTTAAAAGTAGCGTCAAACTTCCTTGCTTGATGGGGAAAGCATGATCCCACCAGTCTTCTCAATAAATTCTACTTCAAGAAACGGCAAAAAATAGCCGTCAAGAATCAATTAATGACAGTTCTTTTACTAATTTTTTTCTAAATAGTTTGATTTTCTCTGATCTTGTATTTTATAGGCCCATCTAAGAGAACTATAAAGAGATCTCGAAATTCCTGTATTTTAACTTATAAACTGTTTTCTGTAAGTCAGCCATTTCAAATTCATGCTATTGTCAACCAAGTTTAGCTTTCATTCCTTTGCTTTCATTTCTTTACTGTCCAGCTCAGCTACCGAAAGGCATTCTGAGAATAGTTTGAATTACTTTTTGTGCTTTTAAACAGACTTACCCTCCTGTTGCTGTGGCTTTCATCAGCTGAACTTCCTTTTGCACATCCAATGTCATTCCCTGTTTTCATTGCCTGGCTACCAGAGATAGCAGTTGATGACTGAATTGTCTTCATGTATGAATCTTTTTTCATGAATTCTTGCTGGCAAAGATAGAGCTCTGACAACAGGTCCCTTCTTCGCCTGCTTAGTTCTTCGGAACGTTTCTGGCAGTTGCTTAGCTCTTCAGATAATCTATCAAATAATCAGGGCTACTCGATTAAAAACCATTGTAAAATGACGAAATTTAGTCCACCAAATATCCAAGTACGTTGTAAGATAACAAGAAAAACTTGGACCCCGTTTACACTGTCCCCCTCTCAAAATCGGAACCGTAGCGGTACAAAGCTCCTTCGTTTTTATGGTAGTGTCAAAACTGTTACGGATAGCAGGGCAAAGTTGTCCCGGTTCCACAGTGCTAGTTCCACGGAATGGCAAACCGTGACAGTTCTGTTACTGTTCCAAAGTTGCACGGGGCGTAAACGGGGTATTGGACAGAAAAACCCTTGCGGAAAGACAGTGACAAGAAACACACGGTACACTAGCTACTATCAATTAAACTCATGTTAAAATTTTAGGTTACATTAACCAAGTGCATAGACGTGATTTTTTCGCCAGAAGAAACAGAACTAACTAAAAGGTTCGAAAGTAGCAAATCTCGCTTGATAAAACTAACCTCTTGAATTCATTACATTTCTGTGGCAAGGCCATGGCATCATCTTTGGAGGCAAGGGCCTCGTCTGCTTTCTTCTTTGCCATTTGCAAAGCTTCTTCTTTCTCTGTCATAAAATAACAACAGTAGACTAAAGAACGCAAATGTATTTGAATGTATCAATTTGAGAACCATAATCTGCTGAAAGTATTATGGTAAATCAAGCAATAAATAGGATCAGGGGCGGACTGGCTGGTCGGGCTATTCGGGCGATCGCCCGAAGGGCCGGTCGGTTTGAGGGCCGGTTGATAAAAGTGCAAAAAATAAATTAGCTTAAAAAGTGAATGCAAGGCAAAAAAGTATATCCACGCGTTGATCTGTTTGCCTTGAATTTTCAGAGACTTTGTGGGAAAGAATAAATACACACGCGAGTACTCCAAAACCATGAAAATTATGAATTCACTATTGTCACCGCAGCCCAAACACACTTCTTCAGGGAACATGTTATTGACATATTGTTATATTTTCTCTTGACGGTATTTCCTTTTTGGCGACATATTATACTGTAACATCCCTGTTTCAATGTGAAACATAAAGCCCCGGCAAAACGACTGGACATTTGCACTGGTCACACACTGGACATTGCTCACTTGTTTCAGAGTATGGACATCAAGAAAATATTGGTGGTGGCAAAACGACTGAACATTGTCCAGTGAATTTTTTCCCTGTTGAAGAATGCGGGTGGGAAAACTGGCAACAGGGCATCTCTTTATCTTTGAAAATACACTTTTCATAGCCCTAACCGTGTTATCGTATGAATACACCAATTCGACCTACGGCCTCATTTTGAAAAATTCTTCAAATTCTTTTGTACAAAATTTTTTACAAATTCGGATTGACAGCAATGATTTTAGTCTACTTGTAAGTTTTCATTATGATTATGCTCACGATATTGACTTTATGACGACATAAAGATAAAAACTTTATAAAGGATTTGACCGTGATTGGCGACTAGTGGGGTAAAGTTTCCCCCGGAACGATTTTTGCGGTCAAATCCCTTACAAGTTTTCAAACTTCATTTCTCGGTTAAATCTAAAATACAAGCTCAAATAATATGAAAATGGTATCCCGCATAAAATTATGACGATAAAACCAAATCTGAGCTTAAAAAAGTCGTATAATTAAGTTTGGAGAAATTTCCAAAACGAGGTCGTAAGTCGAATTGGTGCAATAGAGTGTATTATTGACAAGTGGCTAGGACAGCTAGGTTCATCAAAATCACCGTCCTCGTGTTCTCTGACATCGTTTTCCTTATCGGTACTAATGCTAATCTTATCAGAAGACTCGTCGTTACTAATGAAATGCCTTTTTCTGCTATTGGTCGAATTGAATTTTAACGTTGTTTCCATTTCGTTCGCGGTGATGACTAGGAAAGTTTGTTGAAGATTTAAAAATGGGAAATAAATTGACGCCAAATTATAACCATTAATCAATTGCGCGTGCGCGAACTGGACAATGTTCAGTAGAGTGGCAAAACGACTGAACGAATTCTGTACAACATCTTTGAACAAAAGAAAATTAATTCTGTCCACTGAACATTTTTGACTGCCTTCAAAATCGACTGAACAACACTCAACATCGCTGAACAAGACTGGACAAGGTGGCAAAACGACGCAACATTTACGCTGGACATTTGTCCAGTGCATTTTCAGTGAAAATGTCGAGTCGTTTTGCCGGGGCTTAAGATTTTAACCTACCCCGATTTTGCTTGAAGCTGGTCATGTTTTTTCCTAAGCACAAGCTATTGCTAAATGTAATAAATTTAAAAGTCCAAAAATTAGAGTTCACTTAGCGATTTGCTCTGTGATGTGAAGCAATGATAAGGACATACGTAGAACAAGGGAAGAGCAAGAAGACTTCAACCAAAGGTGGTGCACAGAAATTTCGTGAGGAAAAGCTGCGAGACTTAAAAAAGGATTCAGCTACGATACAGAGCTTTTTTTATCAAGCAAAAGCCACAAACGTCACAAAAACAGCAGGGTCTTGCTCTTGCTCCTTTCAATAAACTCATACAAGTTATGGTAAATTTATTAGGCATATACTATCATAAGTCAAATAGACCCCCCACCCAACAGGAGTATGGTGCTACACGATAAAATTTCAACAGGGGTGCCCATGTTTTCTTTTTGGGGTCAGAAATTGACAAATCGATATTTTTGGGCTGCTGAAAATCATTCTGGTTTTCAGGAGAATTAGAAAATTGTTTGTCACAAGTTGAGTGTGATAGAAGCTTTTCCACTTTAAATATATAAAAAACAGATTACGTGGTAATTTTTCGCAGCCAAACCTAGAGTCCTTAATGTTAATGTTCTTAAAAAAACACCTGTTAGGTGACATCTAGAACGATCACATTATCAACATATAAGCTACTGTATTTAGAAAGAAAGTCTAACCAATGAGTTAAAATGTTTGTTTATTTACTATTTAGTCAGCAAATGACATATTTAGCATGTTCTGTTAACCAGCATGCACACAATTACTGAATTTAAAAACTTGTTTTCCTTACAGACTAACATCTACTTGCATTTTCCAAGGAGTTTTTTAATTGCTATTTTTGTGGGCCGGTTTGATCGAAATTTGCCCGGGCCAAAAAAATTAGCCAGTCCGCCCCTGAATAGGATCAATATTTTTCTAAATAATTTTCTCTTGCAAAGAGCTTCTAATACTTGGTGACAAAAAAGAATAAAAGTTAAGAAACTTAAGAAGTCCTTTCGAAAGCCTTCGATTTGAAGTGGAACTTGTAGCAAGCTTTAAATAACCACATCAACTTGTTTACTGTATTCGCTTGTTTACTTATTTACTTCTTGAATACTTCTCGTCATTTTTCGTTCATGACAGGTAAATGTACAGAAATGAAGTTTTCTGAGTCGGAATATCACAATCGATATTGCCGGACTTTATTGCATTAATTTCCTGTTAAACTCCTATAAACTGACCTATAATAGAAACGCACAGTTAAGGTTTTCAAAGATAATATTTTCTCACAGTGAAATACATGATCAACTTTCTTTAAAACTATATTCCGTAGTTGTTTAGTCTGAAGACAGTTCAACCATATTCGCACAAAATGTGTTCAGCAGAAAGCATAATTGAATAATATTCCATACCATCTTTTTCAAATATCAGTGAAGTGATTGATCGGTTTGCCACATCAATCTTCTCATCTAGAATTTTTCTTGCACTTTGACATTTGTCAAGAGTCTCGAGGTCTAACATTATAAAATCATATAAACCATTAATGTATTTTGTCACAAATTACAAATCAAAGAATCCAACGACATCTACACAGTGCAGTGTTTTTTGATTCTATAATTTCTACTAATCAAGCACAAACTACTAAAAGTAGAAAGTATACCTGTTTGAAGTTCATTTGTCCTTTCCTTTAGCTCTTGAATGTTTCTTTTAAGCTTTTGTTCGTAATGGGATTCAAGATTCGAAGATAGCTCGTGAGATTCCAAAAAAGATTTAGTTTCTTCTATAAATTCAGTTCTACGAAGAGAGAGACTTCATTTAATAAGTATGATCATCAACCTATTCGCCTGGTCCAACGGCTGATACGTTTGAAACTTTCTCCTGACACAGTCTATGTAGGAATATGTCCTGACAAAGTCTTGTCAATATTTGTAAGCTATGATCGAGAAAACAACCTAAATTTATCAAATATAAAAGGATCGTTAACATAAGCCCATTTTTTTTAAAAATAGCACAAAAAATTTGTTGAGACTTAAATAGTGCACTTCACCTCTCTTGTTTGATTACGCTTTCGATTTCACGCTGAAAGTAAAAAAGTTCACATAAAAAACTTTTTAGATTAATCATATCAAATTGGCGCACTAAACTATTGAGAACATACTATTGTTAAGATACCTTTGAAGAAAATTGCTTCAGCGGAAACAAATTTATAGTTTCAGATCGACTCCAGACAAGCCATAAATAATCAAACCAATGATTAAACGAGTCTTCAAATATATGATCAGTATCTGTAAAAGGAACAGCAACGAAACACTTTGTCAATGTCTTGAAAAAAAATTAAAAAGTCCTATTCCATCTTATAATTTAATCTACTGTAGTAATGGTGTTCTACAGTTACAGCAGTGGAAAGACCTATAAACAGAAGCTGTAAAATTTTATATAATGACAATGCTGAAACAGCCAATGTCTGATGTACCTATACAAACTTTTGATTGAATAAATATCTTAATTGCTTCACTGACTGTTTACATTGCTCATTTCGGCATATTGAGAAAGCCCTTTCAAGAAGTAATACAACCAAGCTGTGTAAAGAGTAAACGAGAAGGAAAATTCAAAAACAAAAAAGTAACTGCTAGTAAAAAGTACAGCTAGTAAAGCTAATTGTTTTCATATAATCAGTGGCATGCAAAATAGCTTACTATTTGGGAAGAAATTTCTTCTTTTACAAGTTTGCTTTCCAGAGCTTTCTGTTTAAGTATCGTTACTCTTGATGAAAACCATTTTAATTCAACCTCTTTTTCTACAAGTTTGTGATTTTTTACGGCCATGGTTCCATATAATGACTGAACTTCAAATGCAGCATCTTTTAATTTTGACTGAAATTCCAGTATCTTTGAATGCGCTACGAATTAGGAAATTATAAGATTAGCTTCATACAAGCTGATATTTAAAAGATACTCAAGTTTTGTTCATATAGTAAAATAATGAATCTAAGTTGAAAAATAATTACGTTTCATCAATAAGGGTAAGCAAGTAGGCACAATTGGTCAAACTGGGACTTTTCTGTTACAATGATTTTGAGTTAAACTTCAGTATTGTAGGCCTTCTCTTTTGCGGAAAACACTTTTTAAAAATCCATGGCTAAGATATGTCAAACTCAATCTATAGCTGTAGGAAGATTCCTAGGAAGGGTAACTGTGAAATCACAGTAAACTTGGTTAAACTTGAATTTAAAAAACCCTTGATGAAAATTTTCAATTAGTTTGATTGAAATGTAGTCTTCGTTTATTCTTACTTTCAAGATTTATTTTGAGTTCTTTTCGTGCAATGACCCGTTTGAAGAAAAACCCCTCTTGCAAAATAAGTATGAAAATAATTAAAAGAATTGTAATTAAACCAATAGTTAATTAAATTCTAATTTAAGTCACATCCAAAAACACGAACAATATTATTAAATATAGAATCATATTTTGCAGTAGTACTGCCTGAGCCACCGTGTCTAAAAATGAGGGAAGGCCAAGTGCCTTAAAATCAGTTGACTGGAAACACTCTGAACTTATAATCTAGCTTATTTTCACTGATAAACTAAAAGAGGGTACGGCATTTGCAAATTCTAAAAGGAAAGCTTAATACTATTTTCAATGAGGCAAAACATTTTTATCTTTCAAACAAAAATTATCCAAATTTTGACCCGTTGTGCCCCACCCCACATGTGTGAAATCATAAAGCCACAATTTACAGTTAGAATAAGACAGTTTATGCACAAGTTTAAGGATTTAATAAATCCAACGACTTAGTTCAACGTCGATTCTTTTTCGTGGGTTATTTTGGAGTCCTGTCTGCCTGAGGCTATAGAAACAAGATTTCCAACCTATCTATCTACTGAAGTCTATCCGTTGCTGCAAAATTTTTTGGAATCTTTTAAAACTTGTTCTTGGAGTATATTATGTATATCTTATCTTCTCACTTAAAAAATGCTTTGTACATATTATGTATAATTTCTTCCAGTTTAGTTTGCTAGAGGGGGGCCTTCATAGCTGAAGCACCTCCACCTTTCCCTGAGAACAAAACTTGTTACATCAAATTTACAAAGCTACTTTTAGTGTAATAAAATGTACCTTCCTTTAGCTGTTCAAATCTCTGTCTTATTGACTCTTCCGATTGCAATATTTGGCCAAAGAGTTCGTCCAACAAGCTCATTTTTCTTGTTATTGCTGAAATATCAAATCTGAGAATCTGAAAAGATTAAACAATAAATGACGTCAGCAAGATTCAAGCAAATTCGCGGGTTTTCGATCCGGAAGTTTCTGGCCTCGTTTTCGCTTGTCGTGAAGGGAAACAAATCACTGTCAGGTGTCAGGTCAAGTCACTTGATCACAAATTATAGAAACCTATGCAAATGTATGTCCCGTGAGTATATATTTCACATCTCATCCATGCGAACGATGTAATTACAGTGTGACCAACCACGTAAATATCTCTGAAAACTTTTTTAAAAAGGTTTATTGGCCTACATTTCTTGTTCCTTCAAATTCATATCTTCAAGGTGATAGAAATAATTCTTCTTGGAAGTATTATCATAACTTTGTTCATTTTTTACACATCTTACCTTGATAAATCTTTGTGGCGTTTCTCTTCACTTGACAGAATGGGTAGAGAACATTTGATTGCTACATACAACCCCCAATCCCTCCATAGGAGTTGCGACGATGGTCCATTTTGATACGTCTTGTCATTTTTACATATTGATATCCAAAATTGTTGACACAATTTTACATTTATCCTCTGTCCTAGGATGCAGAAAACCGCGAAGATGATTCAGCACAACAGATGAAATTTCTGATGGACGCAACAATATCACCAATTTCTGTCTCATTGCAGCCAGGACGACATTTAAGTGTAGATAGCAGACCAGAAACAGCAGCATCAACTTACCAAGGTGTGAACAAAGATCCAGTTAAAGCTAGCATGAATGTCAGGGAGATTTTTGACAATTTGCCCAATTGTTATTGGTTTGAATGCCCGATAAAGGTTCTTTTTCTTAAAGGAAGCTCCAGTTTAATTCAGCTTTGTTTTTTATATTCCCCGGTACACATACATTTGTTGCAAGTTCACATTAATCTACATTTAAAAAGTATAAACAATGTAAAAGGAATAACAGTGTAAAAGTATAAACAATTTACATTCTGCCTTTAGTAGTTTGTCGATAAATTTTATAACTTTCTTCAATTATGTAATATTCATCTATTTAATAATTTATGCCATTGTGAATAATTTAATACATTTCTCCCAGATGAAGTCAGTGCTTTTACACCAGAATTCCCCCATCTTATCCCAATGGAAAATGGTGCCTTCAAGCAGGTTTCACATTATGTGACATCACCATTTAAACATTGGCGGCAAAGAAAGTACAAGGACCCAAGAACAGTAAGAAATATGTTTCTTTTGGGTAATGTTCCTTGAAGTGTTATATTGTGCAAGCAAGTGTAAACATTTTTTAGGAACATACTCTTTTTCATCAAATTTGTATCATAAGTTACCTGATACTTGTGATACTCCCAAGCTTTTTGTTGATCGAAAAAACAAATATCTAGATTTAAAATATTTTGAAAGTAAAATCAACAAAATTTTTAATTCCTAATGCAATACAATTTCATTTAGGTATTGTTTACGTAGACAGGTTTCAAAACACCGAAATGAAAAGAAGCTTTTGCATGCCCAATGATTTCAAAATTGTTATCACAATACATTTTGAAGCATTTTGGATTCTTGAGTACAAAATGTTGACCTATGCCTGGATCGCATTTTATTTGGGTATTCTGATTTCGGCAATTATGTTGACTTGTGTAGACAGAGAGAGTTAATCTTCTCTCTTTAACTCTTTAAATAATTCACTTTTTCTGCATACCTCTAGTCATTATCCAACCTTCATACTCTGACGATTGCCAAACATAAAACACACAAGTGTTCTATGTTTTTGCTTTTTCCATGCTGTCCTCAAATTTTCTTTGCTACTTGTTTCTCAAATGGAAACTTGGTCTATTTTAGGTTTATGATGTTGGTAGTCCATTGAAAGACAATATTTTGCATTCCATATCACTATATAAAAATGCTAAATATATACCAGATGAAAGCACTAAACAAGGTTACACATATCATTCAAGAATAAGGCAAGGGAGGTAAGCAAATTATGTTTTTTCTTTCCCTACAATAAACAATTTGTTATCTAATCGTTTGAGCTGCCAGAGTTCAGCAAACTTCTGTTAACCAATTATACTTGATTCAAGTATGATATTGTTACCTTACATAGTAAATTTGCAATGTGAACTTAACCATCCAGTTGATTTTCCTGGAGCTGATAAGTTTAAAACAAGGTTTCATAAAAAAGTAAGGAAGAGTAACATTGAACCAAAAACTGTGATTTATATTTACACAATGTAAACAATTAAAGTCTTTAAACAAAAATTAGACTTTGATGAAATAAATGGGGACTTGAGAATAGTTAAAGAGGATCACAACCTTCTAGATACCTTTTGTTTCTGCTACCTGCTACAAAAATTTTCAACTTGGTTGCTACTTCTTGTCTTTTCATTTTTATCTCTATGTTATTTTAAACAAACGTGTCTACAGGATTAATTATGTTCTGTTACAAATTTCTGCATTTAGGTTGCTGCCATTGCTTGGTGCCCCTGCCGTCAAAGGCCCAAAAATCAATCAGTGTATTGGAATTACACCATCAGGTTCTCAAATGTTACTTCTGGAAGATAATCTCATATTTTTTTATTTCATCAAAAACAAATTTGAGACATTGGCAACAAATTAGAGACAACCTGCAAGTTTAATTTTAATTTTCCAAGCATAACTTCAGAGTAGATTCATTTTCATCTCAATATTGTGCTTGTTAGATTTCCCTCAACCCTAACTGGAAATTTGTGAAAAGCCCACATTGTTCCTAACAGTAGAAAGTATCAATATTTCCTGCTAAAGCAGAGATGAAAAGCTGAAAACAAAGACAGGCTCAATACTTACATGAAGTTAGTAAGAATGTCTGGAAACTGGAAAATTCATTTTACAATTACACTTATGAAAAAAGGACTGCATGAAGCCCTTACTGTTTTTTGCTACATCATAGAAGCAAATCATTGAATCGATGTTGCTGCCTCATTTCTAAATTCAGACAGTAAAACAAGAATCTAGAAAAAATTGAAACTTGCAATTCTAAATCTAAGTTGGGATCATTCAATACTAAATTGTGAATATTCAACATAGTCATCTTAAGTTTGGAGAAAAGTAAGCAAACTCAAATGTCAAGAACTTTAGGTTTTCCAATTAATTTGCACCCAAAAAACCAATAGAAGTTATGAGATTAGTACATTGATTGATTGTTGATGTTGATATACAATCTTTGGAGATTGTCTGTAATTGTCTGTGTTTTTTTAGGGCGATCAAGAAGTTCCACAAATAGACAACACACTTTGTCTAAAAATAGCAACCATGCTAAAAGGCAAAGTCATACAACAAGACTTTCAAAGAAACCACAAATGCACCATACATCACTCACATCTGTCAACTCTTCAATTCACTGACATAATTTTCAATGCACTCAAATGTCTGAAGCAAGATGAGAGGCTTGTTGAGTGATTATTTTGCAGAATGAAAGGAATATTTTTATATGCATTACAAATGAGATGAAAGAAGGCAGATAATGTGTGCACAAGTAACACTAATTGAATGATTTGTAATGTTGCCGCGAAAAAATAACAATTCCATACTAACTGAGTAGTTGTACGTAGAAGATTCTGAGGCAAAAAGGTTCTTATTGTTTTAGTAAACAGTTTTGCTTTATAAAAATATTTGGCATAAACTAGCAATGTACAGTATATCTATGAACATGAACATTAAATATGGATCTTCCCTGTAATATGTAATCTTAAAATAGCTCTACCCATCTTTTATTACAAAAATTTAGGGTTCTGCAACAGCAACAGACCCCATGTTTTCCCCAGGTAAGTCTTTTGCTGTTGATTCAACATCATCATTTGCTTCATCATCATCATCATCAGGAATTTCCTCTTCTTCACTTTCCATCGATTCGTCATTATTTGCCTCAGAATTTTTATTCTGTGTTCTTTGTACCATAGTTGCCTGTGTTGCTTTAACATTTTCTTGGACTTCATCATCATGCTCGTACATATGTGTTTGCAGATCCTCTAAATCTTCAAACATGGCCAGACAATGCTATTAAAATGAAACAACAAGCAACATAACAAATAGTAGTTATTACTTAAACATAACACAAATAAGAAACTAATTATTAAAAGAAAGTGAAGAAGAATTGAACATTTTAATAACAAAACAAGAAAAAACTTAAAAGAACAAGAGTGAAACAGAAATTATAAAATTCAAAATATAACCACAAAGCTGGCAAGATTTCTATTACATCATTATTGGCCATATCTAGGCTTATTGTGGTTTTTCATCAAGATATTCAAGAGTTCTAATGAGATAACTCTAGGATACAGGACTTTGATGCAAGTAGGTCTTAAATGATTAAAAACTGCAAGAAAGAAAAATCCTTTCTCTAAAACCTTTCATTGCGGCATTGATTTTTTAACAACATTTATTGCCAAATTACAATTGGGGCATTGAGTGAAAAAATAATTTTTTTGAGCTCTTACTTTTATTTATTATATTGCTCTCATTTTCTAACATTAATATGATGACATATATGCATATACAAGATGGCAAGAGACATCTTGACAGATTCTGCCATTACTGATGGCAAAAGAGATACCATTGATAATCTTTGATAACATTTTTGTGGAAAAGATTGTATGCATTTTCAGGTTTTCTGTGACAGAATTTCAAAGAAAAAATAGCCATCAACTTAAACATCATTTATTCCCATTTAAATTGGTCACTTTGCATCACTTTATAATCTTCCTTTTTAACAAATTTAAACTTTTCTGTCAGGCCAATTTAAGTAGCCTGAATCCTAAAACATGGACCATTTCTAAAGCCCTGAAACATTTGATCAGGATAAGCACTGACATGGAAATGACACCACAGAGGCACAATGCAGGGTTCTTTAGCAGTTGGGGGAACTTTATATGTGAAAAATAATTAAGAATAATTTAACAGTGAAAATTGATCATTCTACATCATTGGAACAATTTTCGCAAATATATGGATTTGTGTTATGATTCAAGACAAGCGTTAAATGTCAAAATCCCAAGAACTCCAAGAACATTATGAGTTCAGTGCATCTAGGCTGAAGGCTGTTCAAAAACGTATACATTTTCTTGAGCGGTAACTGCCAAATGCTGCTGGCATGTAAGGCAAATTCTACTTGTAATTATTTCTAAATGGACACAGAGAGAACAAATAAATATGCTAGCAATCACTACAAATACGTTTGCATCATATAATTTGTTTTTACCTTTGCTTAGCTGAGCATTAAGCTAAAACTTTACATTGTTTATTAAAATTAAAATAAAATTTCTCTATCTGCATGGCAGATGCAAAACCTAGGGGGCCTAAGCCATTTATTACCTACAACTTTGTCATATCTCCATTTAGCATCATAATAGTTCAACCAGATAACAAGTGACAAGAAATTTCCAAATCTTTTATGCAAAACAATGAAATAGCATAAAAAGATATATGCATGAAAAAAGCACATCCCACAAGCCTAGCGACATATCTTCATTTCCATGTAAGCCATCAGAAAAGGTTTCATCAGTGACTCCCTCTCACCCAAAAAATAAAAATTTCCATCACCTGTTCTGTAACAAAAGATAAGAAAATAAAACTTACAGCACATTTTTGAAGGCCAGCTGGAGCATCATCACAACGGTGCTTGGAGCAATGAACTTCAAGGTTTCTCTTTTTCCAAAATCTGCCGCCACAATCTTTGCATATATATGGTGATTGCCCAGAATGACGCAACGCATGATATCGATATTGGCTACGGCCTGCAAATCCTTTGCCACAGTATTCACAGTTGAAAGGGTAATTACCTGTGTGCTTGTACATGTGAAACTTCAGATGACTTCTAGTTGTATATGTGGCTTTACATATTGTGCACTTGAATGCTTTTGATTTGTTATCTGAGAATAAAGGAGGCACATTACACTACATAAAACATGCTTTTACGTTACAAGTTTTGGCATTCATACATGGAGCAAATAAAACTAAAGCACTGACTTGATCACTGCTTTTGTAACCTTAACAAAAGAATTGAAGACATTTCAAGCTGCAACGACAAAGAAAAGAACAGATATCAAGAATATCTAAAACAATGTATCACCCATTACACAAGGAGGTTTAAATACAAATAAAGAAAAAATGCAGTCCAAGGATGAAAACGAACTTTTTTTGTCTTCACAAAACTGGTTTTTATTTCTATGTTGATTGAAACATGGAACGACGAACAGTCTCTGTTAATAATCCAAAACATGTTGCCATTATAGTTTTTGCACAATCTTAGTTTCTAGTAAATGCTGCTCAATGGCAAAATCGATTGTTTTGGTTGTCGTTTTTGCTCTGCAAAACCGAGGAGACTGTTCTTTTTTGGGGAGCGTTTTGTTCTTAATGCTAGACGGGACATGCTGTTTTATTCTATCCCCAAATATTGGGCAGTAAGTCTTATCTGTGTCCATCAAGTTCTGTGTCGAGTTTTTACTTCGAACTTATCGTTATTTTTGTCCGATGAGTCACTGTTCTGATAAGGTCGATTTTCCTATGTTTTGGGCAAAAAGAATTTCATCGAGTGTATAAATCCGAAATAGGTTTACGGTACACATCAGTAAGGAATCCATTGTCAGACTTTTAAAAAAAGCATCTATAAATGGTAAGGCCTTTTTTACCTTTTCAAAAGTAAAGTGAAGCGCTGGATGAAGGCTATGGACGCATTTTGGAAAAATTTCACACTCAGCCTCTGTTTTTGAAATATTATAGATGTCACCAACATAGGAACCCTCTCTTTTGGTCATAATCGATCAACGACCAATATTCTAACGTTTTATACCCTGAAGAGTGCTGGGCAAAAAGCTTCAGAAGGTTTCACAATGTTTGCTTTTTCAAAGCTATGTTGTTTTTTTAAACAGGAAACAAGTACTGAAAGAAAAAAATTAAAACTTTGAAGAAGAAAGATTAGACAGTTTGTGTTAATTGTATTTATTTGATTTTTCACCACCGGATATGTCATGACTAGACAAAGTATTTACAAAATTATTTTTGCCTCATCTAAAATACTTTATTTTTTTGTAAAATAGATGACAGGGTATTGACTTCCCAACAGTTAAGACTTCCCATAAAAAAGCAACAGGAAGGAAACAACTCACTACGGTGAAGTCTACAGTGGCCACTAAAGCTTTGTGCTTGCTTGAATACTTCATTGCAGAGCTGGCATTTGAAAATTTTCTCATTTCCATTCATGATTTGTATCCCAATGGCTTGATCACTGTCATCTTTTTGTTTCTCTTGACTTGGTACAAAAACTGTGAGGACACTGTTTCTATTTGGCAAGATGTTTACTAATGACGACCATGAGTTTGCTACGAAAAATAGCTGACATGTGAGCATATTTCCATATTTCATACCAAACACATATTGCTAAGGTTGTTTAAGCAAATAAACTCAGTTTTAATTTGCTAAAAGCTAGCTCTGCATACTCAATACTTGAAGATAACACAAGTTGGTTTCGTAAGCATTCTAGTCCAGAACCAAAAAAGAAATGCCCCTATAAAACAATTTGGACCTTGATGACAGAAAGTTTTTTGTCACTGGGTGCACCCCAGGAGGTTTACGGCAGAGCTTATACTAAGAGAGATTGCGATTAAGCAAACTAGATTTCCCTTTTCACGTCTTGATGAAGGAACATTTTCAACCATCAAAGGGGACAGTGGAGAATGGATAGCAAAAGGAAAAAACGCAACCATCACATCAAACTTGCTGAAAAGTGCAGTTAATAACCTACGGTGTCTTGTGGATTATCAGGGAAAACAAAGTCAAGAGGGGAGCATTATCTTGAAACCTACGTAAGTTTCTGACATGGAACTCTGACCAACCGACTACCCGCATGCCAAAAACCCGTTAAGGTATTTGCAGTGTAGGGTGACAACAAGCCAAACCTACACATTCACAACTCTAACAAGCATAGTCAAATCTGTGAATGAAACGTTAGCTTCGTGGAGCTATCATTCAGCTGGATGTTTGCATTCAATTAACTTAGACAAAAGTGTTATCTAAATACAGTAATTTTGTAACCTTTCACAAGGTAGGGCGTTATAATCTTTGTTCTTTTCTTTTTGAAACCTTTCTCCGTGAGGTCACCTAACGTGAATAAAGCATGCGTTAAAATCATAAAATGAAGTATGAAAGAAAATTTCCTTACTTTCCTAGATGAAAATAAGTACAAATGGGTGGAACAAAATATTGCAAATTTTGGTTTGAAATTTGAAATACTTCGAGAAAATCTTTTTATAGTACAATAACACGCTTTAACCCTAATGTATCAACAAAAAGTTTCATATCTACTAAGGAAATTTCGATCAAGAAGTAACTAGAAATTCATCATCTCTGAAAATACTCAGAATAGCATACCGTCTTTGAAATCCTGTGCAAGTTCATTAAGTTCGTTCTGGATTCCTTTTGGAAGTGAAGAAAATGGTGGCTCTGCAATTAAAAATTCTTAGTGAAGTGTCATTGCTCATTCTTATAATTTCAAAAATTGGAGTGAAAGGACTGTAGCTGCTTGATTCAATCACAGACTGGTATGATTATCTTGCAACAACTTTATACAGTTTTTCAAAACTTGGAAGTAACTCGCAATTTGCCGGTATAAGGTTATCATTTGAATGTAATTACAACTCAAGCAACACAATTAATACATACCTTTTAGCATAAAAGGAGCAAGAATTTTTTCACGTTTTCGTTTGTAGCCTTTCAATGTGATTTCCTCTACAAAAATATAAATATTGTCAAAGCAAAGTTTGTGACGGCAACAAAAACTTTTAAACAAATCAACATTATATTTCGCATATAACGTACTTCCTTCATATCATTAAGTCAGTTACATATTTTGCATAAAAGCTATTGAAAATTGATTTCTACTTTTTGGGGTCTTATTGAAATTTGGTTAGAGAAACGTTAACAGCAGGCAATCGTTGATGAATGGCATAAGAACTCTAATTGATTTAAATTCTCCTGGATCTGTCTAGCGAAAAAAGAAATAGAGTGTGCAGGAGCATAAGAGTCATTAAAAAATTTTTCAATACAAATTCATCAAAATAAGACAAACAGACCTTCCTTCAGTTCACGTTCAAGTTCCTCTAGTTGTTCTACCGCAAATTTTGGTAGTGCATTTAAATTTGGCTCATACAGCTCCACTACAGCATCATTTGATACACTTTGAACTAAAAGGATAAAAAGATGGTCGAAATACGTAATAAAATATCCTATGAAAAAATATGGGTGACTTATCCGTTCGCATTTGAAAAAAATCCTAACCGATTCATTACATGATTCTAAACCTTAGATATTAAATAAATAATTTAAAGATAGCATACGTCTGACTATGACACACAACCTATATTGTTTGAAAAAGCCACATCCTTTTTACAATGTTGGCATTTCATATCGAAGTGTACTGGAGATCTTGGTCAAAAAAGACCCCACAAAATGGTTCTTTGCAGAGGCAGTGGGTGGAAGATAACTGAAAATCTTTCCCAATTTCCTAATGATTTAAAAAAGTAAAGAAATGGGAATTGCTTGTTCTTCACAAAAGTATAATATTTACTCTGAAGTGAATATATATTTTCAACCTCTTTTAATGTTTAGGAAAGAACCTCTCAGCTCCCACATAATGAAAGTAAAACTTCCCTACCAATCCATACAGTATAGATTAATAGCAAAGAGAAAAGAAGACAAAGTCAACCCTTGATACAAGAATAGACAATTTAGGCTTATCAACATCTAAGAAAATGGAAGTGAAATGTAACTAAATCAACAAGTAAAAAATTCGCTGCTGATTTTTGAAAACGCAAAAATTCAAAACAAGATCAGGCATGAGTTAGATCAGGCATTCAAAACAAGATCAACATTGTACACTTAAGGTGATACTGTATATATATATAAATACGTGGGTGACAACATGCTTTTTAATAGGAACGAGAATCCCCGAATTGGAAATACCATACAATGGTCAGAGGCTTCCTTACTCTATTATACTTGACTCTCATGGCTACATCAAACCCCTTCTTGGGTAGAAACCAGACACAAAAATGTCAATACCTTCAAAATAAGTTTAAAAATAAAACTTGTTACCCTCTTAAATCTTGACATTGAACTTCTTGAATGTGACTTACTTTTCTCTAAATGTGGTGCAACTAATAACTTTAGTCTTCTTTTGTAACCCTTCTCTGTCAAATCACCTGCATTTCAAAGGGAAATATCCATAATGTTTCTCATGAAATATATCGATTGCTTTATAAAAACTTACGATGTGTTTAGCTTTGTCATTCATTGGTCACAGCCCTGCAGATTTGATGGAGCCTTAAACGAGTTGATAACTAAGATAGGATGAATGACTTGCAATTAAGAATAATTGAAGTACTTTTTTTCAAAAAAGGGTACCAAGTTTTTCAATCTTGTTCTGTTCTGAGACTGCTCTGATCTAACAAACAGATAGTATAGACTTCCAAACTTGTTTGCAAAATGGCTTATGGCAAAATGGCTGAAAAAAGCAAACATTTGACAACATAATCAAACCTTTATTCTCTTAACACTTCTCAGAGCATAAAATATCCAAACAAGGGTCCAAAAGAAAAAGAGGAAAATATATACCCAGTTGTGGATCGAAATATACCAACCAGTTAAAAGCTAGCACATGACCGGAATAGTTGTCCAATCAGTGCTGCGTGCCTATAGAAAAATCTGAATTGAATTCACTACTTGGAAAGCGTGGTATAAAGATTTTCCACCAAAAGTGCGAGGTTTGTTTTCAAACATAAATCTGATATCATAGTTGCTCCACAGCTTTCGTGGTATCGATGTTTTGACACTCAACGAAAGGCATATCGAAAGTGATGACGAACATAGTGCAATCTACGATATTCCTGGCTACTCATTTGTTAGCAGACCACGAAATGCTGGAAAGGGTGGGGGTGTTGGCGTTTATATTTCAAATGATATTACTTGGGACCGTCAAGAGGATATTGAGGTTGATGAAATTGAATCTATTTGGATCGAAATTTGGCCTAGCCGTCAACATTGCAAGGGTATTCTAATTGCAACTATTTATCGGCCCCCGGACAGTTTTAAATACCTGCATAAAGATTTCAATACAGCATTTAATTCAATGATGACAAAGGCATCCGGGGAGTCCAAGGAGATGATAGTCTTTGGGGGCATGAATGCAAATTTTCTTTCCCCAGGAGACAATAAAGATTTAAAATCAGTCTTCGAACTATTTGGTTTTAAGCAACTAATCGAAAAGCCCACGATATTAACTGAGACAACAAGAACATTAATTGATGCTGTTCTAACAAATACACCTGAAAATATCGCTGACACTGATGTCATAGCAACTAGCCGTTCCAATACGAGATTGATTACTTGCCGTGACTACAAGAGTTATAATGCGGAAAATATGAAATGTGATTTGAAGAAAGTTGACTGGACACCATTCTATAGCCAGAGAAATGTAAACGATGCATTGGCAAAAATGAAAAACATTCTTTCTGATTTATTCGGGCGTCATGCCCCTAAGATATCAAAGAAGGTTAGAGGTAAACCAGCACTATGGCTGAACAATGAGGTAAAGGCTCTCATGAATGATAGAGATAAACTGCTCAGGAGATCGAGGCGTACAAGGAAAGAATCAGACATCTCGGCATACAAGCAGAAGAGAAACGAAGTCAATATTGCAGTCAAGAGGACAAAGTCTGACTACCACAAGAAATTATTGAAGAAGAGTTCCAAGGATCCAAATTCTGGAATACATTGAAATCAATATACTCCACCAAAACAAATGACAAGCAGTCCATAAAAACTTTGGATGTTGATAGTGTCAAAATAAGAGATTCACACCTCATAGCCGACGCTTTTTGTTCCTTTTTACCAGTATTGCAACATCTTTAAAGGAGAAGGCCTTTCCACTATGTAACTTCAGTTGGAAAAGGCCAACAAAAATTTCAACGAAAACGGATCAAAAGTTCATATTCAAGATAGTATCGAGTAAGGTGGTTGAGCAACAGCTGAAGTCAGTTAAAAGAAATAAAGCAACGGGATTAGACGATCTACCACCAGGTCTAATCAAAGATGCAGCTGAATTAATATCTGTACCATCAGCACACTTAATAAATTTTTCACTGAAAACCAGCACCTTTCCAACTGACTGGAAGGTGGCAAAAGTTATTCCAATCCATAAGTCTGGTGCACAATCTAACCCAGATAATTATAGGCCAATATCGGTGCTTCCTGTGATTTCTAAGATCATTGAAAAAATCATACATCGTCAACTCATAACTTTTCTTGACAAGAACCACTTGCTTACAAAGTTCAAGTTTGGCTTCAGGCCAAAACTATCCACAGAATATGCAGCAACTATCTTACTGGATAGCATCAGGAACAACGTTGACAAAGGCAAATGGGTTGGAGCGATATTTGTGGACCTAAGCAAAGCTTTTGACACTGTAAGTCACGCAATGTTGCTAGATAAACTCCCTCTTTATGGAGTTGATGGCAAGGAACTAGAGTGGTTCAAGGATTACCTATTCTTTTGAAAAGCAAAAGTAGCTTATAACAGTTGTTTCTCAAAGGAGAACGCATTGCTGACAGGAGTACCACAGGGATCAATATTGGGTTCTTTATTGCTCTTAATATTGTTCAATGATGCTGTGGACGTAATTGAGCAATCGAGCATCTTGAAGTACGCTGACGACACAGTCTTGTATGTTGCAGACAAGGACATCCAGTCTATCAAAGCCAAATTGTCAAAGGACATGGATTGTTTAGCAGACTGGCTAAAGTGAAACGAACTGGTTCTAAATTTAAAGAAAGGTAAAACAGAATCCCTTCTCTTCGGCATCTCATAAAGAATTGCCAGGCAAACTGAGTCACTCGAAATCAAATTGTCGGATCAAACTGTCATCAACAACACAACGGAATACAAGTATCTCGGTGTCCGTGTAGATAGCTCGCTAAACCTGAATTCGAATTTCCATACTTGTTACAAAAAGCGTCTGGTAGGCTACGACTTTAAGCAAAATAAGATTGTATCTTGATCAGGCCACAGCTGCTACAATTTATCATTCAATGATACTGCCAACATTCACATACTGTGGCATAATACAGTTGAAATATACTAATACCCAGTTGAGCAGGCTCTCATCACTTCACTCACGTGCGCTGGAAATAGTCTTTGGAGATGTAAGACCAAAGCAGAAGCTTACGTCGATCGTCAAAGACTAGGGCTTGCAAGCTGGTACGAAAATGTCTAGACAAGGAAACTTGTGAACAGTTGCACAATCATTTCACTCTGCAAGAGCATAAAAAGCAAACTGAGTACGCACGAAAATCGTTTATATTTATGGGTGCGAAGGTGTACAATGATCTACCGCTGGAACTTCGTAAGATGGAGAACAATAAGGAATTTGAGAAACTACTTAAGGAACATTTTCGATGACATTTATCTTAATATTTTACCTGAAACTTTGAATGTAACTAGGTAGCCCTGCTCTTTTTATATCTGTATCCTTACTTTTATCGGATTCATTTTTAACTGAAAATATTTAGGGAATTAGCATCAAGGCATAGGACACAGGGCACACATTAATAACAGCAGTTTTAACGCGTTGAAGTGTATATCCTGTATAAATATTCATTTATTATTATTATATAGTCCAAGGGAATGAACTCATTCAGTCTACACAAGAATTTTTATTATGGTGTTTTGTTCTTTGAGAAGTATCAGGCCAAAGAGCTCTTAGTATGTCGTAAAATGTTTGCTTTTTTCAAAGCCTTTTTCAAATTTCTAACTGTCATAAAAAATGATTTAAATTTGTTTGCATTGCATGAAGTTATGTAAATATTTCATAGAAGAGTATATTATGAAAAGATGGGAAAGTCTATAGACCATATGATAACCATGGAATATTCAATAATTCAAGTGACCCTTGAATGTAATACTACAGACAAAGGCACTCTAACACCTCAATCACCTCATATTGAATTGTGTTAGTTTTTCAATTAACTTTACACTTTTACAACCACAAATTCAGTCAACATTGTTGAAATGAAGTTGGGAAAATTGGGTTAAAACAGGAGTTTCTCAATATAATCAGGGGAGATACCTGGTCTGATCAAATGAAAATAAACACACATCAATTACACAAAGCATAGACAACTTCAATACCTTCCTGAAAATCATCTTCAAGCTCCTTGATCTTCTTTCTAATTTTTTCCGGGAGGATGTCAAGCTTTTCCTTTAAAATGTTCAGATCCTCATCTGTAATGAATACTAGATGATTAATCATACTCTAGACAATGAAACACAACAGCTTGAATTAAAAATATTAAACCCCACTGACTTTGATATGTGCATTTGAAAATGGAAGTAAATGGCTTTGAAAAAAGCAAACATTTAGTAAACTAAAGCTTTACTTTACTAAATGTTTGCTTTAGTTTACTAAATGTTTGCTCTAGTTTACTAAATGTTTGCTTTTTTCAAAGCCATTTTCATGTTTTGTACCACCAAACGATTGTTTAAAATAAAAGTACCACAAGTCGCTATTCAGTATGGAAAGTTGATAGTATGGAAATTTGTTTTATGTGCACATGATATGCAAACTTAAAACCCTTTCTTTGCACAAAGTAGCCTAGTTAACACACAAGCTGACATCACTAGGGTCAGCATGGGATAACAAATTCAATAGCATATATCAACCAACATTTTTTGGATCTGTGTTTCTATTTTTTGGGTATAAACAGTTAATGAATGACATAATGATACCCATAGGCCAAATGCTCTTATGGTAGTCAGTGCGCTACAGATTATAGTTTTGGGTATAGATTGATATTGCCAAATGGCCCACCAATATGTTGAATGCTTGAGTACCCTCCCCCTTTAAGTAGACATATCTTACCTTTCAGTGAATCTTGCCTTTGCAGCTTTTCATCAAATTCAAGTCCAATAGAATTACTAGGAATAAAAGATAGTCTGTGATTCATGCCTATTAAAAGGCAAGGTATATGTGCAGCCTATGGATTTGGAAACAGGTTTTCTGTAGATTGTGGCTTCAGCATAGTTGAGGTCCAGTTGACTTCAGCATAAGATGTTCTTGCCTCTCTTGGTGTAAATTGACAACAGTTTACAGCCTTTAGGATTTTGTTGCATTTCATTGAAAATATTAAATCGATAGACATTGACTAAGGTACTTTTGAGACCTAGACCAACACAATAGGTTGTTTTGTGAAGAGAGTAAGAACCATAAGAACTTGTCATACAATTACTGCTAGCAATGTTTCCCTTTTCTTATAAGTGAATATTTGGCTTTTTCAACCAAGGTACATTTTATCTGCAGTTGCATATTTGGGCTTTGTTTCATTGCAAATTGTTTTTGGCTGACCTTTTGCCGGCTTTAGCTTTTGAAAACCCTATAGTAGGATATGTGGGGGGGATAAAGGGTGTGTCAGGAACAACGCCCTTTTGTACCACACCCTTTCTCCCTGTTTGAAACTTTTTTTCCAGAGGAGCACCTGTTGTCTCCCACGAAATGTCATTTACATGTGACGATCTAGATAACGTACATACCCCCTCCCCTCTGAAGTTTTCTCATCGGGTTTGAAAGAATCTCAAGGACCAACTTTCTGAAAAAGTGGGGGGACTAGTCCATGGCTCCGCCACTGATAAGCACTGGTGCTGGGGCTGTGGGTGTGGACCCCTGGATCCCCCTAGAACTGTCACTGCAGAGAAAATTCTCAAGGGCCCACACCACCAGGGGGCCAGGGTGGCCATGCCCCCCTCCATTTTTTTGCAAAGCAAGTATTTTAAGGCTGCAATAAAAGGTCACCTCCCCCTGTTATCTTAGTCCTCTGTCATTTGTATACAAAGGCTCAAGTGATGGATGTAATCTAAAACTTTTACGTTGAACAGGCTATGTTTGATCAACTTAGAAGTGTTGATCTACATTTTCCCATTTTCCAACTTGGAACCACTCAAGCATGGCATGATCTACCACAACTCATTCCAAATGTGCAAAATGAGCTCTGTGGTTCAGGAGGTTTTTCGCATTCATATCTGATCACCTTAACTGCCACAATACCTTCATCGTGTATCAAAACAGTGACCTGAACAACACCACAAAGTCTGCGCGTGTTCACGTCCTACCTCCACTTGCAGCATGCTTTGCTTTCGCCATGGCGAATCCTACTAGGCGGTCCTAGGATGTCATGGATTTCAAGTCGCTAGTGGTCACTCTAAATTTTCTTATGCAAAAAGTTTGTTAGCCTTTCTAAAAGAAGCATTTAGTTGTACAGCATTATTGAGATCTTTCAAGAGATGCTTAGATGATAATGCTGCAGTAAATGAGATTCAAATACAAGATACATTTATCAAGTTATCGTCTTGAGTCCCATGGCACTGATGTATGGTTGTTGACGAAGCGCTTTTAGTGCAGAAGGCTCAAATTTCGCCACATCGGACGCAAAGGCAAAAGATTCGCTAGCTTTGAGCAATAACAAATTGCTTTTATCAATTATATGCAATCTTGTTAAATGTTTAGTTGACTTCAAACAACAATGCTTAGCTTTGAAAAATTGGAAACAGTGGATACCTGTTTGCGTCAATCGCATTTTGCTGTTCGACTGTAGATGATGCGGCCATGATAAAAAGAACGCGAAACCCGTACAATGCCGCAACCCAATTCAATTCAATGCTGAATACCCAATGTGATATCACATATCACGCTCACTATCAGTGATCACACTTCTCTGCCAGGAAGAATTAACTCAAAACATGTTCGCCTGGAAAAACTTCAGGTGGACCCAGACAAGAGATATATAAACTTGTTTCAGATACAAGATATCAAATGCAATTTCCTATCAAGTTTCCAATAAAACTGACAATAAGCTAGTTTTAAGTGTATCTAAAATGGATTTTGACTAGAGGAAAATCCTAGTCAATATATTTACGCTTTGTTTTATCAACATGTCCCATAGTTTCGTCTATTGTACCCTGGTGTAATGCTGTATTGAAATAGGAAAGGTCTTGCAAAGTTTTAGAATAACCTTTACAATATAGCTCGCAATGAAACATTTTTTAGATTTTGAAAGTACCCAAAATAGGATATAAATAAACCACGGTTTAATAAAAAACACTGACATTGAAATATCAACAGAAGAACTATCAGCTAAAAAAAAGAATTAAGCATTTTTGTACAGCTAGTTATTTTTTTGTAAAAGTGTTTTTAACAAAATTACTCTGGATTAGAAAAACTTTGAAACCGGGCTTATCAAAAAGAGCTTTAATAAAATTTACAATTGAGCCTATATTTTTTTCTTAGTAGGAATGGATTATTGATCAAACTTTTAAGTTTTCTTGATGATTCTTTTTAAGAACAAATATGCCCATTCTTTATTTCTCATATCCTCCATATTTCTCATAAATTTTCGTGGCAGCTCTTTCTTTTCCTCCAACAGCTGACTTCTCTCTTTTTGTAATGTTTCCGAGAAAGTTTTCGTTAACAAACAGATCTTGTTTGCCAAGTTTAGGCATAGCAAAAAACGAAAATCCGTCAATTTGTGCTGGCACCAAGTTATTCTGGATCAGGTTTCGTGATCTATTTCCTAAGCCAAGCTGTTACTTGTTGTAAAACTTGGACAATGACCGATTTCTTCGAACAAGTTCCAATATTTAATTTTTATGTGTCTTCTCTGGTAAAGAAATGGCAGCAAAGCTAAAGTTAAGAGTATATTAAAGAGATTACCAAGCACAGTTACCTAGAGAATGATATGACACATCTCTTTTCTTTTTTGTCGCAAAAAATTTATTTTGCTCTTCAGAAAAGTGGGGGGGGGGCAGAATTCTCGGCATTGGCGTTACGTAGATTTTTCTGACGTAAATAAGCATCGGGTTTACTTCCTAAATTCAGCCCTTAATTTATAATGCCTGTCGTTTCTTTAAGAGGAAATTCCAGAGAAGGCTCTTTCGCAGCTGGGTATATATTTCCCACCTAGAGGTTTCGATCCACGTTCTGACGTTTTGTACTCTGAAGAGTGTCAGAAGAAAAGCTTTAGTATGTTTTAAAATGTTAGGTTTTATCAAAGCCTTTTTTCAATTTTTGTAACAACAGATAATTCTTTATCGTTGTTATAAGGAAACAAAATTCTTTTGACAGGAAATTACAATCTGATATTACAATCATATATTTCAGCAACTAACTGAATCAATATATACTTTAAGATTCAAGATAATTTCTTAAAAGTTACATCAAAATAACGCGTAGTGCTATAATTGAGGACTTGCTAAATTTTTGTCCTAATCCTTGTGTTCTTGTATTTGTGAAATATTTGTGGTTTCGTCTTAATATTCATTTTTTTTTCAATAAGATGATTTGATAAAGAATCGTGTCACTTGGCTGTGACTGCCAAATTTGGGGTTTTTTCCTTATGCCCCATCAGCAAAGAGAATGTGATTCCAGCGATGGCTCAATCAATAAATTCAACGTTAGCTTTTGGTCCACGGAAAGAAAAGGCAATTTCCCTACCAGGCAATTTCCACATTGTACTAACCTTGACAAGTGCACGAAACATGATAGCCGAAGAGAGAGTTTTCTCAACTACGTAATTAAACGATCTGAGGAATTGTTTACAGAAAACGACAAAACAGAATGGTGTCTAAATTCCTTTTCTTTAAAACTGCCAATGTCAATTGCCTAATTAATAAATTGACTGTAACTAGCCTACTACATTAATAAAATGATAAATATTAAATAAGCTTCTTAAAGAATAACAAGAATAGAATAAAATTTTTTCGGTTAAATACAGAAATGTTTTATTGAAACGATGTGGCCGTAACAGGGACAAACACGGATAAAACTGCAGAAACAAACTGGTGTATATTCAGGATTACTAGCAAGACATCAAACAAAAAGGGCGACAGTAAATTTGGCTGACTGACAATTTTTTCACCTATTTTTTTCAACGTGTATGAAGAGCAAAAAATACTTATCTGACTTTGACTTGGGGCGGGGGTTATAATCGTGCTTGACATTCCATTTCTTTTTCAAAATTAACGTACAATAGGTAATTTCATCTCAAAATTTGGTTGGACAGCTCTTGGTCAAAAGCAGCATGGTTGCAAATCGATTAGCTTAGATTTCTAATATCATTTCTAATTATCGGCTTCCCTTAGCAGAACAATAGCAGTATTCAATTGTAAATACAAGAAAATATATGTAAAAAGCGTCGGAGCATGTTTCATAGTTCGTAAGCCTACTATCACCACATCAAAAGTAAGACACTGACGCTACTCAAAGACAACAGAGAGCCTTATGTACTCTAGAAAAAAACGTAGGGCAATAGAGTGTCCAAGGAAGTTCCTACAACGTATCCTTTCGGCGTTAATAGCTACACCCATTTAAATAATTTCAATTCTACACCCACCCCCAAAAACGATAAATAACATTTTATGAATATAATTAGTAATTCAAAAGTGTATAATAATTGACGTAGTCATATTGAAATTGGTCTTCCCTTTAGCTTGCACAAGCTATTTATGCAAGCAGGTGTCTTGCAGTTTTTTGCTTAGGGCTCATGATAGCCCTAGCTCTTCTAGAACATTCTTCAGTGACGGGACTTCTCCATCCTACGCAACATACTATAAAAATGAGGATTCTCGTAGGAAAAAGAATCTTCTTTCTCGGTACAAGGCAATAAAAACAATTAATTGCCTAATAGATAATAAAAAGAGCAATAGAACATAGTACAGGAAAAGGTGCATTAGAAGATGACCAACACGGCAGTCTATAACAAAGAATCTGAAAACCTAGAATGCTAAAATCATTGATAATTGTATTTCTAAATAGAAAAAGTTCCAGGAAGGTACAGGGTCATATCCCATTGAGGACAAGAAAAAATTTAGAAATGAAAGGAAGAAAGTGAAAATAAATGTGATAGCTAATGAGTGGTATACTAATTTGCCCTTCAGACTTATACCCACTATGCTAAAAAACACTCAGCTTGAAAACCTGCAAAACCAAGAATGGTGTTATGCAAAGGAAAGCTTTGGTGAATGAAGAGCTTACTTCACTTGCAAATCAATTAAGCACATCAATTAATTAATAAATTAATCCAGAAAGGAAAGGGAATTTCTTATAGATTAATTCAATGAGAATTTACCTCTTGAACAACATCCTGTTGAGACACTGCCTTCAGCACTGCATTTTTGCTAGTTTCCTGGATTTCACCACCAATGATCAGCTCGTCCAATACAAAGTAGGCCTAAAATCAAAATATCAAATATTTGATTCAAATTGAAAAATTCTTTGAGAGAACAGGTAATAGTAGAAGAAACAAATAATTTCCCCCTAAAAATCAACCTTGGACTGTAATAGTTTTCTGGCAATAAACTTTACAAATCAAAACAAATCTGTTCTTAAAATATGCCATATTACATCCCACTGCATACTAAATTAGGCCACATTAAATTAAGCAGCTTTTTATAAATTTAATTACCTAATACCATTAATTAGGTCTCCCAGGTCAAAGGATCGAAACAAAAATACATAAAAACCAAGAAAATTGAGCAATTGTTAAGAACAAATAAAAAACTTTAAACTTCAAAAAAGTCAAGATGGTAATAGCAAGAAAATTTTTAAAAAGTTAGAAGTGACAACAGAACTTAAGATCCAGTTACTATCGTGGTACTTAATAAAATCCAGTTACTACCATGCACAGTGAGTTCATAACATCATGCGTTCAAACAAAATCTGGCTGAATTAAACCTGAAGTCTAATTGAGCATAATAGAGAGATTTGTAAGATTTTTTTTAACTAACAATAACAATTTATAACCAAGTATGAAATCAGATGATGCAATGTTCTATGGGGATAAAACATCTGTGGTGTTGGTTAAAATTTTAAGTAGTTATGTTTCTTTCATTTAGGAATAATTCCATTAATTACCTTTTCAAAGTTGAAAATTATATCCAACTCACAGACCTGTGAAAGAATAAAAGTTTAGCAACGTAAACTTTGTACAAAAAACACTAATGCTCTATTTTCTATATGAAAACTTTTTTTCATGTATAATACTTGAATAACTCAGCAAATTTTTCCTAAATTCTACAAAATAAAGAATCTGCATAAACATGTTCAAAACATATGCCTGAGGAATGTTCTTATTTGAGCAAGGTGCATTTAATTTATCTTAAAAAAATTTGTGTTTATCATGCACAAATCTTTCTAGCATTAATTGGCAACATCATTAGGAAGAATATAATCAGGCCTAAAATTTGGCAGAAATGCTGGTTTTGTTACTTTGCATTTTCTGCAAACACAAAATTACTGTAAAGGTAGAAGGTTTCCATGGAAAAAAAATTGCAATACATTTTTTGTACTTTAATGTTTTTTTGCTTTATATGTCTCTTTTCTGGACACTTTAATTCAATAGAACATGTGGAAATTTTCAAATTTTTTATCAACCTTAGAGTAAATTTAGCAGTTACAGGCCTAACGAGGAAAGTTGAAGAAAGTTGTGAAATTTGCATTGTGAAAACGTGCTTGAAACCAATGATCAGAGAATTATTTTTACATTTAGCTTATTTGTGACAACAAGCAAAATTTAAACAAGTGTCTGAACTGTTTTTTACATAGTATCAGTATTGACATTTGCTAATGTACATGCATCATGTCTTCAACCAGAAAGATGGCAGCAACATACACAAATAATGTTGTTGTTTCTATAACCTGTGAATCAGGGTTATAATGTTAAAAATGTCCAGGCCCAATAATAAAAAACAAACTGCTTAGAAAGCTTGCTTTGCGGAAAGACAAATGATGAAAGCTGGCAAAACTAGGTTGATACATACATTACCAAAGTATTTGTCCAAAATCTCCACATATCTATGAATGATTTCAAGAATAATAAGTTCATTGTCTCCTGCCTCTGCACCCACACAAAAGAACAAGCTTGCATACCTGAATAATAATAATAATAATAATGGAAACTTTTCATTCTGAATTCCAGTGAAAACTACAATTACAAATCTCATTATTACAAGGTAATTTGTAACTGGCTAGCCTGTTTTTACAAAATAAAACTATTACAATCGTAGTAATGAGAAAAGAAAAAAATGTTAAAAAGGGAGTAGCTCTGGATTAGTCCAAGTTTTGTTTCTACAGCAGAATATATAGTATGTGGTGCGAAAGGAGATGACATATGACAAGACTCATACAGAAATCAAAACCCTTTCTGACTGTTATTAACATGCAGAGGGGAAGCAAAAGGAAAGTTTTGGTGGGGTGTAGATCCTCAAATTTCTGAAAAAAAGGCTTTCCTAAGGTGTGACTGTTGGCAATAATACAAGGTGATCAAACTACTTCCAGTGAAAAATTGAGCCATTTGAGAATATACAGACATTATTAAGGAAAGAAAGGATGACCAGTATGGGCTATTCTTTTTTATAATTTTTCATATATCTTTGAAGTTTAAAACCTTGGAGCGATTGATAATTAAGTTTCTTAAACTTAAAAAGTTTTAGACAGTCTATCTAGAAAACCCACCAGCAAAGATGTGCTGTACCTTGCTGAAAAACCAGCTTTGTACAAGAACCAGGTTGATAGGATTGAATATTTGTTGTATCAAAATGTTCCATGATAAACATCAATAAAAAGAGAATTGTTCTATAACCAACATTGATAAAAGGTTTGTATCAAATAAAGCATTTTTCAACATGAGCCAGTCACAAATCCAGAATTCATTTTTATGCAACAGACTAAATTTCTATAAAATTGAGGAATATCTGCAAAGGAAAATGTCTTTCAAATCTACTTAAGTGACAATACACAATAGGATTGTGAAATATGCCACCAGGGTAGATCTAAAGTAACACAGTAAGACTAATATTGTTAACGACAGAACAAGTCATATCAAACAGTAATAAAAACATTATCACAATCTAAACTGATGTGTCCCTAGATATGGAGATAGATAGATATGGACAAAGCATGAAAAAAACTGGCAAGAGTCCCAGACATTAATATAACCCTTTACTTGGCATTGTAGCTGATTCTTCATCTAACAAAATAGTTTGTTATCCTAAAGGGCTCAAATCAAGTCACATCTTCCAATTCAATTAGCTAAACAAAATGGATTAGCTTATATTTAATCTCCCATTTTATAGATATACAAAAGAAATTTAAGGAAATTGGTAAATACCTTTTGTATATTATTTTCATATCTTTATATTCAAGGAAGCTACACATTTTTGGCTTCCTTGATAAAATCATAGTTGTCAAGTCCCTTGTGATTTTCTTCTTATCCTTCAATGGCATGGCAGTGTACCATTTTTGTAGTCTTAGCTTCCCTTGTCTACTAAACAGCAGAATGAAGTTGATCTGTGAGAGAGACAACAGTTTTAGAAAAAGATCAGCTGTAGAATACATTTAGAACAGAAAAAGAATGGCATACAGGCTGGAAAGGTTATAAGATATTTCAGGGCAACCTTTCTAAGGTGAAGTATGAGGCTTCTTTGGTTAGAATAATTTTAACAAGATAATACTAGACCAAACAGCAGAAACAGCCTAAAAGCATTAGGAAACCGCCATTTAAGGTGGCACTTCCATAAATCCTTATGAATTAATCCCATGGTGGATTATTAATTTGTGATGTTTTTGGAAGGGGGCTACTTTCAGTCGAGGGCTCAATCAAGGGTATGAGCTTTTAAAAATTATCTTAACGTCCTCAAATAAATAGCCTTTGAAAGCATATTCTCTCTTTTGCTTCCAGGTCGGGAGCTAATATGAGGCAAATAATTTGTATGAGATTTTCAGGATAATGTGCGTCTTTGGTATAAAAGACATTTGGAATTAAAAGGCAAGGGAGTTCACCACCTATCTAGCTTTATGACGAGCACTACTGGGCATGCTGAATGTCCAGGGGTGTTTTTTGAACAGGGGCATTTGCATCTTCAAAGGGATACTTTGGTCAAAATTGTAGAGGTTTTTGTGTTTATATTTCTTATAGTATTAGCATTAAACAACCTATAAGAGATTAAGATTTGCTGTGAAGTATTTGTAACAGCTATGAAAAATTTACATATTGTATAAAGTTTTATGGCAACAAATCAATCATACTCTGATGAAAATAACCAAAATTGGAGTTCTGTTTTTCCAAATTCAAAAATTTCTAAAATTTGTTTGCTGTTCAGTTTTTAAGAATTTCTATTACTTGCATCATATAGTGTATTCTGACAACAAGGAAATTTTCATTGATGCATTTTTAGGAGCACTGGAATTGGTCATCTAATTTACATCAGGCCTCTCCCGGAATAAAAAGCACAAGGGCTAAAAAAGACCATTGCTGGTTTGGCTGCGTGGACTATTTAGCCCTTCCTGAATTTGTTGTTTATATATTTATATTTGGGTATATACGAGCCAAAAAATAAATTATTTTGTCTACTTGTAAGCATGATTTATGTCAAGAAGACAGTTGTTTTGTGTGCATTACTACTCCTTGGAGATGTTTTTTGCATTACTGCAAAATGGCGATGTTTTTTGTAGAAACACAGATATAATGAGAAGCATCCAACAAAACTCATCATTATTCAAAAAGAAAAAGAGCAGGACAATGTTATTTTAAAGGGTAATGGAAGATTAAGTTGATTCGCATTAAAAATCCAAGAAAGAATAACTGAAATATACTTTTTTCTTTAAAAAATTAAGGTCGAAGTTGAGTACTCCAGATTTTAACGGTATAGGAAATGCCAACACATATTTTTTAAAATTTTTTATAATTTGAAAACAGCACGGATAAGCGAAACCATAACATGATAAAGTTTGGCAGATAACATAAACATAGACCTCAAAGCATAAAGGGAAGCAGAAATGCAGATCGAAAGTAACAAGAGAGTTCAGAAAGTGTGAATGATTGGTTCTATGTTTTTGACAAATTGCAGCTGCTTATCTCTCACCTAATTGAAGAGTGAAAGAGCAAAAACGATTAATTTCTGAAAGGTTTTCAATTTTTGGGTGTTTCTTGTTTCTTAAAGGGTGTTTCTTATAAAAAATTGTGTATTTGTAACACAAAAAATTTTGTACTTGACAGTGTCATGTAACAATTCTCATTCCTGATATTTTACTCTATCTGTTGTTCCTTTCCTGCACAATCATTTCCTATTCCATTGCTAGTTTTAACAGATAAGACTATAGTTTGTTAACATTTGACATCAAAAGAAACGGAAGTTACCTTTCTATAATGATATTCATAAAAACTATGTATCTCTTTGACATAATATAATTTATGAATACCCTGAATTATAAGGGTAGGTAGTTGAAACATTGAAGAGTGAGAAAAAGTGGACTCAATTAAAACCAAGGGTCCTTCATAAACAACTGTGTGGGCAGAAAAAAGCACTTGCAAAAACTTTTTGGCATGGGACTTGCGGGGGCTATAGCGTGTGTCTCCAGGAAAGGCCTGTTACATACAAGTGAAACAGACAGTATCACTTTATTGTTATCTTGGCAAGAATAATTTGCCGCTAACTATTCTTGTTTTCAGTCAGCTACCTGTCAAAGGAGTCAGCTTGAAGAACAGATTACAGATCACCAAGGTGGTTGCATGGGTGACGTAACTCAATGGATGCAAAATCTGGACTATTAGTCAGAAAAGTATGGATAAGCTCAAAACCTTTGAGATGAAATGTTACAGAAGAATGATGAATATCTCATGGAAGGAAAAGAAGACTAATGATTTTATATAGAGAAAGGTGACAGAGATAGTGGGCAAGAAACCAGAATCAGTAGTAGAAGAAATCATCAAGCGAAGAAAACTAAAGTACTATGGACACCAGATGAGAAAGGGAACAATGGCAAAGGTTCTGATTGAAGGGATAGTTGAAGGCACAAGAGGAAGAGGAAGGCCGAGTAGGTGATGCAAAGAAGACCTGAGGGAATGGAGTAGAGGATGGGAGATGGAGAGAATAAGAAGAGCAGAGGAAACAAGGTAAAGACTTTCCTTGTTTGTCTTTTGATTGCTTTAAGTCATATGCACATAAACATTGAAATGTCACTATCCAACCCATCATCTTTATCTAGTTTCCAAATAACTACAGTTTGGGCCCTGAAGCAGCATCTGAATCAAAACTCTAAAAGCAAGAGACATTTGCATTTTGGCTGCAGACATTATGACTACCATTTGAAATGAGTTTCTAATTGAAGAGATTTCAAAATTGTTGTAGAAAAAAGCTTTTGCAAGGATTTTCAATTCAACAAACATGTTAGTAAGGAGTTTGAAAGCATTTCATAATTATAATCAATATGGTCTCAGATCTATACATCACCGTGGATCAAAATGCTGGAATGAAATTCCTTTAGATATAAAACGGTCACCGTCTGTTCATATCTTTCGTCAGAGACTCAAAGCCTTTCTTTTTGAAAATAATTATTGTAGCAGATTATAGATAGTAATCATCACTATTTTCCTCAAAACGTTTTCTAGTTATATTCATCAATTAAAATTTTCCTATAAAGGGGGTGGCCTCTCCTCGATTAGCTTTGCTACTGAGAGACCTCCTCCTCAAAAATTCCTCTTCATGCAAATTTTCTAAATTTTCTGTAGTTTTGTTTAGTCTTTAAACTTGTATTGTAACTTGTAGCCTGTCGTTTATTTTAATGTTTTGACAAAATTTGTATGTAGTGGAATTTAAAATTATATATGAACTGAACTGAATCATAATTATCGAGAGGTAGCTTTTTAGTTAAAACAGACAATAGCATCTGTTTTAAATTAAAGAACTTAAATCTGATACCTATTGTGCTAGTACAATTACCAGCGACGATTTTGAAGTTTAAAAAATCGATTAAAGATGACACTAAGGCATGTAGAGACATTCCCTTCACAAATGCTACTTCAGAGTACTCACGCTTCCTAAGAAATTTCTTCATCTAATTTCATACAATTTTAGGGCATCAGGCCTGTTGAGCTAGATTGACCACTTAAGTGGAAAGGACTTGAAAACAGATGACCTGTTCTCGATGTTTGTTCAGTGTAGTTCAGCTGCATCTCCATTTTATAACTAAGGTGTATCTAATCGAAATATACAATCAGGCTTTGGAGTGAACGACTTTTGATTGAACGAAGCTGATGTGGACGAATTGGTCAACCGCATGCATGGCAAGCTATCAGTTGCAAACAAAATTTGGCATATTCATTCAATACCGTTCATTTCAGGTCGTATCACATTTTTCTATGGATGAGCATTGAAAACTGACACCTTTTGTTAAATATGACTCAGTATATAAACTGGAAATTTGATCATCGGAAGCTCAGTCGATCGAACTCACACAAAAATAGACAGCTCAACATAGATCATCTTCACACAGCTTGACTCTTCACTGTATGAAGATAATTCTTAGCACCAGACAAGTGGCGATATTCATCGTCTAACGTAACTTACCATCTTCTGTCAAACAAGAATCGAAACGATGTTATATATCTAAAGAAAATCTTCTTCCTTTGCGATTTTCCAACATTCAGAAAACGAAGACCTTCGCGCAGCGTTTTACTCCCAACTCATGTTCAATGGCTTGGGAATGAGGCTCTTTAGTCTTTTATACCCCAATACAATAACAAAGAATGGACAAAGATGTCTAAATCGCACAATTTTCCACATCATTATTCGTTAACTTTCTGCAATTTTCAAGCGGAAAATATGGAAGCAAACTGTCTTGTATTTTTTTATCTCTATGCTTGTACATAAATTCTAGCCTAATTATATTTAATACAATAAGGACTATACTCACATTTGGTGATATTTACTTATAGGTTTTTGTTTCATTAATTATTTATTAATTTTACTGTCAGTGAAAGACCTATATTATACTTAGGATCTGTGCAATAAATACATTACGTTGTACTGCTTTTGTATGCGATTCACTTGAATTGATGAGAATAAGCTGGCAATTTTTAACTGTGGTTTACCCCATAAATCCAAGACCACATCATAGTTGTTTTAACATATAGTTCCACATCTTTCTTTGAACCTACAAAACTTCATAATTTTTCTTTCTTTCATTACTATATCTGATGAAAATTATCACATGATGTGAACACAAATTGTTTATCTTCAGGTTCCACTAATTATCATATCTCAGAACAGGTTACATAGCTACTGCACATTAATTGACCTAGAAATGAAAGCTTGATAACATTCTTCAAAAACCATAAAGCTGCAACAAGGAGAGAAAAGGAAAGAATAAATACACATTTAGCCCAAAAAATCAAATTTTTTTTATTCTCATTTAATCTTCTTCCTCTTCCTCTGCTGCAATTTTCTTCAGGAATGATGCCTTCTTCTGGGCCACACGGTTTCTCTTTTGGGCAAGTGTCATCTTCTTGCGGTTCCATCTGTAAAAAAGGGTACAGTTACAGCTATGTTAGTTTAATTTCTTAGGACTGAAATTAAGAAAAGCATTCAGCTTTTTTTCAAAGCTACATTATTTATTCAGATTTGATATATTTTTTCAAAGCTACATTATTTATTCAGATTTGATGTGGAATGCTCAAAAAGGCCAGTTTGTATGGTGTGACTGTTCTTGACAAGTTTCTGCAAACCTCTTTTATTATTGACATAATTGAACAACTGTAAATTCTATTGTCTCATTAAACCAGTGCCAAGGCCTTTTCATGAATAAATTTTCGAGGATTACGAGGATGATCGCCCGTCCAACACTGTTTGTCAAATGAAGTCCTTCAGGACCTGAGAGGGGAATTAGCCTAAGGGTATTATCTAGCCACGACTACCTAACCTTTGATTTTCTAAATGCACCATTTCTGAATTATCAAGGTTTACGGAAAAATTAACTTGATGAAAATTTGTTGCGGATTAAGGAAATCTGGCAATTTCTGGACGAAACGATGGAATTCTACACATTTGCTGGACGCGCATTGTCTTGATAATGATGCACGGAATACAGAATTTTTATAAGGTTTTAAGGATTTGCTGAATTCTTCACTTGCTGTCTTGCAAAAACATCTTTGAATAAAGGCCCTATCAACAATTTTAGGCACAGAATTTTGGCTAAAAATGACAGATTTCTACCCCACTTTGAAAGCACTCGGTTCTAAAAAACATTCAGCTTTCGAGGGAAATCCTTGACAATGCTGCGAAAAGACATGAATTGAATAGTGACAACAACAGTGACATTTGTTGTTAGCTTTTCCATAAGTGCTATATCTTTCTTTTGCAGGCGATACATGTTTTTGGGAGGGCTGTCAAAAGCCTGCATCAATAATTTGGCGAGGGCATTGGCTATCACTCACATGAAATGAAAAGGCCTGCCAGTGCCCTGCAAAATGTTACAACAAACTGGTGTGAAGTGGTGTTCATTAAAAAGTTATATTATAAGCTACACTGATCAGCTACACTCTACAGAAAGGCTCATATTATTTATAACATTCATATGAAACAACACCTTTTCGAGTTATCTTCAGGAAACATCACAACTGTAACTATAAAGAATCTAAAAAAAGAGCAATAGACACACATACCTCTTCTGTTTTTCTCCTTCCTTCTTCTCTTTTGGTTCAGCTTGCTTTGGACTTGGATCAGCTCTAATAGCAGCATGTGCTTTTTTGTACATCTCTTCAACCTATGACATGAAACATCAAAATAACTTTGCATTCTGATACTGATGCAATATGTGATTCTGAACAACATGAGTGTCTTCTCTCACAGAGAAAAATAAACACAGAGAAACTTGACTTTTTTACCTTTTGATCTAGATGCCTAAATACTTTCATAAGAATAAGGTATGAGACACAAAATAATTGCATTACACTTTAATGCAGAATATAGACTTTTCTTCTATTGTCTACCAAATATTTTCCAATTGTAGTGTATACTTTATAAAATTATGCTTGAAATTTTTCAAGAAACATTGACTAAGGATTTAGGACACTCTTTATTTCAAAGCTGGGCAAGATGAAGAAATCTTACATTGTCATGAGTGATGCCATTTTCAATGAACTTGGAGAACTGTCTCTTGAAAGCATCATCATCATCCTCTTGTAATGATTTCATATATGATGCAACATGCTGCCCAAAGATGTGGTTTCTATGCACTTCAGGGTCAAATTCCTTGGCTTCATTATCATAGCCAGGGAATCTCTTGTTGCTAACAAATTGAAACAAGATATTTCAAGATGTCATCTCTGATTAGCAGAAATGTAATCTTACTATTAAGATCAGTAAAAGAAATGAAAAATGAAACTTGTTAAAACTATAAATTAAACTTGTGGGCTAAATTTCATAAAAAAGCTAGTTTGCATATAAACAACGCCTGATGGTTTCATTAATTGTCAAACTAAGATTGCAACTTAGGATGGTCCTCTTTTATACACCAAATTAGGCAGAGCCCTCCAATACAGCACTAAGCATTATGACAGATGGTAAAACAAAAGTCCTAAAATTTACACCACTGCTCTAGCTATCAAATTTTAAAAAGTAAAATGAAGTTGAGGAATAATTTAAAATGTCAAAGCACCATATCTATACCAAACATTTTCATAAACATTTCAAAATGCTGCATGCAAGAAAAAACAGATCATTTGAAAAGCAATATCAGTTCTCTAATACCTGTGTGGGATGTCAAGCCCACCATCAACAGCACCCTTCAATACACCAAAAACCTTGGCTCCAGTTGTGGTTCTTGCAAGACCAACATCTAGATAGCACCGGAATGGTCCTGGCTGTCCTTCTTCTCCTTCAACACAGTATTCATTACCATCTGGCGCTTCACAACCCTTGTAAATGTCAGCCAAGTTCAGCTTGGCCAAAAGCTATGAATGAAGAATAAATCTGCATTTGAAATTTAACTTTGTCTACAGTTGAATTTCAATAACCTATAATGATAATTTAGACCAAAAATGTTGCTGTAACAGTTTCTTGAAAAGCCTTTGAAGACAAGTAAACAACAAGTCATGTATAGTCAATCCGGGTAAAAAATACGCACGTGTCTCTGCGGGGAAAAAGTTACGCACCACCTTTTCAGCCACGCCCAATCATTTTTACTGTTTTGCTTGCGGTTCCTGTATAGCCTAGAGAAGGCCTGTCAATTTGACCTGCTTTTCCCTTTTGTAAGGATTCTTGATTTAGAATAAAGCGGAATTGAATGTTTACCTTGTAAATTGGCCCAATATAATGTTTTGTCGGAAATCATCGAACTTTCTTATTGTCGCGTCAGTAACTGTCAAGCCCACAAAGTCAAGTGTTCTCAGTTGTTCTAAGGGATTAGCCTTTTGACCTATGATAATTACATTTTCTTGCTATCTTTTGTTTTGTCTACATGGCATGCGTATTTTTTGGACACAAAATTTTTGAGCACATGGGGAAAAATTACGCACTCCTGATTTTGATTGATTTTGGTATGGGACCTATAGAGATATGTAAATATGAGTCACAGAGGCACAAATTATCATGAGATATTACATAAGCTTATATTAATGGGAGTTTACAATGTATTTTTGGCACTTAAGTCATAGCCTCGCTTTCATATGCCAAAGTTTTTAATAGCAGACATCCTCATGCTTTTCAACTTTAAAATCACTTAGAAGCTGTTCAAAACTATTGCTTAACATCGTTACATGGAAAATCAAGTATTATATGAATGTTCTTCATAAACAAGCCTCTAGGATTCATTCTTTTATGTGTGCGTATTTTTTCCCCACCTATCCGCATTTTTTACCCCATTTGATGGGGGAAAAATTTCGCATTAATTTTCTTTAATTATAAGAAGGTTAATTGGATTAGCAAGACAACAAAGGTTTGGTTAACAAGGTATTACCATTCAAGTTCGAAAAATAAAAGAATATTGACAAGATATCTTTTGAATATTTTTCTGGAGCAAACTTTGTGCAAAATGCGCATTTTTTCCCCCAACTGACTATATAAACATAATATTTAAACTTTGAATTTTCAACATTTATATATACCAATTCTATATAGTATATAACTCTAATTGATAATAAAGATATCACACATTATAAACAAATTCAGACTTCACAAAAAACTTTACAAAATATTGTGTAGGGTTTGGCCTGGCGAACACCCTCACCCCCAACGGCATGAACAGAACTACCAACTGTTAACTTTACAAAACAACTTATCACCTATCAGGCCGCCCTCACAACCCACACTATATTTTCTCTACCCATTGTAATCATCAACACTACTATTACTATCATCAACATTCCATTATTCTCAGTTCCATCAAAAAAAAATTTTTTTTTTTTCATATTCACAGTCATCATTATCATCTTATTGCATCAATCTCCATAGCACCACCCACATCCCCTTACATCACCCACCACCCTTCCCTCCCCCACTTCCAATATCCCATTTTTCTCCACTGCCCTGCATTCACACCATTCAACATCCACCAATCCGGCACCACCATCTCACATTTCAAATCCATTCACTTGTTCGTTTCATTTACTCTGATGAAGCCCTGTATGCCAGGGCGAAATATTAGTATACTCTTTAAATTTAATTTATATATTTTGAAAATTTTATTTCGTCACATTGGATTCTCGTCGTCATATTGCTTTGTTCTTGTATATCCTTCATTTTAAAAACTCATTGCAAGATTAACAGAATCCGGCGGACAGCCTATCCTGCGGTTCTTCCTTCTCACACACAGTTAAGGCAATACCTCATTGTGGTAAGGTAAATATATCATCAACTCTCGCAGTTTTCATTCTAACAAATTACATAACATTATTTAACTATCCTTACCCTTCTTGCAAGCAACAGGCCTGTACAATATGCAGCTGCATAATTGGTCAACCCGACCTTGACACCATATCTTGGGAGCTCATGGGCATAAGCAGCACAAATAATCACGTCTCCTTCAAGTTTGGCATACGCTATCTGGCAAATAACATCTTTGTTGGTGAATCGAACAATCATTCTATACTTTGGCGTGTTGTACTTGTTCTTATCTTGAATAACAAGTCTTCTTCTTGCATAGTAATCAGTTCTGCCCTCTGGAACAAAAATTTTATTACAGGCGAGCTAAAAGGCCATTTAATAACTTTACAAATTATAAGCAGAATATCCCCTTAATTCGAAAGTGATGATGGAAAACTAATCAAAAAGTTTCCCACTTGTGAAAGCATAAACTTAACATTTTCTGTTTCTGACAATAGCATTCATAAAAAGAAAGTACGGCAAACATCTTTCTATCAATGACTATAATAATAGTACAAAACCTTTTAAATAGGTAGGTTTATACATAGGGCACTGAGTATCCATTTAGGGAACATGTCACTATTTAAATCAGAAATGATCAAAATTTTGCGGTGATGTTTGATGTTTGACACTTATAGCAAACTAAGTTGAAATTACCTCTTCTTCTCTTGAATTTTACTTGAAAACGCTTGAAGTATGCTTTGTTCTTGATGACTTTCACAAAACCCTAAAAGCGACACAGGTAGTTAGAACAACGACAATCTCCAAAAATCTTGACAATCGATGGCTGATTCAAATTCTATTAATTAAAAAAACATAGATGGAAGTTTAAGGGTGTCATTTTATACATAATTTTTGAGTAAAAGGTGCTCAGTTACCATGATTGTATAATTTTTGCTCAGGTAGCTTCGGTTATGGGGTCCACCTTCCTACCAGATTGTGGAAAGGCCGAAATTCAGATTTTGCATGGAATTGAGGTTTCTAGCCGAGACGAGGGTGGTCAGCGTAATGGCGGCGTCAAGGGAGCAAAGGTAATTTCACGTCTTGTGATTTTTTAACAGACCTTTTAACTCTCCCGATTTCTAATTCACTATAAACATATACAGAGAATTGAAAGGTATAATATCTGCTACGTCCATGGGCAAGTGCCCATTCAAAATTATTTCCACTGTCTCTCACAATGCTTATATGGAAAAAAATTTTCCTCCACTCCTTGAAGCTAACTCCATTCATCAAAGAATCAAATTTGATCATTTTCTATTAATAACCACGAGGATATTGTGTTTCACCACTTTTTCAGGTTTCTGTTATCTCTATTTCAAAATTTGTTGAATTATACCGCGCAATAATTTTTATCATTCATTCCGCCAGCACATTATCCAGATTTTGTCATAGATTCCGCGCACTATATTTGTTTATCTAGCCATGTTCCCCGCAAATATTCCACCATTTAAACTTGTGACTTCTGATAACAAGAAAAAACAAAGAATACAAGGTTTCTTTGAAAGCCTTTGATTCAAATTCTGCGTACGATTTTGGGGGAAACGTCCGTTATCCGCAAATTTCAAAATTATTATTCTGGCGTTTCCTGCGCAAAATAATAATTTAGAGTCTGGGCCATAGTTACCCAGGAAAAAAATTAGAATTGTTCTTCAGCTACAGCCACTTTATTCTGAAAAGAAAAAAAACATTTTGAAAGGTGTAGATTGGCGTCACCCTCTTGGTGCACTTTTTCATAATAAGGCTAATAAAAAGACTTTTACCAACGTATAAAAAGAATTATAACATTTACAGCTTTCCAATTGTTTGCTTAAAACTCTTAACAATTTTTAACAATTTTGTTGTAACAAAGAAAAAATGAGGAAATTGAGGAAAAGCTAAAGTTTTGTGTAACCCAAAAGCAAAACAAAGAATTTAAGGATACTTACGAATTGGTTCAAGGTAAGCTCTTGAAAAACTTGTCCCAAAATATGTTCTTTTGTAAAAAAGAATAAGGAACAGCCCACAACTTAAGATTAGTTGTCAGCATACTCTCCTCTGCAGAGGCTATTAGGGTGAGAGATAGGGAGGGAAAAAATGATAGGACAAAAGGAGCTGCAGAAAGAAATAAGCAAGTTGAGGAGCTGCAAGGGAGAAAGAAGAAGTGATTAGCGGCAGATGCTATTTTCCCTTTCCTCTTCTCCTCCGCCCTTCCCTTCCTGTTCCATGGAGCTTCACCATTTCTCAATCCCCATGTATAACCAGCAAGTTATTTTTGCGAGGTTTTTCAAAAGTACTAGACCCAATCTAATCTTATTTATATTTTCCCACGCCACTTTAGTCATGTTCTTTACAGCTTATATAAACAAAGAGTAAAGTCAGTAGCAATTTTCAACCATATGATTGGAAGTGATCTCCTTTTAAAATCAGCAGTTTCTTTAGTGACCAAAAGATATAAGCTACTCTCATCACTGAAGGTTATTTTAATTTTAAGATGCTTTACAATAGAAATGTGACCACTGGCCCCAAAGCAAGATCAATTGCCAATGCAATTTCCCTACAATAATTGGATTTCTGCCTTCATCAGCTTCAATTTTCTGAGCTTTTTTTATGTTTGGTGTATTACTAATCTCCCATTTTATTATTATGGGGACTGGATGAACTTTCTTGTTTCAAGAAAATTTCCAGGTTAGGTAGACAGCATGATAAACTGAACAGACAGCTAAATTTTAATCTGCTTTTGTTTGACCCATTTTGCTATACTGCAAACACTGTTATTAGAAAAACTTAATAATTCTGATTGCATTGTAAGAAAAAGAGTCTTGCTTCAGACCAGGATATTTTGGTATTTTTGTTGCCACATAATTAATTATTTAAATGGTTTTTGAAGTATGTAGAGTAAAAACCCAAAACATTTAGGCAACCCTTTAAACAAAGGATTTGAAGTTTACTATAAGCATGCTTGCTATTTGTAGCCACAAAGGATTATGAATTGTATTGATTTGATGTAGATGTGTTTTATTTACTTGAAAATGGTGTTTTGTGGTTTAAATGTTAACATTTTCAGGTTGCTTTATGGTTTAGAGTATGCATGTTAAAATTAATGACTATGTTTTAGATTGATTTGTAAGTATGTTCAGAGACTCATTCTAGTTGATTGTCTATAGGAAGGCAGCAAGTAAGTTATGGTAAGATGGATCAAGAATCTGAGGTTGTACCAACTGTGTTCATGGGGCCACTAAAAGACATGGAGTGCACTGCACCAATTGATGTCATCAGTGAAAGTATGAAACTTCATTTGTAGCCTATTGAAATTTTCAGAAAATTTCAAGAAAAATGTTAGAGGTTTTAGAAATTGTTAACTGATTACTATTCCCAAGACTTGGTATGGTAATGGTGTGGTTGAGAGGACTTAGAACGGAGAAGTTATATAGCAGGATTACCACAGTCATAGCTTTTTTAAGTTTTTTTTCTAAAATTATTCTCTTTAATAACCCGCAAATGTATTATCGATGCCAAGATTGTTGGGACACCTGCACTAAAAAAAATCAAGTTGTTGGGACAACTGCTTGATATCAATACTACATGATTGTCAGTGAAAATCTAACAAGAAGTGAACACATATACACGTCTAATGAAAGGTGTCAAATATTAGAGGGAAAGAAGAGAGTTTAGCAATAGCACTGATTACTTGGAGAGGTAAATAGTTAAATCCTTGAGCCTGAATTTGTGTTGTTCCAACTGTTTTCGGCAAGCTATTTATGAAGGTTTGACATATATCCTTTTTTCATTTCTGCAGGAGAGGGTTTCACTTGTGATTCATGTGGAATACCTTTTTTCTCATACACAAGATATGCAAAGCACAGAAATCTTCACACTGAGAGAAAGCCTTTTAGGTGCACCTACTGTGGTGAATCCTTCAGCTATGTAATTGAACTGCACAATCACAAAGAGGAAGAACATATGTGTAAGAAGTCATTTAAGTGCCCAGACTGCCCTAAAACTTTTGCATCAAGAATGGCATTAAGTGAACACTCCTGGCGGCATACAGGTAGCTTAGCTTAACATAATCTTATATCTGTAAACTTTATAGCACATTTCTCTTGTATTAGCATAGCACGTTTTCCTATAAATAAATATAACTGCTGGTATAATCAAACATTTAATACAACAACAAACACTAATTCTTTTTTATGTCTTTTTTAGTTCAAAAGTGAAAATAAAAGATTCATCTCATCCTCCACCTGTAATTAATTGACCAATCAATTGATTAGGACCCTTCTTGAAAACCTAGAATCATGTGTTTAGATTTTAGTTTAGAATGTGCAGGATATTACTATAGACATGCTTTAACAAGGAGCCTTGTCAGTTAACATTCGATTTTGCAAAGTAAGCAGCACATCGCTTTATTGTTGAAATAACTGTTTTCAGTATATTTGCAACTAAATAAAACCAATTTTCTCCACTTTAGGAGACAAGCTCCACCAATGTAGCATTTGCTGTAAACGATTCTCCTCAAAAGGAAACCTCAAGATTCACGCAGAGAAACATTTGTGTATGTTTGCTCTTTATTTTTTTTTTATATCATTTTCATTTTGCACTATCAAACACAATTTTCTCGTTGTTTTTCCCATTGTTTTTGTTCATTCTTTTTTTATTCAAGTTGAATTCTCACTTCATACATTGAGCCTGCGTATTTATCAAGTAAGAAGAGAATGAAATAAGATATATGCGAGATTTCAATCAAACTTTATAGGGGCTCATAAGTTAGTACACTTAGAGTTATAAGATAAAACAAAAAAGTGTTTTTAATGTTTTCAGATATAATGACATGTCTTTATGATTTCTGATATTATGTAGAAGATCAATTTAAGCAAAGATTTTTCGAGTTAGTAATGTTTAAGAGGAAGGTGGGAGAATGTGAGATGCGTAGAGCTTCGTGCTTAATTTTGTTTCTCAGTTGCTTCATATATTTTTCGATAGATATGAAAAATTATGCCTGTGGATTATGTCCGCGTGAATTTGTGTCTTACTCCTCTTTGGAACGTCATATGTCGAAACATTCTGGATTCAAGCCTTACAAATGCAGTTTTTGCCCGTCAAGATTCTTGCAAGTTTTTCAATTAAGGAATCATGAACGAAAACATAGAGGCGATAAATCATTCAAGTGAGTTCTTGTTTTAAACGTTTTTGTTTTTGCTATCTATAAAGAAAAGTTTAAGTACCCAACGCCATTGTTATTCAATTGGCTGTTGTTGACTTGCAATTTATTTTGACCAACCAAGTTCAACAGGCAGGACATTTTTCTACTGGTTTCTTTTCAACTTTCATCATCTGTAACACGACTGTGATTAGGCTAGTAGTGTGACATGTGTAGTCTACCTCATGCTATTCTGAAATATAACGAATTTATTGCCGTTAACAATAAATGGTACGAAACAACTCAGGCCAAGGCTACCAGTTAATATGGGAGAAAGACCGTTGACTTTGTCGCTTTGTGTATAGAGAACATCTCTTGGAGAAGCGGGCCTAAAGCTTTGAACGAAAAATTTAGATAAATTAATTCACGCCGAGGCTTTTGCCCTAAAGTCTCCGTTAGAATTTCATTTTCGCTAAAAAGTGATCCTTTGCAAAATGCAGGTGAGATTTTCTATAAATAAATGAAATTAAGTTTCTAATTTTCATAATGATCATACAGTTGACTTTCCCCTCTCCTGTCATGGGAAGGGATGAGGAATGTGTAAGGACTATTTCGACCAACATCAGACGTTGATTCTCAAGCTGGTTTGAGTAAAATGTTGTACATTTAATAAACTTTCGAGCTGATATTGCTTATTCTATAACTGCAACTAACGTTTTTCCAATTACTAGATGTCTGAAATGTGACAAAGCCTTCTACTCGAATTCGGCTTGTCGGAATCACCAAAAGAAGCACCATAGTATGCAAGTGGAATGTCCAAAGAATCCTGAGCAATGCAGTTCGATAGGTCAGAAAATATATTTTGAAGACTGTTTGGCAACAAACAAAGCAAAATCTACACAGATAACTTGCCCTTTTTGCAAAAAGTTGTTTAATGCTAGTTGTAATCTGACAAAACATCTTCTTCGACACGATGAGCTTAGTTTAACTGTAACTGAGGCTAAATCTTTTGCAAAAGCTCTTAAGCAATATCTTGTGCCGAATCAAACTACTGCTGGACTTCCTTTTCAAGAAGAAAGAGTTCAGTCAGAGCATGTACCTTTGAGTGAAGTCGTGTTTCTTAAAGAGCCAGTTTCAAAACAGCGAAAATTCCCCATTAAGCAAAAGCAAACAGAAAGCAGTAACTTGAGAAATGAACTGAACAGATCGCCGCCATGTAAGTGCCAATTCTGTGGCCGGGCTTTCAATTTGCACAAAAACCTACGACGGCATATCATCAAAAGTCACCCTGAAAATGCGAAAATGATGGGTATTTCGAACGAATTAAACAGTCAGTTAGTGAGGGGACTGAGAGAATGTCTTATGAATGACGAATCCAACATGGCGAAAACGGATTTTGCTGCAAAGAGCCAACTATTGAAGCCAGGGTCGAGCCTGTGTAAGAATAAGAAATCCAAAAGACGTGCTGTATGTAACAAGGATGTCAGTGAAAAATGCAAAGTTTCTAATGGTGAAAATAAGGTTCTCAAATGTTGGTTATGCCCTCAGACCTTTCTATCAGCGGCAGCAGTTGTCATTCACATGACTAATGATCATGATAATCAACAATATCAAAGTGATATATCAGAAAGCAGTGCCACAAACCCTAATGAGATTCACTCGTTTAGTGCTGCTTCGCAGCAAAAGGCCAATGCACTTGGCTCCAACAGTTATTCCTGCTTGAAATGCAAAAAGACTTTCTCTTCGCAAGCTATTTTGAGTATGCATGAGATCGCACATAAAATCTTGGCAATTGATACGGACAGTTCTGTTTCTTGTCATGATAGGAAATCTCCCCATATAGATAGTGCAGCCTCAATGTCATCTGAAAGTACTTCTGGTTTTGGAAATACTGAAAGCAATTCGTCCTTAATTAAGCCAAAAAGGCTTTGGAGTTCAAATGCATCGGTCAGAGAAGCTTCACCATTGTCGGAGCAGCATTATATAAGCTTGAACCCACCTGGTGACAGTGTCCCATGTACTTCCAACATTTCGAACCATTTTTCGAATATACCTAAAGGGTTTAACAAAAAACCTTTTTATCGCCCTGATACTGAAAAAGGCTTGACCGTGAAACCCTGTGATCAAAGTCTATCTTCCATCATGGCGGCTGTTGAGGCTCTTTGTAAGGGTCCGGAGAGCTGTTCAAAACCAGAAGCAACGAACATACCTGCCTTGCAAGTAAGTAACGTGCGGTCATTGCGTCGTAACTATAATGGGAATACATTCACTCCAATCAACTCAAAGTCATCGAAATATCCTAACACCGATAACAACGCAGTAGATGACGTCATCAAATTGAGCTCTCCTGATAAAGATTTAGATAAGAGAATGCAATCGTTTGATGTTCTTTCGTTGAGTAAATCTTGCAAGGAAACGAGTTCTTCAATTTCGCAACTAAGTAAGCTGTGTGCCACTTTACTTCCAGATTATCTACCTGTTTCACAAAATCCATCGGGATGCACCCGAATGACGGTTGAAGAATTTCCCTCTAATGGAAGAAGTCATCAGCCAAGTACATTTTTGATTGATAAGCCAATGACCAATAGCAACTGTACCGTTGCCACGTCACTTTCAAGTAGCCGCATCACGAAAAACCAAGAAACAAACCTCCAATCACGCTCCAGGGGCGTACATTTTCCCCAACGAATTACAATTGCCAATGGAGAATCACCATTGACAAGCGCTTGGAACCTTCGTGGTAGGAGCACGAATTGCTGCTCGAAAGTAGAAACTTTTAAAAATAGAAAGGAAATTGTAAATGTCCTTGAAGCTCCACCGTCCTTTTTAGAAGATAACTGTGTGGTTTCCGTGGACGATGGACGGGCGAATTTCCTCTCAACAAACGAAGGATCTAGAGATGGTTTCCCTTACTCTTTTGAAAATTGTGCTAAGAATCCAGGCAATGAAACACATGATGTAGCAGGAGAGGCATCTTATGCCATACCTTTAGAGACAAGGCCTTGGCACTCGCAACAAGAGGCCACAGGCCTACAATTTAACATGGAGATGCAGCCTTCTATTTCTTGCCAATCGTTGTACAATAACCAACCAAAGACGCTGCAGAAAGCCATACACTACGCCGGAACAAAACCTTCGCCGTCAGATGTTTCAAAATTAAGTACTTCTGTTGGCTCAAAACTAATCACTGCTGTCAATGATTCACAGAACCGGAGAGTCATTTCATTAATTCAAAGTGACTTGTCACTGGATGATCCAGTCATGAATATTCATGATAAATGCTTTCCATTGGAGAGAAGGGTTCAAGGAGTGAAAGGGTGTGCTCTATCGGTTGCGCAAGATAGAACATCGGGAATGATATTTTCAGTCTCAGACCCAGACATTCCCTCTACCAATGATCCAAATCGTAGAGTCTCTGTTCATGTCCCACCTGTTGTAAGCACGAGTCAAAAACCACCAGAGGGATTTAAAATCGGGTACACATTGGCTTATGTGCCAGTACTAATTCCAGATAATGGGACACAAGTAGAGACATTCCTTCCGACAACCAGAGACAGATATAAAAGTAAAGACTAATAATAGTGGACAAACGGCTCATGGTTTGAACTAATATGACTAGAGCACGTGATTATAGAACAGTAATTTTGACTATTTAGTGACATTGCTATTTTATTTGATTGAAGTTTCGAAAACGCCTGATAAGCTTTGATAAGAATAAATAAAAATACACGTGTTTATAAGAAAGTTGCTCTTAAATCGGCTTCTCTAAAACTTAAGAAAGAGGGTCTCGGCTCTTCTAAAACTTGAGAAATTGGTTATCGGCTTCTGTAAAACTTTCAAATGTTCGGTAAAACAGCGCAAGTTTGCCAAGAACAATTCAAAAATACTAGATTTGAAACCATGAAATAGCTAAGAATGCTTTATAATTGGAGTGATTCTAAACTTTCTAATAAAAAGGTGTATTTTCATCTGAATAAATCGACTCTAAGTCGATTCATTGTACTTTTGAATCACACAGGATAAATATTTTCTTCCATTCAAGACATCAGGTTTTCAAAGACTAAATTCTAAATGTTTTTCTAAGATAAAGAAGATCTGGTCATTGTGCTTAGATGTTTGATTTTCTTATTCTGGATTGCTACACTTTCGATGTGTTGGACCCTAACCCTCATTTCCGATAACTTATGTACCTAGCAACCCTCATTAATCTGTTTGCATCTTGGTTAGAATTTTTGCATTGGTTTAAGTTAATTTGATCCTGTGTTGCGCATTGTATGCCTTTAGCGGTGTTCCGGCTCATGCGACGTGTCGAGGCTCACTTGCAAGTCCTTTGAAAAGATTATTCGTAATGGAAGTTTTTCTATGCCCTGTTTGGCTTACTTTTAAATGTGGATTTCCCGATTTATGTTTACAGCAAACCTTGCTCTTCTTGTTAAGATTTCATTTTCCTGATTTCTGCAGTTTCTGTATTCTTCTCCTTGGAGAGCTTTTAATCTTCAAAATGACTGCGCTGCAGGATTTGTATGAATGAAAAATTGTATTTGCCTTTAATAGCTTTTGACAGCTTTGGTCAAAAAAGGCGTATTTTTAAAGTAATAGTAGCAAGTTTAGTTCAGTTGCTATTTTATTTATGCAGGGCGTCGCCTCTGTACGCTAAAACCAGTTTTTGCTCTTCCATTCATGATTCTTTAGAAAACAAAGAAGACTAGGCGGACTTTCGCGTGGGCTCTTAATTCTTTTTGCTTCTTTGGCATTCCTCGGCTTCTTTAACCGTATGACTTTCATATTTTCTGTACCCTGGTTTATTTTAAGCTTCTGGGTTTTAATACTCAGTCCGCTGGCCTAATTTTGTGACTAAGCTACGTGACGTCTTGAAGTGTTCTGGTATTTGTTCTACCTGATTATTTTTTATTTGCTTCTGTTGTTCTTTCTACCGCACCTACTCATCGTTAAGTATTGTAGGTATGCCTAGCCATCCTTTGAAAACCATCAATGACACGATCGCAGAAAATATGATGCAGTGTCATCATGGTCATTACTATGATGCAATGCAGTACTATTTTCTATTCAGTCCTCTTCATTTATTATCCGTTGTCTAGATCCTTATCTTACCTCGTATTTCCTTCTTCTCTTTTCCTTGTCACCCTCCCTTCCCATTCACCCCTGTTTCACTCCTTATTATGAGAAAACAAAGACGTTTGACATTTCTAAGCACCAAATTTGACTACCCTTGTGAAGGCGATGCGATTTAGACGGGTCTCTTTTATCTACCAAGCCAATTGCTCTAAGTGACAAATCCCTCACGTTTTTACTTTTCTGCTATGTATCTTTGTCTTAGAGTTTTTACCATTAATAACTGTTTTAAGTAAACAGTAAATGCTCATGTCATTTGCATAATGAGAAAGTGACGTCATTTAGGAATTGATGCACGTTGATTTTCCTCTTACTATCTGCAAGAAAAAGACGCTATTTTTGGGCATATATGCTTGCAAACATTCAGGACAAAGATCTTTGCTCGAAAGTTCGGATGCAGAGGAATAGTTCCCTGTTGCTTAGTTATTTTGATATAATGAATTGGTGCATTAACTCTTCACGGGAAACCGGATGTTTTGACCAAATTATTTTTTCATTACTGTGTGGAATCGAAACTCCTGGAAATAGCTGTTTTAACTCAAAATTTTGCTGGAAACAACCACTATAATCTTTATCACAGAAAAGAGATTATCCCTATTCTGTCTCTTGTGTGATAGCAGACAAGGACGTGCTGCATGGCTCTGCTACCTCCCAGAAGCTAAACTATTCCAAACGTGCTTTGATGAACAGGCCAACATAGGCAATATCGTACATTGCAACAAAGAAGATTAGAAGACATCTAAGTTTTATCTATTTGCTATTGGGTGAGTTAGGCCTGGATCAAACGTCGCATTTTACATGTGTCGAATATAATTGGTGAATTAAGTGCATGCAAAATGCGACGTTTGACCACAATTTTAGTCGACTACAATTTTAGTGCGACTTCAATTCAAACCTCCGAGATTTACTGGTTCGTGCCAAAACAAAAAGTGCCACACCCAGTGATCCAATAGGTTCTTACAAATGCCACCCACGACGGAACTGTTTAACATGCATGCCAACATAACACAGACGGGACTACAACATTTAACTTTTCTAACACTGACAAAGCTACGACATAAAACAACGACTGGACTGCAACTCCACCAACGAACACCGACGAGACATAATCAACTAAAAGAAGACAAGTCTGGAGTTGCAGAACATTTCTGCAGCCCAGCACACACCATCAACGACCTTGCCATCACACCAGTACTTAGACCTAATGACAAACGAGAGAGTATTCGTCGAGCTAAGGAGCAATATCTCATTGGCCTGGCGAACACCCTCACCCCCAACGGCATGAACAGAACCACCGACCGTTAACTTTACAAAACAACTAATCACCTATCAAGCCGCCCTCACAACCCACACCATATTTCCCCTACCATTATAATCATCATCACCACCATTACTATCATCAACATTCCATTATTTTCAGTTCCATCACAATTATTATTATTATTATTTTTGTTTTTTTATATTCATATTCATAGCCATCATTATCATCCCATTGCATCAATCTCCATAGCACCACCCACATCCCCTCACATCACCCACCACCCTTCCTTCCCCCACTTCCATCATGCCATTTTTTTCTCCACTGCGCTGCATTCACACCATTCAACATCCACCAATCCGGTATCACCATTTCACATTTCGAATTCATTCACTCGTTCGTTCCATTTACTCTGATGAAGCCCTATATGCCGGGGCGAAATATTTGTATTCCTTAAATTTAATTTATTTTGAAAATTTGTTCTCGTTACATTGGATTCTCGACGACGTATTGCTTTGTTCCTGAATATCAATTAAAACGTCGCGTTTTACATGTGTCGAATACAATACATAATTAAATTTATCATTAGAATAATCAATACTCCAAAGTTGATTGTCCTTGCCAATTTAGTTTTTGAAAACCTTCACGTTGGCCGATATTTGCAATTCATGCCCAAAGTGCACAAAATACACTCCGTCGAAAATGACGACGCCGTGGGTTGGATCGAAAATGACGACGCCGATGCGTTACCTACTGAATGTTCTTTGAAAGATATATTTTAAATGTTTATTCTAAATGTCTGTTTGAATCTCTTTTCACTGTTCTCTTCCCACACCATCTTCAAACAGCCTGTATTTGCCCTTGAAAGTCTTCTGCAAGATGTGTTCTTGTGCTGGGGCGCTAAAAGGATCATGATACAAGTTTTAAATAAAACACGTCTTCTTACAATCGCAATATAGTGCTTGTTCTTTCATTTTCCGTCTGTCTTTTGATAATATGCAATAACATGGCCCTGTGTACATTATTGAGGCCCTATAAGGGGGGATGGCATTATTTCATATTTCATGATGATATCTTGCAATTATTTCATATTTCAAAATTAACATAGCAAAGTATTTCGAAATTGTCGAATGTTCCATTCTGCCTTCAGGTGTCACGAAAAGTTGGACCGGCTCACATAGAAAATTGACCGAGTCTTCAAAACCAATCTTTGCAGCTACAAATATTGAAAATGTATAAAGAATAGGTGCATAAAAAATCAAATGGATTTCGTACTTGGGTAAAAATATAGAATTCATTCTCTTTGAATTGTGGAATCATTTGGTACTTTACAGGGGAATCTAAAGACACTAGATGAAATATCTATCTTTGTTTTGCTCAACTTATTTTTTGGGAACAACTAAAAAAGAAACTCGAAAAACATACATGTACCAAAACTGATAGTCTTAAGTCTTTTGCGTGGAGGGTACAACCTGAAGTGGCCAGTTTTCTACACATGCCTGGATAAGACAATGAACTTGGAGGATTTTTGAACTTTGGATTTTAGGAAATCTTATTTGACTCTACTAACCACCAAGAGCCCTAACAACCAGTAAATTCAGTTGTTTGATGGATTTTTCATACTATAGTCATACTGTTATTTCTAGCCACTTGCAGTCTTAGGTGCATTCAATAGAAAGAAATAATGCTAAAATAATGCTAATGCGAAGCTAAAGCTAAGTGAAATCAACTCTTACGATGTTGTCAAGAAGAAATCGTAATAAATGCTGCAGATTGACTACATGATTCTACAGAATAGATATAGACAGGGAATTTTGCATAACCATCTACCAACCAGCCCAACCGAAATTTTTAAGGTTTAAATCATTATGCTTTGGGAACCTTCTGGGAGAAGACCGGAAGTTATGTCCACGTAACAAACTTTTTTTATGGTATCATCAGATTTGAAAAATTCGAATGTCGCAATTTTGCTGACCGTGCATTTTTCATGCTTTCAGTAAAGCGACTTCTGGTCAATTACCAGAATGTTTGCAAAGCTTAAAATAATCAGTGGTGGCCTTTATTTTTATGATTTAAACTTCCATCGAGTTTGAAAATAAAACAGTTGGAGTGGACCAAAGTCCCTTTGCGGTTGCGGGTTTGTGGCTTTTCATAATATTGCCTTATTATTTGATATTTTTAAATAACTTATAAGCACTTTTAGCATTACCTATTGGCGCCATACTGAATTCAAAGGTATGGTCAGAAACAAGATTTTCAAGCTAAGAATAACTTTTCGGTGAACATGTTAGCTCTAGATAAAAAAAATTGAAGAACGAACAATATCTTTCTGAATATTATTATCAGCAAATCAATCCTGCATCTTAAATGGCTTACAGAACAGTGGTGTAGTTGTCTTAGGAAGAATTCCTAGTAAGTATATGCGGAACAAGCAATATATCAAAAACATGTTTAAGATATTGTTTGATGTTCTCGTCTATTTCGATGAGATAACGTAAGCCAAAGTATTTGCGGTAGATTTTATGCTATTGGTATTTTTCCTATACGTATTTTTCCTATAAAGTATGAAAAGCCTTTTAAACCCCTAGAAAGATTAAAAAGATTAGAAGAACAACACAGGTGTAATATGGTTGGTATCTTAACAGGTCTACAGATCAATAGTCACTTGAGTCAAAGCTTAAGATCAATAGTATCGATGCTTGAGATCAAATATCTTCAAGTATTTGTAATTACAAATGTGCATTTTTTTCTTCTCTATGTTATGGCCCCGGGGTAGAGAAAGTTAATTACAGTTACTTGTTAGGTAACTATTTAGAATGTATGAAAAGTCAATGCTGTTATCAAGTATATATTTCTAACACAACATTTAAAGAGTTATTCATTTATTTTGTCGTTTCATATTTCTTACTGGGAACCAAAGCTATTTCATATTTCAAGACTCAATTATTTCATATTTCAAACACCCCTTATAGGGCCTCATTATTTGTTGGCGCAATTTTGCCACGGATTTCAACAAGATAAACACAAAGTTAATGGGAACAAATTCTGGGAGAGCTAAATACTTATGAAAGTTTTTAAGAAACTGTTATCTAGATGACAGTCAACAAATTAGAAGTGTTTTAAACAATCTGAAGGAAGACGTAACGAAGCTAGTTGTTGTATAAGTTCTGTACTGTGCAAATTGGGCGCCTTTTACGCATGGCTAGATTCTATGGTTTCTCACTAGTCTCGATTCTGCGCAACTTCTCAAAAAGCAATGATATAGAAGCGCGACGTTTGATCCAGGCCTTATATATGCTCCAACGAATCAAGTTCAACTCGTATTTGAAATGAAAGTATATGTTGCCAGATATTTCCAAGGCAGTTTGCAATCATAGTGTATTAGGTAAATAGCCTATATTGGTAAATAGCTTTTGCTATCAATATTGAACACCTTTAAATTTAATTATGTCTACTGATTTTGCACGAGATAAGATAGATTTGGACAGTTATTTTCCTCATAACTGAGGCTTGACTCAGGAAAAATATTGCCCCATGATTACATAACCATATCAGCAGGCAGTTTCTAGAATGTAGTAAATTAGTAACACCGCAGCGCGACGAGAATGAACAACAACACACGTAAATCAGGTTCTAGAATACTTTTGAGAAAGTTTTCAATTCCAACAAAGCATTGTTTTTAAGTTGTTGTTGTTTGTGAGGGTTTTTGTTCAACTTAAACTTATATAACATTTCACACGTGAAATGTGTGTTGCTATTACTCAAATTCTTACGATCATTTCAGTGATCAATTTACATAATTATTTTTACCTTCATTAACGACTAAATTGAGGCTTACGAAATTCTGATGAAATCTCGACCAAAATGCTATTTATGGCACTTTCTTAGCATTTCCTTTTAAAACTGTATTTTTCATAATTATCGATTTTTAAAAATGGCTTTGAAAAAGCAAACATTTCACAACACATTTTACACGTCTGACACTCCTCAGAGCCTAAAACGTCAGAATAAGGGTCTGAAAGAACACGATGAAAAATATATACCCAGTTGTAGATCGAAATAGGCCAATCAGAAGACCAATATAGTTGACCAATCAGTGCCGCGTGTCTAAAGGTAAATTACCACTGGAATCCAAGAGAGAAAGCGAACTCCTTGTGTCTACACAATGGCGGCTTTTTCGTTTGTATGTAGATGGATTCCAAAACTGCTAGATAGAAGGACGACCGGGGTCTGCCAATTATCCGAATGACATTTTCGAAACAAAACCATTTTAAAGGTAAGATTTATAGAACAAAGACTGTGGGAAATGTTACCTAATGTGCCAAAAATTGAAGAAACACTGCTAAATTGAAAAACATTGAGAAACACAGCGTCTTTTCATGTCCGGTTCTCCTTCTCCATCTCCGTGAAACTTCTTCAGAATATAGGAAAATACTTTTCTAATGAAAATCTGAATTTTGTTGATTAACATTGAACCTTGTTTAAGATACAGCAGAATTTACAAATCTTGAAAATATAGGTCGTCATTCCCGCTTTTGCCCTATTTGACTCATGGGGTCACGAACTACGAGATGGTCTATGCGACCTTTCCGTGACCCCTTATGATCACTTCTTCATTCTCTCCATTTTCGATTTTCATTTTTATCCTTCTAGTTTATCTCAATCTTTTTGAGAATTTCTAACAACCGACTCAAATGATACGACGAACAGCCCTTTAACAGTCAGCTAAGCAAGCTTTTATGCTTTTATCTGCTATAGCTGCTTCATTAAAGAAATCTTGATAGCTATTGGGACTTGCCCGCCTTGTCCCCTTCCCCTTGTATCTATGGTCCGACCGTATTTGGACCTTAAAATGATGAAAACATTAAGTTTGCGTAAATCATTTTTGAACGTAAAATTGTTACAATTCTGTTTATGAGAGTTTTACTTGATTTGCCTGACTTGACGCCATAAAAAAACTGACGATCTCGTCTAAAAATTTTAATGTGCTGACCAATAATGATTTTGCAATAATGAAATTAAATTCTTTGGTACTACTAACATCCGTCGGAAAACTGCTATCGAGCATTGCCAGAGTATAACATTAGACATAAGATTAACAGATACAATTTGCAATCGGTTTCAAAAGCATTTTTTTTACGCTAAAACATTAACTTTTTCTAAAAGCTGACATTAATACAAGCAAGAGATACATACATCTTATAGCATTATCTACATTGATTTACTTACAAGTCAACAAGTCAATGAGGTCCCAAAATAAATATAAATACGGAAGCTCTATTGTTGGAATAAAATTGATCTGTTGAACAGCATTTGCTAGCTTCGTAAAAATACCTTAACTAAAGCTGGCTAGTAAGTACTATAATGAATATATAAGACTGTGGTCTTAAAATCTTGGTGATAAGGTATTTCCCGTCATTTAATTAGCACTCACAAATACCATCCCATTTGGATGAGAGAACATATGCCTGCCATGTTCATCATCGACACACCTGTCCTTCACCATTTCGTAAATACTTTTCTTCAAATCGTCATTTAGAGCCTCGTAGTTAGTCTGGAGGAAAAACGTGACGACATCATTTGCTGTAGAACTGCCATTCTGCTTTATGAAGTCAGTGACGTCGAGTGTGCTCGGGGCCTCTGAAAGCTCAAAATTGATGCCGTTGTTGAGAAGCGCATCTGCAATGTATTTGGTTGTAACAAAATGGTCATTTATTGGTCTATTATCCATTGAAACATTTCGCCTGAGGTGAAGGTACAATTCATGTCCTCCTCTTTCTGTCTGATTAAAGATGATCAACTTTCCACTAGGTTTTAGGTATGAAACTGCCTTGATCATGATTTGCACCGGATTGTCCACGCAGTACATTGAATGTGACATTAATATCAAATCAAATTTCTTCTCTGTTTTGTACGTCTCATCAAAATAACTAGGATCAATTTCCAAGTCAACTTCACCCCAAGAAGCGACGGTTGCTTGCAACTGATTCCGATGTGCAATATTCGGCTCAATTGCCAAAAACATCTTCACTTTCAGGTCACATTGCTGTATGAGGTTGTCTTCTATGCAACCAGTTCCAGCTCCAATGCTCATTAAATCGATCTTGCGCCCATTCAAGCCATCGATGACAGGCTTCATCATCTTCGGTATCTCTTCATACTCTGTAGACCCGGCAACAAAAGTTGCAAATGCTTTGGCATACTCCTCTTCGGTTAATGGTTTGCAAGTTTCTTTCATGAGGACCATTTTCTATGGAAGGTAGAAAACTGTTATGCCAGGAAGTAAATAAAGAAGTTTAGCATATTGCTTTGTAGAGTCAGAATCAGAAACGTAAAAACGTGTTGCTTTAAGGGCTGAGGTTTAATGTAGTGCGTACATGACTGAATCATTTCCCGATCGTTATAGATTTAATTATATATTGACTTGAAATATATACCTATACTCTTAAAAACATTAAGAGACCAGGTAGTGATCGATAATCTTCGTTTGTTGCAATTTCTATTTTCTGTCTTACACACGAGATAGACAGAGTATAAAAAGGCATGGACATCTCTTGTATTCGTGGGTTGCTCGTTTCGCACCATCGCATAAAGTTTCCAGAATGCTGGACTGATAAATATGCTAAAAATGCAAGCAGAGATGGGCACTACCGCATCTTTTTATCTCCAACTGCAAACTGATCGATTTTACAAATTTCTCAAAAAATCCTTGATTTTGCCATATATCCTTCTATATAGAATAATACATTTTGTTAACTTATTTGGTTATTTGATAAAAATGCAACACCAAAATGGGCAATATCGTTAGTTTTTAGAGCTCGGCACGGGACAGGACAAGATTCTTCGGACTTAGTCATTTTATCTCCTCAATATTGATTGAAATGAGTTAAATAACCGCCAGTAATTACCATAACGTCAACCTTTTAATGAAACGAAGTACTGATATCACCAGATTATTTCTTAGAATTGGCAGAAAGCTTAATCTGGGTTCTTTGCACACCTTTTAAAGAGCACTTCCGCAAAAAATTATCTAAGGTATCACTCCAGGGACATATTGGAGGAACATATCACATCAGAAAGACATGTTGGAAGGACATAGCAGAGAGACATATCAGAAGGACATATCAGAAGGACATATCAGAAGGACATATCAGAAGGACATATCAGAAGGACATATCAGAAAAGCATGTTGGAAGGATATTGGATGAAGGACATGTCAGAAAAGCGAATGTCTAAGAAGTCAGACATTATCAATGTGTTAAACATCCTTTCCTTCTTGCATGTGCCAAGAACATCTATTTTAGTAAACATTAGATTATTATGAAGTTTTCTTCAGTACGAAAAGGGAAAATTTCCCTTTGCGAAAGAATGTCAAATTAAAGACGAAACTGCACTCTTTTGCACCTGAACCAGTAAGTAAGCATTAGAGTTGGAAAATATGCCATTTTCAGTGAAAAATATTTAGATTTCTAAAAAAATCTGCCAAGTTTTTTGGTCAACCCAAACACGGCAACATTACTAAATTGTCTACGGGAATACCCTTTTCAGTATTTTTTCATATCACTGGAATACAAGTTGTTTGATAATCTCAAATTCCGAAGAATAATTAGAAATACAGTAGGAAATTGGAACCTACGTAAAGGTTGTCTCTCATTCCATCGCTTCTGAACTTCAGAAGAATTGTCCAGAGTGAATCGTTATAAAATCAGCTTTGAAACTGACTTATACATTCACTTTGAGTTTTAGCGAATTCTTATAATTTTTGTGAAGAATACGTTTCAATAAATACATCAGCGAATGAAAATTTTACCGCCTTGGGTATGCTCGTTGAAGCAGGGCCGCACCACTGGGGGGGGGGCGGGTGGCCATGGGCTCCCCACTTTTTTGCAAAGCAAGTGGTTTTAAAACTGCAATAAACAGGGTAAGAAGCCTTGCCCCCCCCACTTTAAAATTCGTGGCGCGGGCCCTGTGAAGATAATTTATTCTGGACAGGTCATATGTGTCATGAAAATAAAAGTGTTGTTCAATATCTATTCAAAAAATATATCAGTAAAATTATTTTCAGGCAAACCTAAGTTTCCTGTATCTTGTTCAAAGACAGGTGTAAGGTTTTCAGACTTTTATTTCAGGACAGGGTCAAAAAAATTTTAGCAAGCAAGCCCCCACCATTTTTGTCCAAGGTAAACCCGCTGGATCTTACTGGCTGAATCTAAAGGATACAAGATTAACTAAAGGCTAACATATTAAGAGAGTGGTCTAAAAGTATGTAAAGTACAGAGGCGGAGCCTAATAAAAATTGGATTTTTCTAATGAGATAAAGTGTGTTGATTCAGATTTGGTATGGAATATTTTGTTATCTATTAAAAGCTTAAGACATCATCAACAATACTGTGATTTCAGTCAGCATTGTAACTAAACTCAGCTGATGTATCGAGATCTGCCTCTGATGATGCCTCGTTCAGCATTGGCTTCGTTTTCTCTTTTCTTCTTCGGAAAATCTATAAATACTCTATAATGAACTCTTGCTTTGATTCGTTGTCTTTATGTCTTCGTACAGTTTCTACATATTTTTCATTATTTTATCTTTCATTAATAAATGATGGCACCACAAATAACACTTCCATTTTGCAGAGATCTGAATTTTGTTTAACTTGGTACCTTGCTACAACCTCTAATATTTTACATGTAATTTTCTCCAATTGCTGATTTCTTAAACATCTAATGATCTTTGTTTAACATATTAGAAGTCTCCTAAATCTCTTTTTCTGAAAACCTTTTCTCAGATTTGAAAAGGTGGGTGAGTTCTGATAGTATAGAGGAAAATGAGTTTAATGAAATAATATATTGCGTTATCAAGCACATCTGTGTGTACGGATTATCAAGCAAGATGCAAATGTATTTAATACAAATTGTTTTGATAAACATATTTCATAAAAAGTATTGTTAGGACTGGCCACGGTAACCTCATATTCTGATCGAACTGTCGTGAAGTCCTTGATAAATGGAATATCTAAGGTTTTTCAAATTCTTGTATAGTACTCAAGGTACATATGAAAATTCTTGAAGTCTTGATGGCTTACAAAATGTTGTGTTAAAAATTATAGATATTCTCAAACCATGCATATAACACTTAATAAAACTGATCGATTTTTTGGCCATCAGTGAGTTTATTTCATTCCTGCGAAAAATGTACAATGGTACAGCTATCTTACTGGCTGACTCTACATCTAAAAAAGTACAAGATAGAGGAAAACTATATAGCAAGGAAAAAATGTGTTTAAATAGATCGAAGCGATTAAAATAGGATTTATTTTAGATTGTAGATATTGAATTGTAATTAGGATAATTTGTTTTTTTAAATAATTTCTGTAAGTATTTTAAGTGGAGGGCCCCTTGAAAATCAGCATTGCTGAAGGGCTACCCTCCTTAACCATTTGTAATGAAATGAAATGAAATGAAATTGACCAATCGCTAATTAAAATATAGGTGTTTAACCTTTTTACGACCAACGTTCCCCAGAGCACTCATTTTTCGAATTTCTTCCCAAAGATGTTCTATTTTCCTAAGATCAGGACTTTTTCAAAACTGAAATCTAAATTCGAAGGTCATGCACCGATAGTGTATCTTCAAGCACCGCGGAGCGTTGAGAAAAGTTGGGGGGTCTAGAAACGTGTGGGGGCAAAATAGAATACATAAAACGGAGCTTTACTGGCGGTTCACTTCGTAATATTTTGCATCCGTGGTGCCTGATCTTGCGGATTGACTTTAAATTGAAATAATTAAATTGAATAAACAACTTATCAGATAAGTACGATCTCGTAATCAAAACTTTTTCGTCAAGTTCAAACTGACTAATAAACAGGATATTGCAAATTTCCCCCACCAAAGCAAGGAAGGGAGAACTAACAAGTCACGTAGTTACAAGAATTGGTGTCAATTAGTTCTTCTAGAAAGATTTTGTGTTCCTTGGAGTTTTTGATTAAACCTAAACTTTATGTTTCTAGGGTGTAAATTTGTGCGCGAAATAGATCTGAGGGCAAAACTGCTTCAGTGAGCTCTATAAATTTAGCAAACATCGGGATTTAAGTATTATGGCGACGATGAAAACGCGAATCGTATATGACGAAGATTTGTACGCTGCGTTGTTTAAATCGAACTCAAGAAAAGTTCGCTCAGTAATAAAATGGTTTCTGTTTTGATATGAATTCAAAGCATTGTTTAGGGGATCTTGTAAGCAAATGATAAAAGTATATGAACTACCCACAACAACAGTTACAACTCTGAATTGTCTTCGGGAGTGCGAATTTCCACTTTAACTATAGAGAAACGTCTTACGCGGTACTGGAAAGAGTGTAAAATTCAACAAACCTTATTTTCAAGTTGATGGAAAGGGAACTTGATTTCGTTTTGCTTGCTCTTTGCTGAAGTTTTTTGCTGAAGGCCTTTCCGCTGTAGTGGTTAGGCACGCCACCAATACTTCTGTTCTTACGCTTGACGACTGTCGATGGTACTGCGTTTCACCCTCTTATCGCGGACTTTTATATTCGTCAGCAACAAAAACTGACTTGTACCCTGTCGCTGCTTCATTCTGCAACTCTATTGGTTAATTCTCGTATGAATGCATTCCACATCCAAACAGACCAATCAAATCTGGCTTCATTCTCTAGAGATCCAGACAAATGTACCGCCGGCTAATTGGAATCAGGGCGACTGACTCTGAGACACTGATGTAATTATTTAACATAACTTTGCACCATTGATACATACGCAGTTCGCGGGAAATTTCTTCATGAAGTCTGCTGATAAAACTTTGTACACAACTGCGAAAGCATAATAAAGGTCAACTGACAATGTTAAGTAACTTAACAGAAATCTTAGTTATAGTTTGGCTACAATGACCCTCCGTCTAACCCTATCCCCAGACACTCTTCTAGCATATAACAAAATTATGGTTTAAAACCATTATTATGTCGATACTTGAATGCCAGGAAATCCCAGCATCTCCGAAATCTTTAATAGGGGAAAGCAGGGGACTGTGTAGGAAATCGCTCTTTGGAACTTTTTATCACCGGGACATTTTTATCACCAGCCCTTCTTTGAAAATATATCTACAATGGCCGCCAAACGTAGTTGAACACCGAGATTGCTCTCGAATTTTTCAGCTCATTTCCTTGTTTCAAGCAGACGGGCCTAACCCCCCCCCCCCCCTCTAAACAAAGTTGGGAAGGAAGATGAACATGTTGCTAAACATCAGTTACACATTTTCTGCTCCAGTTTACATTTGTCGCTATTTTCTAGTCGGAATCCAACATTGTATAGGGAGGGGGAGGGAGACGTTAGTAAAAAAGATCAAGAGACTGTTCCAACACTTTTGGCGGGAGTCTAATATGATCGTCTGGTATGACGTCTTTGGCATCATAAATATCATCTGATATATCTAATATCAAAATAAAATGATATTATTTTTGCTGATATGCGTTTTTATGATGGTAGACAAGGAATGCAAGGTTTAGCTATCACTATCGGTTGTTTTATGCTTTATTTTGGGCTATAAGAGGCGGAGTAAAAGGTAACGAATTTTGTAGGAAACTTCAGCCAAATTTCGCAAATTTCAATAAGCCGGTGAGTAATGGTCTCCGATGTCCAACTGTGATACGAGATTCCTGCGCAAGTTTGCGGTTTAAAGCCTGAAAAAGGGCACGACTCAGGCTGTAGCGACTTTTTAAAATGAGTTGTTGAATCTCTCTCGATCTCTTTTGTCGGTATTCATCAATTCGGCGAATATCGCGCCAAGCAAATAGTGCAAGAAAAGTAGTTCATCGTTGGTATTTCTAGAAAAATTGAAGTGTTGAGGAAAACCCTTGATTTCATTACGAATGTAGACTTGAACTACAGTAGAAACCCGCATAAAAGAACCTATTTTTATAAGAACCTTGAGGCTGAAATTTAATCTTTTAAACCCCATAATTAAGAACCCCCAAGAGGCTGAAATTTTGAAAGGTTCTTATATATATATAAGAAAAAAGGTTTCAGAGTGGTATATTTACACCCTATTCACACTGGCAAATTAAACCAGTTTAGAGTAAAGCAAGTTATGGTATGTTGCATTCTAATTGGACAATCTAACAATACAAATTCATTTGATTGGTTGAAATTCAACATAAGAAAGCTGGTTTAAGTGTGTCCATTAGAATTCCTGTAGTGGAAAAGATTGTTAATGTGTGCAAGGCCTGTACGTATAAAAGAACCTTGCTAAGAACCTTTTAGACTGGAATTTAGAATAGCAGCCTGTTAATTACGAACTTATTCAGGCTGCCAAACCTAGGTTCTTTTATGCGGGTTTCTTCTGTAATACTTTCAACTAGTTTTCTTATTAGATAAGATAAAGACAAAGACTTCCAAGACTAGATTTCCATGCGTCGGTGATATTTTGCTTCAGTGTCTTTGTAAAGATTGATCAGCCAAATATTTTCCATGCTTAGGGTTTTTAGGGGCAAAAAGATATGTCGAATGGCCCATTTGCAGACGTTTAACAACTTTAACTGCAATGTCAATGGCACCTCATTAATCACCAATGACCGTCTGGATAGCTTGGGAGTAGTATGAACAGAAGCCCTATCCGACATGAAAGTCAAGACCGAGGGGCAAATCACTCCAAGAAAATCCCGTACACCTTTTGTGAAAATGCTATTGTTTTATCTGAAAATTCCCAGAAATCCTATTTTTTTAGGGAAAATCTCGTACGCTATTTGCAAGAGTGAATTGCCCCTCGGTCAAGACGCAACGATAGCCATCCAGTATAGCGTGAACGGGGTTTCCTAAAGCCTCCCTCAATAAACCTGTATCCAACGTTGACATCTGCACATAAAAGTCATTTTCATAATGGCCACCCAATGATTTTGTCTCTCACGTCACTTTAGATGATTTCCAAAAAGAATTTACTAGTAGGCGTCTTACAGTGGCCATGCGCCAGACCGAAGTGAATTCATTAGACTTACATTAGACTTACACAATGGCTCTTTAAATTTATGCCACAAAGCTGGGGAAAGTTGCCAAATTTTTATTCGGGCTATTAATGTCTGAGCAATGAAAGATGTATAGACAACTGGCTAGGGCTTAACGGTTCCTAATGACATTTAGGACGATGCGTCAATCACAACACAATTCTTTCTTTCTAAACTGTGAAAATTGGACGCCAAAAATTGCATGTCGACTTTAGTAAGAAAACTGTTAAATGCAGTTGGCTTTTCATTTAATCTTTTATTCATTTCCAATGACTAGGAAAATGTCATTGCAGCTAGATACTGGTTTTCAATGGACGCCAATTGAATGCTGAATTAGTTTTGGTATATGGTATATGCAAGGAAAATAATTGTGAAAATTGATACAAAGTGGAAAAGCAAGATTTTTACACGAAATTTTGAACTTGTAAATATCTTGATAGTGGGTAATTGAAAATCTCTCTCTCTCTCTCTCTCTCTCTCTCTCTCTCTCTCTCTCTCTTTCTCTTTCTCTCTCTCTCTCTGTCTCTCTCTCTCTCTGTCTCTCTCTCTCTCTGTCTCTCTCTCTCTCTCTTAGAGATGTTGTGTAAAAAGGCCTAAATTACAGACCCTCATCATATCGGATTTGCTAAAGATTTACAAGGTACCTAATCTTTTGCCCTCGCCTTTGCTTGCTTCCTCCTGCTGCCTCCTAACTGCCTTCTTTTTGGAAAGGAGGGCAGTAAAATCTTCATTTGGACATTTTCATAAAAGCTAAGAGTGTCCCTAAGGGGTTACCCCCTTATCTATTCAGATGATCTTACAGTCAGCCAGTTATCGTTGGATATGCTGTTGTTGCAAACGAAGCTATGACAAACTCGATTGCAAATTCAAAACTTACCAAATGACTTCACTTACGTGAGCTGAAAAGACACATCAGCATTTGCTTGGACAGGTCTACTCTTGATATTTAAAGGGCTTGGTTCCAAAAAGACGTTCTCGGAGTATCCTGGTCTCCTTGTTTCATCTTACATCATTCTCCCCCAAAAACCGCAACCTTATTAAAACAATAGCAAAAGGAGAAATTTGCCAACTTGATAAAGCGGAGTTCTTGATAGAAGTACAAACGGTACGCTCACGGTGTGTTTGAATATGAAAAGATATTGATAAAAATAGAAATCATGAGAGGCTGGCTTAGTGTAGAATTGATTCAGGAATCAGTGCAAGGAGCGGTAGTCAATTTGAATCTAAGAATCCGACTTCTAATATCAAGTTTATTTTAGTCTTGTCCCCACTATTACCCTTCAAGGACCTTATACACTTAATATATCTTGAACAGATATTTAAAACAAATTTTCTGGTGGAGAAACGTCTTTGGCGCACTCGAGGGAACAAAAGGAAAGCTAATGGTTTTATAAGGCATTATCATTTCTTGTTATACATGAATTTGTTATATCATCAGTCTACTTCATTAGTGATTTAATCAAACTGAAAGGATTATAGATGCAACAAATTTCTAAAGAAAATGGCTTAAAAACCTTTTTAGTAGAAAAATGTTAAACTCGTAGTAAGCTTCTGAATTCGATTATGCAATTACAGTCAATTTATGGCTGGTGCTTGTACAAACTGCAAGAGGGATGTAGAAAGATATCTCTACTTTCTGCAATCTTGAGATGCGTTATCCGAGGGGCACCCGAGGGGCATGCGTGTGATATTTCAACAAATACAAAAGGATTTCCAAGGATTTTCATATAAACGATAGGATTTCCACCAAAGGATTTCATAGGATGACTTTCTCTTAGGGTACAACTAGATTTGTTTACCAATTTCAAGTTAGTAACTTGTAATCATACTGCTTTTTCCATGTTTGATGAGGTATGAGCTAATCTTCCTTTGATGAGGATCCTTCCGTTTATTTGAGCTTGAACAGCTTTAAAGTAAGGCAAAAGCATCGCAAATGAGGCGAAGGTTCAATTGAACTAATATCATTTCTTCTAACAGGAGGCTTTGAATATACGAAGGAGGCAACGTGTTGTCTTTCAACGGAATTTTGAGGTCAGTTAAATGTAGATAGTTAATCTGTAATTTCAATTCAAGGTCAATAAACATCAAAGAGCCTCTTCGATATGGCGTTTTTACTACATTTTACTACAGGCAGCAAAGATAGTGTGAAAAATTAGTCCTACTACGGATAAAACTGCAACATTAGTAAATGCATTCAGCAAACTATATGCTGTTTTATTCTATTGGTAGCTCGTACCAAGATATGAGAAAGTTATTTAGCCAACTTATAGCTTCTTCAAGCCAATCTTTGTAAGGAAAAAAATAGAAATGGTCATCAAACATGCAGTTGCATTCTTGATGCATCTGTCTTTTGTGGTGCATTACAAAATCTGAAACGATTTTTTTTCCAAAAAGTGCGATAACATGTATGGCTTTCACTATTTGCAGCTGAATAGTATTGCAAGGCTTTGAAGTAGAAGGTGTTATGATTTTTGAAAACGAGCCAATTGAACTGCAAATCATTGATCACTTTGTGCTGAAAAAATTAAACTAAATTTTGTATCAAAATTTAACAACATGGATAGAAAATATAATTTATTCCCGTACTATAAGATTTTGTACTGTTTCCAATCAGTAATGGATTCACGTTTCGACTTCTCTAGCTTTGTGTAGTTTGGAAGGCTCCCTATTCAGAGGAATCTCGGGTGACTGCCTGAATAGCAGAGGGTTTATTTTCAAAGTTCCTAGCTTTACGTTTTTAACTATCAATGTTGGAATTGATTGAGAGCTGTAAGTGTTACCAAAATGCTGTCCATTGCGCAACTAAAGCCTTTCCTGAATGAACAAAAGGAGGGATGGTGGTTTCGGTAAGGCTATAACTTTTTTAATGTATGCATTAGAATTTGTTATATAATCAATCTACTTCATTGCTTCTAAAGTAATCTTAAATGCTTGCTAAACCAACAGTAAATGTAGAAAGGAAACCGCTAAGTTTATAATGAAAAAGTTCACCGAACAGAAAATAAACTGTTATTCCTGTGCTTTGCCGAAGAGGCTGTGAATTGTTTTCCGAATTTACCGCATTTATTTTAAAGTATAAAAACAGATAAATCTGGCATGAAAAAATTGTTTATGCAAATTAAGCTCAGTGAATATAGATAATTAAACTAGTAAGCAACTAAGAAGCTCAATCAATCGGTGTTGCAATCCGTTTATAGAATTCTCAAAAACATACTACAGTATGTTATAATAACTGACTATTATTTTATGGCTGACTATCTTTTAATGTCTATCTAAAGTTTTTCTATCGTGCATGTCCTAGAGAACATTGTAGTTCTTATAGGGTGAGCCAACGTATATAAAAGCAGCTTTATAAAATGAGCAGTAATAGCAAAGAATACTGCAAGCCCACCTTTCCCAAGCCATTTTGAAATAGGAGCTATTTTAAAATAAGTTACTTTGTCTTAAATACTGGCGCACAGACAAAATATACTGTGCCTCTACTTGTATACGCCTGCTTCAGTATGATGCACCGTGAACCCTCGAATTGCTCTCCCTCTGATAAGCCCCCACCCTAGAACTACAAATGATCAATAAGCCCCCCCCCCTCGAATAAGCACCCACTGCTACCATAAATCCTCGAACTGGCCCACTCTCAATTTGTTGATTTATGCCATCTGAGTTTGCCTTTGGTGTTTCATCTTTTGTTTGAGCTGCTGTAGGATGGATTTTTTGAGAGAATGCGCCAGGAAATGGAATGGTCGATGTTACTGTCTTTTAGGGTCCAGATGTACTAAAGTTTCTGTGTTTTGTGTGACGGAAAGATGCGGTGTGATTTCTGTATCTTGTCTTGAATTCGTTTGCTGTAAGTCCGATGTATGTTTCTGGTAGCACTTCCCGTTGAGTGGACACGTGTTCGTTTATCGGCAGTAGCATGTTTTTTTGACATTGGTGTTTTCCGGGGTGGTGTCAAAACAAACGCATCCTAAAGTCACACGACGCCAACACCAACACGGAAGCATCAAAAGACAAATTTCTACATACATATATACATTCATGCATACTTTCATGCTCCCAATAGTATCTTTGAGTATGGCTTTTTTGAAAATTTTCTGAAATCTAAAAGAGGAGCAAGATATATAGGTATTTATATAAGAATGGTCTAATTTTTTGGGAAAAGACTGTCTCTCCGAAGGGAACATCTAGAGTCGAAAATGTGTATCTCATTTTCACTAATATTTTAAGCATCTTTATCATTCACATCTTCATCATTAAAATAACAATCCTTGTCATCATTTTCAAAGCAAATATTATGAATATCATCCTGAGCTTCAGTATTACCATGTTTTTTATTCAAAGAAAAGCATCATTTTACTAACCTATGACGTGTCTGCAAAGAGTATGACTAGTTATTGAGATTCGAAAATGAGCGCATAGAAAGTCCTTGTACATGTACGAAATCAAGGTTACCTTATTAAGATAACTTTTGAAATCAAATTTACTATTCTTATTAAGAACTAACTATGAAAGGAAGGTTTTTGCATCATTTTCAATCCAATGCAATTTTGGAACGGAAATATCTCTAAGTGGCATACCACGAAGTGAAAGATTGAGCTCATTGCATTTTATCTTTACAGATTAATGATATTTGACCACGATTTTGGAAATTTTTGCGATTACTGCAGAATCTGTTTCTGGGCATCCAAGTAAGAACCTAGAAGTTAAGAAAAACGTTTGAAATCTTCAAATTTAACCACAATCGTTGAAATTTTTTTTTGCTTCAGTTGCAGAATCTGCTCTTATTGCGTCAAAGTAAGAACTAGAAAGTAAGAAAATCCAGTTTGAATAGTTCAAGTCTCTTTTATCACTGATCAATTTGATGATTTATAGAAATTTTCATACCCTGCAATAAGCTATTTCATTATACAATCATTTCAAATTCAAATGTATTCGATACAGCTTTTATAACATGCAGTAGCAACAAGCATTTGTGAGTATTGTTATTATAAATCTTAGCATTGATCACATAAGGAAATAAAATGAGAAATTATAATGATATGAAGATACAAAGATGAACAAATTGTACTATTGCAAATATAGTGATCTGCTGAAATGCCAACCATCCGTTCCATCTGATTCATCCGTTCCAAGTCCGTTTCCTTTTTTAATTCATTGCAGTTTATATAGATAAACATGTTGTGATTCTAAATGTCCCTTCATGGATATTATAGTCGGGAGGGGGGGGGGGAGTTTTACTTATTTGTACATCTTTAGAGTTATGACAGTGTGTTTCCCTACTTTATACGGTTTTAGCCCCCCCAACTTTTCTCAACCCTCCCCGGTGCCTGTACCAATGACGATTGACCAGGGTTTTCCAATTGGAAGGTTGGAACCCTGTGACTGACTTTCTCTAATGAAGAAATTAGACACGGCCAGCCCTTTTTCGCATCAAATATTACCGTTTCAAACTTTGTCTTTTACACTAAAGCAGAAGATAGGCTATATTGACACCATCTGTTTACAATATTTTGTTTTTTGGAGCAGATGGCTTCAAAATACATAAAAGTAAACAGATTCGGTTTGTTCGAGAATTTGACTGTAAAATATATTGCTTGTTGTATCAGCGGAAGGGCATCCAGTTGGTACACAGCTTTCTCAATTGAAGGAAACAGAGGATAAAGGAAACAGATAATTTAGTTCGTGGAAGGAAATTGTGATTTGTGTGCCACCTTCGTTTTAGTTTACATGAAGCACTGTGATAAGGGGAAGTTCAAGCATGCGCAATAGGTACAATAATAAAATGGAGGCCATAAGTTCCCCTGACTCGGAAATTTGCGGCGGATGAATTTGAATCGCTTCTTCACAGAAAAGAGATTAACATTGTGCTAAAAAGATTTTGTGAGTAGCACTTTTATTCAGTTTAGCTTAGACTGCACCAGTAAAGACAAAAATATAAAGTAGGCCTAATCAAAACAACGAATACGATCCGCAAAATAACCGAAGAGGTTTCCAGTACACAATGACCCAATGGGTGTCAAAAGTGTTTCTAGGTCTAAAAGGCCAACCGAAACAAAATTTATACTAGGGAGCCAGTATGGATTCCATGGCAGCTGCACTACCGAGAAATTTTTATAGAATAACCGGCGCCCTCTCTTGCACACGTGAAAGATGGGCGTTGTTTGGGTGTGTTTTTGGATGTGGTTCAAAAAAGTTGTTTTCAAATATGACAAAGTGTCTTTCAAAATTTGTGTGCAACCGAGATTGGAAAAAAGTGTTTCATTCTAAATTGAGTGATCCACTTGAGATCAGGGGGCTGCCGAAAAGTCTAAGTGGGCCTGGGGCACAACTTAAAAAGAGTGAAGCGAGCAGAAAATTTTTGCGACCCCGTACTTAAGATTAGCTTAAAATACACTTCAGAATACTCTTTGCAGTCATTCTCTTGCTATACTTTTCAATATTACTTTGTTTCAATTGTTTCATTGTCACGTTTTACAATTATTTCCATTCTATCAACTGATTGGGTTACTATCATTTAACAATCAACCGATTAATTATATTCTTAAAATGAAGTTCCTCTCTTTATGAGGTTCCCTAGACATTGAGGCCCTAAGGAAACTTGCCCCCTTGTTCCCCTCTTGGTGGCCCTGCTTGAGATCATACTTAAGGTCTCAGAATGATCTTGATTTTGGCCTTTTTTAAACATTTTTTTTATCAATCTCTTTACCTGACAAACATTAAGGAATTGGATGGTAGTGGTAGGTGCATAGTTCAACTCTCAATCATGAAATTCCCTGAGATACATTTGCATTTTTCATTTTCATCACTTTACCTTTATAAATTTCCCACTATTTCTTAAAATGTTAATTTGACTTGCTTTAGCTATTTGAATTTCGGTTTGCTATAAAAAGTTTGCAGCGGTGCAGCCATTTTGTAGGGGGGTGGTGCAATACTTTTGCTCACCTAGTGTACTTAAGCCCGAAGATCTTCACCTAGTGTACAAATGCTCCGATGGACCTTCGGCGTACAGTTAACATGGAACCAACAGCATTCATCAATTTGATGTTGGCTTAGCATAGCAAGTTTGTGTGATTAGGAAAGTAATTTTCTCTATAATTATTACAACCTCTGCTTCAGTTGGACACCAAAATTGTCAATAGCTTTCATGGTGAATAAAAGCTGATATGAAAATTTGCGTTTAACACCAACTCGGCTACTTAATATTTGTTGGAGAAAGGAGAACAAATTATTATGAGTCAGTATTTGTGTATTTATGACTATTGGCGCTTTCAAGTCTGCAACTTTGATGTTGACCTATTGTATTTATTTGCAAGTGGACCTTGTGAACCACTGGAAATCAGTGGCAGAAATTGCTGGTTTAGGGGGTGGGCAGGCACCCCCCCCAGCTTTTGCTAAATTGTCAGGTAAATTTCACTTTCTATTCTGTTGTTTAATTGTTTTGAGTGGCTTTGCCCCCACTTGAAAAATGTTTTTCTACCTCAGCTGTCAATTATACTTTTTTAAGGATCATAATTTCCTGATTATTCTGCAAGCTCCTTTTGCTGAGTTTATTATTTCACCCTAAAGCAGGTATTTTCAATATCACAATTCTATATCAATATCTTCTGTTATAGAAATTATGAAATACAGTTAATAGGCATTTTGATAATAATACACTAAGAATGCAGCTCATGCATGAACACCGAGTGGAGTTTTGCAGTTAAAGTTAAGAATTTAAGGTAAAAAAGCCCAATGTTTTACAATCATTAAGCTTGGAGACCAAACTACAAGACTTGTCACTGAAATGATTTTCAATTTCAACAGGTTTCTGCAATCTCCCAATGAGCACATCCTGGGTCTTCCTTGTCTCGCTTTCCTTAGCACTATCAAGAGCTTCTCATGTTTTATCACATTTTCAAATGTGCTTTATAACATTCCGAGAATATTCCTTCTTCTGATACATGATAGGTTAGTGTGAAATATTCAAAAGATTTTAGACGATATTGATTGTGATTATCTGATGAAAAGATCTGACTGTGTGTCAGGCCCTTTCTTAATAAATCTAAAATTTCAATAGACACCAGTATTTTCAAAAAATAAAAAACTGTTTTCCTTTCAAAGGATTGAGCATTTTCAACTACAAGAAGGGTGTGATCTTTATATTTTCCTGTTTTCTTAATTCCTGTTCTGTAATCTAGAATTTTTTAATTTCTTCTCTCTTGTTTTCTAATCTAACGCAATCTAAGATTTTATGTTTGAATCTCTAAATCTTTTTTCTTTTGAAATTCTGGTTATAAACAAAAGATTCTGTCAGCAAACAATAAATTCTGATTACTTTGATGAGATTAGTGTGCCATGCACTACAACTAGATAGCTATTTAATAGATTTTGAACATTTAGGATGTTTTACTAAAAGATTTTTAATTTTATTGTTTTATTTTGATTCATTGTTAAATTGAGAAATTGAATGCAAGAAACATCAATCAGAATCAAACTCTGACTATTTCCTTAACTTTTTGTTTTAGATTTGCTGTTACCTTGCAGCAAAAAAGAAGAAAGGAATTTATCAAAAATGAATTTTTCTATAAGGGAAGCCCAACCTTCTGATGCCAACCGCGTCTTTGATTTGATCAAGGTTTGCTATTTATTCTGCATTACTTCCACTCCTCTGATTCGTAAGTGAAGCTATTTGTTGGTACAGTTGTTCAGGATTTAATCATATCATTTAAGTTCAACATATATGCAATTCTTGTTATAGTTCGAAGAAGGTTGACTCGTCTTTTATTCAAGACAACTTGAGTCAAAGTTTTTTGACCTGGTATTTGATACAAGCAGCTCGAAAAACTGGGTTCCGAAATATCAAGAGCCAAGAAACTGATCTTCTGCGAACCAACAGTGGCTTTTTAAATTTAAAACATGTTGAAATCGAAATCGATTGTAAGGTCTTGAATCATTTAGGAAAAAGTCAAAACCCGCAGATAATCATAATTTCAACTTGTGATCTTATGAACTCATAAACACACAATACTTGCGCAGCTACGTGGTAGGTAGAAAAGAGGTTATAATGCTTTAGCATGCTTTCGCAGTAGGTGATTAGAATTCTGATACCTAAATCGTGTTAAGGCAAGCTCTTTATCAAATCATAAAGAATGCAGGTATTTTGAACGAAAAGATAGGCGCCAAATTTGTAAAGGGACTCTTTGAAATATCAATGTATCATTGAAAACTGCCAATTGATGAAATAATGCAAAAATGCAAGAATCTTGCTAGCAAAACTGATCGACGGAATTCTTAAGAATACTAGGGTGAAGCAGAAAAACAAGGAACACCGGAATGCGCGAAAAAATAAACAAAACTACAACAAATAAACCAACGATAACTTATATTCACCCCAGTGTGCAGGGCAACTTCTCAGAGCTACAGAATAAAAAAATCAGCGTATGTGCGGTATATTTCAAATATAGAATAGGTTGATGTGATTGGTGGTTACGGTATGGTAGAATGGTGGAAACCGAAGAGAGTGAGTGGAAACAGGAAAGAGCAAATGTTTGAAAAATTGGGATTTGGAGAAAAAATACCCATTTTTCAGGTTTATGAAATCAGCTGTAAGTAGCATGGAAATGATTGAAAAAACGACGAAATACAACTGACATATTGCATTACGTAGCAAATATCTAAACATTGCATAGCAAACACCTTTATATGAGCAGATGGGTGAACATGAAGGTGGATGAACTGATGAAAACCACGAAAACCCGAAGGATGCGGAAATCCGCTATCGCCAACGTTCTTGCAGAACACGGCACATGAGAAGGAAGCAAACATGACTTTGGTTAGGAAGAATTTTGTGTAAACACAAAATTAAGGTTTCTCGACAGTGAAGCTAATCCATTTTTATGGATACCTATATTTCGGGATTTCGAAAACTTCGAACCCACCCATATATGGGCGGCACGGCCCCGGGGGGTTAGAAGGTTGTGTGATAAAGCAATAATGCCATTCATCAAGATTGAAAAGTGTTCAAGTAAGCTATAATGAGTTTTAAGGGTAACATAAGAAATTTTATTTTCGAATTTCTTAGTTTTTATCACATAACCTGAAGAAAACCTCACTGAGACATGGCAAGTAGCCTGGTTCATATATTTTCGAGCTAAGACCGAGTTTAAGTGGTCTGATGAGAAAAGAGTCTGTGCTAGTGTCGTCATAGTCAATTTGTAACAAGCTTTTTGATGCTTTTCCTTTTGAGAGAAGAAATAAAAGGAGAAAGAATACAAGAAGATCATATGGGTGAAAAACAGTTCAAGAATAAAAGCAAAATGGAAAGTTCCATGAAAAAAAGAACTATGATAATACAAGTGTTTCTATAAAAAATACAAGATCGGCCTTCTCGAAAAATTTCACGAAATATAAATGGCAAAAATTAGAAAAAGTAAATATTTGGCATTTACAAAGGGGCTCATAGAGGCTCTACAACTCTGTCTGCTTTCACCGATGATAGATAATACTGTTTCAAGTATTTCAGAATCACTCAGTCAGAAGTAGGCAGTGCCTCGAAAATGATTGGTTGAACGGTCAAACGGCGCAAATTCCGTGGAAAAAAGTTGCCTCAATTTTAACTTTCCAAAACGGAAAGTAGTATGGTAAGCGTACCATCCTTGAATGTGAAAATATATTCTGCCCATGCTTGTACCGTATACTGTTTTCTGTTTCCATCCATACCGTGAAGAGAAAATGCTTCCAGAATAAAGAGTCTTTCTTTATCTGTGTTTAGATTAGCAATGATTAGATTAGCATAACTCAATGACCAACGGCTTTTTCGCTCCTATTGTTTGGATTTACTTGGCATTTATGCTTTAGCCGTGCAGATTTTTTCTTGAAAAGGCAATAATTACATTCAATTTACCTCTACGTGTTACCTTTTAGTATCTTATAGGCTTCACAAATTGAAATATGGATATGATTGTGCCTCTTTGTTTGTTTATTCAAAAAGATCACGTAGATAAAACCGTAGATTCGGTAGAACGGAATATGTAGCCTTACTTTTCTCAGAAAATTTGAAAAAATAAGCGGCCTGTTGACCACGCTCAATTTCGAAGACACTTCCAATTATATCAGAATTTTCTTAATCCATTATTTGGCCATCGATTCGAAGCACAAGGAATCTATGACAGGGCCGACTAGGAATTTCTGGCAACATATCGCGTTTGAAAATTTCTCTCATAGCAACTGCGCTAACCGGGTCAAAACAGGTGTGTCAGTTTGTCAAAGCCAGTCAATACAAGGGTACATCAGTGCTAGAAATATTGCATTTACCACTTAAAAAGCGTTCTCCGATGTTTCTTCTGCCATGGTCTGAACCCCTTGATCAGTCTTTTATCAGTGTTAACATTGGTTCGTAGAGGTATACAACCAACTTAGAGTCTACACGACCTTAATGCACCTGCATGAAACAACCTGAAGTATGTTGCAAAATTATCGCTTTCCATTAAGCCGCCTTCATCTTGAGCCTGGGCGATGATGGAAGCAAAAACCATTTGGGTCGGGAAAAGAACTGGTCAAATGACAGTAGGAAAGACTCTAGGATTTTTCGAGGATTTTTCTCAAAAACGAAAGCATTTTTGCCAAAGATTTGCGAGATATTCGTGGACTGATATGCCTCTCAACTGCAACGGACTGATTCCATGTGCGATACGCTTCGTGAAAAGGAGGCTGCATAGCGGGAATTGTGTAAAACCTACGTTACAACATACAACATATCTGCTTCCTCAAGCTCGACGCTTACAACAGAATAAAACTACACCGCCATTCAATGATATAGAAGCACTGCCGTATCCCTTATCTCTGTATCTAAAGATCTATACCAAAATGACAATGGTACCACTTTGAAACGCTCCAGTGTTGACGCGATCTTGAATGGATTCAGTCTTGTGTAAAAGGCCGAAAATCGGTAACACGTCGAAAATGTACACGTACTCGTGCGCCTGCTCCACCTGTGCTTGTCCATATACTCAATTCCAAAACCAAATAAGATCTTGACTATCAAATTCTCTTTTCAGGAATTATGTGTTTATCAAGAAAAGCCTTTATCTGAAGTTGTGATCACTGCTCAAGGTTAGTCGGTAGTGGTTAGGTGGTAAGTCTTGCTTCACTTGTATGATCCTTCGAGCTGATTTTTTTCATAGGTGTTTTTCTAATTAAATGCAAGTTTTTATTGACCCCAAGGAGGCACGTTCAGCGTTGTTTTATATTGTTAAAGTTATTCGATGAATATTTTCTTTTACTCGCAGATCTAATTGATGATGGTCTCCAAAGCGGCAATTTATTCAGGTGTTTGGTTGCGGAAATTGAACCGTCAGAAGGTAGTTTAAATCTTATCTTGAGAATTCTTATATTTGAACTTCCTAGAATTCTGTCACTTTTCTTGGCCTTTTCTGGTGCAAACTTTGTGATTTAGGTATTGGTTAATATATTTTAAGACAGGTGAATACATTTTATCATAAACAAGTTTGGCTAAACAACTCAATATCTTTCTCTTTGTGATCTTCTCACCTTCCATCACTTCAGTTACTTTACTCAGGTCAAACTGAAAAGTGTCATTCAAAGTGTCCCATGGTATACCTAGAAATAAAGTGTCCCCATGATAAACCTTGTATCTTCTATCTTCCAATAATTTGCTACCTAGCATTTCTTTAGCATAAGTTTCTTCACTCTCTTTAGTCTCTGAAACTTGAGAATCATGCTTAGAGAATTTTTCTACCAAATCTAAATTACTACTCTTCCACTTTCTGAGGTTAAAGCCCCCTTCTTTCATTCTTTCCACAGCTTTCAAGTATAGATTTCTTGCATCAATTAAATTTGAAGCTCCGAACACTAAATCGTCTACATAGATATTATCAGCAAAGACTGCATCATCGTTATCAGCAAGGTTATGTCATCTTAGTAAAAGGCTTATCATGCAAAGACTGTAAGGATCAATGGTATATCCCTTCTTTGCTTCTTCCAGGAAATGATCAAGACAGTTGTTGTGCATGTTGTTGTGTTTATAGTTTGTATTCTGAAATCAGAGAGTTTTGCTTAACGAAGCGACCTAAATTAAGTCCCTTAGGCCAAACATTTATGCTTAATATGATACATAAAGTCTTCCTGTCTCATGATATGAATATGATGATATGAGTAAATATTTATACACGAAAAATAAACCCTTCAGCATTTAATAATACATGTATACAATCTTATCAAACAAACAAATAAAAATAATTTCAAAGGCAAATATGTAGTATCTAAATATGTTAATATTGCTGTTCTTCCATGGGGTCGTGTTTTGAAGTTAACGTTTTTGATCAGCCAGTAGATGTGCTTTCAATTGTTTTTTAAAGCAACCGAGAGATGAGGTCTCTCGTATATCAACAGGCCTATCATTCCTTATTTTTAGAGCCGAATATTTAAAGCCCTTTTTTGCATGTTCTGTTTTTGGTCTTGGTATCTTAAGATCCTGATAGTTTCTTGTTACATGGCTTCATTGCATTGTAACATCCCAAAGGCTTTCGGGGCTTAGCTTATTCATAATCTTATAGGTCATAACTGACCGATCAAAGAAAATAAGATTATTGACGTTCAGCCAATCATAGGACCAGTTGTCTTTTAATCTGACACTTTCGATTATCGATTAGGCTCTATTTTGTAATCGTTGGAGAGTTTCGAGTTTTGTTGTCGTTGGAAGACTGCCCCAGATTACATCTGCGTAGCGTAGGTGACTTTCAATGATGGCGTAATATGCATTGCATAGCTCCGTCTGAGGGAGAATGTTTCTCAGTTTCTTCAGTGAAGCAAGTCCACCACAAATGTTGTCCTTAACAGTTTTAAATTGCTCGTCCCATTTCAAACTTTCATCAACCATTACCCCTAATGATTTGGTTTTGGAAACTCGTTTGATTTCAGAGTCATTCAACTTTAACCCATTCGGCATATTTACCGCTTTCATTTTCCGAGGGTGGCCTATAATCAAGTACTCTTTTTGAGGGGTTAGGACTTAGCTTATTTACTCTCATCCATTCAGAAATGTTGAGTAATTCCTCTTGCGCATCTGCCACTAGTTTCTCGATGTCATTCGATGCTATTGTCACATTATTGTCATCAGCATAGATATTTGTTATGAATAGAAGGGGGCCTAAGTAAGATCCTTGGGGTATGCCGCATTGAACTTATCTCTCCTTAGATTTTTTACCGTTTTGGGAACAGTATTGCTGTCTATTATCAAGGTAAGATTTGAGCCAGTTTCCAGGGATTCCTTTCATGCCGTATGCTCTAAGTTTTTCAATCATGATTGTGTGATCGACCGTATCGATTGCTTTCTTAAGGTACAGAAAAATCTTCAGATTCAGCTTTTTGCAGTCGATATTTTCATACCAAGAATCGGTGCTCCAATCAAGGATGTCACAGTGGAGTATACTTTTTAAAATGCAGATTGGTTTCTTGTGATCACTTTATTGGCCACCAGGAACTCAAAATGCTGGTCATGAACTCTTCTCTCAAAGATCATCGAGAAAACCGAAATGACTGACGTAGGCCTATAATTATTAACATCTTTCTTAGCACCTGATTTGAAAATAGGTGTAACTTTGGCAATTTTCCAAATATCTGGGAAAACCCCACCCATAAGCGATGAATTTAAAATCATTGTCAGAGGTTTTGATACCAGATCCCCTACATCTTTAATGATAGTTGTTGAGATCTTATCTGGACCAGCTAAGTTTTCGATCTCAAAACTAACCATTCGCCTTCTACTTAAGCTATAGCTTTCGATCTCAAAACTAACTACACTCTCTTCGAAACAAATTCGGATTAAGGAGGCGCGATTCTCAGTTTCTTTTCTGAGCCTGTATTTTTTCAAGAAAGGGCTTTCTTTTTCAAGGGCCAAATGTGATGTTCTCCGCAACCTTCTCCACAACCCCTTTTGGCTCATTCTTATTGAATAAGGGCATCCTACTACCTTCTGTATGCTTGTCTCTTTTAAAACTGTGTAGTTTTTAATGCCAATTATTATTGTATAGTCTTTCTGAGATTATGTTCGCTTGTATGTACATAATTTTTTGAAAATTCAACTAATGAAAATGAATTTCTTAGTATATCAAATAAGACTGTATTGAATTAATTTCTTTCGATGTATGTTTAACATCAACCAAATTGACCTCGAATTTCTAAATTTGTGAGCATCTTCATGTTTTTCTGTATCTTTGTCGTTATTTAAATTTCAAAATGGCTGTTTATTTAGAAGCTGATAAACAGGACATGAAAGAGATGGCTGGCTATGCGTTGTATTTCTATGGATATTCAACTTGGAAAGGAAGGTTACTCTACCTCGAAGACATGTATGTTCAGCCCAAGTACAGAGGTATCTGAAATTTGTTTATTTTTGTCACAACGTTTTACTTTGAGAAGTATTTACGAATCCAACTTGATATTTCAAGTAATATTTTTCACTGAAACGTGTTTTATTTTTATTCCATTTATTATCATGGATCTATACGAAAGTAGAATATTTCTAGATTTTTAATTTAGATTTTTAATAGATACCCCTGTCTCGATATAAATGTTGAACTGATTTAAGTTCTCTTTAAAATAAGACACCAATATATTTTGCCTTTAAAACATGTCTTATTAAAGTTTGCAACATTTCCTGAAAGTTTATGCTAAAAAATCTATAAGCGCAATATTCAGCTATTATAATATAATGATCTCAATCTCATGTTCATGTGAAGAGCACAAATCATCGAATTGACTGCAGCACCCACACAAAGCCCCCATAAAGTATTTCATTAAGGCCGAATTCAAATTATGTAGCCCCAAAGCAACCTGTGAGGATGGAACCCCCTCTAAACTGATGTATTTAAATACGATAAGAAACATTTTTAGTCCCTCCTAAAGGAGCCAAAGGTTTCCAAGAAAAAAAGAGGTTGAATTCAATTGGATTTAAACTTAAAAATACAATCGGTTGGAAGGCTCCATGTTTGATTATAAAAATTTGCAAGCGAGCCAGTTATGAGAAATATTTGTTGATATTATAAACATCTAAAAGAGCAGATGGCCTCTTCGTACCGTTTCTTTTTCGAAGATCTTTCCAACATAGCTGTAGAGGATCCTGAGTGATCGCCCAGTTTGCCAATTGCGAGATCCAACACTGTGTTTCATAATGTCCAAGCAATGGGAGAATGATGAAGGAATTCAAAATAGAATTCTAAGTTTAAAGCAGTCTCATCTCATTATTAGTCAATGTAAAAATTATCTGAGTACATCATCTTTAAGTTTAGTTTGACTAAGGAAGTTTGTTTTTAAAAGTTCTGAGAAGTATCTGAGATTTTGAATCTGAGTTTTGAGAGAGAGGCTGGACCGTGTTTCTTGATATCTTAGGTATTGGCATTGGAACAGGATTCTTTAAAAGAATAGGACAGGTTTGTTGTTATCTTCGTATATTTGGATATGTCAATTATGATAGTAACCCGTTAATCTGTATATGAATTTTTCGTGGTGTATGTAATCGATATAACAAAGTATACTGGCATGATGATTCATAAGATTAGAAGCAGTTTTTCCAGTTTCGTCATTTGTTCAAAGTTTAGATTTGCTCTACGTCGATTATTAAAGTCAACTCTCATGTTGCCAGATATTTGCATTGAAATCATTTTTTCTGAAAGAATTGGCGCTGTTTGATCTGTTACCGCTGTTTTGTCGCAGCCGAAACCGGATTTGTCTACTCAATGTATTTCATAATGATTTTCACGTTCACTATATCTTGTCAATCTGTTTTTGTACATAAATTCTCTTTATGTCAATTAGTGATTGTATGTTTCAGAATATTTAATTTCCGGTGCAATTATAAAATAACTATTCTTGATCTTTATATGCAATATAGTGAAACCATAAGTTTATTCATATTAGCTTAGCTAAGAAATTTTGAAGGATTAGTTTTACGAGGAATTACTTTTGATTTGTTTTTCTGTACTGTCATTTCGACAGGTTAATATTAATTTCATTTTGATCAAAATTTTCTTAAAAAGATTTGTATTGTAGACAGCTTATGTTTTAACGCAAAACAACTTTGCAAAGAATCCTTTGTTTCTGTTGGAGTGAATTAAGACATGACTAACATTCTAGAAGAATATGAAACTAGAAATGACAACTTGTGAGAATTTCACGGTTCTGTCATTTCGACAAGTTCCTATGCATTTCATTTTTATCAAAGTTTTATCAAATAGATTTGCATTGTAGAAAGCTTATGTTTTAACGCAAAACAACTTTGCAAAGAATCCTTTGTTTCTGTTGGAGTGAATTAAGACATGACTAACATTCTAGAAGAATATGAAACTAGAAATGACAACTTGTGAGAATTTCACGGTTCTGTCATTTCGACAAGTTCCTATGCATTTCATTTTTATCAAAGTTTTATCAAATAGATTTGCATTGTAGAAAGCTTATGTTTTAACGCAAAACAACTTTGCAAAGAATCCTTTGTTTCTGTTGGAGTGAATTAAGACATGACTAACATTCTAGAAGAATATGAAACTAGAAATGACAACTTTAGGGATCTTCACGATTCTGTCATTTCAACAAGTTACTATGTATTTCATTTTTATCAAAGTTTTATCAAATAGATTTGCATTGTAGACAGCTTATGTTTTAACGCAAAACAACTTTGCAAAGAATCCTTTGTTTCTGTTTGAGTGAATTGATACATGACTAACATTCTAGAAGAATATGAAACTAGAAATGACAACTTGAGAGAATTTCACGACGTTTTTAAAAATATTTTCACATAATTCCCTATGCAAAAGACAATTTTATTTTCGTTTGTGACTTCAATCTTAAATTTCAGCTAATTTCGTTTCTCTACTTGTCACAAATAGTTTCATTAGTTTTCAGAGCATATATTACTAAAACGTAACAGAGTTTTGACATCTTTGCGTTTTTTGTTTTTTGTGCAGTAGACTCAATCTTAAGGCTTTACGTCCGAATCTAAAATAAAAAATGCAAATGAAAAAAGCAAACATTTCGAGTCATACTTAAGCTTTTCGTCTGACACTCTTCAGAGTATAAAACGCCAGAACATTCATCGAAAACTCTTTCTCCTTCTGTCTACACGAAAGCAATTTGTTCATGTGTATGTAGGTAGATTCCAAATCTGCTAGATGGAACGACGATCAGTCTTTGCCAATAATCCGAAACATGTCGCCCTTATAGTTTTTTGCACTACCTGGGATACCTGGGTATCTAGATAATTGCTGCCTGATAGCGGAATCTTTTCTCTGCAATAAATCTTTATCGTTTCTTGACTCTGCAATGTCTCCATATAGCCTACGCAAGAAGTTAAGGAATTTAAGAGTGTTCCAGTGTCAAAGCATGATTTTTTAATAATGTAAATAAGGTTTATGAAATCATCTCTCTTAAAGACTTTGTACTTATCACCACCTTTAATAAATAGAAGCTGAGCATTCTAACTGTTTAAATCTTTTCAGATCGCAGTTGCAATGAAGTGCTGCCGGATAGCATTCACGTGCCTGGATTGGAACGTGTCAGCCAAAGAGTTTTACAACAAAATTGGTAGCGAAGAACAACCAGACTGGAAGCTATTTTATTTTAAAAGCAATAGCATAGAAAATTTCTTAAGCAAGTTTACATAAAATTCCTCGTAATTGATAAGCGATAGCTTTTTTCCTTTGTTATGTGATAACTTAGTATACGACTTTTATACCACTAAAGTGTATAATTTTTATTATGATTTGTGTTTGGTAACTTCCAAAGCTAGGCTTGTAAATCGTAAGACTTGCATTGCAAGAAACTAAGATAAAATAAAAAGATCTCTACTTGAGCTAATTTGAGATCTCTACTTCGACTCTTCAACTAGGTGTTAGCAACCGCTGATTGGTCAAAAAAGGAACCAATGAAACGGATGACTATTCCTCTCCTGGGTTTACATTTGTATCAAAACCTGGCTTTATGTTTCTGCTTACCTTTGGGAATTATCAGATATTATTACTCTGGGGAGTTTTGTACAAAAAGTACTTTATTATCTTTCTGCTTTTCAGTCAGTGATTAAAATCCTGTATTCTCCGGACTCGAAATTCCTCTACATAAAGGTACGAAAAAGCTATACTGTATCCAAGGAAGCAATCGAATGGCTCAAAAATTTGCATACGGCCAGGACAGATATCGGGTAGAAAGAGTTTGTCTCAAGAGTTTATCTGGTCCGTCTTTTATAGCCATTTACAACTGCGGGAATGTAGAAAAATTGATTACCAATTGTTGACAGGGTATAGTTTATAAGGAAGGAGGAGTTTGAAAAATCTGAGACACTGTGGTAGGTTCTGCGCTTTCTGCTGATATAAGTCAGATTTTTTACCTGAAACGCAAGGGTACAAAATAGCTTTTGAAGGTGGTACATTCATTTAAGCAAAATATTTGCTTGGAAAGTATTATTTTACGAAATTTGTGCATCGAATGATGTATAGTTTAATCTGGTTCCGTTAATAGTTTTGCTTTTAGGGAGAGAAAACTAAAAATTGTGACAGAAACGTTTACCGTAACCTCAATCAGATTCAACAGGCCATTACAAAATGTTTCTTTGCTGTTGATCCACGTCCTGTTTACAATCCAAAAAAGGCCCTTCCATCCATTCAAAGGGATTGCGTTTCTACCACCCAAAAGAGTTCCGTTAATTACGAGTTTACGTGCCAGTGTGATTCTGACTACGTAGGACCAACAATCCAAAGATTGGGGGATAGAATAACTCAGTATGTCCATTCTAGCAGTAGAAGCCAAACACTCCCGCAAGTAAACAGCCTCCTCGGTCTGAGTTTACTAGAAAACCCAGATTGTGCAAAATCTATAATGGTGACATGTTTTGGATTATTGGTAGAGCCAGAGACTTCGAAACAGGAGAGTGCATGTTGTTAGACACCACAATTAACAGGAAATTTGAACTGCTTTCTTTTTCTGTGGTTTCACCTCTCCTTATGCAGCCTTATTCTTTTCTAATTATTCTTCGTCTGATCCCAACTTCTAATAATGCTCCCAACTTCCTAACCAAGTAGCATCTTAATCTTCTTTTGAAAAAGAATGAAAATACTCTTAAAAGAGAAGAATATACGGGTGAAAGCATGGAATCTTCGTGCAAAGCCAGTGTCTTTAATTTTTTGGGCCAGACGGTGTGAAGTATGGGAAAGGTCCTGAATACTTTTCTATGACGTCACAACGCTTGCTCCCAGAATGCACCTCGGCCTATTTGGTGAAACATGCGCTCGCTGTTCTTTCTTTTTACCGAAGGTTTTATCAGAAAGGAGAAGGTGAAGAGCGCTAAAAATGTCGGAATACAGTGAAGTTCCTCCCCCAGTCGCCAATGCTGAGCAAGATGCAAAGTATCAAGACGCTTTAGCGCGTGCTAGACAGGTATTAATTTTCATTAAAATCTGATGATTTGGTCTGTCTTGAAATCTGGCGGGCATGTGTGGCCTACTTAGGCACTCGTGAGGAGAAAGGAGTCATTTTAATTTATTTGAATCGAGAACACTGCAGTGAGTCAATATTTGATCAATATTTAACGAAGTTGAATTGCAGTTACAAGTCCACACTTTCAAATCAATGTGAAATTGATATCTAGCAAACTTCTAGTTCCGTTTGAATCTTTATTTTCAGTAGGCAACTTGAATGTAACGACTGAAAAGAAGTCCTAGTAAGTAAGCTCTCCTTTGTGGGTTAGATTCATTTAGCGTAGCATCATCTCAAAATACAATAATGATACAATAAATAATCATCTCAGTCTTCTTTTTTCAGTATTTCAAATAACAGTAAATTTGTAAGCCAGAGTGAATGAGAGGGCCTAATTCAGGAAGGTTGTCAGCGCAGAATTTTGGCGCACATGTATGCTTCAGTGCTATTGCGTTATCTTGTTTAACTATGAAGTTTATTCATGTGAACTAGAGCCCTTGTTCACTAGAAACCTTTGGTGTATTATATATAGATCCAGAGCTGCAAAAAATATTTTCCTTTCTGGTAACCTGAGAAACAGTACAAAAATTCCCCTGTAAGGTTAAAGCATTGTGTACTATAGCTCTTCCAATAATACACACACATTTTTACGCAAGGTCTTTTAATTTATGTGGTATAGAGAAAATTCCCAATAAAATATTGTAATTTGGTTGTTTATTGCATCTTTTTTGTCTTTGGTAAAGATTGAATATGCGAAAAAGGAAAAGTGATTTGTGATATGTTTTTTGACTAGAAGAAAACTTCACAATAGTTGGTGCTTTTCATAATTACCTGGTGTTTGGGAAAGGTAATAGATGTTAGCTTTAGAGAAGATGAATCTGGTTACCTTTTTATACTTATCAGCTGGCCTTTTTGGCATTTCATTTTATGTGATGGGTGCATGTGTCAACATGATCTTTAAATTTATAAATGGTGCTTTCTAATGCTAAATACCCATCAAAGACTTTGGCAAGTCAGTCTAACCTCAACACTTTGCCAAGTCTATCTATATCTCCATCAAGATTCAAGTCAGGTACTGTATTGCTAGCTGGAAGAAAATTTGGGATGTAGTTATTTTCATAGCTCTTTCCCTTCAAAGGTCAAAAACATAGGCTCTTATCAGGCAGCTAAAATAGGACTTTTCAAAGCATGTGAATTGCCTACTTAGGTTCTGCAGCTTTATCTGTTAAAAAGCTCCTGGACAAGGAAACTGAAGATTGCTTTCAAGTTATACAATTTCTTTTGTGATATTTGATAAATGAGTAATATTTTTTATAACAGTTTAACAGATGTGAAACTTCTTCATTTGATTAAATCTACAATCTGCAGACATTAAGCTCACATTTGTATAAACCTTTAATATATTGTGAAAATGTCAAGAATAACTTTTTGTCCACGCAAAAACAGCTGTTTTTAATAAGTTTTGCTGAAAATCTTCTGCCAAGCCAAAAGATTTTCTGGTTATCTGGTTCCCCAGTTCTGATAATATTGGCAGCTCTGTTTAGAACATAAAGTGTATAACAGAATAGGAAAAGCAAGGAAAAGTACAAATTTTTCAAAAGTCTTGATAAAGATTCAATAAGCTGTCTTAATCAGTAAGCTTTATCAATAACATTTCAACCACTTACTTAGTCCAACAAATTTATTTGGGATTTTTATATCTTCAACAACCATTGACCCAAGTCCTGCCCTGCAAAAAAGAAATAATACCTGTCAGATTCAACTGTATGGACATGAGAAAAATTAACAAGATTACTTCAAATCCAAAAGTATTTGGAAGAATTAAATTCTCTAGTGTGCACAGTTGAAAATGTTTGACCTTCTGCTTGAAAATTTGACAAATTTTACCTATTATTTTGGCTAGACACCATTCTTATGGATACATTACTTGACCTTGTCAATATTGCAAAGACACTCTTTTTTATAAGAACCAGTAAATTTGAGTTCAGGCTGATTGTTCTTAATTTTTTCGAAAATCTGAGTCTGAATTGTTCTTAGTTTGTTCTTAAATTTATAGGGTATAAGCAGTGTGATTTCTAGCTTTTTGTTTTGATGAGGTGTTCAGGCCTCTTTTGCCAACAAAGTATGTGAGACAACCCTCACTTGCTGCCATAATGGAATATTCACTGAAAAAGCACCCACATGTGGCTAAAAATCCTCCTTTTTGAGCTCAAAATTTCATTTTACAGTAGCTCAGCCTCAGCTTGTTCTTAATTTGTTCTTAACTTTTGACTAATTTTGAGGCTGGTGTTTTTATAAAATTGTTCTTATGAAAGAAGAGTGTATGCATTATTGAATCTTTCAAATGAAAAGATGCTTAAAATAATCCTCTACAGCCATAGATAGTTTTTGTTTGATTCAAATACGAAAATTCTTATGGTGGTGCTAGAATGATTTATGGTTTAAGTTTATGGAATCAATTAACAGTTTTTTACATCAAATGATAAACAATATCCAAGACTAAGCTCATGGAGAATCTTTATAAATGCAGCACATCATTTTCAACAGCAACTTTAAAGTTTCATGAAAATACAGCTTTGATGGCTGTTCATCCCATTCATAATCGCATTCTTTACTCCAAACAGAGTTGCCATATGTTGGAAATGGTTGGTGAACAAAGATTAAACGATTTCAAAATTCTCTGCCAAATTTGGCTAACAAAAGAAAATATACAAAATCAGCTAAATTCAGGCTAATTGTGTGGGATGTCAGTTTGATAAAAATGGCTTTGCATATTGAATTAAAACATATATATATATTTTATTGTTTGTTATATTCACTTTTTTAACGTTTTGTCATTGAAAATTTTTGGATTTTTTGACATAATGTTACACATTGTTGAGAAAAAAGCTTTTTCTTTTGAATTTTTGTGGTTTTTTCCCCTACGACCATAATATGGCCAACTTCTGTCCAGCCAAGTTAATTTTCAAGAAAGACCAGAATGGAGTCTTTAGACAAAATGGCATCCTTGCTTCTGCTGGAACTAGGCATAAAAAGCGAAGCGAATCTGTGTGAGAAGCAACAAATCATTTGACACTGGTTTCCTGAAAGAAATGCATAAAAGTTGCCATTCTATTTTTTAAACTCTCTTTTAGCAGCTTTATTAAAACCAGGTAGGCAAGAGCGTGAATTGCTTGCCCAGTCCTTTTCGTTTAGCGCGTGCGATCGCACCCGCACACGCCTGCACACGCGCAAGTTAAATTGCGCGTGCTTTTGACCACACGCGCAAACAGGTGTTTTGCAGTTTTCTGTTAAAGGGCCTCTCCAGCCAAATTTTGCACTTGCATTTTATTGGCAATTTTTATAAAGAAGTTGAGCCTGTTGATCACGAATTCGTTATTTGTTTTTCGATATTTTTTTACAGTTTGTGAGATATAAGCTCTTGCATTTCGATAATTTTATTGAATTAACCGACAAAAATTTTTGGTTTGGTGACACTGTGACGCAATTTTGACGTCACAGTGTATTTCGGATAGTCTCGTCTCAAACCGAATCGAACGACGGCGATTCCCAAATTGAACACTGCAAGTGATGGTACTCTCAGTTCTGTTCCACCAGCTTTTAGTTTGAGCATTTCAGACACCAATTCTGAAGCCTTTAGTTGTTCATCGTTTCTGGAGAACAACTGAAGTGACAATTTCGATTAATTATACGCGAGGGAAGAGCTGGAACAGGAACTGGAACTGGATGCAGTTATCAACGCGTGACCATGAGTCCTTCACGCTTCGGTGGAAGATATACGAAATTCATGGCGAACGAGAGCCGCACATTGTGACGTCAGAATGTCAACAAACTGATTCGGCTTTTGTCGTTTTTTTTCTCGGAAAGGTGCAACTGTAAAGCCTTAGAACTTCTAAACTAATTGGAATTTTTCAAAAACAATGACTTTGTCATAATACACGAACCAGATGCTAACTTTTAAGTCATTAAAAAATTTTTTTTTTGCTGGAGAGGCCCTTTAACATCAATTTCCCATGGTCTCATGATTGTTTATCCTTTCCCTTGTTACTTGACTCGCACTTTTGACCACAATATGATTTTTCCAATTTTCGGAAGTGATGTTTGGCTTTTGACTGAGTGCTCCATTCAACTTAGCGTCTCGTCTTTCAGCTAAGTCGCCATTAGCATGTTAAGTGTAATAACTGATTTCCTGTCAAAATGTAATGAGGCCCTGAAAGCAAGTAGCTGTTGGAAACAATTTTTACTTGCTCTTGTAACTTTGGAGAGTGACAACGACTTTTAAAAGATGGCTGCTAAGGGCAACAACATCTGTTATGTATTGATTAATTTTGAGTTTTGCTCTTGCACGTATTCGAGTGGCTTTTTCCTTCTTGCTCCTTTTACCAATTTTATCAGGTTTGTACTTCAAATTTTCTTACAAGTGCGATCGCACGCGCAAATTTGTTTACATGTGCGATTTGCCACACACGCGTAATTTTGCTCACGAAAAGGACTGCTTGCCTGAAATATTTTGTGTATGACAAAGACTGGTTCCATTATTTTCCCATGACTGCTGAGAGTAGAAACTCTAACAAGCAATCATCAGACATTATCAAAGCAAAGACTTATACAATGAACCTTCCTGCTAAGTAACCCAGTCAGACCAAATGCTTTGTCAAAAACTTTGTCTGTCTAGTACGGGATGGGTGTAACTTGGAATGGTTGTGCTACTTTTAAGACCTCAAAACAAAAGAAATATGACTCATAGAAGCTGAGAACTGCATAGGCCACAAAACTGACTTTATAAAATAAACATTCTACTCTTGATTTTAACTGTTGACTTTTTTACTTTTAGATTGCTGCAAAGCTTCAAAACAGTGCACCAGGTAAAAACCATGATATCTTTGTTTGGTTAACCCAGAACTGGATAGTTGAGGCTGACTGTTGAATTTTGTTTGATTTCATACAGTATACAAAATTTTAAACATCACCCATCCCCCAATACTTTTAAAAGTTGTTTAACTGTCATGTAAGATTTTATTTCATAATAGATTTGAAATTCCTGCACCATGCTTCAAGTCAGTTTGATTTAGTTGCATTCCAATGTAAGGCTTGTGTTAAAATAAAAAAGGAAATAAACAATAGTTTCAAAAAAACTGACAACTTCTGAACCTCCCAGTTTTCCTTTAGTTTTTTAAAGAGACATTTGTTACTTCTCTTGCACATGTGATATTTTTCTTGATTAATTGAATTTGTGGAATATCTTTAGGTGCAACCCCTATTACACCAGAACCACAAGAAACTAGAAAAAGAACAGTAGAAGAAGCAGGTATGCCTTAGAAAATTGCTTTGCTGTATAGAATGGTCATTCTTTTGAATTTTTACTTAACAGTTTATTCTTGATACGATGTTTTTGTGACTTTATTCACAAATATGTTCTTGGTAAGATGGAAGGAGAGAGAAGATACGCAATTTTGTGTGTAACTTAAGCTTTACAGATTCATTCTTGTATTTGCTTTATTTGTTTTCTCAGGACTTGAAAATGGTGCCACTGCTGCAAAAAGGTCTCCCATACCACCAGGTAAGAATATGCTGTTAGATTTGATACTATTCCCAGATTGTTATTCTATTTCCTAAAAAGATAGTTTGAACATAGAAATTTCAAGATTTGCAGTAGACGCTAAAGTTATCAATTTGGCTGCTTACTGATGTTGATTTGATTGAAGTTTGATGAAAGAGATAAATGCTACAAATGAATTTTACATTGCTTATTGGCTTTTTGACAAATTTCCTTTGCTCATATTTTTTTTATATAAGAAGTATCTGTCAACATTTATATTACATTGTGCTCTAACATTCATCAAGAATTTTGTAAAGAACATCAATCTATATCTTAGTTTCAGGGGATGCCAAGCAGGTTGCGATGCAGGTTGCTGCAAACATAACTCAAAGGTAAAGATTCAAGCATCTTATTTGTTATTTTGATGTCAACTCTTTGTGTCTTAGTGAAATTTCTTTTCCCAATAGAGGTTTTTTTGCAATGTAATAATATGTCTTAGTACACCACAGACTCATTTGAGATTGAAAATTATGCATCTCTCAAAGTTCACAAGGATTTTGTTCCAGAAAGGCAAACTCAATCATGTTTATTTCACTTCTTTCAAACAACAGTTGTTTTTTGTAAAATGTGATGAAGAACTATAATTTCCTTTTTTCTTTTTATCTGTATACATTTGATTAAGAAAATTTAATTCTTTCAAAATAATTTTTTGGATTTGAAGTGATCTTGTTATTTTCTCTTATGTCCATACACTGTAATTTGATAGGTATTATTTCTTTTTTGCAGGGCAGGACTTGGGTCAATGGTTGTTGAAGATATAAAAATCCCAAATAAATTTGTTGGACTAAGTAAGTATATAGTTGAAAGTTTAGTGATAAAGCTTACTGATTAAGACAGCCTATTGATTCTTTTACTTGTTCTGTCCATCCCTGGTAACTTTTTGATGTTCTTATTTATCTTATTTAAGTTATTGGGCGTGGTGGAGAAATGATAAATAAGCTACAGTCTGAAACGAGTGCCCGAATTCAAGTTGCACCAGGTTAGAATTTATACAGTAATGCTTGAAAATTATTGCAATATGACAGATTGTGTTTGTTGTTTTCTGCAAAATTCATTGTTAAGATTTGTTTACTTACATTTGAATTGAGTCTCTTGATAACTGTTGATTATATTATGGTTTTCCTTTTTGAACCAATAAGTATCCCACCTCATCATTCAAAATAATGATCAGTAGTTTTCTTTGAATTATGAAATTCAGTTTTCATCATGTCATGTATATATATATATATTATTGATTTTTTTAGATCCAATACCTGGTCAAAGTGCTTCAGTACAGGATCGAAATATAACAATAACAGGGGCACCAGCTGCTGTAGAGTGAGTTGACAAATATTGTGATCAGAAAATTTATGTCTGATATTTGACATTTGTAGAATTTTCTATCTAGACTTTCCTCTCTAGAATAAATAGAACTGAGAAAAGAATATGTTAGAAATTAAGAATGACTTTGAACAGTTTTTCTACAAGATCATACCCCAGGACTTTCATTAATTGCAGCACTTGTTAGCACTTTATGTTAAGTTTGTCTCAACCCATCTAGAAATACTTACTTCAACCCATTTATAAATGCCTTAAGGCCTAATGTATATATTGGCTGATGATTCCTTGTTGAAAGGATGAGACAGATTCCAGGAAATGATTAATTTTCAATTGTCATTGTCTATCAATAACTTCTTCATATAGCACTACTGCTTTTTGTGAAACAAAAATTTCACTATGTATAAACATATTTCCTTTACTTGAAGGACTGCTAAAAAACTTGTGAACAAAATCTGTGAAGAGGGAAAGGTTCCTGAGCATTTGGTAAGCCATAAAAGTACCTTAGCTTTCAGAGTTTTGCTATTTTGCTGACGAGTAATTTACATATATAATAATTATCAAGGTTTGCAGAAGGACACTTTCTGAAACTGCTCTGCCTAATTTTTGATAAAGCTCTTGATTAGAATCAAACTAAAGGTTGATCTGTGAAAAGCCAGCAATTTTGAAGTTCAGTGGAGTGACCAAAGAGTTTAAGCTAATGGGGAGATTTCACCATAGCCAAGGCAGTAATATATTTATTCTGTTTTTATTAATAAGCCTTTCTCTGAGCTTTTTAACCCTATAATCTTCAAGGTTGGCTGCATCGAAGTCTGAAGTCAATATTTATCTATCTTTGTATTTTAGCCTTCTTGCCTCTTCTCTTCTAGCTTGCAGTACCAAACCAGCCTGGTGAATTTGTTATTGAACACATGATACCGGCTAGCAAAGTGGGCTTGATAATTGGTGAGTTTCTGTTTTTCTGTAAGTTAATTATGCTTGAGAAAGCTGGTTATAGCATATTGTGGTCATTGAGATTTAATGAATTCCAAATTAGCTATTATTTTTATGGTCTTGTTGAAGCACTTTCTGTTTTTCATTAATATCCTATTTTGCCTGTTAATTTCAGGAAAAGGTGGGGAGACGATTCGCAACTTACAGGTAAATCTTGCCAATGCTTGTATAATAATGATAGCAGTACTACATTTGTATTAATTAGCTGAATATCTTAACCTGAAATTGAGCTATGGTGTTTAGTGTTTAGTGTTTGGATAAGTGTTTAAACAGGTTAGATAAATGGTTAATATAGTCAATACCGCAAATCCTTGAATTGCCCCCCTCCCTAAAAAAGCCCCCTTGAATAAGCCCCCACCCTAGAACTACAAATTGTCAATAGGCCCCCCACCCTCGAATAAGCCCCCACTGCTACCGTAAATTTTCGAACTGGATCCCTCCATCTGATGATTTTTGCCATCTGAGGTTGCCTATGACATTTTATTTAATTACTACAACAAATTCATACTTTTGGTAGTAATTAATTAAATGCTCATAAAGAAACTCCTACTAGAATAAACATAGTCTTTTAATGATGTTTTCTTAATGTCTACAGTAATTTTATAAGCCCTCCTCGAATAAGCCCCCATCCAAAAATATTAAAAATAAATAAGCCCCCAGGATGCTAATTCGAGGATTTACGGTATATATATATACTGTTATTTTTTCCCAATTTGAGATTCAAATTGAAAAGTAGACAATTCTGATATAAATTTAATTTGTGCATCAGCTATAAGTTTTTTTGTTCTATAAGTACCGTAAATCCTCGAATAAGCCCCCAGGGGCCTATTCGAGGAGGGGGGGGCTTATTTCAACGTTTACTATTTTCCCCAAAGGTCGGCATTAAAACAACATTACTTTTCTGACAAACAAACAAAGAACTAACAAATATTATAATTTTTTATCATCACAAAAGTTGCTTTTTTGTATTTTGGTCTCCTGTCAAAGGAAGTAATACTGTAAAGCTATTGTCCTTTGGGGGCTTTCTTGAAATAAGATATTATTCTGCAATCATGCTTACCTCTAATAAGCCCCCTATTGAAGGGCTTATTTGAGGATTTACTGTATTAAGATCCCTATTGAAAGCATCCTGTTAATTTGTCTCTACTCTTTTGATTTCATCAATTATTTATTGGAGCTAAAGTGTAAAAAAAATTGTGTAATTGCGTTATTGAGACTGAAAATTACTATTTTAGTCTAAGTGCTTTTCTTGAATTCTTATGTCTGTCAAGGTAAAGAATTAATTGGATTCATATTTGATTGCTAAACTTTTTATTGACTTTATACAGGAACGTGCTGGATGCCGCATGGTCATGATACAAGATGGGCCATTCCAAAATGCACCTGAAAAGCCCTTACGAATTACTGGTGATCCACAGAAATGTCAGGTATATTTTCAACGGCTATATCATGGTTTCTCAAGGCTATTCTATTATGATGTGTGATTTCTACATATGTCAATTTGACAATTTCATTTCGATTGCCTTTTTCGTGATGTGTCTCTTTATTCTAACTGTAGTATGGAAAGCAGATGGTGCTGGATTTGTTGACTGAAAAGGAACTTGAGGTAATTTATAATGTGTTAGATTCTTTGTAGTTTTGCTGTCAATGATGATTCAACGGTCCGTGTTACTGATTCAAAATGATAACACTATGTTGATTGGCTGAGACAGCCTAAACATTAATGCACAAATCAAAATAGAGCTTCTTTGTTATTACACTTTAAAAAAAGCGATTTTACATCATCATTACTTTTTGTCTTAAATTGAAAATCACAATTTGAAAAACACAGATTGATTTTGGTTTTATAGAGCAAACCAGGAATGGATTTCAAAGGAAGAGGGCCTAACCCTAACTTTGGTGATAGAAGAGGTGGCCCAAGCACAGAGGTATGTGTTTTTTGGGCTCAAACATGTTTCACCTTACCTCTATCAGTATCTCTGTTGTGTGTTTGTTTTTTCGTCCCCAAACAAGCAGGATAGCTTCCATCCTCTATCCAGTTTTAAATACCAATGTTAAAATTATTTTTGTACCTTTACATCATCAATACAATCTAATGTTCTGTTTGAATTATTTCAAAAGCTGTAGTAGCTTGTTTGTTTGTTTTTATGATTCATAGATATTTATAGATAGATTAATAGATGTTTATTAAATCATGGATTCTCTGTTGTTTTTCTGTCAATGATGATTCAACGGTCCGTGTTACTGATTCAAAATGATAACACTATGTTGATTGGCTGAGACAGTCTTAATGGTTTTTTTGTATTATTTGATATCCTTGATTACCAATGAACTTCTACTCAAATTTGTTTTGATGGTAATTGACATTCTTTGCCTCTCTTTTGTTGCTAACTGTTAGTATACAGATCACTTCATGTTCAGGCCTTGTGAGGAGCAAAAAGCAGGTGCTTGCCAAACTGAGCATATTCAACGTTCTAGGCACTCGATTGAGATCATTAGATATTGTCAATAACGCAATTTTTGCATTTAGTTTTTAGACAGCATAAACACGATCGTGCTTGAGCACCTCTCCTTGCAAGGCTTGATCATGTTGCTTTGCTGCTGATTTTGTTTTACAAATTTCAATTAAAGAAGCAATGATTTAATAATTGCCATATACTTAGGTGCCTGTGCCAAGAGATATTGTCGGCTTTGTTATTGGTAAAGGTGGAGAAACTATAAAGCGAATTCAAGCAGAAACTGGTTGTAAAGTACAGTTTTCAGTGCGTAAGTATACTTATGTTGTTTTATTCATAAGCCATATGTACTAATTACACATCTTTTACAAGACATTTTTATTAAATCTTGATCTGGGTAAGTGGTAATCAAACCGCTCTTCTTAAATTTGTGGCTAGCACTGTTAAATTTGGCAAGTTTTATTAGGGAAAATTTTTTACAACAGTCATCCAAAGTCCAGCCTTCCATCCCTTACTGTTTATCATCGTTGACGTTTTAAGGCTAGTCTTATTTTCCAATATAATGAATCTAGATCCAAGATATGAAATTTTTTCCATTTTTTCTTTTGATCTTGAAATATAAAGCTATGTTATTTTTTGTGTTGTTTTAGCTGATACCGGTGGCCAAGACCGCATGTGCTTGTTGCAAGGTGATCCACAGCAAATCAATGAAGCAACTCAAAAAATTAGGGAAATCATAGAAACTGTGAGTATATGTATATATATTTGATTTGAGCCAGAGTTGTGTCTGTTCTAAAAAAGTATCCATTGTTTGCAAGTTGCAGGAAAACTTTTTTGACAAAATAATTTACTCCTTTGTTGGGAGGCATTTTTTCAAGAGGTATATTTTTGTTGATGGGACATATATGTTAATGGAGCTTTGGTTTTAGTTGGTGAGGTTATGAGATATATTCAGTTTATTCTCCCTGTAGTAAAAAGACAGAGGTTTAGAAAGAGTTTGTGTAATTTAGTGTTGTAATATGAAGATACTGCTTATTTAGTGTGGTAATAAGGAGATTATGGCTCTGCAACATCCAAGTATTTCAATCCCCTTTTACTGTAGTTTTTTATGCTGTCTGTTTGGTTTTACCCTGCTGCCAGTGATGATTTAACTTCGGTCCGTGTTTTTGATATTTTTATGATAGTATTTTGAAGTCCTGAGGCAGCAAATTGATAAGTTTTATAATGGGTTTTTATAATGGGTAAAAGTATGTATATATCTGTAGATGAATATGGGTAAATTTGTTGGATCAGATTGTAAATCATTGGATCGTAAATGATAAATTAATTACTCACTGAGTTCAAATTTGGTATTTTTATAATCATTCGATTTTTATTGATCCTTTGTCATATCCCAAGTGATATTGTGCGTTTTCTTACATCCTGTTTATGATCTTGCTACTTTTAGTCAAGAAGCAGAGGACCACCAACAAATCGTGGGCCACCACCAAATGCTCCTGGTGTGAGAACGGTAGAGCAGCCAGTACCAGCCAATAAATGTGGTATTGTCATTGGCAAAGGTTCGTCCCATTGTTATCCCACCTTTTTGTGAAATAGTCCATTTTTGAGACAGAAATGTACCTAATTTTTACCTGCGACAATTCTAATGTATTTTGACAAGCTATGAAAGTTTGGGACAGTTAATTCTTAGAATCTAGACAGTTTCCATTTTGTGTGTACTGAAGAATTTTCACTAACTGAATGCCTTTATATAACCAGGTGGTGAAACAATACGACAGATCAACCAAATGAGTGGAGCTCATGTTGAAATAAACAAGGCAACAAGTAACAATACAGACTTCAAGAACTTTGTGATTCGAGGTGCGCATTTAATTGTTTTGATTTATCATGATTCATAAAGCTTGAAATATGTTGAGCGAAGACCCTTTTATTCTGTTGCATCATCATTTGTTGGTTTTACTTTGAGCAGGAAATGACGGCCAGATTCAGCATGCACAGCGAATGATTAGTGAAAAATGTGGTATAGATGTGACCCAGTTCTTGGGCCAGGTTGGCCAAAACCAGCCTGGAATGGGACAAGGGCAGCAACCTCCCCAGCAGGCCCAGCAGCAATGGGGTTATGGCGGCTATAATGCATATGGACAGCAGCCACCACAGCAGCAGTATGGACAGCCACCACAGCAACCATACGGACAACCACAGCAGGGATGGCCTCAATATCACCAGCAGTATCCACAGGCTCCTCAACAACAAGCTACACCACAAGCAGCTCCAGGCCAGCCACAACAAGATTACAGTGCAGCATGGGCTGCTTATTATCAACAGTATTACAATCATTATGGTGGTGCTGCCAGTACAGCTCCAGCTGCAGGGACACCTGCTGCACCGGTCGCCACACAACAGACTGCTGTACCTGCTGTTTCCAGTGCAGGTATGACTTTTCATATCCTTCACATGGCATAGTATTTGATTAAGTTACTTTCTCCTTCCTCGATTCTATAGTTTTTCTAACTTTCACGGTTGCTGTCCATGATGATTCAACTTCGGTCCGTGTTTTTGAAATTTCCATGATAGTAGTTTGAAGTGCTGAGAACAGTGACCTCTTTTTGCCACAGTTTTTGTTTGGCTGTACCTGCCTTTTCCGCTAGTTAATAGCAATTTTGTGATTCTTCTACTGTAGGTCAACAAGCAGCCACTGGCCAGGCTGCCCAACCGGATTACACAGCAGCATGGGCAGCTTATTACCAACAGATGTACCCAGGATACCAAGGTGGTGCACAACAGCAACCTGCCCAACAGCAAGGGCAATCGCAGCAGTAAAACATAGTGGGTAAGTTACCTACAATGTATCATCCCTGCAAATATACTTGCTTGTAGTTTAATTGGGTATCTTTCACTATGTCATGTAGAGATTACTGACTGCAATAGCAGCCAAAGTGTTATGGGAATAAAGTTGCGAGCTTATACACTTGTGGCTCCTATCACGTTCTACCTACTGCATAAGCTTGTCTATCTGCATTGGTCAACCTTATGGAATTCGAAAAGGAGCTTGGAGATGAGCTTTGGCTATCAGTGCTTTTAATTGCAGTGGAATCTTATCACAAAGTTCACAGTGAACCACTTTGGTAAGGCTAAACCATTGTCGTCCCTTCATCACAGCTGAAGGGACGACACAGGTATCCCAGACGACACATGTTTCCTTAAGGACACATGTCGCAGGTGTCCTAAATGACAAAGGTAAGTTGCAGGATTTTTGATGATGATACAAAATCCGTTTCTATTGTCTCTTGCAGGAAATGGTTGTATATATCATTTATGATGTCATTTATGATGCCGTTTACGATGCCTACCTTTATCGATGCCTTGATCAGTTGATTGTCATGCTAAGCATGTTGCATTGCCTCAGTGAATTGCCTCGATGAATGTCTTAACTGTCAACTTGATTTTATTTTTACACTGAAACGTGACGATGGTGAAGGAATATGTCTTCCGCGGCCGCTTCTTTTTTCTATTACTTGCAGTTTATTTAGATTTTTATGTCATTTTCATTGTATTATATAATCGGTAGATATGTCTCACAGGTTAGTGGAGATAAAGGTATTCGTCTATTATTACTTGTATATCTCTTCTGTTCTCTTTTGCATTTTCTTCACACCAAGTGATTTCGAGCATTGAATTTATCATCAAGTTTCTGACTCGAAACATCTAAAGGATTCCGCATATTTTGTTAAAGCTGCATTTACTTGTGCAAACATATAATTGATTTGCTGTTTTAACATAAGATGTTTTTGAAGTGAATTTTTTTCATCATTGGTACTGCTGCTGACCAGTTAACAAAATATTACTTCCGTGTTTAAGAGAATTTGTTGTCTAAATAACAGCTTGAAATTTATTTTAACCAAGACTTGACAATATTTTACTACTGCTTACAATTGTTTTCAATGGATGTCATTTCTTATAATTGATCATTCTAAATGATTTCTTATGATGCCTCTTCACATTTGTTAATATTTGCTTGACTGTTGCAAAAATGCGATTTTGTGTGAACAATTGCTGTTACGTTTTCCGACGATATTTGAGGCTCTTGAAGAAAGCCTTATTAAAGAATTATTCTTACGTGAATAAACTTTCAGTCACCTTGCAGTCTTGAAATAATTTTATGGAAAACCTGTGCAGCTAATCTTCATGTTATTTGCAAAAAATTAATATACCTGATAGAGGTTTTAATTTTTACGTAAGTATAATCAACTAAATGGCTGCTTTTCCTGCTGTTTCTTGACATTGAATTGGGGATATCAGCACTTGGAATGCAAAACTTTGAATCGTTGGTTAGATATAAGCCATTATTTTTCTGTCTTATTCAAACATGCTATATGATCGGTACACAACTCTACGTAAAATGGTTGGCAATTGCCTGAAGTTTCATGAATGCCCTTATTTACCTATTAATGCGTCATTGCATTTTCGCTTCAGAGATAAACATCGAAGCTTGTGCTTCCCGTGGCTATGTTTCGCCCTGGCTGCCTGCTTGCCTGCCCTCTCGGTGCACTACGCGAGTTTTGTAAGTTATCCGCTCTTCTAAAAATTTCGCGAGTTTGCCCATTTTCCGTCTGGGCATTGATCTCTGTAAAACTGAATTTGAAAATTTTCAGCATATTGAACTGAGGTTTTCTTTTATTGTGATATAATCTCTGTTTTTTCATGATCTCGATGCTGTTACATCTGGCACGTGATATTAAGAAATTGTTAATTAAGCTATCATTACTCTGACTCAGTATAATTCTGGATCGATCAAATTGATATGATTTTGTCGAACTTCGAGTGTGTTTTATTTTCATTAATGGCGGTCATTGTCTTTCAAAATGTCTAGAGCTTACTTGGCAATATGTACCATTTTTGCTGTGCCTAACTATTTATCTCTATCAAATTCATTTCAAGTATGGCAAAGCATCTTTATTTGATTGTATACTTCAGTTAAAAGTTTTATGCTTTTTTGTGCCTTCATGAAATTATTTGATATGCCATTGTGATCTGTTCTGGATTTGCCTTGGATATGCCTTATGAGCTATTCTGAATACTTTTCACAACATTTTCTTTCTGCTTGAAATGAATAAATTCATCATTTTTCAAAAATGCTGCCGATAATTTTGATGAATAATTTTCTTCTCTTCACTGTACATTTTGATGCCTTGCAACATGAGTTATTAAACCTTGAACTATCCACATTTCATTGAGATTTCATTTATTATCTTATATTTGGGTTGATGTGTAAAGTACTGAAATGATTTCAGAAACAACTGATGAATTTTAAGCTAAGGTGACAAGACTCAATAGGATAAAATACTGAAAGGAAACTTTCATGCAAATACTGTTTGAAACTATAATACAATTTTAAATCTCGTCCTTTTCTTTTAGAGGGTAACATTCGTTCTTTTTTCTATATGCATCTGTCATTTGTTCATTTTCTGAAATTCTGAATGCATTTTTTGTTGAACAATGTACCTTTCATTGTATTACAACTTTGATTCGTTGGATTTATTGAAAATACTTTTTCGCTAATGATAAACAAAGAGGCTAACGCTCCTCGGCTATTAGGCAAGCGATCTCAGTTCACATCTAATAGATCGACATTATTGTTCGGCTCATCAAATCAGGTATTTTAGCATATTTGTCCTTTTCTATTGTTATTACTTGCATTTTCCTCTCACGGCCCCTACTGTTTACAGTGTTATTTTTCATGCATGTATAATGTTGAATCTCCTTGAATGCTTTTATGACGACTCAAATTGTGGATAATAATTTTTGTCCTTCAACCCCATTACAAATTTCCCAAGCTGCTCTTGAAAAGAATTCATATTTGCTTTTGGACATCAGATTTCTCAGTGAAAATATCGTGATTGCTTTTATGCTCGTATCGCCATCTTGTTATCATCTGTGGAATGCAAATAGTCATATTTTCGCAGTGATGCTGTTTTTCCCAAATATATCAGCAATTACTCTGTCAGAATCCTAAGCGAGAGAGGGATTACACTGCAGATGTGTGGTGAAGGACTAAGCGTCAAGCCTTGGTCATTTCCTTGTCAATGAACATATTTAAGGGCGTTTTCTGGAGCGTTCTTTTAGTTTATACCATGAAGACCATATGTAAACTGTGTAACTTTTCGGTTTCATACTGCTTTGTAGTTAATTCTTGTCCTTCTAAGAGTTTGTTTCTATATTTCAAAGTTTATTCTAGTTTTTATATTTAGCAAGAATTAAAAAGATATTTCAATCGACAGGTTTACGAAATTTGCTCTTTTTCTTGTAAATCTTCCTATTTAGATACGGTAGTAGTGGTCCACCGAACCGGATAGCGGTCTTCGGAGCAGAAAAAGCTACTGAAATAAATCGTTGCATACTGGAAATCGTAGTTTTCTAAATACTGCTACGTAGCTACGTCTACAAATAAATTTTGTTGATGGTTTGCAAGTTTAACAAATATGAACTCTAACATTTTTAAATTAAATTGAGACGAGCAATCGCGTTTTTCGTCTTTCAAAACTGACGTAGAAAGTACTCGTCCAATTTTTGCTATCGATAATCGATTCAACACAAACAGTCAATTTTCCAATGCGTTCTAAGAATTTAGCACTGAATTCTGCATCTGAAACGATGCGAAATGATTTGAATGTCTCATTCTGATTGAAATCGTTTTCATTATTTTGTTTAACGTTGCCCCTGTCAGGAGAAAGTTGCTTACGACCTCTGTCTTGGTCTCTTTGAATCTTTGAAAATACAGGAGTGCAACAACTCTCGAGCTTAGTTTCATCGGTATTCCGGGGATGATGATGTTCATTAAGCCCAGTGAGTGCAAAATACTTTCTTGAGACTCTGATCTTCCTCTCCTAAAAGAAATCGATGCTTTTCTTATTTTGGGCGATATAACAGTAAAAGCACAATTATATTTTTATAGGGGAAAAGGGAGGAGATGGCAGCATAGTGTATTTCTCCCTATTTTCACAAATTGTGTTTCTAGCCATGATAGGACTGAAGCAAATTTACCTTTTTTCTCAAAGATTTCCAGTCTGCGCTTCGTAGAAATATGTATGTATCGGGGGTTTAACAGACATGAAGTAGGATGACAGTGGACCAAGAAGTAGCGTGTGAAATAAACAGTTTTTGTACACAAATGTGTGTTCTTTGGTATGTAATCCTCTGGAATTGGGAAATATTACATAAACATAGATTTTTAAGGTAAAGCTCACTCACACTATGGTGCTTGTCTTTGGTTTTTTCTTTTATTCTGTGATAGGGAATCCACAGCTCTTGCGGCCTATTTCCGACATCATATTTTGTATAAACTTGTAACGTTTCGAACTGTTTCACAATGTTTTGACGCAAGAGACTTTGCAAGCTGTAAAGAAGCCTGTTCAGCAAAGTACCTTTGCCAACCCGGACAGTTGTCTTCCATTGGGTAGAGTCTAAGATCGACCATAAACCGTTCTCGCATGTAGAAAGCGCTTGTAGAGACCCTGTTATTGTATCATAAAATATCTCTGAGTCGTTCACTGTCGATCGCGTTAAGTACACCGGCAGCGATTTTAGTTTATCATCTTTTCCTCTTGCATCAACAAACCGAATTTGTTTCGCTTCTTTTCGCCAAGTATGAATTTCCTCAATGTCATGTGAAGCACGATACCCTTGAAAAAGAGCCATTAGACCCAATCTCTATAGTATAAACTGATTCCAAAAAATATACAAAGGAACTAGCGAAATTTGTATCTATATATTAACTATTCATTAGAGCTTGCTTATTATCTGACGTAAGATTGCTCGCAGGACTCTCATAAGGTTTATTTTGAAGACCATTCAGTCTAGTTAGACAGCTTGTCGAGAGTCTACATTTTAAAAGATGATGAGTATGATGAATGACTGGCTGACTGTATAGAACTCGTTACATGGGTATCATATGCACGATTTATTAGTCGTTAGTTAGGCGTTATTTATACAGTGCGCGCGCAAATTTTTTTATATTTCCAACCCCCAGCCCCCTTGTATGCAAAGTACCATGCGAATGGCCCCCTGCTATAACGATTTATCAATCGAAATGTAACTTGATTAATTAGTGCGGTGGGAGAGAACTCTTAATGAATTGAAGTATCATGGAGAGTATAGGCGGTGCACAGAGAATTACTATTGGAAAGCCCGCGCTGGTTTTTTAGGGCAAACCCATTGTCACCAAGCCAAAAATTATTTCCCTAGTTATTTCTGTTTGTTCATTTCATTTTCTCTAATGAAACTTTAAACCCTTCATAAACAAATATAGATAACATTATTTTTTAATTACATTGATGTACATACACACGTTTCGAACATTTAAATAGAAGGGCTTGTTACTGAAAACAAAGTACTGAAATTATCAAACAAGCTCTGGAAGGTTGCAAGTTCTGGAACTGCCCTCAATGATTGGAAATAAGAGATTGGATTTCGAACTCCTGACCTGATATTCACCAGAATGCGTTCTTTTTATAAAAAAATCTGATTATTTGAGCCCTGTATAGTGGACTAATTTGCACGTTGCAGAACAGGAAATGACGTATTGCCCAGGTCTCTGGAATATATTAGAAATTGCATAAATTATGGTTCGCATAGATATTGATACCAATGCACAGTCGAATGTCTCTTTCACGTCCAAAACAAATACAGAGAGGTGGGAGTTGTCATTTCAGTCTTTGAAGCAAAATGCCATTAAATCTCGGAGATGAAATGCCCAATTTTGAGGCTGATACCACCATCGGCAAAATAAAATTTCACGACTGGCTTGGAGACTCGTAAGTTCTTTCAAGTTATCTTGTATACATTTTCCCGTTATTTATGCCCGCTTGCTTTTTGAGCCACGTGGGTCTCTAGTGTTAAAAACTTTGCAATTTAAGTGAAACTATGGTTTGGAGGTTACTTTGAACAAGACAGCTAGCAAGAGAATGTTTCATTATGTAACTAATCAGCGGTGTACCCGAAAACCTAAAGTCTAAAAGTGTTGTTTGTGTTCGATTAAAGATTGATTGGACTATGGTCTGATAATTATTTATTTAGCTTGCATATTTAGCCGCTAAAGTTAAAGTTTAGTGTTCTCAAAGCGGTAGGATTGCTTTTTCACTCACTGGACAGAATAAGCTGAAGCCAAGTAGAGAGCTGGAAAGAATGTGCACAGAGCAAACATGTGTAATTTGATAGGTGCATTTTTGAGTGAAAGGTCTCGGAGAAAGAACGGTAATTGTCCATGTCAGTATAAATTGTTGATGAAAATGACTGGGAGACGGTAATCATTGACTGGAAATGCTGGAAAGATCTCAAGTTTTAGTGTTTACGGCAGATAGTTGTGTTGAGTAATTATTTAGAATTCGTACCTGCCTGCAAAACCAGGCTTTGGCTCAAGTTACAGCTGAATAAAATGTTTTCCCTATCCTGTGTCAAAGTCATCCTTATTTGCAGAAAAATTGCTTTCGCGCATAGATATTGGAATTTTTATATTTCTCTCTATGCTTTCAAATGCGTACCTGCTGTGCTACGATTCTAAAGCCTTTTCTTCTTCTTGAATTCAAAAATTCTACCCCTTGTTGCTGCTAACCATGGCTTTTTGTGGAATCAATAGCACCACTAATGCTTTTTCAATATCTGTTATTTGAACCGTGCATCGTTGAATTATTCTCCTAGTTGGGTTGGGTTCACGTAGCTTGCGTTTGTCGCTACTTGGAATCTCCCCTAATTGTAAAGTCTATATAGGGCTGGGCCCCAGGGTGGTCACAACCCCCATTTTTTGCAAAACAAAGAGCTTTCTTGCCAATCTTTGAAAAGTTTTTACTACAAAGATAGAATAACCTCAACAATATGTATACCTGAAAGCTCTTGTATCAAGTTTATGTTCCCAAATCAGTGAGATCTGTTGTTCCACCGACTTAGCTCTATTGCTGGGTTGACTAAAATTCTTTTGCCCTACCTTATTGTTTCGTTTGTTCCTGTTATCCTTTCTATTGCCCTTTTACCTTCATTTGCCGGAGACTCCACCATCTGCACAAGTGCTTGGCATAGATACCAAGGCTCATACATCTATTGTAACAATGATAATTTCAAGATTTCCTTACTGTTCCAAGTTCAGTTCAGTTTTTCAATTTCACTACATTTAATTTTTTGTGATAATTAAACAAACAAAATAACTACACCACTGGAAAAAAGAAAATGTTGTATAGAAAGTATTCATGAATAAGTGAAATTATTACAATATTCATTCAAGGAAACTAAGATAACAAGGTGCATTGTATGGAGGGAAGTTCTTAAGGAGGAGCTCTCTTGGTAGTCAAACTAATCAAGGAGAGAGCACCCCCTATTTTGACAGTATTTCATGTAAATTCAATTACTTTTTTGAGATTATGACAAGAGTAGATGGTGACCTTTTAGTGTCAATTATTTTTAAGATCAATTTTCTCCATTCCTTTCAAAGCGGAAAGGTTTGAGTTTACAAAGAAATTTGTCTACTCTTTCTGCCTGTTTCATTCCATTTAAATCTTCCTGAAATTAGAAGTTGTGCTAGTGCCTAGAGGAATTCCATTGATTACCTTTTGTCTGATTACATTTGGCACCAAAAGAGTTTTATTGTCCTGCATAAATGTGATCCTTCACAGTATTTATGTAGGTTTCAAGTGCATCACTGGATTTCAGTATTAAAAACCCTTCAGGATAGTTTTCAGTTTGACTGAAAGAACCTCAAAACCCCCTTCCTACTGTCAGTTCTCTTAAGGTCTACTAAGCACAGGAAAATGAAGGATGATACATACTCAATAGATAGGAATTAGGTCATATTGGTGACAATTTTGCTTACACACAAAGTGCACACTCTGGAGTAAGCACACACCCTTGAACCTAGTTTTTAATAGAGTACACAGTTGGCTTTTTGAGAAAATACAGTTGGAATTTCTTTTACAAAGGATTTTTGTTGTTGAATATATTTTATGAAATGTATATAAAATAATAAAAAACCATGTTGATTACAGCAACAGAATAGAGAAAAGGTAGAAGGGCAACTCTCTTAACACCTCTATGAAAACAATTGTTGTTTGGTTAAACTTGTTATAGTGGATAAGTGACACACCATTTCAATCAATGTGACTGGTCCTTCCCAAAGTTTTGCAGGGCAAACAGCAATTGGTTTGCTGCAATCTGTGAGTAAAGGCATTTTTGGTCATTTTCGTTATAAATTTGCCTTGAGCAAGCACTCTCGTTGATGACATACTTTGTTAGCCTCAAATACATTCACACATGTGCTTGCAAAATACATTTGAATTCTTATGAAAGGAGTTTCCCTTCTGCACCTTTCTTACTCCATGCTACAGCGCACAGACTGTCCTTTTGCAATTTCAAGTGCATCTTTTACTTTGTAGTTGGGGAGTGCTCTTCTCTCATCCAGCTGACTATACACCTGTATGTACAACTGAGCTTGGAAGAGTGGAACAGTTATCATCTGAGTTTGCCAAGCGTGGCATGAAGCTAATTGCACTGTCATGTGACAGTGTTGAAGACCACAAGGGTTGGATTGAAGACATCAAAGCATACAATGGCCTCCAGACTTTTTCTTATCCAATTATTGCAGATCCAAATCGTGATCTGGCCATGAAGCTTGGGATGATGGATGCTGATGAGAAAGACAAAAAGGGACTCCCATTAACATGCAGAGCTGTAAGTTGAGAAAAACAATTGTTCTAACTAAATTTGCCAATCAATTTTTTATGGTATGATGATTGAAACTGTCTTCCATTCAGTGCAAGTTTATAATTTAACTATCACTTTGTGTTCGATTGAAAGCATAAATTTATTTCAATTTTTTCAATTGCTTGTGTTATTCATTGTAGGTATTCATTGTTGGCCCTGATAAGAAAGTGAAACTTTCAATTTTGTATCCAGCAACGACAGGAAGAAACTTTTCGTGAGTCAATAGAAACTTATTTTCATCTATACATTGCAGAACAGGCCTTGTGATAAACAATTCAGCAGGTGCTTGACAAATCAAGTACCTTTAGCTCTTTAGCAGTACTCAGTTGCTACTTTAGCAGTACTAGAAAATATGTATGGCTCAATGCAATAAGATATAGTTGAATTAGTAGTCAAAAAAAGTTGGAAAATGCAGGTTGCTCAAAGTTCAAAGTGTAGCAAGCTACTTCTGATCAGGCATTTGAAATTCTGTGATTTTTATCATGATTATATTACCCAAGATTATCTATTAAAAAATCCCATCATTTAATCTTAATTTCTTTACATTTTTCAGTGAGGTTTTGCGAGTTATTGATTCCCTTCATTTGACTGCTCAAAAGAAAGTTGCTACCCCAGTTGATTGGCAGGTAACAACTTCTATTTATTTTATGTTTGTTTCCTAAAAAATACTGGTTTGTTTGTCTTCTTGCTATTTTTCTTGTTGGTTATGTTAGAAAGAGGTTATGTTGGTAATTTTTCTTGTTAAATTTAACTAAGCCCAAACAAGGGAAAGGAGGGAGATTTTCACAAGAGAGGGTTTTACTTTGTTGTTATCATTTTTGAAAGAAGACAGGTTATAAGAGTCTGGGAAGCAAGAAGAGGTTAAAGCATTCCAAAGCTTTGGCAAGGAATGAGCTGCGAGACAGAGTTTATGAAAGGGTTAAAAAGGGTGAGCACTGAAAGAGTTTCTGGTGTTTCAGATATGTCTCAGGGGATCAGTGATAATACCTCCATCTCTTAAAATAAATGTCAAAGGAATTTCTGTAAATTATGTATAGGTCAGCAACACAACACCAATAAGAAAGATCTACACTATTGAGAAGTCAGATCCTCACCAAGCCTTGTTTTGCTTTAAAGGGTTAACTTCTCAATAAAATGTCTTACTTTTTTATGTTTTTATTAACCAATTGACAAATAAGGGTTTGCTTTTCAGAATGGAGGAAGCTGTATGGTTGTTCCTTCAATCTCAAAGGATGATGCAGCTAAGCTCTTTCCAAAACATGAAGTGAAATCTGTCCCATCTGGAAAGGAGTACATCCGTGTTACCCCACAGCCTTGAAAGACTACGAAGGACTTGCATGAACAAACTTTCCTGATTATTTGTAGCTGATTATTTTTTCCTTAACTGAAGACCACATTTGTAGTTGCTGAATTTTATTATGAACACTGTTCTTCATGATTAACAGAGACACTTTCTTTGTAACCTTGCTTCTATGGTAGGTGAGCTGATACCTTTATTCCATTTGAATTTGAGTTTATCAGTAAGTGACAAAACTGTGCTGTTTTTTAGTCAAAATGTATCAATGTAAAAGGAAACATATTGCATTGACATTCAGTCTAGCAAGCTCCAGCATCTGTTTACTTCCTGAATTTTACAAAAAATGATAATATTTTACTTGTTTGAGGAAAGCAAACAAGACAACCTAACTAGGTACCACAAAAAAGATAACATGAACTTTTTTTGGATCAATTTTAAATATGTAAGTTCAGTTTTACAGCAGTCCCTTTGCTTGTGGGATTTTGATAACGATTTATGTAATAACTACTGCTACTTATTTATTAGTGTCACTTCATTACAGTATAGTATTGGGACGAAACACGAAGTATTTTAACTGAATAGAGCAAACCTCGTTTTCACGACTCTCCCGCCAAACAATGCTGACGTCAACATCCCAGCACCACAAGTAGAGTTATGGGCGTCTGCTTACTGTTTCTAGTGTTTGATGTTGACTTAAAATATATACTGAGATCAAATGGTAAGTGGCTTCAAGTGCGAAGACATCTGTAGTATATTGCATGGATTTTGGACATTTCAACTTGAGCATCGGGCGGCAAGATTCTTTGTTGCCAGAGTGACAATGAATCGCAATTCTTTTTGTCTGCCTTACATTAAAGGTGAGATTCAAGTTTTTCAACAGTTGAAGTTAACGCTAAAAGTGAAGGTTATGCAAAGCAATTATTTATTAAAGTCAGAAAGAAAGAAATTTGAATTTTGGCCAGCCAACGAGGTAAATTATGCCCGCTTTCCAGCGAAGAGCAAGCTGGTTAGGTCTATCTCTCCTTCAGAGACCAGCATCATCGACTGGTTGATAAGCAATCCAAAGTTACTATGTTCAAAATCAGAAACGTGGACGAATATAGTCAAGCAGCTTTGCTGTTCAGAGGCAATTGAGATGGTCCTGTTCTGAAATTATATGAAAAGCCAGCCAAATTTCAACCCTTTCATCAAAGTTCTAAGTGTTTTACTTCTTTCTAAATGTTTTCAAAAGGGTGGAAGAACGCGATAAGTGAGTTGAATTTTCTAGTCAATAGAAGTTATATGTCATTATTATATTATGATTGAGCCTAGAATATATGCTTTGCCTAGAATATAATTTTCTATTATGATTGAGCTCCAACAATCAAAGAACGAGGATAGAAAATATGCATGAAAGAGAATGCACTTGAAAAATTAGGGTAAACTAAACACCATGCTGATTTTTTGAATGAATGTTTCCAATATTTGATTTATTATTTCTATCAACATCTAATATACTATGAAACATTGAAAGAAGGGCATTACCAACTTTCAATTTCAAAAGGTTTCAATAACTACGACTTAAAGAGAGTTTGAAGCTGTGTAATGATTGTTTATCGCAATGTGATTATAAACAGGATGGTAAAAAATATTTCGTTAAACGTGGTCGATTTCGTTTACTCTTCAAAACATTTATTGAAACAAGACAGGTTAATTGTCAAACTTGAAATGTTGAACTCAAAGGATTTCTTTGAATTCATGATTCTGCCCCCCCCCCCATTTTGCTACCCTCTCTAAATGCAATTTTGGCATGAATTAAACCTTGCTATTCATTTCAAAAATATTATTACTATTCATTTCAAAAAAGGCAGTTATTTAATCTTCTGACCATTATCTCATGCTCGCCCCTTGTAAATTTAAAGGTTCAAAACTTTTGCCAGAAACCATATTTTCTTCACTCAGCATCTTTCCAAAGTCCTTCGGGATCGAGATGATAAAAGAAATTTAGAAAAAAGAATGACAAAATTCTTCTCTTTGAAAAACATCCTCTAAAATCTAAGAAAATAGACTTTAATACATTAATCTTAAAATATAAGAAACAATTCGAGTAAGCGATCATCAGAAATTTACAAAACTTTTCACAGAAAAAAATTCATTTTGTTCTAAATGATGATGTAAGTTCTTATCAATTAAATTAAAATTTCGAAATATTTATGTTATGTACACAGTTTGGCTGAATCTATTTTGATTTTTCTCTTTTGCTTATTATGGATCTTGTAAGATCGATTTAAATTTAACGCTGTAAAAGAAGCCAATCTCGCCGCTTCCCTAGTAATTCAGTTTAGAGAGCGGCTGAGCTTAGAGAGCGGCTGAGCTTATACTCAGCCAGTAAAAAAATTGTACATGGAACCAAGAAATGCTTGTTTGGATTTTATGTAGTTAGTATCAAAATACATTAAAAGAGACCCACAAAAACCTTATTCCTATATCAGTTTGTTCACAGTTTAAATATCCTCACAAAATGAATATTGCCGTTAATGGATTTTATGTAGTTAGTATCAAAATACATTAAAAGAGACCCACAAAAACCTTATTCCTATATCAGTTTTTTCACAGTTTAAATATCCTCACAAAATGAATATTGCCGTTAAACGTTAAACTAGAAATCTATCGAAAGATTGCCAGCATATGACTCAAATGACTCAAGACGGTAACGAAAAGACTATTGCCAAAACCCTCTTGATAATGTCTCTCTCTCTGAGGATTTACTCGCGTCACCCTGTATGGGAGGCTATCTATGTATCAAATTTACATAATGGCAGCTTCAGAAAAACATTCTTTAAAGTCATTAAAACCCTTTAAATCTACACTGGATATGGTCAAAGTATTATTTTGGCATCCTGCGCAGGTGCTTTGAAATTAAAAAACCCCAGTTTGAAGTAGCCAAATTATAAATGAACCCTTAGGACAGTAATCGAGTCAGGTTCCACGATTCGACCTGCGAATAACCTTAATGTTTGGGTAGTAATATCTAGACTAATAGTGGCATTTTATTAATGCAAAAATGCTGTAAGACTTTATGGCTGATATTTCTAGGTACTAAAATAGTGTAAAAGGCACTTATAAGTACTTCAGAATATCGAAGACTATCAGTTGTCCTTGACGAGGACTTTTGTCAGTTGTGCACTTTTTTAAGTACAAGTACCGATGCAGAATTAGAATCAGATAGCTAAGTAAACCCCCTTTAAATTACAAACTAACAAAAATACCCTTTTAAATTCACTATTTCAAAGTCAACAGAGCATAGCTCTGAATATCACTGAGACCTTTTATGCTACCTCCTGTGTAATGATTCTTTTCTCTTCTTCTTTAGACGAAATTTCAGCTCAACGCTCTTGTTCACTGCATAGAAAATGTTCGTGTTGTGCGGTAAATGCAGATCTTCTGAAAATAAAATGAAAAAGAATCGCATTTAAACAGTTCTAAACGGTAAGAATTATGAGAATTTTCAGTGTTTGGATTTTTCATCGCCTTTTCCCAAGTAAAGTCCAAATAAAATTTTAATCACAGAAGCATAAAATATATACATTACAGAAAACGATTTTGTTTCGTAGAACAGAAAGGTTCTATACACCGACACTGCGTACAGCTCTGCCTATACGGCATTGCGCATTCAATGGTAGGCCGGCTAACAGTAATTTATAATAAAATGTTGAAAAATACTAATGACAAAACTACAACTGACTAAAGTAATTTGATTATGTGTCCAATTTTAAAACACAAGGTCGAGTTGGACTCCACAAAACCGGTTTGTAAATTTTCTAACCCAGTATTCAAAGCATAATTATTTCAAGTGCGTTTTGACAAAGCCTTGTATAAACACACAAGGTAGCTCAAAAACCTTAAAAATTATCTTGTTCCATCATAGCAAGGTTACAATCAAGTTGTAACTTACTTGAACCCGGGATAACTTGGTAAAGATGATAATCTTGAGCATCGCATTTGATGTTGTACTTTTCCAGACCCTTTTTGATGATATCATGCGTTCTATCATTCGAAGATACCTATGCAAAGATAAAAATGAAATTAAGGAATATGCCCTTCTGCCATACCAGTTAACAAAAATTCCGGACTCCTGGATTACAAACGATCAACAGGCTATTTCAGTAGACTCAAATTATTACTGCAAAAGTCTTAACGACATGGGTCTTGAAAATCTGCAATATTTATCAATAACACGTTCTGACGGAACAACAGACTGTCCTCTCAGTACAAAGAGAGATAAAGATATGCTAGAAGATAAATCCTTCTTCTTTCAAAGAGCAAACGAGTAAAATAGTATCGCATGTGCGTCTACAAAGGATTTTGCATTCTGGAAAGATAGCTTAGCCTAGGCCCTAAATTCCTTTCTCTGATATTATTTTTCGAAAATATTTTTATTGTTTTCTTTTTTTAAATGATGCAAACAGTTCTATTTTAGCTTTGCAAAATTTTACTTCTCAAATAACTGACAATCTCCTCTCGTGACCTATAATACAATATTGAAATATGCTTTTCATGGCTCATCAACAATGACTATCACAACTTTTTTGTCAGTAGCTTTTAAGTTATCTTTGTGATATTGGATTTGAAGCTGCAAACTTCAAAAACCCGCATATAGCCATAAAATAAATTTCCCTCAAGGTATGTGTGCAAACAGCCCTCTAAATTTATCATGAAAAGAAATTTCTGTCAAGCGCAAAAACCCTGAGAAATGTATGACGGAAATCTAGGTATCAACAATTAATGCTTTGAAAAGTGAATGCGCTAATTAACAGACCTGTGACTTTAGTTCTTAAGGTCTGGGACAAACTTGAAAAAGGACATACCCAAACGCTTTTATAAACATGTTCGTGACAACCTTCAATCATAATCCGCGCTACTTCTTTTTCTTCATCTTGAAAAACCCTTTTGTCTTCCGGAGAAAGTTTCCCCAAATTAGTGGGGGAGTGTTCTGGTGTACCGTTTGGTGAGAGCTGGAAAGAGAGATGTACTGACGTTTTCATAAAGAATTGCTACGATCACACTTACGATTATATTAGTCTGCAAACCTTAAATCCTTGTAAAAATAAACCTATAAAATATTAACAACTGCCGGCTAAATATCATATTATGGAAATAATATATCAATTCGGATAAAAAAAGTTGACGATCCCCCTAAAAGTGTAAAATTATTGGTGATAGTAAAACGATTTGAAATATGACAACATCTATAAAACTTGAAAGAATATAGATATGAAATTATATAGCACCCACGTACAGTTTTCGAAATTTTTCTGCTTAACAGGGTCGAAAATTTCTGCAAAACTTTGCCATCTTCATCATCGAAAACTTTGCTAAATAGGTCCGGAACGCTCGCATGTTTCCTAAAATACAAACTGTATTTTAGAAAATGAACTGTATGGAAAATAAAATTTTGCAGTGTTTGTGGCTTTAAGGCCATCGATTCGTTAAGAAAGGCCTAAAAAGACAGAATCATACGTAAAAAGGAAGGAAAGCCGTATATATTCTTACTGCAAATTCGAAATTTTCCTTTGTGCTTGTGGGGTGGTTGCTCTGTCGTTAGGTTCAAGTTCGCATGACTTTTTATAGCTAGAAAGAGAATGCAGGAGAGTCAAGCGGGAGTCATTCCATTTGTAAGAAATAAACATATTTTAGACGAAGTCATATATAGTTGATTAATTTTTTTTAGTTAATATTTGATAGCAAACAAATTAGTTTAATGATTAAGTATAAATATAATTATTGAAGGTTTAGTTTGCCATATTTCAACATTTTTCTTTTAAAAGTCTGTTTTATTAAATGAAGGATATGAAATATCTAAAAAATCAATTTGGTTGTTTTCTGCTTTAAGTGCGAGGGACAAAAGCTCATCAACAGCGAAAATCGGAGCCACAACTTTGAACCGTCCTTCTCTATACACATTAACGTGCACAGCTCTGCCTATAAGGTATCACGCACAATTGAAAAAACCAGTAATCTTCATTGATTATTTTCTTAAAAGTATTCTGCTTACTTACGATATTAGAATTAATTAATACGTTTAATTAATAACAAGAAAGCCTGCGTTACCTTTCCTTCTCTGAGTACGGTTTTATCGATCGAAACCAAGTTAGAAAATCCGGATCTTTATTAAGCTGGTAATTTTTTGCCGCCTCTTGTAGAAGTTTTATTTGTGCAATCACCTCGAATTCCTGATTGAAACACAAGAAACAACTTATTGTTTGTTCTATTTTAAAGGATTAAACATACATTGTCTAGGAAAAGGATTTTCGCACTTTGTAAAATATCATTGGTATACCTGAGGTCTTCCCATAGCTAATTGTCGTTTTTGGTGTATGTTTATGTGTGAGACGTGTATCGCCAATCTCTTACAGAACGAATATCAATTTTAGCTTTGAAAGGGGCTTATTTCATATCAAAATATACCCCATTCTGAATATTTAATCGATATAAATGAATCCCGTACTCGTATTTGAAAGAAAAAATTGAGAAGCTGAGATTGAATTTGATATAAAAAATGCTCAGGAAATTGAATCAAGCATACCTTTCTCCGTTTGTTGAAATTTATGTATCCATTCTGCAAAGGGTACAACAAAGTTTTTTAAGAAGTACTAGAACGATTTGTCAACACACAGAATGCCAAATAATTTGGTCATAATGATATCTAAGTTCAAATGTGCTATATTCGCTTTTGTGCCAAGAGACAGTCATAGAGGGCCAATAACTTGCAACCGAACCATCTTTTTTCTGAAACATCATTTAGAGCAGAGCAAACATGGTGCTGACAAAAATCAGGCTCACTTTATTAAAAACCGTTCATATATTGCAATAAATGAAATCATCAGTTGCACTTGGTACTAATAAGCCGAGTTTAATCAGCCTAATATATAAAATAGAGATCTTTTAATGATACTGAGGGTTTAAAATTGCATAGTTTCTTCCAACAAACCCGACTGTGACTAGAAAACAATCCTGTGTGTCCTATCGCAACATGACGCATTTTTAACAACACGTAATAAATTTACCTCTAATTTATTTGGGTTAGCAGAATCGATCATGGTCAAATCTGTTAGAAATGTTCCAAGGTATGGCACAGTTCCTTGAACAACTCCCTGAAAGGATGACAAGAGTTAAAATTGCAAAAAAAACTAACTTTGCATTTAAAGATAAAACACGGTGGTTTTTCACTTGAGTGTAAGGAAAAGCAGTTTTATGTGAGGTAATTTTCCTCAAGGTAGAAAGTATCTATTGTTCAATATCTTTCTTGCAATAGCTGTCTGTCTTTAAGTATCTCTCATTAGTTTCAAACTATGAGGTATTATCGTAAGATATAAAATATATCTATTGGTTATAAAATATATTAGGACAAAACAATATATTTATTATCATAGCTACCTGTGCTCATACTTATAATACAAGAAAACCGCGTACCAGGCTTAATTTCACTTGCATTTAAAATATTGTGAGAAAATAACACACCTCACGAATCCAAGATGCTCGTTTCTTCAAGGATTTTCGACCAGACCTTCCATCGATAGTTGCATATTTTGCAGTTCCTTCCTAAAGAGATATAAATTAACCGTGCACTCAACTTTTATATGACCCTACTCTTATGTACCAATTTTACATAAATTTATTCTCCAGTGCCAAAAGGTATCCTGGATAAAAGCAATATTTCTGTCTCTATTGAGTGACAAAACAAAGAAGCACATAAAAACCATAAGTGTTTGCTCAGTCAGGAAACATGCTATGCACTAGAGTTCCAAATCCAAACAAACCTGCATAAGAAGGTCCCTGCTTGCTTTTGAATTCAAATCATCAGAAAATATCTCCGAAAGCTCTTCATACAAAGACTGATTTTCCCTAAAGGAAACAAAGTTTATTAAGCGATCAATTGTAGGCTGTCATAAGGGCCGCACTGAGAAGGGTAAAAAATGATTGCATTTTAGGAATTATAATAACATATTATAATAATTAGAAACTAAGATCATAACCTCTTAGGATTGAAACTTTCCAAACCGAAACTTTCCAATCTCTGAGGATCGAACCTTGGAAAAATAAATAGCAAAAAGGTCTTACTTGGGCAGGAGAGGCCACGTTTTCTTCAACCGATGAATGGGTGTGCTTTGCAATCCAGAAAGAATTGCTTTTAATGCTGAGAAATTTTTCAAGTTCCGACATTCCTGAGAAAAGAACAATTATTTAATTCATAGCATTGATAATTCCGCTGAATTATTTTCTTAATTAATTAAAATGACAAGATTTTGAATTAGAGCATGTATCTATATTGCATATAACTTCCACTCTTATTCATTCCTTTTACAAAATACTCCCCAGTGCCTCATGAGTGTTGGCTGCCATTACCCAAACTATTGCATCTGCAGCTGCTAAAAACAAGGGTATGACAGAATACACAAGCTAAGGCAACTGCTTTGACGCGTTTATGGAAATATTAACTTACAGGAAAGCATTTCGAGCAGCTTTCGTAGATTTACATGTACATATTTCTTACCCTGCATATCCATTAAAATGGGAGGCATTAGCAGTGTAATGGATTGTGAGATTTTCCAGAAAAGTTAAATTTAACTCCCTTCTCCTGAGGCACTGTCATGTAGTATAAAAATACAAGTACAGTCATGTAGTATAAAAATATGGGAAAAGCTGATAAACAGCTTGCCTCTTTTTCAATTAAATATCTTTAACAACGCAAGGGATATTAAATTAGTATTTTGACTGTAAAAGAACCAATTACTAATAACATTTGCTACTTAGCATCCATCTGGCGCCTAGTTCTTCTGATTTGTAAGAAAAGAAACCACAATAACAAGCATCCAGTGATTAATTCAGAGTCAAACGATCGTTTAAACTCACAATTATACACGTGCTCAACAAAAACATTGTAATGGAGGAAATTTTTACGACTAGTTTATCAATAAACCTATTCCTTTTTTTTGTACAGAAAAATTTAAACCTATCATTGAGATTAACAGCCCTGATAGTAACATTGGTCAGACAGGCCCGAAATAGCTCACACTGAATGACTTTTGAAAGATAAATCAATAAAACAGGTGGTTAAACACACTAGTTTTCAAACCTGTGAAATAGTTTATTTGTACCGTTAGCGTTTGAAAGGTGAGCCTAAGAAACATCAATTGCAAAAAGCAAATGCGTGTAAATATAAAAAGCAAACAAGCCTTCCGTACAGCAAAATCTCAAAATAGCACGAAAAACGGAACACAACACAAAATATCAGAGCCTTTTGTCCTACACTCCTGATAAAATGAGAGAAAAACACACTGTTCTTCCGCTTACTTGACTTAAATCTCCGATGGATGTAAATCTTCGCTTACCCTTGATCATAATCCAACGATGCTGGACTAAAATGCTTTAGTATTACGTGCTATTTTTCGCTTTTCGCGCTATAATTGAATAAACAAAATAAACGAATAAGGAAAACCTGGGGATTTTAAGTGAAAGCCGAATGTACATAGAAACATGTGTCCATCTGTGGTCAGAACAGAGAAAGAATGCTAGCTTAGGTGGGGCATGTAGTACTAGAGGGAGGGGGTGACGTCGAGTGGCTTGTTTCTCCTTGGCAATTAAGATGGTAAGAAGTTTGAAGGATTGAAGGATTACCACTGACTAAAGCAAGACATAAACCAAAGATTGTCATTTACATCGGCAACAGTTCTCAGCTTCTTGCAAAAAGATAAAGAAAAATAGAAACGTCTAAAAAATACCCGTGCTATTTCGATCCAAGTAGAAATAACTTTAACTCTTGCATGTGCATCTTTTAACTTTGTTTTGACACCAACTGCATCTAGTATTGACGTGGTTACTGCCATAACAACAGCATTAAAGTTGTCTACTGTGGCCTTAATAGTAATTGGGGCTTTCGTTCCCTGCAACTGGTCTCTCTTCGACCAATAGCATGCTAAGCAATGCCGTGGTATGACTCTTCGAAACAACTCCTAGAAATAAAACATGGAGCCAGTGAGCTCAAATAAACAAAAAAACCTGGAACAATAAACAATGGTTGAGTAACACATATATTAATTACACTCTTTTTTATAAGAACCAGATATATATATTTTTTGTCGAGGCCCCATGTTCTTATTTTTGGATAAAATGAGGCTTGAGTATGTCTCAGGGCCATGAACAAAACAACAGAAGGAAGCGTTAATATAAAAAAGATGGAACAGCCAGAAACGACTTTGTTAATCAGATTAATAAACATAGGGATCAGAGGTTTGTCTTTCATGTGACATGTATTCTCCAACTGATCCAACAATTATACTAAATATTTGATTTTTCGATTTCACTCTAGCCATACGACCAAAACCAGCTCATAAAATCTTAAGACATTATTTTCCTATGGAGAATAGCTTCTGTACTAAAAAATCTCGCTTTTATTACAATGTCACATACAAGCAAAAACCATAATAAGTTCTTAAATGCAACTTACTGCGTCGATAAGTGTAAGCTGCTCAGCAACCAAAGATGTAGAGAATGATGTTATGTTTGTATCTTCATGTAAATTATTCAGTTCACCTCTGAATGAAGGGCTACCAACTACACCACATTTGCATCCAACTGGTGTATCGCAGTTACAAAATTTAAATCCAAATGGATCTAAAAGTGATAGAGAATCCTTTATGATTAAGTCTCATGCAACCTTATATTTTGCCTTATATAAACAAGTCTATAATGGGTGATTGTATTTTTAAAACTCAGAAACAAAGACAGGAATATAAATTATTGCCAGGGACAATACCTAATAAAAGTATTAAAACTCTTTCAATCAATTTTAAAAAATGCCATTTCCTCCAATAAGTCAGAAAAAACTGTTAATCCCCCAGTGAATCATTTATAAGCCCATAGTCTGAGCACACAAAAGTTTTGAAATCCTTAATCCTACATTACATCTGCAGTCCTGCATGGATTTGGCCAGCAAAGGCAGCATCTAATGTTGTCATGCAGAGGTCAATATCCTAGATCATTAACTTGTTAGGGTGTTACCAAGGGAATTTTCAAAACTTTGCCTTTTAATTCATTCCATGTAATGCATTTCAAGTTTTTTAGATAAAATTGCAATCATTGGCACTGACTGGCCAAACAAGACAGGGCTTTTACAGTGTAATTCTTCTATGTTAACCTGAAAGGTATGTTTTGCTTACGTAGGAGAAATGGAACCCAAACTTAAGATGTTTTGAACAAAATATCCTTACTTTAGAAAAAAAGAAGGGCTTCATTTTCTTTTCTTTACTCTTCAAATAAGTGTGAGTTTAGCAACAGCTTACTGGTTACATGACTTTCTTCTACTTGACATTCATTCCAAATATGGGTTAAACTTTCACTTGCTTTTTACTTTATAGTCAACATTCATTCTCAGAGAAGTGCCAGACAAAAAATTCTTTAGTATGTTTCCATACTATTTTAAGTTTTGCAGGACCAAAGGTTTATTCAATACAAATATCACCCTCTGTTCTCATAAGTCCTTACAAGCACTCAAAAGCAGTAGATACAGGAATGTTTTTCAAAGAAAACATATAATATGGGCTATTTTTGGTGCAGAAAACAGTGCCCTTTTTAAATATCTGTGTTTTGACTTACAGTCAGCTAAATTTCTGAAGATAAAACTAAAAATAACACCAACAAATCTGATATTCTAAACAAATTGTCAATTGTGATAAGAATCAAAACATACCTTCGTAATCAAATGGACTAACACATAATTTATCCTTCATTTCTTTTACTTTATCTACCATTCCACTGGTGTTTACATCATTTTGCAGGAAGTTAATAATCGTTTCAAGAGATTGGTAACTCGGTGGCTCATCAAAGTCAGCTGGATAATGATCAAGCCAGACTGAGAGAACTCTGAGAACTGCACTGGAAGTGAAAGGTACATTTGAAAGACTATACTGTGTCTTATTTCTGCAAAACATTGAACAAAATTTAGCTATTACATCTAAGAATTTCAAAGAATGTCATCAGTGAGTAGGCAAACTCAAAGGAAAATAATTAAAATGTGGAAATAGAAGAAAAATTGTTAAGTTAGAACAAACATTACCTGAAAACATGATTTGCATGTTTTTCACTAATTTCGCCATTATTAAACTGTTCTTTGATTGTCCTATACCTAGAAAATTAAAAACCACACATTTAAGTCACATAAACTACATCAAGAGAATCATCAGCCTGAAGCTTTTAAAGGTTTCAGTACATGTTTACACCTGTGATAAAAAATACATTTGCTGCAAAATATAAACATGTTTATAGTTTAGTTACCTATGAACTAACAAATCAACAACTTCTTGGGTTGAGGCAAATGTCTTGTATGTGCAAAGAAAGCAAACGAAGAAGCCTGGGTCGTCTTCTGAAACACTTTCATTTGATGGAGTCAAGTGCTCAATAATCTTGGACAAAGTTCCAGCTTTCAAAACTCTTATTTTCAATGTTTCCCACAGAAGACAAGAGACATCATTGTCTGCACTTGATCCAACACTTGAGCGATAGCGTACTTTCTTTAGTGTTGCCGAAAATATTGCTCCGTCTTCAGCCTCATCTTTTGACCATAGTTTTGACTGTAGAAAAATTAAAAAGAGGTCATCAAGTCATAAAACAAAAAAAGATGCTCAAAGTTTATTGTCAGAGTAATAAATCAAAGTAGGACTTCAGACATCAGGCCCATGTTTATGATTACCATTACACTTGTGGTATGGTATAATCCATGCTTATCAAACTTTATCATCCTTTTCACCTGAGGAATAGTAGGAGCATACCTAGAGGCCAAAGGGGGGGAACTGCAATAAAGGGGCACAAAGACTTGCGTGCAGGTGCAGCTGTATCAAAGAAAAGCTCTACTAGGGGGCTCAAGGGCATTTAATTATAATGCCTCTACTTTAGACCAGGCTGCCTTTTAAGGACCAAATAGCCAGAAAACTTTGGGTTGATTTTTTATGATTTGTTCTCAACTGTAGCCTAAGTAGATGCAAAGACCCCCAGAAATAGCATCATAACAAAGTGCATACAAAAAGTAAAAAAAATTGAAAATGGTCCAGCTTTAGGTGTGTCAAAACAAACCATAGATGACTTAAAAAGTACATATTGACTACAAAGTTGAGATTTATGATGCAATATTATTCCTGTTTCTAATCCATTAAACTCCAAAAACTACTATTCTCTAAAATTCAGCAAATTTGACATTAACAGTATCACGTTTAGAAAAATAATTTAAAAAATGCATGTTAAAAATTAGCATGACTAATCACCTAGCATCTGATATTTTTATGATTAGCTGATTATTGGTGATCGATTAAGTGATTGATCTGATTGCAGATCACTCACGATAAATGATAACATAACTATGAAAATTTAGAGGTAGACAGGAATAGTGGGAATTCGTGTTCACTTTGTTATGATATCGACCTGGTTTCTATCAGGCCTATAATAATCTGACAGCAGAGGTCAATATACACATAGGTGTTTTGTCTGTTAAGAATTGATCATTCAAGTAGGTGGTGATACTGTTGTAAATAATAAGGTTGTATTCATCAAAAGTCAAGCATAAATAGTCCTTACAATAACATCATCTTCGTCTTCGTCACATAACACATTTAAATCGTGATCACTAAGCGACCGGTCTCGTTTAGGCTTGTTTGGAACCAACCAGATTTGCGGAATTTTCATGCGAATACGCTCCATGCCGTTGAAATATTGAACAGGACTATATTTGAAACTGCCTTGCAAAGAAAGTTGCATCCATAAGCGAAGGTTTTGATGGCCTTATTGACACAACAGAAGATTCTGTTCGTGTCCTTTGCAAATCTGCTTCCTTGTAAATAAATTGCAAAAAGCACTTCCCGAATGTCGAAAAAAACTGAAACAAGATCGCTGCCGACAGTCTAATCCCGTTCCACTTTCGTGTTATTGATCAAGGTGAAAAAACAGCGGGACAAGCCTTCTCCACAGTAAATTTCACGTCTTTGATAGTTATAGTTCCATTGGCTACAAATCAACCAGGGCATTACGCATGATATATATTGTTCCTACAGACAAAGCCCTCTATAGAAATCAGTTCCAGCGGGAGATACTTCAGCCAACATTATGTGAACTCCCTCTGCCAGTCTTTTGACTAGAGTAATTATTAGAAAGTCCGGAGTATTGAAATTAAAATTAAGCCAGCATTTTGAACAATAAGAGAAAAATTATTAATTCATCAAGTCACCCGTAATTTCAAATTGAAAGGTGGAAATTATTGCTAGGAAAAATGACCGAACTGTGATTGTGAACAAATATTTTTTCCGGAAAGTCGTCGTCAAAAGATCGCAAAATAACCAGTGCCCTATTATTTACACGCAAAAATTAATTCTTAAAGGGAGAGTGTTAGGGGCAATACAGTATAATCAATGTTATTATGGAATTCAAGTATTAAAACGACAAAGAAAATTATGTGGAGGGGTAAACATGACGACTTCCCTCTTTGCTGACTTTCAAATACATGACCTGACAGGATTTGTAATTCTGTGTCCTACTTCTCTAAATAAATCGAGAAAAGTAATATATTGTATGATTAAAAATATTAGAACATTTTTAGAGGGATTGTTCTACGATTATAGACCAGCAGAATTAAAATCAAATTGTTGCTGGCAAATGATTAACGGTCCATTTGGAACAATGCCGAAACATTTGGAAGCTCTTCGATAAAGAGGAAGTAAACAAATAGTGACCTTGATTCGTGTGGCCTACTCGCTAACAGAAATAACAATGTCAACAAACAAATTGGAAGGTAGTTCGACTTTCGAAACGTAAAACTTAGATGACTCTCGAATCCAAGCAGATTGATCTTTATCAGAACGGATATAATAACTGCGAAAACCCTATGTTTTGGAAATTTTGTCTTAAACTGCTCTCCCTTTAGGTATCTACCTGTTATATTCACTACGGTTTTAAAGTTTTAAAAATAATCTTACATCAAGTTGAGGCGACGGTGGATATCGTAATGCACTTGGGGCTGACACTGATCGTTCAGTTGGACGTCTGTATCGAGCGGGCAAAGTTCCTGGTCTGCTGTGTCGACTGAAAGGGTTCAGCGGAGACAAGGCATCGTCAGTGATATCATTTCTGTACGTAAGTTTCTCCAAAGGTCGTTCACGGCGATCCTCTTTTCCGCTTAGGCTGTAACTTCTAGACTGGAACATGATGTGGTAAACTGATTATTGATATTGTTTCATTTCTAATCGAGTTAAGGCCCCACATATTTAGACGCCTACGCGCCATTCTTACCCATCGTTTTTATCGACATGTGACGTACTTTTAGCAGCAGCAGTTAAAGTCCTTCCATCTATTGTAATGCGGATATTTGATGACAGTTAAGTGACATTCTCACAAAGCCTGTTTGTTTTTAGCCATTAAATGTGATAATTTGATACCAATTTCGTAACTGAACGACATGTTTCAATTACCAAGAATTATTGAAGACATTTTTGAGAAATTTTATGAGATAATAGAAAACCTTGGTGATAAACATTTCTTTTATCAAATTGTTTTAGGAGCTATGTAGAAGAGATTAAGAACAATTGACCCTAACAATTGTTGTCTTGTCATTTAAGGTAGGCTACTGGTCCAAAAATTGCAATTTTCCGTCAAAATTCGCATTTTTTGTTTTCGCTTTAAATCAATTCTTTATTTACTAGAGGATAGAACTGCAAACTTATTTGGCTCGAATCGTGACAGAAAAGGTGTAAATTTATGTCTAAAGCTGATCGGGATCCGTCAAACTAGCTACAATCAGCTGATTTTTTCTTTAGAAAGTTGTTTTCGAAGTGCAATTTTCAGAGTATGTCCCTCCTGCAACACAGGATAACTATACACCAATTTGAAGCTCATTTCAAGCTTGTTCCGATCCTTGTATTGTTTAGAAAGTTTGAGCTACCTGTGGTAAGAAGAAAGCCTCGTTCGTTTATGTACTTTAGCAACTAGAGGCTGGTTCTATATGACGTCAGTTTATCTACGAAAGGTGATTGGCTAACGGATTGAAAAGGTCTTTCCGATTGGTTTATCTGTGTCACATGCTCTTCAAAATGGTGGCTCCAGGGATCTCGCAGCAGCCTAGTTCGTTTAGAATTGCCAAAGTAGGATTGATTTTGAAATAAAACTTGTTATTTTTGCAATAATTATGGGCAAGACAAAGTTTAGGACAAAGAGAGGTTACGTTGGAGGTTGAAGAAAGAGGATTGAAAAAAATTTAACCGCAGAAGAAGCTGGCGCTGTAGTTATGTCGGTATCAGGAAGGAACAGCACCTAGCAGACTTGTCTTCCAGTGCTAAGAAACAACAAGTATTTGGAGTTAACATGAACATCGATTCCTCGGTAGAGAATGATGACTGCACTTTTGAGAAGCCAGAAGACTGCTACGTAATCGTACAGAAGGTTGCTGTAAATGAGTCGATAAGCTCACTTCTGTGGCCTATATGTAACAACTCGGGACTAACTTTTCATATTGAAAATAATAATGGATGTGGATTTTCAGCAAACGGAGTTATATTTTGCCAGACTTGTGAAACATCAGGAGGTATCTGATGATTGGAAAGAAAAACTTTGATGGGACAGCTGGTGCAATGGAGGTAGCTTGTGCAAAAAATCTGTTGTCAAGGTCAGTGCAAAAATGTAGATACAGATATACAACTATGCTTTGTGATGGTGACAGCAAGGCATTTTCTGCTGTTAGAAAACCAACTCCATATGGCCCTGATATTAAAATAGAAAAGGAAGACTGCATAAATCATGTCTCAAAGAGAATGGGATCTGCCTTGAGGAATCTAGTGGCTGAGTCAAAAGCACAAAAAGCCAGTTTCTGGAAAAGGAAAACTAACTCAAGAAAAGATGCTAAAGATTCAAAATTATTACAGGCAAGTGTGTAAGGAACAAAACTCAGAATCCAAATGAGTAACTGCATAACATTATTTGGAGACTTTGCCCAAAAACTACCTTTGTTGGAAGAAGAACATTGAAAACTGCAGTCATGTTGGCAATTTCTCAGTTCACAATGGGTGCGACATTCAAAGTTGTTCTCTGCCAAGCTCTAAGTCTCACTCCAGGGTCAACTTTAGAACTATCAGCAGCAAAAAAAGACCAAGAAAGGATTAAAAAGGCAGAGTTAGCTGTCAAAAGAGAAACAAAGAAAAGAAGAAGGAGCCTGAAGTATAAAAAAGACAACAGAGCAAAAAAGGATAGTGCAAGAAGGCGAACAATATGCTTCCGAAAATATAATGCTTAAAAATATTAAATTATATGGTTAAAATTAGTTATTTATTAAATGTTATATGTTATTTCTGATTGAATTTCAAGTAAAGGGACATTTGTATTGAAGAAAGTTGAAAACATACCAATTCTAGTTTGCTACCTCTTGAAACATTACTCTTAAAACTTTAATCAGCATTTTCTAAGAATAGTGATTTCGGAAAACTGGTAGAGTTTAGTGCAAAGAAATATTTAACCCCCTGAATATAACAAAACATGTCTATATACCAGAAGAAACCTTATATTTCAGACAGTGCACATAAGGCCTTCTTTTTTACATTAGGTAACCATTTGTCTCATGATTGGACTGGAAAAGGAGAGATTTATAGCCATAAAACGTGAAATTTTGTAAAATGTGTAACAAAAAAGTATAAAATTAGAAAATTAAAATTTAAAGACCTTTTGTGCACTCCTCAGAGTCAAAGCAACTGTTTGATGTATCATTTTGGCTTGTATGATTAACTACAACTAAGAATAGCTTGCACTAAGCAAGGCATGTTTTTCCCCATTCATTACCGGTTACCATAGCAACTACAAGTTATTTTAAGATTTTTATTGCATTTTTGTAAAAAGGGCAAAAAGTTACCCCAGGACCCCAAATTTTAACAGTGTAGCACTACAAACAAAGATTTTAGAATTTGGACCAGTAGCCTACCTTAACGCAACGACACGCGCTCTTGAGCCCCAAAATTTTTGCATTTCTGTAGAAAATATTCTGCAGGATAAAATCTGTCTCATACAACACGACATACAATGTCGTTGAAAGTCACTGACTTCTAAATATCTTTACAAAACACTGGGTATAATTTACAGGGCTCTCAAATCGATTTTACGTTTTGCTAGTCTCCTATTCATTTAATTAAATGTCTATAGTATCAATAAACCTCCCCCATTTTATGGAATAAAGCTTGTGTACTGTCTTTCGCATAAAGAAGCAGAGACGAAAGAAATTGCCATTATGGAAGGAAAGGTGTCAATACTATTATATTACAAATTACATAATAATAATAATAATAATAACAATAATAATGGAAACATTTAATTTTCAATTCAACTTAAACTATAAACACAAATCTCACTATTACAAGGTGATTTGTAATTGGCAAGCCTGGTTTTACAAGAAAAAACTAATAACAATAATAATAATAATAATGGAAACTTTTCATTTTGAATTCCAGTTAAAACTACAATTACAAATCTCACTATTACAAGGTAATTTGTAACTGGCTAGCCTGTTTTTACAAAAAAAGACTATTACAATCGTAGTAAAGAGAAAAGAAACAAAAAACGTTAAAAGGGGAGTAGCTCTGGGTTAGTCCATGTTTTGTTCTTGTTCCTACAGCAAAAAATGTAATAGGTGGTACGAATGGATATCGTAGAAAGCTTAGAAATGAGATATCGTTTGTGTTGATCATCGATGGAAAGAGAGTCACACATTTAAAGGAATGAGCTGCATAAGTCGCCGAAGATGCCAAGAGAGCTGATGGAGAGATTTACAAATATGACAGATTTGAACCTTGGTCTTTGATCTGAGACAAGGCGAGCATATTTTAAACGTTTCCTTTCTGCATTGCAGTTAAGGTTAGTTTCAAATCCTATCGTCAGTTCCAAAACATAAAGAATGTTTCCAAAACATATATAATAATAATAATAATAATAATAGTAAAAATAATAATAATAATAATAAAATAATAACAGTAATAATGATAATAATAATAGTAATACCTTTTTACCTGTTAGTTTGACAATAGTGTGAACACTAATAGACACTAACATGAAGCAATTCAAGAGATTGCATTATGGAAGTCATTGACTGCAAGCGTTACAGGCGCGTGGATTTTCGAATTACCAATTTTTATAAGAGCTTTGAACTGACTTGCATTTTTGGATGGTTTAATTTCATTTGGAAGAGAATACCAAATCTTTGGATCCAAAAATCGAATAGATTTTTTACCATGACTTGAAGTTTAAACTTTGGAACAGATAGAGTATCCATTTTTCGAAGATCATAGCTATTGGGTTTTGGGAGAAAGTAGTCTTTCATAAAGGCTGGATTCAAGTTGTGCAGAGTTTTGTAAACTTCTAGTGCTAGCAGCCGAATGGAGTGAATATGAATTGTAGTAGATTTAGCCTTGACTGGAAGTTTAGAATACGATACGTGTACTCTGAGAGGGCACGAGAGCATAAGCAACAGCTGTCCAATATCACAGGCACCGCGGAGCAGGGCAGGGCAGGGGGGCATTACCCCACCACTTTTTGCAAAAAGTGCCAAATATTAAGTAATCAATTACCATTAAAGCCTCTTTTTATACGGTTTTAGCCCCCCCCCCCACTTTTTAAGACCCCTCACTTTTCTCAACGCTCCGCGGTGCCTGTATCAAATGAGATCCGTCGTCTGCATAGGTTCGTAATGCAAGCCTTGCTTCTTTGGTATAATTATATGATGTTCTAAAGGTTTTGCGGCAAACTTTCTCAAAATGACACTTCGTCTGACCGATTATACTATTGTTTGTAGAACTAAACGTTATATATAAGCTCAATCTTTTTATCCCAGGGTTTTGATCACTCATATAAGCTTGCAAATAAGAAAAGAAGAAAAGAATGTACATTAAGAATATCAGAATCTTTGAAAGTGCATTATGAAGATGAAGTCATGGGCGTAGCAGATTTTGACATTTGAGGTTTTATACATTATAGATACCTGTGTGTCAGAAGTCTTAAGGAGTTGTAGGAAAACATTCTAAAACTTTGAATGGTGCTAGTGCGCGTGCTTCATTTCCAACGGTGTTTTTTCATAAAAGAAGACATTACGAAAGATAAGATCTTTCTTCCTAAAAGAAGAATAATTTTAGGTTCAGAACTTTATGAATGTTAAAGCTCAGCAAAAATTCAAGTATTCTTAAAAATGATAATAAGGACAACACATTAACCAACAAATGAGATATCAAGAAGATGCATAAAAAGATTCTATAATGTGACAGAGGGAATGGCAACCATTGCTAATATTTTAAGGCGGCTCGACTTGAATATATTATTTCTGCCATTTTTTAAAGCTAGATATCTTGCAAATCAGCAATTATTGTTAGCAATCAAGATCAATATGATTCGTTAAAGTATCAAAGTGACACATCAGGGCATGTACATCAAGTTACATTCTGCATTGTTACATTCTTCAATACCAAGGTTGTTGGATGAAGACAGGGGCATCGCCAAAGGGGGGTACGGGGGAGTGTAGTACCCCTCAACACCTTGTCCGTAATAACAATAATAATACATAAAAGATTTCTGCCGGGCAAAAGAAACAATTTTTGTAGTCACTCTATAACCTTTTTGCAACAATTGTAGCGTAGTATTAGTAACTTTTCTACGTAACGTTTAACTTTCAAAGTATGACACTAAAGTATGAACTTTGACAGAAACGTATAAAAGCAGCATTTAAGAGTATTTATCTTTTGCTCACACCCTTATTAAATGAGACACGCCCTTTTTGTCGGCAAAAATCCCTTCTTTACCCCTCCAAAAAATTGTTTGGCTTCGGCCCGGATGAAGAAGGCTCTTCAAACCAGGAAGTTAATGACAAGACATAAGAACGTTACCTATATGACTGTGGATCTTAACGTAAAGCGTAATGAATTTTTCTAGTGACTGCTCAATCGCGCTAGAATTGGATTTTGTAGGAGAGTTTGGCAAATCTAACATCAAGCATTGAAAGCATGCATCTTCAATTATAATCTTGTTTCTCAATCTGGATTATCTGTTGTGGTACACCAACTTTGGACTAATAATGAACGCGGCTGGTTTTATCATTAGTGGCCAATTTTTATTTCATCAAGCGAATTGTAAAGGGTGAATTAAGCGATAACTTGGTAATATCAATTTATGTGTTTAGAGGAGTGAGATTTTCCTGAAATCTACGTAGCTGGATTCCCTAAAGCAACGATTCTTATGTTAAATAAGGGAAAGGATATTTATTGACAGAGCCGCGCGGATCTTTGTTTATTTTAATTCCTTTGATTAATCTTAGTTACCAGCAACAGCATATATTGAAATATTAACTTTACTCTGTAGAATTTGATCACAATGTTATAAATGGCCTAAGTCAGCGTAAAAATGCTACAGAGCTCTTTTTTTTATTAATTGACACATGATGGAAATCACAGTAAGATATTTCTTGTTCATTTATTGCGAAATAATTCAAGAGCTTCAATAGGAAATCCAACGGATTAAATCATATGCCTTCCTCTTGTTCTGTCATGCTGTTCAATATGATCCCAGGATCTAACCCAATACTGTTAGCGACCACTTTTATTCATAAACGTTTATTCCTTGCAGTAAATTACTTAATTAAGAGCCCATATTTGAGAGGTAGAAAATTGATTTTTACGTTTGAAACACTTTTCAAGCCTTAATTTTGAGTTTCAGCATATGATTTCTAAGCAGCCTTGATTCGAACATTCAATATGAGAAAAAAGACTGAAACAATAGAAGAATATGAAATCATATTACTTAACTTCCTACCTGAAACTCCAACACATAAAGGAATGATATACGAATTAAGGCTAAAACTTGCCATAGAAATTCATCCTTGAAGGAAAATCTATTTGAAAGCCAGAAGATAAAATGAACGGTAACAATATGACAAATAAAGGATTTATAAGAATTGTTATAAAAGGAATAAATAATGCATCAAATGTAGAGAGGGAATTTAGCTAATAAAGACAAAGTTAAACATTATTGAATTAAAGTTGATGACATTTTTTGCTGATGTATATGTCGTTGCGATAATATAGCTAACTGTAACGATAATGTAGTTAGTGAATAAATTGAGTACCAGAATGCAATAAAGTTTGATAGTTAAACTATGGAAACCGAGTTGAGAATGTTTACCATTTTCGGGAATGTAACTTTTATAAGAAATTTGATTAATTTTCCCGTGCCAAAATATTCTTAACAATTTTTAATTTTTCGCCAATGCTCTTGAATGGTTATTATTATTGCTTAAATTGATATTATCTAATTGTTTATAAAATTTGTAATGAAATTTTTGGAATTGAAACACGCTTATACAATATAAGCTTGGTGAGCGTACGTCAAACTTTTTAAAAGAAAGAAGTCCTAAAGAGAAAGTAGCTTTGTTGTTTGCATAAAAAATTCATGTAGATAAAAATCAAACTGTGGATACTCGATAGAACTAAATCAGGGTAGCATTTTAAATTAATTCTTAAATTTCAACAATTTTGTGCCTCAATATCTAAAAGATAATAAATAAAATAAAAAATGACAAATTTCCAACATCAAGGTCACAATTTTAAAAAAAAGCTATCAATGCTCGTCCTATAAAAAGAAAAGTACTTTCAAAAAAGTATGATTATGTTATATTATTTACATATAAATATCTTTTACTTTTCATTAAACATATGTCAGACGTCCATGCATTACTTTCTAGTCCATTAAAAGCATTAAGTGGTAGTCCGTTAAAATCTTTGCACTCGTGTAGAAAAGCTATTTCTTAAAATGTTTTGATAAATTTTTTCTTGATGAAAATGGAAAGTTTTGAATATAAAGGATAATTTTAGATAAACATCAAGGCGCTACTAGAATCAACTGGGAGTGTCAAAAGGCTCTTTTCGATACCCATGCTGACTTTAATTGGTGCTACACAAACATGAGTTTTGGCTGCCATGTTTATATAGCAGTATTTGGAATAGAGCTCCTAGCACTTTACGCAATGACAGCAAGAATTTTATCAGAAGATTTTGGTGACTTTTCGTGAAGCGCAAATGCCTTTCTTTTGAAAGATGACCCCATCTGAAAAATGTTTGCTATAAAATTCGTATTCCCCAATACAGTATCAATTGGGAAGCAATTTTTCAAAGAGTATCAAATGGGAAGAAATTGAATGGAACCCCCCAAAATGAATTTCGTTTCGACGATGCTGAAATTGGCGTCTTTTAAATTTTTTGGCTTGAAAAATGTTAAATGTAAAAAATGAAGGGGATTATAGGTGCGATTAACAAATACAGAAGAGAAGAAGAAACACGTAAAAAGGTGGTGCAAGAAAGAAAAAATAGCAAAGAATAGACAAATAATATTCTAAAGATTTACTACACAAGTAACATTCTAAGAAAGTTTTACTGCAGATTGTTTCCTGTATGTTTCATTTTTATTTTGCTCAAATATATTGATGAAGAAGAGTTTCCGTTTACATGTAGGAGTTTTCTCCAAGATAAACGAATATCAAAGGAGTTCATAAACATGAACGGAAGGCTGTATTCCTTTAAGTACTGCAGTTTGCTTCTCTTCAGAAGTTTATGTTACCAGGGTCATCTCGGGGACGGGAGCACAGGGCAAGCGCCCCTCAACGTCCTCCTATCAGAAACGTTGCGTTTTTCCAATGAGCCACAAATCATGCTAGTTATTAAAGTTTCTTGTTTACGAGAGAATGAGGAAACGGGGTTTGATCCTTTATTTGTAGTTATTTCAACAGGACCGTCGCTATGGGGGCCACCAGAAGTGTGTCACCCCCTTGATTAAAATTCCGTTGCAAAAGCGAAAGGTTTTTGCTATCTATGGGTGCTTAGTCGGCGAATTTCCAATTTGTAGGCGACACACAATAGCTAGCGATGGCCTAGCTTCAAGGCCAAACTTCCAAGCAGGATACAAGATCTCCCGCTCTGAGAGCTACCACCTCGAAACCCCAATCGATTGTTCTTTGCCAAACTTGCTAGCTTCGTTCATTTCTTCTTGGAATTAAAAATGTCTATTTTAAGCTTTATAGTTCATTAAAGGTGGGCACTTTTTAGCCTTCAAATGAATGGTTGCTATTAAAAATAAGTCAATTAAACAAATCAATTACTTTTGGTTTGATAGAAAAGAATTATCTCACTTCAAACTCTGACAATAAAGGAAATTTTCGACATTGTGAAAATTTTCAAATAAGGCCAAAATTCTCATTAAGCGACGATGATTATGATGATGATTATGATGATGGACGTCCATCGTTGGTAAGCCTCGTTTGCTTTGTTAAGTTGGGATTTTTGAAACGAGGCTATTTCTTCATGCCCGCCATAATTTCGGTAGTTTCTGTTGCCTGCCTAGTTCAATCGACTGCAATGTTGGAATTTGTGATATATGTGTAACCTGTAATGGTATAGGAAAGTAGAAAAGGTATCATGATGCTTGTTTTTTATAACAATTTATTTTGTACTCTCTCATTGTTTTTCAAATGTTGGAAGCAAGCCGGTATGCAAAATAGGTCCAGCTTTACGATTTCACTGATTTGAAAACTCAAACCTTTTCTCAGCATCAAATTGTTAATTTCGAGAGTGCAGCCTCCAAACATGATATAAATTGATATTACACGTTCATAAGATTTCAATTTACAAACAGTAAGAATGAAAGAATGCCTATGGCAATTAAGAGCAAAATGCTGGATGGAATGACATTCCTGTACAATTAAAAAGGACGCCATCAGTCAAGATGTTTCGTCAGAAACTGAAAACTTTCCTGTATGAGCATAACTATTGAATCAGATTATTGATAGTCAATATTTACCCATAGTTTTTTAAAATTAATCTGAAAAGAGCGGGTGCTCTCTACTTGACACAGTGTTAGGCCTATTGTTCTCAGGGAAATGAGGACAGCGAATATTTTGCCATTTAACAGACGGCAACAAGCAACTTTCGAAAATTGAGTGATTTTCAAAATTCAGTAATAAATCATACACTTAATCCATAAACCTGCGAATAATTTTAAAAGATATATCAACTTTTGCTCCCTTTATACCATAAATTTGTTTTTGCAGGTTTTTTTCTGGTTTCCAGGGAAAAAACCCGAAAGGATGACCATTTTTGTGATTTTCCAACTCGATCGTGAATTTGGCCGAAGTGCTCCTCATACTTTTCTCAGGCATTTCCATATGATAGATGATAAATACTTCATTTTTTTGCATGAATTGGCCAGTGAACGAGGCTAAAAAACTAATGGGTGCACAGGTCAGCATTTGGTGTGAACCAGTCAAAAATCAGCTTTTCCTGTGTTTTTGCAAAATTCGAATCTCAATGGTTTTTCTAGTTCAACAATTCGAATCACTTTGGTACGTTTTTCTAGCAAAAGAAGCCTGTTTGCAGAAGCGTGAGCCGATTTTGACGGCCCGGTCGGCCTAAAGCTTAATGTTTGCCTAGCGATTCTCAAAGCTGCAAGGCCCCTTCGCAGTGTATTTCTCTTCGGCTTCTCCGTCAGGTGCGATGAAAATATCAACTTAAAGGTGAAACAATTTAAAAAAATTCTCAAAATCATATTTTAATACATTTCCTACCTTTTTTAGAGTGTTTGATACAAAAATATCTCCAATTATCCTTGTTTGGTTGGTTTTGGCAGTGGTATTGATAAACAAATTCTGTTAAAGAATTTCCCGGGAAGCCGATTCAGGGAAACAAAGTTTTTTTGTAGAAAACCAAAAAATTCAATTACAATTCTATTTCAACTTTTTAGTACAGAATTTAATGCTAAGTCCAAAACAAAAAACAGCTCTTCTATAGCTTTTTCAGATTTTGAGATATCATCAATTTTCTCTGATTCGGTCAGAGAACGGGCCTATGCTGTCCTGACTTCCGCTGCATAACAGTTGTGTAAATTAGCTTAGCTACAGCTGACACAAAAGTTCTTGATGAGCTCTTGCATGTGCACATTCGTTCCAAGCACATTTTCCCCATGGAAACCTCTTTTTTTCTATCACCTGGCAACAAGCAGAAGTATTCTATAATAATGCAATCGTGAATTTGACATGCAATTTCAGTTTTTGCATGCAGATATACTGGCCTTGTGCGTGCATCTGCCATACTCTGCAGACTGGAATCAAGGTAGAGCTATCCAGGCCATGTGAACAGTCAAAGGTTCCAACTCTCCTGATTTGGGCAGGAAATTTGTTTATGTATCTTTTTTAAATCCCATTTCGGAATACATTTTGTTGAGCAAACATAAAGGATCTACCGGACTCTATGTGAAGTTTTTCACCATATCTACCTGGTGGTTGTGCCAGCTACTGCAGAATGGGAGCAGATGGGGCTTACCCATGAATATTACACAATAACCATTTAGAAACTCCCAGTTTGAATATTCTTAGGTTGGAATGTTTGAACCAGACCACATGGTTAGGGCACTAGTTGTTCAAAAAGTTCAGTTTTACATTAAGCATTAAGATAAGATAAGATTGGCAAAAAGATAAACAGATATTAAAACATTATGTAATAAAGATGTCTCCAGTGTGTAAGTGTGTACCTAAAATTAAGTGTGTGCTCCAATATGCAAGAGATTTTTGAAGTTTTGAAAGTTTTCATATTCTTTTCTCTTCTGTTTACTGTTAAGTCACATGATTTACAATATTTTGCCTTTCAATTAATTTTACTTAAGGTGACTAGAGTGGAAACACTTTATATCATACTGCTGATTATGTCTAACCATCTTTCATCAATTTTAGTTATTTATGCTTATAAAGGGAACTAAACAAGATTTATCTATTTGTTATCATAATGGTTATCTGTTCTATTATTAAGCTGCAATTTCCAAGATCAGAACCTATTGCCTTTTGCTGTAGTCAAGTATTAGTTTGTACCTCTGAGTTAATAACACTTTTATCCAAAGAAAAAATTGCATGGATATTAGTAGCAGTTGCTGAAGTTTCTCTCACCCTGCCCATTTGAAATCAAATTTTCATAATGCCGCATCCAGTCTCAAGTGTACATTATCATTTTTAGGAAAAAATTGTTGTCAAGTGGACAAACTCTGCATACTGGAGAGAAAATATGCTGATTAGGTCTTTTTCATTCTGTGAGCAAGCAGGAATTTAACTCCATATTTTGGAAAAGTGTAAATCTTTCAGTTTAATTGAAGTATTAGTTACAACTTAAATTCTAGTCTCCAAGTTTAATTTGTAACATAAACTATAAACATAATGCTTATATTGAAATTTCAAATTGAGGTGACATCTATAAGAATAACTAAAATAATTTTATGATGCTTTCTTGCCCTGAACTCTTTTAACTGGCATTACAATCTCCAGGTCATCTCTTATCTGTGGACATGCTACAGAACTTACTGTTTCATAGCTTCCAAGGCTTTTTATATTTATATGTACAGGGTATTTTGAAAAATTAATTTTTGTAATCCCACTTATAAAAAGAGAACTCAAACTGAAGCAAAAAAATTGATGTAGCAATTTCATTGATAAAGTAATTGGTACAATCATTTCTCTTTTTGCCTCACAATAAAACAATGTAGGACACTAACACAACTTTAACAACTTCATGACAAAGAAATTTGGGAATTTAGGAAATTTGCCTCCATTTGCTAGTGACTAGAGGCAAAACATGTCAGATTTCAGGAATGTAAGAAATTTCACCTGGAAGCATAGTATATGCCATGTCCTCACTCAAACCTAGCGTCTCCAGCATTTTTGAGTAAAAGAACAATACTACCATTCGGGACTTTTATTTAAACAATAATTATCCAGCAGGTATGGTGAAAATTTGAGGGCCAAGTGTCACTGTTGTTCTCAAAGTGTCTACAAATCCTGTTTCACTGGTTGCTGGGAGCCTTCCAAAACTTTGCTTCAAATTTAGCTTCTATTTAATTCTGTGGCGTGGGGATCCTTGCGTGTTTTCAAAGAGCACTGTAGATACATTTTAAGTTCAGAAAATGATGATGAAAACTGCATATACTGAAATGTAAAAACCTTCTTTTTAGATGTTGAATGGGAAACAATCTTCAAAGCAAGATCCTGATTATGATGAAGTCATCGAAACTCCAGACTCATATCGCAGAATCAACGAAGTTCATTCGAACAGAGAACAAACAATCAAGAGAATCAGAGATATATTAGAAAGGCATTTTAATGGCGAAATACAAGCAAAAGAAGAAGAAGTTCTTCTTATCGAAAAGAGGGTAGCACAGACTCGTGAGATGATTGATAAACTAAGGGCATACCTCTTAGCAAACTATTATGGATTTAAAGGTAAAGTTATTTACGGAAAGGACCTAAAAAGGAAGGCAAAATACCAAAGAGTCGACGGCAGCTGTTCAAGGGAAAAAGTAAGGGAAAATCTAAGTAGAAGCGGAGATGATAACCTTTCGTTTGACTGTGACCCAGAGACTCAGAGGGATGAAGAAATTAAAGCTTCGTGTACAACAGAAAGTAATTCAACAGAGGCCTTAAGTACTATTGATAATACGAATAGACACTTGGCTTGCAAATCAGAGACGGTAGATGATGAGGATGGTGTAGCAACGGCAAGTCGGTTTTATGTGCATAAGAAAATCATCGTGGGAAATATTTCAAAGTTCATTCCTTTGGAAAAACGTGAAAAGAATGACCAAGCCTCGCATAAGTGGATGGTATACGTAAGAGGACCACCTAATAGCCCTGAAATTTCTTCATATATAAAACAGGTCTGGTTCATTCTTCATCCAAGTTACATGCCTAATGATATGATTGAGGTTTCTAAACCTCCGTTTACAGTTACCAGACGAGGTTGGGGTGAATTCCCAGTTCGGATACAACTTGTTTTTCATGACCCTAGAAATAAACCCGTCGATATCATTCATAATCTAAAACTCGATAAAACATACACAGGACTGCAAACTCTAGGTGCTGAGACAATTGTTGCCCTTGAGCTGCAGCGCCATACCGTCGAGGAGGAGCAAAGTAATCTTAGTTTATTGCCTGGACAATATCGTAAAGAGCTAAGCGTGGCTTATGCTGAAGCTAGACTCTCTTCGAAATGTTCAGAACCAATTTTAGCAACCAAAAGGGAAGATGAGGAAGGTACTAACGGTGAAACAATACCCTATAGTAAATCGATTGATGGTTCACAAAATTTGTACCGACAGATACTGGATCGGAAAGGATACCTCTCTTCGTCAGTTGCATCGAGCCCTGTCAGTATTTCAGCTAGCGAGCCTTCAGGAAGCCGTGCTGGTTCGCCTGTCATTGCTGATAAATCCAATGACGCATTGTTGGATTCATCAACGGATTCATCAACGGAGCTAGAATCAGTCGTTGTGGAAGCGCTGCTTAAAAACGTCTCAGGTTTCCCCTTAGTCAATGAAGAACGGGACATAACGAAGCACCACTACTGTGCTAACAGCCTTGAGCAGTACAAATCATGGTCATTTTCCAAGCGGAGGGCGTGTGAATGGCAAAGAGCATTAGATATAAAACGTTTTCTTGTTAAATCCGGTATTGTTGATGTTATAAAAACCAAAGATATCATGTTTTGGTGTAGAAGGCATGGTTTTACGCCCTCAGAAAGCCAAGGGTTAGTTGTTGATAGTGCTGAGTCAGACTTTTGCCCTAAATGTGGAAAATGTTTTCCAGCAAGCAATCTAGTCAGCAATAAGTGGTGTAGTGGATGTTTATCTGACAAAGTGATAAAAAACACGTCGTCATTGACGCCCTTTGAAGAAATTCTGGACACTCTGTTTATGCAAGAGAGCAAACTGGAAACGCTTGAGAAAATTTATGATCCTGGTGAAGTTCAAAACAGCATTGTTGATGTTGTAGAATTTGATGCCAAAGAGGTTGAAAATGCCGCAAGTCAGTCATTGGTTGACATTTCGCAGTTGTCCCCTGCCACTTCCTATTTAGAAGTTGACTGGATTTACGAGGCTGCCGCTCAGATCGAGGTGCACCTCCCTTCTCTTGATTTTAATGGACAAAAGATACCAGTCTTGTCTAATATCTTGTCATGCGCACTAAAATCGTTAGTAAAAGACGTATTAACGCATTCTTATGCCTATGCGAAAGACGGCAGAACAGACCTAGAACCCGTAATTGTGACTCCACAACATGTTCTACACGGTTTAAAGGAAATTCCACATCTAGATTTCTTAACAAACACATTTTTAGGCATACAAGAGGAGGATGGGACCATTTAACGCTAGTAAAAATAGGTGTGCCATTTGCCTTAAAGGCTAATCATGCTCTACGGAGCAATTTTGAGCACCGTTCAACTAGCCTTTGTCTAGTTTGAGAGACAAGCTTACATTTTCTTATACAAGTGGGGACAAAGAACTTGGAAATGGCCAAGAGACCTTAAGAGATGTAATTTTTATCAATGAAAGGCCTATGATGAAAGATACCAATATCGAAAACGTCCATAGTAAGGTACGAAAAATACGTCTAACAATTCGTATTGGTGACAAGCGTTGCTTGGAACAGCTGACATTCAAAAGACTTTCGCAGTTTCGTTTTCAGAGATTAGCTTTGTTGATTTATTCAAGAAGGTAGTTCACAAGGTACACCTGTTACTTTTTTCTTGCTCTTTTTTTGTTACTTGTAGTCAAACATACTTTCTTTAAGAAGCAAGATGATGCTACCTTTTTGGAAAACATCCATGACTGAAATTATCATGATCATATTAGAAGTGCTAAAAAGTGCCATTTGACCTTGATTTGGCTGAAGCTGGCCTGCCTAATCAAAATACACTTCAGATGCCAACCAAGACCTGTTTAAAAACATTTCGATGGAGATTGAAACAAAAGTAAAGTTCTTGTAGCAAACGAAACCTTGTAGCTTACACTTTCTGGTTTTACATTCACTCATTTAAAAAAACGTCTTTGTTACGACATTTAAATTTCTATTACAATAATGGCCAGCCCGTCTAACGAGAAGAGTTTGGCCCTTTTTCAGATTCATTGCTCACAAATTTTCAATAAGGTTCATTATTGTTGTAGTACAAGAGTTTCATAAGGCCGCTCAGTAAAATCTGCAATGCCATTTGTAGAATAAAGTCAGTGCTTTGTACAAAATATTGTCCTTGTAGCATTTGATTCAAAATATTTGAAAACCAAAAATGAAACCAATCTAAAAACGACTAAGAAACAAAACCAGTTGACATTCGAAAATAGTTTCTTGATTTTTAGAAAAAAGCAGCAACAAGAATTGTCTATCTGCGATTTGTTTTGACGTGAGCATACAGTAGTATGCTATTGAGGATTTAGTATGCTGCGATATTTCCGGTATTTATTGCAATCGTACAGTAATAAGAATATTGCCACCAATAGAGGACTTTGGAGTAATCTGAAGAGGTTATTACTCAAGTATTCTTATTATTTGGTCAACTGAAATGAATAAGGGATTGTTAGTGGTTTATTTGGGTAATACACACTATTTTGCAAGAAAGTATCTGGCTTTGCTGCCTATTGCCCCTCAGTCATCTCACTAAAAGCAAAGGATGTTTAGGGAATGTTTTCAATACAGTTAAATCAAAAAACTATTAAGGAACGTTTAGTACTACAATTCGATCAAAAGAGGCCCAAAATAAGGAATAAGATAAAAAAACATGTAATGCCTAAGGTAAGATAGTCTTCAATATTTCTATTGTTTTCAAATGCTCAGGCAATTTATTTCAAGGGATTTCAAGGGATTCTTTTTTTGGGCCAATCTCAACCTGATGTTTCGTAAAGGGGTTGATCATCAGTGGTGGCGCCAGGGGAGGGCTAGGGGGTGCTACAACCCCTCCGTCGGAAGCATCTAGCCCCCCATCGGAGGAAATTTTAGGTTATTGTCGGAGCAAATTTGACAAAATAACGTACGAAAACTGCTTATTGTAGTCATTTTAGCCCCCCTGTCGGAAGCTCCAACCCCTCTGTCGGAAGATTTCTGAAGATTTCAAAAGAAAACCCTGTAGCAAGTTTTTGACAAAAAAGATGAGTGTACCTACCTAATCGTACACCTTGCAAACTGCATCATGAAGTAGTTTTATTCATCTAAGAAATCATTTTTCCAGAAAAAACTTCGATCTAGGCTCTTGTTTCTTGAAAATCTAGCTAGCAGCCCGCAGTGGTTGTGAATACACCATTCATTTCTTTTCCTCTCGTTACCGCGATCCATTTAGTGGGCTTGCGTTGACAAACCACGCTCTGCGGAGTACTTCCGTTCTGGGATATTGAACGAACAAAGGTTCCACGACAGAGCAAATATTGTTCAGAACCAAAGTCAATTTGATGACATTCATTGACCCAAGTTGGGACGTTGCCAAAGAAGTTACTGGCAGTATTTCGAAGACAGAATTTACCAAAGATCGTTTATCTTTGCTCGAGCAATAGACGAAAACATGGTTTTGGGTGAATTTTTAGCACTGGCTTTTCTTCTGCAGTTTACTGGAGCCAAAGTTTTGTCACCTCAAGGTATGTTACACTGGTTTATTTTCTGCTTTTAGCTTCAGTATTTGATGTAATCATGAGAGCAAAGCCTTGCCTTTCCTTCCTCAGTCAGTCAAGCTATGAGCCTCTTGCGAAAACAAAACAACGATTCACAAGATTTTAGAGATTTCGTAAGCTTTAAAACTTAATAATTGTTTGTAAGTTTCCAAATCGCCTTCGTTTGTTTGCCTTTCTGCCTAAGTGTAACTTCATTCATCAATAGGCTTATTCTTCCCTGTGCAATATGCGGTTAGGACCAAGTCAGGGGGAGTGCGGGAGCATAGAATTATAGACATCGAGGGTTGGGTAAGAGGTTGCCCTTGTTGGCACATACTAACCCCATAATAATTGCCATGTTTTTCATTTTGCATTCGTGGCATCATTATAGTCCAGCAGCTTTCTATTGTTTGTTTCTTGATTTGTTACCTCTGTTCAAGCTGGCTTTGGGATGGGGAGCATTTTGCTGATTGTGTTTTCCCACCTGCGAGAATAAAACAATTTTTTTCGGTACACTCTCTTCTTTATAAGAACAATCTTATAAAAACACGAGCCTCAAAATTGGTCAAAAGTTAAGAACAAATTAAGAACAAGCTGATGCTGAGCTTCTGCAAAGTGCAATTTTGAACGTTGTTTCTCAAAATCGATGATTTTTAGCGATGTGTGGGTGCATTTTCGGTGAATATTCATATTTGTCAGCAAATTAAGGCTGTCTCACTCACTTTGTTGGCAAATGAGACCTGACCAGGGTGGAATCCATGTGGGGCTCACGCCGAACATACGCCAATAAACAATAGAACGACATTGGGAAATCTACGCCAGATATCTCCGGCGTAAGCTACATGGATTCCACACTGGGACCTGTACACCACCCTAGAGCGAAAAAGCTAGCACTCGCACTGCTTACACCCTAATAGATTAAGAACAAATTAAGAGCAACCCAGCCTCAGATTTTTGAAAAAATTAAGAACAGTCGGCCTGAACTTAAATTTACTGGTTCTTATAAAAAAGAGTGTATAAGTAAAATACTTTTATTTTGTAAAATATGTTTGTTCTTATCAGGGCTGCACCCCCCCCCCCCTCCCCAAACAAAAAGTTTTATCTCGGTCTTTGATGGTAACTTTTTGATTCTCTCAGAGAGAGGGTCAACTCAAATATGCTTTACATAAAAATGGTATTCGTGTAGTTATCGTTCCTTCGAAAAGATAATTCGGGGGAGATCTTTCCTGATTGTGGAGTGAAGATCAACACTTTCCCAACCATTTAGGTAAGGAGCCAAAGTTGCTGTGTTCAGTTTAGCGGCTCTTTGCCCAGCAATGCTGTTTTCTGGAAAACTTCAAGGTAGATATAATTATTAAATGAGCAAAATGAGCCAGATTACCAAGCATAATAAAATTGAATTGGGTGTTTTTAACCCGATTCCGAATTCAAGGATTATTCATCTGAATGTGATTTTCGTTCTTGCCAGTATTAATAACTGTGATCAGCTTTATCTTGAAGATTTCCGGCAATGTTATAGCACATGAATGGAACTCAAACCAGTAATCTCATTGCTTCCGTCTACTTGTTGACCATAGGATTCCTCGCTAGAGTTGCGGGTTCACATTAATCTTGAGCTTATAGATTATCGAAAATGTTCTGGGAAATGCATAATCCGATGCAAATTAAGATTTTTTAATGAAAATTCTAATCAGGGGAGTAACTTGGCCAATAGGTTTGGGGGGGGGGGGTGAAAAGGGTTTCTGCCCTGCGAAAATGAGTGGTGCCCTGCAGATCTCATAGCAAAGGTTTGTCTATAGGTTACTAGTGAATGCTTTACCAGTGTAAATTTGTCTTTACCAAGAACAAACTTCTAAGCAATGAAAACAAACTTGAAACTTCATTGCCTATGAAATATCTATTTTTTTACGTGAGCGTAAATTAAATGTCAAATTTGATTTTCATTTGTAGTAAGGCTTGTATTTTATGGCATATCAAGTTAAGTGTGGTAGGAGGACCCACCATGGTTGGGTCGGACGTGAAGAAAATTTTCGAAATTATACCTTGTAAAAGGGCTAAAAAGCATCTCCCAGACTAAAATTTAGCCAAATACTATACTGCTAAAAACTGATTATTGTTTATTGGAAAAATAGGGAGGGAGGATGGTATGCTAAAACTCTAGTGATAGAAGTTGGGGAAGGAAAGAAACGGTATCCTTTCGTTTCAGATTGCACATAGTTATTTTGATTGGGAGAATGACAGAGCAATGTTATTTTGATTGGGAGACTCTTATTTCCTGAACAGAAATGTTCAGTTTCTTATCTCAAGAAGGCCATGCTTACACCTCCAAAATGAAAACATTGCCATGATACAGAAAGTAATTTACTGAATTAATGCAAATAAAAGAAAAATAATAGAAATAAACGTGAATAAGTTAGCAATTGGATCAAACAAAATCGGCATCTTAATAGTTTATTCACTTTTTTAGTTTATTTGTTTCATACACTTTTAAAAATTTATAGAAAAAATGATAAAAAAATTCTTATCTTGACCAAAGTGGGGGCCTTCAGCCCTCTATTTCCCCCAGTGGCGCCGTACCTGTCATGAAAATAATTTACAACTTAAATTAATTTGCGTGGACTCAACCTTGCCTTCATAAACGTATGCATCAATCAATGCATCCATTGGCTATGACTTTCGGCAAGGAATGCTTTCGCCCTGCTAATAAAGGAGCTCTTCCTGACATACCTGTTCCGTTCTCTAAAATGCAATGTCAGGAAAGGAGGTTCATAACAAATATAATATTTCCATTTCACAATTCGTAAACGGCCCTTTTCGAACTTCAGAGGTGGCGTTTCTGCGTGGTAATAAAGCTCTTCTTGGTGCCCTGCGAAATCTTCGATTGCCCTGCGAAATCGGCTATTTTTAAGATTGGGGCGGGGGGTGTCACACCCCCCACACCCCCTTGGTATTTTCGCCCCTGATTCTAATACCACAAAGGAATTGATGTACTGGACTCAGGCTCCTTTGATGGGAAGCAGCCTCAAATAAGTCCAATAAACAATCTTTGCTGCTGTCTTGTGATTTCAATCTTCGTATTATCTGTGGACTGGGGTTGTTATGCTACACAGGTTCCACGCTTTCCCAATTCGCAAACTTCTGACCCCTGGATATGAAAAGAAACTCGATTTGATGTTAGAACATGATAACATTTTCCTAGAAATCTTGTTATGAAATTTGTCTTTCTTCGAGTTTTCTTAGCCTCAGGTGCGATTACTGACTTGGCAAAATGTCATGCAAACAAGATTGTGCTACCCCCTGCACGACCAAGGGGTTGTGTACATCGTACACTCTTTTCATAAGAACCCACTAAGGACACCAAGGCTCGATTTGCAAAATAAGTATCAATAACTTAAGAAGTTTCCCAGCCTCAGATCAAATATTAGAAGAAAAAAATGCGCCTTTAAAAGTTTAGCAAAATGGAGTAGATTTTATGGCTTGATCAACCGTGGTACTGTAAATGCCGAGCAAAACTTTTATTTAGTGGATTAAGAAAAAATCTATGCAATGTAATTTAACAATAAATAAAAATAAAAAAAAACAAAATTGAGAACAACACTTGAGCCTCAATTTCTCCAAAAAGTAAGGACACTGAGCCTGGTTCTTATAAAAGGGAAGTGTGTCTTTAAAACGTCCAGAAAAAGTGTTTTTAGAGCTGCAAGCTTCCAGAATCCTGATGTATATAGTAGCTGGCTTATTATAGTAACTTATTAAATAGTTGACCACATATTCTGTACGAACCAGAGAATTATCTAAGGGCCTGTTTTAGAAGGTAAGGGGCGGCCATCAGACAAAGGATTTTATCATACTGGCTCTGGAACTGCTTCGATCTTTAGAGCCAATAGCTGACCCTCGCTTATGATATGAAAAAACCCACGAGTTAAAGACAAGCCTTTGCTCCTTTGAATACTTAGGTTATGTTGATTAAAATAGAATTCACAAATTGATACATTCACTGGGGTCATTTTTGGGATCTAGTAAGGATCAATTTTCTTTGCCTGTTTCTGGTGCTTTCTACTTTAAGCCCAATCTTCATTTGAGTCATTTACATGACAGTTAGTTGTTTATGCCCTAACAATTTGAAAGATCTTCTGTATCAAACTGAGCAAGAGAAAGTGCCATGGATATTGATGTTTAAAACTAAAATTTTCAAAAAGAGACTCTGGAATAAACTTTTCATATAAATTTCGACTTATCATCGCAAATGTTCCTAAATCTATAAATAGGCCGAGTCTTGAAATGCACAACACTTGAAATGCATTATTTAAGCATTGGATAGCAGTTAAATGGGTAATATCATTGTTTCATAGTGATTCAAGTGATGTTTTTATTTTATTTGGCACTTCATATGTATAAATATTTTTCAGATGTGGGAAAACAATGTCGTTTGAGTTTATATTCGCCAGAAAATGGTCGCATTGATCAGTTGGTAGAAACACAACCAGGACAGTTCACTGCAAGCTTCGAATGCAATAAAGGTTATCGAATGATTGGTGATGAAAAAATTAACTGCATCAACGGACGTTGGGCTTCTCGTGTACCTTGGTGCAAATGTGAGTGTGCTCATAGCAATGGCAAGATTGTTATCAAGTGCTACAACCTTTGCAAGAAAATACCAATAAGAGTAACCTTGAAAACTATGTTATCTAGACACATTACTAAGGACTGAGTATGTAAAACACACGATTAAGGACTGAGTACTTGAAATTTAAGACGCAGACCTATGCAAATCCCTGAAGTTTTTCACAGCTTCTAAAACCAACTAAATTGTTACCAGGTTATCGAAAACAGAACTAGTCTCCGTAACAGGATTCTTGTCATTAAGGGATGTAACGTAGGGAAAAGCGTACCGAGAAACATGAGTAAAAAAACAATGTTTACAATTCAACGATCTTAAAGCCTAAAGATCTCAAAGAATAATTTCTCCTGAATATTAAAAATAAACTGATTAAGTCCACTTGAGCATGATTTACTACTGCAAAAAATATCGCAAGGAAACATCGTAGCCAACAAGGACCAGTCTGAATTTGTTTTATCATATGTGTTGAAAAATGTTATCTTCATTATGATAAGGATAGAGTTTTGCATTTAGATGAAAACATATACTTTTTTTCAGTTTTGTCTTTAAACTTCAGTTTTGTCTTTTACCAGTTTTCTCTACAATAACGTTGCTGAATTTACTTTGCAGCCTTGTGCCTTTTTGTTCAATGTGAGGAGGGACAGAAATGCATCATCGATGAAAAAACAGCGAAGACGAAGTGCGTTTGCAAAAACATCTTTGAGTGTCCCTTTGAATACAAACCGGTTTGTGGATCTGACCATACAACCTATGCAAGTAAATGCATAATGGGAATGGCTGCCTGCTCCAAAAAGCAACAGATTATCACTCTTGCCAATGGAACGTGCCCGAAAGGTACTGTTTTGCCTCAGGAATAGCTTATTTTTATCATATTTTTATCTATTAACGCCCTTTCTCTGACAACCAGAAAGAGGATCCATTTGAAATATCATATTACAATGTGGAAAATAATCTATCAACTGAATTTGATTCAGAAAAAGAGGAGGAGGATTTTTGGGCTATTAATTTTGTACTTTTCAGATTCAGCGCTAATTTATTTTAAAACAATGATTTTATCTTGCAAAAGAAGGTTTTGAACAAACCCCCTCTCTAATAAATACCCCTCCTTGATATTCGCCACACCTAAAAGCCTAAAATTGTAATAAATCAATGGTACATATCTTAGTAATGAACTTTACTTCGTAGAGGTGATTGTTTCTTTGATAAGAAAGACTTAAAATCCGATTGTTTAATTTAAAATAGTGCACTGCAATCAAATGCGCAAATGATTGAGAAGAAAGGGTGCTGTTTTTCTAGAGATTTGCACCCCTTGACAATAACTTAAGCCATTTTGAAGTTAGAGCAAACTTGTTCCAGGTTGTCATTCAAAGCCCATAAACCATTGCGGTCGCACGGTCAATGAACTTAAGAAAGGCTAATGAACACAGAAGAATCTTGAATCCCATATCAAAACCCCACCTTGTTCTCATTGCCTTTCTCTTGAAGGTTTTCAGATTTTTAAGGGCGTTCCGAGGAGGAAAGATATGCGATTTTTAGACTATTTTTTTGTTTTCATTGAACTTCTACTTAGTCGTTATCTATGCAATTCAGGACGCTGCTTTGGGTTTTTGGGAACTAGGTGGTGAAAATTTTAGGAAAATACAGGTGCTAGACGCAAGCCAATTTACACGATTATTCTGTTTTAAAGAAGAAGTTGAAAATGTATACCATGCATATTTGTACTAAAAGTGAAATTGATACGTTTGAAATTCGTTTTGTGCTCAACTCACGATACTTTGAGGTCGAAAAAAGATAAAAAGTAAAGGAAATCACTTTATTCGATTTTGGATTAGACCTTTCAAAAAAATGTGTCTTCTGACATGACAAAAGTTTTTTGTGTGCCATTTTTTAAACCTGTTGTCTTTAAGACCAATTCGAATCTCGATATCAAACTTTGGTATTATAACCTCGATATCAAACTTTGGCATTCAAACCTCGACTAATATACCGGTATTTATAACGTCAAGTTTTGACGTCAAGTTGTTCCCATGCGCAAAATGTGTCGATAAACTCAAGGTTTCTGTAGACACTTCCCTTTTGACATTTCTGTAGCATCAAACCTCTATGCAAGCCATTGATACCTTTGTCTTTATGGTTTTAATTTATTTCTCAGAAGTGGTTATATTTGTCTTCATTGCTTGTATCACAAAGCAACTATTTGCGATATCATGTTTCTTCCCTTGGCAGCTATTTCCTGGTAGGAAGTCTTCAAGAATTTCTAACCTTGAGATTACTTGGTGTTGTTTCTGTTCATATCAAGATTCAATAAGAAGGGATCAAGTAAAAACAGGATCTGTCATGGCAGAACTCTCTTCTTTACAGCACATTGAGACTTTGTTTAGTTTAATCCTAATAGCACCCCAAAACCCAGTTTTTGCCAATTGTCATCTTTCAAACTATGATAGCACGCAGCAGTTTAGCTCTCAGCTGTGCAATAAAGCAAAAAAATGACATTAATATGTTTCTAACTTTCCTTTAGACATTTTCGAAGACGTTAGCTGCGGTGAATGTCCGAGAATCAGGATCTGTCAAGCGTTGTATAACAGCGATTACGGTAAGTTTCCAGACAATATTTGGTGTGAATCATGTGTATGGATTTTTCCCATTACGTATTCATATGCAACCGCAGATAAGAAATTCAAGTACCACTTCTTTAATTTAAGGGACTGTAATGGATAAAACCTATTGCATTGCAAAGTATTATCCAAAATGCAAAGCCAAATGGAAATCGGTCAACCAAAATTGCCACGTAAATTTTTTTAAAATATCACGAGAGAAATATGGGAGAAATTTTGATCAAAGTAGAGCTTTCCAACCAGTGGCGTGGATAGGGAAATTCATAGGAGGGGCGAGAAATTTAGATTTTTCGAAAAAATGTATGTTATGCTTTCATAAAATTGAATATGAAAAAGCGACATTGAAACTGAACTTAAACTGGAGATAAAGTCTTATAATTTACCCAAAGTCAAGTATTATAAATTTTACTGCTTGAAGATTTTCTGGTCTTCTCCTTTAAAAAAAGAATTTTTTAAGTACCATCCATGCCTAATTGAAAAGGATTGCTAATTTGATTCAGAACAACTGAGGGAATTGTTATCTTCAACTATAAAATCTTTCCTCTCAACATTTAAAACATCGATAAAGCAAAGGCAACCATCTTATATTTCCGACCAGATCAGAATTGTTCCCACAAAACAACTGTTCAGCTTTTCAAAGGGTTTTTCACCACTTCTAACCCCCCTCTATCTACGCCACTTTTTCCGACGTTGTAAAGGGCGTGGTTCGTGAAAAGATATCATAGACTTCATTTTTAATCCCTTTTACAATCCCTTGTTACTGCATTAACGAAACCTGCTTGTCCACGACCCTACTTTCGTTAAGGCAACAAGGTCAACTGGTTGATATCTAATATCTGGTGCACAAAAACAATCTTTTCTTACTGGTTCTACCCAAGCTGTTTATGAGGTTATGGAACATTTAACAGAACATGTCTAAACTTTCCTTCCTTGCATCTGCAAGGGAATTTAGGCAATGTTTATTTCAAACTTGATTAATGTGTATTATCCTTAACTAAAATCTAATTCGCACGTTAAATTATAGAACAAGATCCTTGAAATGGTTTACAAAGTAAGGAGCCTGGATCATTTTGTAGATAGGAGGGTGGGAGAAGAGGTGATAAGAACTTTTCATTCTGCTCATTGTTACCCAAGAGCCAAATCCAAGAGCAAGAAGGTACAATCCTTTCTTCCCCCTGTATCCGTCATTTTGCTTATGAATATAAGCTACTAGATAACTTCGAGTCTTTCTGTGTCTTTAGCATTTCTTGGCAAACTGAGGTCATTCGAACAAACAGCAGATGGAATCTACCTCAATTTCAAGATCTTGGAACTCTACAAAGTCGCAGGAGCAGAAGGCACAAACACAAAATCGATGACAATATTCAAGAAGAAACAAAACAACGACTGTAACTGCGTGCCATTGATTCCGAAAGGGAAGGCCTATGTGTTCGGGAAAGTTGGCTTGGATTCGACTGGGAAGAAAACGCCTACTTTTGATGAGGAAACGTTTGTCGAAAAGTTTTACGCACACAAGCAGATGTCTCTCTGTTGGCTAATTTGAGCTTTTTACGAGTGCTTATAGAATAAGTTTGATCCTGAGTGTTTTTTGACATGTAGTTGCCATGCTTTTGTCTCATCATATGTTTATCTTTGTCAGCTCTTATGTTTAGATTTTTATTAAAAAGATGCATAGTTAAATTCTTAGCCTTTTCTGCTCAAATATATCTCGTATTTTAATCTTGCACTTGCAAAAAGTATAGTCTTTTAATCCGATTCACATGAAATGTATTTTAGTATTTTGACTCCACCCCTGTGCTGATTGTAACTCCACCCTTCTAATTTATCAAGTATCAGAACATAAATCCATTCATATGATCGCCACAATATTTTTCAAACAACAGCGGTTTTTCGATGTAGGGCTTTGCTGTAGTGGCTTGCTAAATCCTGCAATATTATCTGACTTTCTCAATGTTTACCGTATTTCAGGTGAGGGTATGGCTATAAATCCCTGAGGTTGGATTGTTGAGGTCGCATCCCGTGTGATTATAGTTTCTTTCTTAACGGCAAACAATTATTGAAATTTTTATGGTGCCAACATCAAATAAATGGATTCAATACATTATCAACGCATTATTTTCGGCCTCAAGTACCAGATTAAAAAGCGAAAAAATTCATCTGGTTATCTGTTCAAGAATGCTTTCGCTAGGCTTAACACATACTCTGGCTGGGACATAAAACGATGTGTTTGGAATCGAGACCACTAAAAATATAATCCTAATTTCCAGCACAGAAAATATCTGACCTAGCCTGTGTCCCAGACCCTTTAACTTAAAGGAAGACCTACTTTCAAGTTAGGGGTCTGGAGCACAGGCTATACCTGACCACTGTGTTATGCACGTTAGTGCGTATAACCAGTGCCACAACAACCCAGCGGGTAGCCTGGACAAATCTCAGAAGCCCCGAGCAGATTGTCCAGAAATGTAGGCCCCCGATGGTTTTAACATTTTTTATTAATTCCGTTTACTCAATGGGTCTGCTTGAGATCGGCGGATCACTATCCTTTATTGAATCAATACATCAAGATATTTCATATTTTTGTCACAATGATCAAGGTTTCGTCTTTGTACAACTATTAGTTGTTTTGTTAAAGACAGTGGCGAGGTGGGTTTATTTTTTCGAGACTTGAATCAGTTATTCGCAGAAAGAATGGGTAACAATCAGCTGTTCCAATGTCAAAATTAAAAAAAACAACAATTGTAGAAGAATGCGGTGCTTAAATTTCGAAAACACTTCGTTCCCAATCAACTTCACTTTTACAAGCCAATACAGATACATCGTAAAGAAAGTATAGAATTATTGATACTCGTTAGTGGAAGATAGTATTACGTTGATGAAGAACAAGAACATACTTGACATCGACACTTTCCTCTCTTGTTATGATCATGGTGGATACTTAGTGGTATATTTTGCATAAAACTGGTTGATGTTAACGGTGGGGTGGGGGAGGGTGGCTATGTTTTCCCTGGGGTGGCCAAGTCGATTCTTGCGCCCTATCTATACATCGTGGTTATATAAAAGCATAGGTTTCTAGGAGAGAAATCAATTTTTGCAACTTGGGTACAAAATTCCATGAATAAAATTTGACTAAAATTGCGAGTATAAATTGAAAAAATTATGTAATCAGCACAAAAGTGAAGATGACCTTCTCGATTGTGGTTCGGTAAAGTGTCCAGCAATTTCGACAAAACATAAAATACCAATCAAAAGACATTCTATTCAATTACACTGATGTTACATACCGGCTGGAGGGCCCTTGAACTCGTTCATTATATCCAGAATACCAGTTCCTCAGATTTTTAACTAAAGTTAGCCATAGTCTATTTACTATTTACGGCAATGCTTATGGGGGATTTTATCAAAATTGAATCTGGGGGGCTAATAATAAAGTTTAGTGACATAGGAGGACCCATCATAGTTGGGTCCGACGCGGAAGAAAACTATTGAAAGCAAGCCTTCTAGAATGGCTAAAAATGCATCTCCCAGACTAAAATTTAACAAATTGTTGTACCACTCAGAATAGACAATTTGGCGATTCTCAGAAAGACATTGATTATTTATTTTTGGAAAAAAATTAGGAGGGGAGGATTCATGTGTTGGGGAAAGAAAGAAAGGGCGACCTTTGCTTCAGAGTGCACATCAATGTAAATAACAAGAAGCTGTTGTATTGATGGTCAGGGTGCATTCCATTTACTTAGGCACAAAAATATTCGGCGTACACTCCGGTTTTGATGTCAGCTCAATAAGTAGAGTTGAAGAGTGTCATAAACTCTTGTTTAGAGGAGGTATTTTTCATTTTTTATAGCCTATATAGCAAAACTATTTGGAAGCATTTACAGTTAGCAATGTTTTCGACTGCCTATCGCAAGGAGGGAAATTTTGACCAACTTAGGGAGCTGTCATAAAGTATGAAACAGACCGGGGTGGAAAAGAATTCAAATTTTATATTAAAATAATGTAGCCCAATGCTAGAAATAAAAAAATCTTCATGGCCCCAATACATGTTCTAAAATAGTTTGATAGCCCCTGAAAACTTTCTGATGAAGAATAACAGAAAACAGCACTAATTTTCTTTACACGATGAAGATTAAAGATACATCACTCTCCGAAGGGCCAGAACTGAGCCAGCTCTATTTCCTGGGGAAAAAATGTTTTGTGGACACAGAAGAAGAAGAATAAGATGAAAAGAAAGAGGAAACTGGAAAATGACAAGAAGAGTGAAGAGAGGAAGAAAATGAGGCTATAAAAAGCTGTGGAGCAGTTTTGTGTGTAACAACACATGATAAGTTATTCTCTGATTACGCTGCTCAGGGAAAGTTTGATTTTCATATTGAGGTTGATTGGGTCATGGCAACGCACAGGCTTCGATTGTAGAATCGCATGTTTTATTAGATTGTTCACAGCAAGTTACTGCGGAGTGTTCTACTTGCGTACGATCAATTTTGATCTTCCTAGCCAATAAAAAGAGACTAAATCTAGCAAGTTTTTTAATACATGTTAATGAGAAACACTTCAAATTTTTTCTGCACATTAAAAATATTGCATGACAGAGCAAAAAAACTTAAATTTCAATGAGAATAAACGTTTTAGGTTCACAACATGACTAGAAAATGGGCAATGAAGAATAATTTGATAACATGCTGTAATTAATTTCAAACTGAAAGCTTGATTGGTTAAATCAATGGAGGTACATCAGGGTCATCAATAAAATTATCATCAAGTTTCTGCTCTGGTTGATTTCCCCTGTTCTTTTCTGAGTGATCTTTAGACACTTTGACAATGCTGCACAAGTCATTTAAAGAAATACCTTCCTTTTTAACTAGTTTTTTCTTGTTTTGTTCATTGATATCTGCTTTGTCTGCATTACTGTTAGATTTTATTGTATTCCTTTTTATAATCCCAGATGCTTTTGGCATACTAATAACAAGATGTCCAGTTGTTTGTGATCTTTTTGCTACTGCCATATCAGCGTTCACTTCTTCCATTAACACCAACTGTAATATATTTTCCTTAATACCAACTCTGATATACTTTGGTTGTACATCAACATCAATTAATGAAGTATCTAAATGTTTGTAGCATGCTACATCTAAAATAATAAGCCCTTCATCCTCCTGATCTCTCAAAGTGAAGCTTATTTTAGCTGTGTTAACATTTATTGGGTCCCCGTTTTCTTTAAAAAATCTTGTGGTACGTTTAGTTTGGTCATCATGAAAGTAGTGAGATTTTTTCTGATTCTTCTTCTCATGTTGTTCCTCAATGTGTTTGTGCATTTCTATGCGACTTTCTGGTGTGAATGATGTTGCTTCTTCCCAATACCTTCTTTCTTTTTCATCCTCAGACAGGTCTTCTTCTTTTTCTTCATTATCTTTTTGGTCACTACTACAATTATCAACATCTGTATACCAACGCCCATCATAACCAGGGCCTCCTTTTTTCGTACTTTCACCCAATTTTTCACTCTCTTTCTTTGCAATATACAGTTTTTGCTGTTGAAGAATAGAATCTCTCAAAGCAGAATATTCTTGAGTTGCCTCAATCCTCTCTGATTTCTCAATCTCTTTTCCATCAAGTTGTCGCAGCTGTGGCAGTGTTGCTATCACATACTCACGATAACCTTCATACTGTGTGCATGGGTTTCCAGTCAGATACATTTCTCTCAAAAGCTCGTTGCCTCTCAATGACTCAATGCTAGTAACCTCACCAATAAAATTAACAGTGAAATCAAGCTTTTTCAAAGATTCACAGCCCTGCAAGTTCTCTATTTTTGTTATGTTATTCAAGGCAAGGTTCAAGTACTCCAGTTTCTTTAATCTTCCAACATTTTCAATGCGAGGAATTAAGTTGCTCTGCAGGTACAATATCTTCAGCTCTTTGCACCATTTGTCGAGATGTTCAATTTTCTCAATATCCTGTTGGTGAAGTGACAACTCTTCGAGAGAGGATATTTCATAATCATTATGTTCTGCCCTTCTCCTAACCAAATCTTCAGTTATTCGCACCATTACTGAAATTATAAGCCAGGACTGCAATAACCCTTTTGTGTGTTTTCATGGAAACGGGTAACTAGGCCTTGTTCATCTTGTTCTCGCTCTGAAAAATTCCATAGGATGAGAATGAGGCCAGTAATTGGCGGGAAGTTTGGTCAATGGCTGACGATTTTCCGGAAAGGAGCTCTTGCAAATTTCTAAAAATGACCAAAAGAGACCCGTAAGTAAAGCAATTTATGTCCTATAGAATTAACATAGAAGATTTTAATACATTCGCAAGTGTATTTTGCGATATTTATGTTGATAAATTCACTCTATTTAAAAGATGCACGTTCACTTTCACATCCAAGTTCACATTTATTTTGTAAATAAAAGAAAGTTAAGAATAAATAATGTTTGTTTGTAGTCAGATATTTGCTTGAAGCATATAAAATCTCTGCGATTCCAGTATATGTTGCTGCAGGAAATGGTCCGGTTTAAAACTTGCACTTGATAAAAAATCGTTTGCACTCCATGCATGCCATCAAGATAGGCCGCCAAGCTTTATGATCCTTTCACCTGAGCATAAGCTAGCAAGGCAGATGTATTAAGAAACGAAATGACGTTTTTGCAATTGAAAAATAAAAAAAGACAAACTTTTAATGGACATCTCCAGCAAAAATTTGAGAAATCAAGTGATTGAAAATGCCATTTTATACTTTAGCAATGAAATTAGTGAAACGTGACAAAATTGTGCCTTTGAGAATAGTAAATCCGTTTAATCCCAACAGATTTAATGTGTCTTCAGCTAATCTAAAGGGCATGGTTGTAAAAATTGCCTGTGGGTCCTTTCAGAGGCCCCTGTCTTCAGTTTGCATTGCTCACATGATGGGCCTCCAGGGCCTCTGAAATCTCTTGGCAACCCTGAGCATATATTTTGCAGCTCATTCTTTTTGGGAAATTTCAAGCAATTGTTGTGACTTTAATGTTGATATAACAATGGCATTTGCTAAAACTTTCCTCTTTTCTCTCTCAAGCCACAGCTTTTGATGATACAAATTTTTTTAATTGGGGTCTAATACAAACATAGCATTTTAAGAGATGGTAAAGCTTTTCAGTGTATAAAACATCAAAAGATGATCCAAAATGTTAAGTTTAATTTTTATATGTTCAGTTTCTGAACAAAATAGGCTTACTAAGTTACCTAACTAGTACTTTGGAGTCAAAGCATGAAAATAGCAGTGTTTTCACTAAATCAATCCAAAAAGTGCTGATACAATAATCATCCAACCCATTTCCCCATTGCAGTTTTTGGCACAATCTTCATTTTGTAGTTAAATTTGCCTGAAGATCAAGTTTTATCTGTTGTTTTAGATCAAACCAATTAAGTTTTTGGTACAGCAAACTTTAAAATTGCATGAAATACTGGAAACATAGCATACCAAAAGACTTTTTGTGTGAAATCCTTAAGAGTATAAACATATTATAATGACCAGTCCTGGTAATATGAAATTTGGCGGCGTGCTGGTAATTGCCCGCCTTGAAAAGTTTAGGCATGCGATGACGTGTGATGACGTGAGATCAATAAAATTGAGACCTTAAGATTTTTATGAAGACCTAATGTCATCTTTGTATTAGAATGTGTGTATCACTGCTTGAAAAAGCATATGAGGTTTTCGTAAAACCAAAAAGGTATTATGGAATTTTAGAAGAACTTCTAAGTTTCTTGAAAACAAAATAATTTAACAAAAAAGGATACAAATTTTTTAGGCTCTGTTGCCATTACTCCGTTTTCGTATGAGAACAGATTCAAGTGAATCTGTTTTCGAATTTGAGTTTCTACGCTCAAAAACAGTGTCATTTGATACCAAACCAAAGTTATTCAAAAACGCTGTTCAAAGTGGAGTCATCCGAAAATGTAATCATTTGAATACGTGTCATTTTATTGGGAACAGCAAAGACAGAGGCATTCAAAAAAGGAGTCATTCAATCTCAAACCAGTTTCAAAAAGAGCTTGAGCTAAGGATAACGGACAAATATGGAGTAATGGAAACACCCATGTTATCGTTTTGACCAAAACAGAGTGGCCCGGGGCAATGTGTTCAAGAAAATAAGAAAAGAATGGAGAGAAAGAACGGAGACATACAATAACAGAGTAATGGAATAACGGAATAATGGAAACCGGGCCTAATGGAAATGAAGTAAAGAGTTAAAATGCCTCCGGGAATGCCATCAATATAACCTACACAAAAGAAAATAAAAGAAACAAAAGAGAAAAAGAATAGTAATTCAAAACGTGAAACTGTGCGTGCAATAGAAAGCACGCGTCGGGAGTTCTAGGCGTGTGTAGAGGCATGCACGTGTGATTGCACGCCTACAATTACCAGGACTGAATGACTGAAAGTAAGGTGAAAATTTATAGCCAAGTGTGGAATGAAAGTAATGTGAGAGGAAGAAAGATGCTTTTGATTAAAGAGAACCAATCAAACTTGTCTTGCTTTCTCTCACGTTACTTTCAATCCACACCTGGATATAAATGTTTAGTTTACTTTTGGTCATTAATTGTTTAAACTCTGAAGAGTGTCAGTGGAAAAGTGCTTTAGTATGTTATGTTTCCGGTATTTTGTGCAATCTTCATGTTTTAGATCTGCAAGACCAAGGAGGCTGTTCTCTAGGGGGTTTTGTTGCTTATGTTGAATTAAATCCAGGCCTTTTCGTAAGAAATTGCCCACGGGAGTGGCACATCGCTTGCATGGTTTCTCTTGCATGAGCCATTGCTCTGATAGTGAAAAAATTGTTCCTGTTAAAAGGTACCTGTTTGTGCAAGGTAATATCAAATGCAAAAGAACTGTTACAAAGATCTGTAATGCACTCCAAGAAATACTAAATCCCCTTTATAAGTGTGCTTCATTTATAAACTTTATGTCCTTCACAAAGGCTATATAGACATTATGGCCGGATGGTTGCAAAATGTTGTTCCATACCGTTTAAAAACACTTTAACTGCTAATGTAGTTCAAACACTAATATACCTAAAGTATTCATAAACACTCTTGGTGAAATTGATTTTCAAATGCATTTTTTTGTTGAGATGTGGTTAAGTCAACTTACTTATATTTCCTGTGTTTTGAAATACCGGCTTTGTATTGTCTATGTCACTTGCTTGGGACAAAAAATGACTAGAGTTGTGTTAATTGAATTGGTGAGCATTTTTTCTCACAATTTACTGTTTTGTGAAAGCACGTGGTTGGGTTTGCGAGAGTGCTAATGAGATCATGAGTGTGCTAAAAGAATTACAAAAGATAGCGTCAAACAATGCAACTATTAAGATGAATTTCTAGCCACAAAATCAATGTCCAAATTACAAGAAAATATCATCCATTGTAATTTTTGATAAACTGGGTTCTCTCTTTTATCTTTAATCAGCTGAGGATCTTGATTTTTTTCCTTGGTATTTGATAAAATATAAATTTTTCTCAAATCTTTTTTGCCATTACAAAATTTTTCTTTTTGATTTTGAACACAGCTGATTTGATTCAAAATGTCTCAAGAATATTCATTTATAACAAGTGGATTGAGAATCAAGCAAGGTAATATAAATTTCAAAAGTTGCATTAGAATTTGTCACGGATTTAGAATCTTGTCTACCTAGGGTTACATCAAATACATCAGGAAATTAACATATTTGGCAGAAGCGAATATTTGCAACCTCCTTTTCATTGCTGTCATGGCTCCTTTATAATATCTCCTGAAAAGGTTTCCATTGCCCTGATTTTTCCTCATCCAATAAACATTTTTGTGAGCTTTTTTCCAACAAAAATATATTTTTATAATGCAAGTATGGAAATCATGATAAACAAATCTTTTTATGGAACAATGGATAAAGAAATAAGGGAAGGAATTAATCATTTTTAGAAATGCTGTAAATTTTTCTAAGGCATATAATGCTGCTTAAATTGAAAGCTACTCTTAGGCATAGATCCTGTTTTTCTGTTTTATTCAATGTGTAATAATCGCATTTTGCGTTTTATTTCTAATGTCCCTTAAGTTGAGGAAATTTCTTCGGGCACCAAGTTACTTTCCTGAGAACTAAGATAGTCTAACTAAAACCCCTCGATTTATCGCCCTTTTCGCATCCCAATTTTTGATGGAACGAGCTCTGTTGTCCGAAACAAAACCACCATTGACAAGAGCAAGCCTTGACGAGGCAAATGAGCCGTTGCTCTTACATTTCTATCATGTTTTAGTATAGTTTTCAGGCACTTTATTTTGTTGTTACTTTATCTTTATGTTGTTACTTTACTTTATCTTAGTTCCTTATTTTATCTTGTTGTCATTGATAGTCTTTTTGTCTTGTTGACTGAAGAAGCACAGTTTACTCATTATTTTACAGATAATATAAAGAATTTAGCAAAGGACCTTAAACTTGAAAATCTGAATGGAGTAATTCAAAGTCTTATCAGGGTTTTTGAGCAGTTGGTGAGCATTGTACTTTTACATTGATTTCCTGTGCTTGGAGTACATTTTTCAGAGAAAGTTCTATGTTGTACTTTTAAGCAGCTAAAATTACATTATGTTATAAAGGGTGGGAATTGACTGCATCCAGGAAAAGGTAAAAAGTTTTTACATTGTCATTACCAATAGGAAATGTTTCATGTGATAAAAGTAAGTAAGGAAATTGTAAATTTTCACAATTTACAAAGTACATTTATGAATCAAAGAGATGGCTACCATTGCTTTCTACCCAACATACATGTAAGTGCATTTTGTGCAAAAAATAAGCAATAAACAGTTAACAGTAATGTACATTAATATCGCGGTTTTTTCTTAACTTGCTGTGATGTGTTCCAAATGCTTTTTTCTACCCTGGGTTATCAATATAGAACAAGGACAACATCTTTGGATACCTTTTAGCTAAAATAACTAGTGTACTAGCAACAGCACACACTTAGAAGTTCTTATTATTTCTCCAGCAAAATGAACTCCCACAAAGCATTTTGCAATTGTGCTCCTTTATTTCTGAGAGTGCTAATCATCTGAAGAAAGATGAGTTAGCCAACCTGGCAAATCATGCTATACAGGTATGTCATCATGGATTCATCCAATTTCATTGAACTTTATTCCTAGCTAAGGCATTTTATAAGCAGTATGAGTTGTTTTTTACCTGAAATAAACTGAAGTATTCTATCAATGATTTTCTTTAATAACCCACAGATCCTCACTATAACTGGAAATTTATTTGTCTTCTAGAAGTTGTTGTATATATGTATTCAATGTTTTTATTGAAAAAACTTCAATTTAATGAACTGTAAGCTTAAAAAGAAAATAATATTTCTTTTAGGAACTAGAATCCTATTTCAGAGATTGGTGTATGTTCTGTGAACATTATAGCAGTTTGCAACTCAACCATGAAAATGGTATTTTCGTGCTATATAATTTCATCATTAAAGACATAGAAGAGATTTTCAAGCACTGTAAGGTAGGTAATTTGATCTAATCCATAGTTAAAACATTTCTAACTTTAAAACGCAGTTTGTTTTTTCTGCATATTTGAATAAAAAGTAGTTGACCTTTTCTATTCTGCAGTTAACTTGGCAAGGATTGGAAAGATCTGTATGTGCAAAATGAATTTCTATTATCTTTATTTGCGCTATTTAACATTAATTCATGTTTTGGATCACTGGTATTTTTGGCCAATGATTTTATGAGATCCTGTGTGTTATACAACGAATTATATTTAGGTAACTTGGTACCTTTAAAGCAATGCAAGAATCTAACTGAATTCTTACTGAGGAGGCTGCCATAGGGCAGCAATTTTTAATAGCAAATCATGATCTTGTATGTGCGTTTTTAACTGTGGTTTCTAAATACAATAAAGGTACCAAGTTACCTAAATATAATTTAAAATTAATTTGTTTATTGCTTCATGAAAAGTTCATTTTGAAATGATGCTACACTGTTTGATATTTTGTAAGCTTAATTTTCCTGTTTTACTTTTATGTTTTGGAAATAGTTTTGTTGTTTATTTGCATTCTTTCTTCTGGATTGACATGGAAGAAATGATCTGTCTTTCACCTGCATAAAACTTTTCAACATTCCATTCAGATTACAAGATGTATCCTGATAAATAATTTTATATTCCTTAATTGAAAGTTTTTGCATTTTGTAATTTTATATTATTCATCATTTTAGGAGAGTAGCCGGATATACGATCGTTGTTTTTTGGAAGTTTCGGCTTCTCTCTCAAGTCTTTTCAAGATGTCATACCAATCTTTAAAGGTTTGTTTTTTTAAGATTCCGTATCTTCAGAGTTTGGGGAAGTGTACTTCTTTATTCTTGCCAACGAGACTAAATTTTCAAAAATTTCTAAAATAACAGTTGAGTCCAGGTGGGGTAAGGGTGTAGCAAATGAAATTCTTTTGTTTCAATTGGTTTTCTTACTCTCGTCATGCGAGCGTACGCCTAGGCTTTGAGCATCCTGTCGACTGTATGGTCAATTTGTCAAGATTCTCTGTCGTTGAAGCTCAGCGTCACAGTGAGTCAATCTACTTAAACGTATTTTTAGCTGAAAGAAGGTTAAATAGCCAGAAACGATGGATTGCCGCCATGAAAGTTTTCTAAATGATTAAAAAGAGGTAATTCCAGCAGTGATTTGATTCCCCTTCAGACCAACCATTATTTCATTATCAATTTTTTGCTGCAAAGAAAATCTTGTTATTTGGTCTTTTTGTGGATCATTCTGATCTAGCATATGGCCGTTCTATTTCGAATTAGTGATTCCGTTATACTGTTATCATGGCTGCGTTTGCTAACAAACATTCGCAGAAACAGTTACGTAACAGTTGTTTAACTATCACAGATGTTTTCTTTTAACACTACTAGACAGATAGGCATCGTGACTTGATGAGCATTTGGCGTGTCCTTTGAAGTCTTCATCTCAGATTTTATAATGCTCCTCACATAGTAAAAAGAAAACATTTTACTATGTATTCAAAGTTTTTGTCTAAAACCCCTCAGAGTATAGAGCGTCAGAATAAGGGTCCATCAATCTTGTTCATTTGGACCCTTATTCTGACCCTTTTACTCTGAGGAGTGTCATGTGAATAAGCTTTTAGTGTGTAGTAAAATGTTTGCTTTTTTCAAAGCCATTTTCAATTTTTTTATCACCAAAAAGTTGTTAAAAATATTTATCTTGTCCATGTAAAAAGTCATATTTTGATTATATTGATTTGTGTATATTATATCATTCAACGTACAAAACTCTGAACTATATTGATTATTAAATCCAGTTTTCTATTTTCGGGTCTCCAGTTTAAATTTTGCAAATATGTTGCGTTGTACGTTGTGAAATTTGTATATCTCGTTATTTTCTTTTTACAAATGTAGAGAAAAAAGTCCTTTTTTCAACACAGATCAACTAGTCCACGCTGTTCAAGGCAGCCCATTGTCTATTTTCAAGCCTGAAAAGATAAACTCTCTGAAAATCTTTTGTGACATATTCTACGGACTTTTATATTACTTTCATAACGAAAGTAAAAATGTAATCGCTGCATTTACCTGCTTCTCTAATTCAGTAAAAACATTATCCTAATTACCACAGTGTTTCTTGCAGATGATCTTGGAAATGTTTGAAAAACCTGCATTGGATCAATTAACAGAGGACGAAGTCTCACAGTTTTCTGAAGGTCTTTGATTTATATTAGTTTGCTCTGTAAATTTTATTTCACATTGTTTCAAAGAGTTTCTTCATAATAAATTGAACCAGCTTTAGTAATCATTCAGATGTCATTCCCAAACTTTCGTGAACAATTATATTTTTCTATTTTGCTAAGCCTCCTTACTGGTTGCTCTTTTATCGTTAACAAAAATATGTGATTTGACTATTGAGTTATTTGTCTCTAGTACAGGGGTGGGCAAATAATTTTCACAAAGAGCCTGACGAGAAACCTGAACTGTGTTGGAGGGCCGAACCAAAGATAACTTTTTCTGAGCAATATTCAATTCCTGCCAATGTAAAGAGCAATAAATTATACTATATTTCATCTGTTACTGGTTACCAGAAGAGAAAGATATAGATATTGCGACAATATTTAAAAAAATATATGAAAGTATGGTATAGGTCAAGTGGAAAAATACACCTACAAAAGCATTTTCAAAAAAAACACAAGCTTTTCAAAATAAAAGCAACACAATTGCATAGCATGAGCATCATAAGAGAAATTTGATAATGTGTTTTTATTCATGTTCTGAGTGTCCACACACGCATGCTGGCCGGACAGAGACGTCCGAAGGGCCAGATGTAGCCCGTGGGCAGTAAGTTGCCCAGGTCAGCTCTAGTATCATGAGGGTCTGGCCTGGGTGCCAGTTGCAATCACAGACTGGACCCTAGCCTAATTCAACTATAGATCGGAATGTGCAAAACTCGAATTCAGGTGCAACCATTGCAACTCTACCCATTTCTATTGATGAACAGCTGTTAATAAATAGAACAGATCTTGAGGATGAGGTCAAAACAGTTTTCTTATGCTGCACTCCGAATAGGGCCCCGTGATTTCGCCATCCATCTTGCAGTAATAACACCACTATACCTAACTTTTATCTAGAAGTTTGATGCCGTGAATCATTTATCATTGAAAAATAACAACAATAATAGCAGCGAAACAGTGGCATACATCAAATCAAATAAACTGGCGAATGCACAATCTCCTTCGGCTCTTTTGATGCAATTGTTTTCCATGATATTTTCGTTTTGCTTTTCTAGAAGCCTTGAGCTAAACTGTTTTTCTCTGTTAATCTTCAAGGCATCATGCAGCTACTTCGATTAACGCTTATTCTCAAAGACATCGACATCATGCCACTTGTTAACACACTGCGGTCTTTAAACAGGTAAGAAGCTGCCTGTGTATCGTTGAACTTCTAATAATGACGAGAAATGATACCAATATCTACCCATTAATATGAGTCAAATGTGGTTTTACATGCATCGTTGTTGAGTCAATCACAATTTCATCTGTTACCCAGTGGGTAAACAAAACCCGTTGGTAAGAACGATAAAGATATCAGCTCAATATTCTTATTTATTGAGTACAAAATGTAAAACGTCATGCTGTAGGCTCTTATTAAATTCCTATTTGCCTATTTTTACTGTAGTTATGAATACATTTCAAAGGGTGCAATCTCTTTAAAAGAAGTTTAGGCCCTTCCATAGGAAAATCGGAATTGTACCTGTTTTTGAAAATGCACTGATTTCTTCTTTGTTTGTCTGATAATATTTTCTGATTTCATAACCTTCGTTGAGAAATTTGGCTATCAACATTTATCTCCCCTCTTACATAGAAAATATTTAATATATTTTCTCATTGACGTAAGATCGAGACCTTCTTTCTGAGCAGGTCAGAAATGGGAAGGGGATATGGCATTTAAGAAAGGCACCCAGACAAAGGCTTTGGCAAACGCCACCCTATAAACACAGCAAAAGAAAAAGTTAATATGTTTGTCTGCAGCCAGGATAAAGAAAATAAAATAAATTTTCAGATTTTAACTTGACAATCGTAGTATCTGCTGGAAAACTCTAATTTTTCCAAACAATTTTCATAAAATCGTTTTCTCGTGTTATGCAAGAGAAATGTTTTGTCATGTCTAATATTTTTATGTTTCCTTTTTGTAATTTCTTTCTCTACAGGGGCAATTTTTCTCCAAAAATATTTGTTACATAAACAATTATCTCAGCAATGCCAAATTATACATTCTTTATGTTAAACTTCCTGCGGGGTTTAAGACTAAAGTTACTCAATTGGGTGGCCCGTTTCAGTCTCAAATTAGCTTGAAAGTTGCTAAAACTTTCAAGTCTTTGGTGTCATCAAAGTTATAGCTAGAGTTTTTTTTCTCATCAGCCCTACATCTTGGATTGTAGCAACCGGGTAGCTTAAAAAAGCAGTCCTTTGTTCGAGAATACAGCCCAAGCTAATAGAAATTTTTGCTTAATAGGATGATAATTGGCAAAAGGGACTGCCTGCGTGATAAGCTGGATTGCGTTAAGATATTTACAACAATTTGCACGTGTATAACTGAAAAGTTGAATTTTTGCTGGTCAGTCATTCAGGAGAATGCACTTCGGGGTCAGGTAAGAATAGTTTCTTATATTTTAAACACCCCAAAGTCCAGATTCGTACTTACAGTAGCTTTTGTGCTAAAACAAAATAGTAAACTTAATGCAAAATTGTGACAGAGCTTATGAAATGTGATGGTAGAAATTTTTATAGTGGATTTTATAAGGTTTTGCATGCTATGTTAAAAGTATAAGATCTTTTTGTCTGCCTTTATCGAAAGCTATTTGCCTACATCTCCAGAATTATGGCATATTTTACTCATATTTGTTTACTATACTGGTATTTATTATGTAGTACTAAAACAACCCTGCTCTTTTTAATTATTATATTTTGATTAATATTTATTGATTTGATTTTTATATATTTTATTTGATAATTTTTCGAGCATTATTTTAGGCAAGTTCAAAAAGATCGTCAAAGATCATCAAGGCATTGCGTTTTCTTGTTGGCATGCTCCTACAATTAATCAAGGTAATTATTTCACACTTCGCGAAGCAAAAGAGCGTTGATGTCCACCTTCTTTAATTTCTTTCAGTGGCATCTTCCATTATATGTTGGAAGTCTGCACACATATTCGACTTTTTTGCGCGGCTCTCCATTCTTTACGCTGTATTTCTCAACATTTTTAGCTACGTTTCTATTTTGATGTTGAATGAATTCCTTGTAGCTGCTATTATTGAGTGCAGTATTTTTATAAATCCGTGTGCGAAAAGTTTTCTGTATTCCTCATGTCATTTTGCAATTAAAATTCATGGCAACTGTGAAGTTATTGTTTTTGTATCAAGGAATACAAAAACGAAGTATATGGTGATTCAACAACGTCTATAATTGAAATCCTGTTGTCACTGCAATGGTGAGTTTACTGTGCTCGCACAACATATACATCCAGCGTGATGTCTAAGTTTGCCAGTGCACTCATTATTTCATAACAAGCTTGCTGTAAATTATGCGACTCTCAAATCTGTGTTCCATAGAATTCTTAAGTGTTGGCGTCATTAAGACGTTATTTTTTAATTTGAACTGCATAATCTTAAAAGGCATTGTGATATACCACCAAATATGCAATTTCTGTTTCATGTGTTACCAATTGCCTGCAGATACTATCAATTGAAATTCTTTCTTTGATAACTTTTGCGTCATTAAAACGCTATTTTTTAATTTGAACTGCATAATCTTAAAGGGTATTGTGAAATACCACTAAATATGCAAAATCTGTTTCATGTGTTACAAATTGAATGCATGTCATTTGAAAGTCTTTCTATGATAGCGTTGGCGTCATTAAAACGCTTTTTTGAATTAGAACTTCATAATCTTAAAGGGCATTGTGAAATACCACTAAATATGCAAAATTTGTTTCATGTGTTACAAATTGCCTGCAAATATTATCAATTGAAAGTCTTTCTATGATAACGTATATCTAGGCGGTGCAAGGAGTTGTTTGAAGATGTTTTCAGGTTTAAGAAGTTTTATAAAATGAGATATTTTAGATACAATTTGCCATGTTTGCCTTCAAGTTGCGAAATCAAGGAAATAGTCTCCATTTTCTCTTGCAGCTATTCTAACTTTTTATTTTATTTTATTTTTATTCGCTAAGGCTGGCCCCGATGTCTTTCCATCAAGACACTCGAAGAACTCCTCTTTACGAAGAATTCTGCAGTGCAGTTCTCAGTGTAGTATGTTTATCATATTTAAACGTCAATTCAATTAATGGTTGGTTTTTTCAATATTAGAACAAGAATAGGTCCTGATAATATTATAAAAGGGCTTCAAATTATTGGCGATGGTTTTAACTTGATTTTCAAACACGAGCATGGGGAGGCAGTGTACAAGTATTTAGTTAAACCAACGCAAACACGACCGTGGTGCAGGGATGAAACATCACCGACCCATGATTTGGCAGTTGTCTTGTGAAGTTTTTTGTCTTCGATGATTATGCTAAGTAATTTACACAGTCAAAGGCTACCAATTTGGTTGAAAAATCAAGGATTCTCCGGAATTATGTTCGTCATTTTGCAAGACGACCCGAATTGCAAACAGTGAAGTGAGCAAATCATCGTTTGTTCCCCGACAGATTCCCTCTTGAATTTGACGATCAAAGTCGTTTAACCTCTTGGTAACAGCTTTGAATTAGATAAAGTCTTCGTAGTTATGCGTAAATGCACAAAAAGTTCGAGTTAAGATTTTACAGTGTCAACCTTATTGTTGAGAAATCGTTTTGTGGCAAGGGCTAGGTGCTTGATTTATCAAGCCAATATCATTGTTTGTCAATTGGAGAATAGAAAGTAAAAGTTTCTCAAATAACCACAGCTAGCTTAAAATAGCAACATAAATTTGTCACGTTTTTACTGAAACTGATAGTTCATATTGCTGAAAAACTAATTTTTGAAGATTACTAGCTATTCTAGGACCAAGAAAGGCTTTTTTTCTACAAGGACAATTGTTATATTAGATGATTGCCATTTTCCTTTAGCAAGCCTAGTAAAAATGTAAGACTTTCACTCGACATAGCATTAAGCTGATTTTTGTTAACATTACACTAGCTTCCCTGTTTGTGAATTTAGTATGACACAAGCTCTAACCACGACGTGTGGTTTGTGCCTTTTATTTTTAATGTTGGTTGTGTCTTTTATTCCATCACTTGGACAGACTAATGTGACAGAATGTTATTATTATTAACAGTTAAAGTTCCAGAACAGTTTCGCAATTAGGTTGTGGCATTAGGTTGCCTTTTCTTTCGGTGACTTTAGGAAAAGGAGCCGACTTGCTCCCTTGTTTAGAGTGAACCCGAAGGATTCCTTCATTTGGTTTTGGTCTTAGTGTCAAACCGTGTTTTTATTGAAATTACTTTCAACTTTAGGGGATCATAATATAGGATTCGGTTCAAGAAATTTTTAAGCTTATAACGTAAACAAAAACTAGAACGATGCATTACTTTAAGAAACTATTGATTGACACTTGTTATTAAGGAACCTATGTCTGTTTATTATTGCTGATGGCTCGTGCTATTTCATTTAGATAGAGCCACTTCTCTCAGAGCTGCTTCAAGAACGGGATTTCATAACCAAGTTTTTATCAATTAAGGGTGAGTTTTTTTTATTTCACACTATGATACTTGTAACTCAAACTACAAAAGTTGAAGGAGTTGAGCCAGCTCAGAATGAGTTGATAGTTCTACTTTCTGATAACGCTTATATTATACACTCATTTTTCCATGAGCTATATCGTCTGGTGGCAGATTTCATCATTATCAGATTCGGATTTTGTCCATTAAACAGGCCCAATTTAAAAGGAAAAGCAATCTTTATTCAAATTTGATAACTTTTTAGTTTGAAAATACTAGTGATTGCTATCACCTATTTATTTTTCAATTGGCTGTCTAACAGCTATTTCTAAAATTGCTTATCAAGGCAACTATTTAAATTTGCGAAAAATCGATTCAAGATGAAGGAGCGTTGCGACCAATTTTTATTCGATTCTTTCCCCTAAAACCATCTGTACAAAGTTACTGCTCTTGGCAGGAGGAACACCATTTCTTCACTGGTAGTACAACCTCACAAGACATAATCGTATTTGTTCACAAATTTACCCATCTCTTTATATTTGCATGCTGTTTGTAAGCAGCTCCCAAAAAGCAAAGAGGCTGCGATTTGCCAGAATGCTAAACATTTTGCTCTTCTATGCCCAGGTTGAGGTTTCCAATGATAATTTTTTCAACAAAAGAAATTGAAAATAAATTTAAAAATACATCTGCACATTGGAATGCTAATTACTTACCCGGTGTTTGAAGGCGAAAGTTGATCAATGGCTCAAATTTTGATACATTAATGAGTATAGATATAATGAAAGAGATCGTATGGTAATTTTTATTATGGTTTTGGTTATATTAAGGTTATATTAAAGTATCTCATACTATGGTATATATCATGGTTAGGGTCATATAGCTGTCAAGTAAGAACAAACCGACCAAACAACACCGAAGCTTAAATATCGAAAATGCTAACAATCCGAGACTAAGATTGCAAACCCGTGTTATTTATAAAAATTGTACTATGTCGCGTAGCAGATAAGAAATAACAATGAGCCACCATAGTACAACTACAATCCACTTCTCCTGAGATTATGCTATGCTTAATTACATACATACAAACATACATTTATGGCTTGTTAATGTCATATACAAGTCGGCTTAAAAAGCTGATGTGGACTTGAAAAGTAAAGATACATGTGGACATGCTCTATACTCAAGAGAGCTTCTTCTGATGTTGGACCTCTCGAAATTGCGTTTGTGATTGGTTTATTGTTTTGTAGGAACATTTCAAGATGCTGTCAGTGAGAGAAATGTTTTGTCTGCGTTATTGCTTTCCGCATCGATATCGTCACTTCTCGCGAGAGCTGAAGGTAGGCATAGTAAGGCTGATTAAACCATGCGTGCCAGCAATGTCTAATATATAATTCAACTAGAGTGCTAAGAGCAATAACTACCAACATAAAATGTATATATCCAAAACGAAGGCTCATATTTCGGGATGTGTTCTACAGGGCATCAAGCGCTAGACAACAGACTAGTGAACAGTTATCTTCTTCATCATTTCATGAACAGGAATTGAGTTGAATTTGCCATTTGCTTAAGCACATATATTCATAACAACTTGAAGGCTGTAAAGTCTAAGATCTGAACCTTCTTAATTTCTTGAAAGATTGCTTGAAAATGTTTGTACAGATGTTTTCTGTTGAAAGTACTTGACAGCTTGTTGATTGCAAGATTGATAGAAAATTGGCACGTTTGTCAGCACCAGTGCTAGAATACTATACGTATGTGAATATCTTCAGAAAAACATTTAAAAGTTATGTCACTTTTAGAGTTAAGTTTGTATTTAGGTAACTTGGTACATTTAATGTGTATTTAAACCATAATTAAAAACACACATACACGATCAAAATTTATATACTTTAATGTATCAAAATATAGTTGCACAGTTCTGTGAGTTACAAAGTTGGAAAATCGTGTTCTTTTGTTAGGTCATTCGTTTAAGAACTTCCATTCCCTGTTAAATGTTTAGTTTATGCTTGTTTAATGTGCTCAAGCCGTTAGTAAACCTGATCAGCTTTCGATGCTCACTATTTTTGTTCAGATCTTATGTAGATTCTCTGACTGCAATTTATTGTCTTTGTTGATTGTTTTTCAGATGATATAAAAAGCGACTGGATGAACGAGGTACTACCTATTGAAAATTGTTTTAAACTGTACTTGTCAAATGTCTTTTTAAAAACCTTTGATCATCGTTAATTTTCTGTTTTGCATGTTTGTTGTGAGTAAAATGTGCCATAGGCAAAGGAAATTTAGAAAAAGCATCGTTGTTTTGCATGCGGTAGCGAGAACAGTGAATTTTCTAACACCGCAAATATTGTTGATTACTAGAACTGATTCAAAAAATGTTTGTAAGTTGCGCATTTTCGTAAATATGTTGTGCTGAAGCATAACGTTTTCAGCTGTCTTTCAGATAACACGAATATCAGCGCATCTTCTAAAACGAGTCACGTGATCGATTAAGTCCAATATTTCTGCATTTTTAACAGTGTAAATATGCATTTAATGGTTAAAATGACTCCCTTGTAGAAAGAATTTTCCTCTTGTCAGCTTTTGCCTTATGATTATATACATAAATTTATTGTATGATTGGAAGTACCATGACGTAAAACGCAGCACTTCGTAAATCTTAGGAGCTAGCATTGTGCTACACAAAAGAGCCAAAAGGCGAATGGCCATAAGAACCGAGGGCACAGGGTGCACGCCACCGATTTGCAGCTCATGGAAATTCTGCATGTATTTTGAAGTTCTCAATTTCGATGGACATGAACACAAACGTTGGTTTAGATCATTTGCTAAAACTAGAGTTATACCGGGCAAACAATTTCAGATAATTTTAACATAAGGTTGAGAAACGACAAGAATGTTTGATTGGAAGTATAATGTTGAGAACAAAAGTTTTCAATGATGAATGAGTGATGCTTAAAGTGTGATGAATGATTGAAATGATAAAAAATAAATCAGTATATCGCTTTGGTGTGAAGATCAGGAAAGTTCTAAACTGCACCTCCGAGTTACGTCATGTGCTATAATTTGATATGTTATTCAAAGTAAAACGAAACATGGCTCGATGCAAATGTAACTCACAATGTACTGTAACATAACAAAATCGAACATGATGTACTATGAGGCATAAAACCTGTTTTGATAAATATAATGTGTGTTTATTTTTTAATTTTTTTTTCTTTTGTAGGTAGCATTCTCCCCTTGTGCCACTAACATTGTGGACCTCATAGTCACCTTGTATGAACAAAGTATGCGGCTTTTTATTCACCTTTATATGATGAATCTGAAAACTTATCTAACGTGTTTGAAAAAGACCTTTGTCCGTATTTATAGATCTCCCCAACAGAAAGTTTGAAGACTAGAAGAAATGCCAGCATCTGGCGAGCGGCTAAACAAATCTTTTCGTCGTAATAAATGAAATAAAAAACAGTAAGAAACATTTCCGCAAATTAGTTGCTTTGCAAGTGGTTTAACAGAGTTCAACTACGAATCTTTGTTAATGTTGTTTTCTCTTCAGCAACTTCTTGCGTCAATTTACGTATTCATTATTTTGCATTGATAAAACGTAAAGTCATCTTCTCCAGCGCCTGAACCTGTTCCTCACTTCTAATGCTCTCAAAATTAAAATATTCAATATCTTAGTAATTAACCCTTGCACAACATATTGGTTCTTTGTGACATTGAAAATTGTCCCGGCTTAGAATAGTTATCCATAATTCATCTCCAAATTTTGCATCTTGAGTCTTTCAAAGCAAATTCGGTAAGCTTTGATGTTGGATGTCTCAGGCCTTTACGTTGGCTTTCTCCTCTGATATTGACTTCCTCTGCAGCTATACTCTGCAAGAGGTATAGATTTTGAAGGTCATTCACTTCAGAGCAAATGATTAAAAGCTTATGATATTTTACAGATCACGGTGAAGGGTGGGCGTGGTGTATGGTGCAGGGCATTTGTCCAATCTTGGGGCTGGTGTATGATACTGTGCAATTGTCCAGTCATTGGGGTTGTGTATGGTAATTAGACTGCATGCGTTGATATTTTCACGTTTTAAGTCTTAGTATCTTAATAATATTTGTAACGCGTTATGGATCTTAGCTTTTTTAGCCTTTTAGTCTTTGGTTTCATTTCAGGTAGAAGCATGAATCTGGATAGTATTTCTCTTCCGAATTTCGTTGAGGCAGGACGACCTATGAGGTAACTGCTGTTCACTTGATAACTGCTTTGGTGATTCCCCAGGCATGTCGTGATAGTTGTTTTCCAGAGACTTCAACTTAACCAACAGGCGTGTTTCATTTGAGTTTCTTTGATCAAAGTTTTAGGTAATACCGTGCTCATTTGAATAATGCCTAGTAATCATCTGGAGAGTTTATATGTGAACTAAAATAAATTTTCCAATCTCATGTAAAGAAGAATTTTTCGAAAAACACGAAGGAAAATTAATGATTTCTCCTAAGATGATGCTTTGATGAGGAATCACCTTGCCCTGTTCCTGTCCACTGTACAAACTTCCAACTGCATCTCCATTTTGCAACAATGATCAATGCAATTGAATCGGACTCATTACTCAACTTATTCATATTGGGCTGGTTATTTTCCATCGTTTTTTTGGCGGAAAAATGAGACAATATTTTTGAAAATATAGGAGCTGCTGATTTTCCAAATAGGTTTTAATGCATAAGGTCTGTTGGGCAAGATATCTTATAAAGACAGAATTTTTCTGTAAGGGGTTGTTTAAAGTCTTCCAAAAAAAGGGATTGGACATTGGATGCTACTGGAGTGTATGTAGCTATATTTGTTATTGCAAAAATTTTGCGAACACATCTCGTGAGTTGGGTTTCGCTAAACTCGAATAATGGTGGCGGATAATAATGCCTCTGTTTCATATGTAAATGGTTTAGTGTGAAAGAGGCTTAAGACCTTTAAGCCTGGTAGCTGACGAAGTCTTTCAGCCTTTTTTGCAAGGTACAAGCTGCTGTTTTTGGTTGCTTCCCTTTGATCGCAAATCAAATCGATGGTTTTCGTTAGCAGTTTTGAGATTTTTTCATTGTTGTCTGAGTTTTTTACCGAAATTACAAATCAAAAGTCACAAGTTCAGCAGTACTACAAATCAAAAGACTTGGTATTTTGAAATGCTTATATATCGTTTTTGTATCGTGTTTTGTCAAATTTCCATATAATCTTTTAAGCTAATTTGTTTTATAGAGATGTATCATTGCACGAGCACTGTTACATTCGAACATGCGCCCTCGTTGCTACATTCAGTCAAAGAGAATTTCAGAAAATGGTAAGATTGTACTTGCAATTTAATGTCCAATCTTTATAGAACCTTTCAACCAGTATATTTGTTGTTGATATTTTAAATTGCTTTTGGGGGGACTTTGCCTATGCTCCGCTCTTCAGTTTCTCGTGGTTTCAACCATTTCTTTTGATAGGTGCACTGTTTTGCGTTTACAAAGCTTTTGTAAACCTTCTAACCAACCAAGGGATATGATTTTAGAGCAGTATGTGTCAGCATGCTTAAAGTTGTTGAAAGAGCGCTAACATTGATGTGCCAATCTGTCAAGTGTAGCATAGGGGAATTTTTTAACAAAGTCTAGCCGAAGAGGCTTCTTTTTCAATTTCAGGAAAATTGTTTTTTGCAAATAGCGTCAGAACGGATCTTACATTAAATTTTTTGATGAGATTTAGACAATTATCTGCAAACGCTTCGTGAATGTTTTTCGATCCCATAATTATTCTCTATTTGTACCTAGAGGGTTTTGTGTAAGTTCCTCATCTTTCTTGTAATAGAACAGTTTTACATCATCTAGAAACTGAAAATTTGGAATCTCTGAATAGAATTTCACTTTCACTCCAAACGGCTACGACAAAAATTTCTTTCACAGAGCAAACACTATTTGTCCAATTTTCGATAGCTATCAATCTTTCTTCAGCTCAAATACCATCTGCAGTCACACTAGATTTCCAAACCCAACCTTCAGCGGTATTACTTGAAAAAATTTACTGATAGAGATAGAGCCCTGCAAAGACGTCCATGAAGGACTGGTTTCTGAATTACATTTCCGCTAATTTTTGCTACTATTTTCTGCAATTCAACTAAGTAGATTTGTCTGCCTAGTGTTGCCACTGCGATAGTATAATTTCTTGTGAAGGTTAAGCTATTTGGGTTGGTAATTTCCTGTGAGGTCTGAATTTTGTTTCCGCCAGCACATTTTGCCATTTTTGATTATCATCAAGCATTGAACACCTATATCTTGCAACGGTGCCTTTGATTTTGCAGTGGCCCTACATGTTTTATGCGTTTTATGTTAAAGATCGCTTTTGTTAGTCTAGGTTTCTAAAAAACAATTTTGTGAGTGATCGAGTGAGCATCCTTCGATACTGTTTCAAAGATTGACTCAACATCTTGACTTGTTTATATTCTATACAGAATTTTAGTCGAAGAGCATTACTGTAATCAGATGTGATACAGTTGCTGTTTGTTTAAAAACGGTAATAGACAAGTTTTTTCTGGCACAATAGCCTACTCCGTACATTCTGAAAATAAGGAAAATTCGGCAATATATATGTAAATTTCCTCCTTTTATTGATGACTTTGCCGGTTAAATGTCAAGTCGACTTACTTTTTATATCACCAAAAGATTTAAGTAATACCTTAACCGCCAACTAAACAAAATATTTCCTTTGGTTATATTTTACCATCCAATTATTTTTTGCCCACCTGTTGCCGCCATCTTACTTTCCATGCGCAGGGTACCTTCTAAAATGGCGAGCAATACACCAAGCATTCTAGCCTTACTATTTCTCCAAATTCACTTCAGCTAAGTTCTTGCAGTGAAATTCCGCGCACCTGCATACAAAGTATCACGAGCCTACATTCTTGAATATGTTTTCATAGGAAGGATTTTTTCTGCTCTTTGGTTAAGATCCGAATTTCCCTTGTTCCTTTTCAATTTTAATCATGTTTTCTTGTTGCTTAGATACCTTTTGCATGTTCCTATGTTCCCTGGCACACTAAACTACCCTGAGTGATTTTGTCAAAAGCACCGATACAGTTATAGGGCGTTGACCCTTTTTCGATAACCTGGTTGGAAAATTGTTTATGAATCCTTTACGAGATTTTATATCAGGGTTCGCAGGAACCGACGGTGATTAAACCTTAGATGTTTGAGCCCCTAAATTGAATCTCCTTTGACTAATTTTTCATGGTGCGTTCAAGATTGACGTGTTTCTTGCACAAGGGTTCTAGAAAACAGCTAGATGTTCGAATTGTTCCCTTCGCATTCTACTGTGAAATACTTTTTATACCAAATGCTGTTTCCTACATTACTTTGAAATGAAACTGTGTTCCTTTGAATTCACGAAATAATTCCCAAACTTTTCGCTGTTATGCTACGGATTCTTCCACCGCATGGAACGGCATTTGCTGAGCAATCGTTAATTTTCTTTCAAGCCAAAATTTTGCAGCTGTTTCTTTCCCAATGTCTTCTTCGTGAAATGAATCACAATCCTCTAGGATCTGGTTTGAAAGATTATCCACTAAATTCGTGTCTGTTATCTTATTTCTACACTATCCAACTTTATATTCTTGCAATGATTGTTTCATTTTGTAGTTGATATTTGTTTTCATGTTTTGACAACATTGTCTGCATAGTAACATTTTCTGCTTGTTCATTTCATTCCTGCTACTCAGTTCTCTTACCTCATGCATTGTTTTCAACTCATGCATTGTTTTCAACTCATGCATTGTTTTCAACTCATGCATTGTTTTCAACTCATGCATTGTTTTCAACTCATGCATTGTTTTCAACTCATGCATTGTTTTCAACTCATGCATTGTTTTCAACTCATGCATTGTTTCAACTCATGCATTGTTTTCAACTCATGCATTGTTTTCTACTCGTGCATTGTTTTCTAATCATGCATTACAATAGTACGTGACGTTGTTTTAACCGAAAGTTTTAGAAAAAAACAGTGAAACCTCCCTTTTCCTGTAAAGTTTAAACCTCAAGAAGCATAATTTTTCTTGAAAATGACGAGATAATTGCCGATGACAAAACAATTGGAGATATTTTTAACGACTTTTTCGCCAATATAACAAGTCTGGACGCTTTTTTCAAAACGAACTGAAATCTGGCGACATTTCCTTACTTTTTAAAAAAGGTGTCTTCTGATGACTGGAAACGAATTGTGCAACTACGCAGACGATAATACTTTATAAGCTTGCAACTCTAAGGCAGAAAATATAATATAAAGATTAGAGCCAGATGCAAGCCTACTAACAACGCGTTTCCTAGAGAACTATATGAAATTAAATGAAGATAAATGTCACCCCATTCTGTTTGGGACAAATAAATAAAGAGTTAATATACAAATTGGTGACACCTAGACAGAAGAAAGTGACGAGGAGAAACTAGAAAAAAGAAATCGAGTTTCAAAAAACATGTCCAAATGCTCTATAAAACAGCTAGTCGGAAGTTTCATGCTCTAACACGTAACTCTGTTCTTATTGAGCCGGAGAAGCTAAAACTGTTGATGAAAACATTCGTTCCTGTTTAGCTATCGTTCGTTGATTTGGATGTTTCACGATAGAAATCTGAACAATAAGATAAAAAAAGCCCATAAATGTCAAGCTTGCAACTACAGATTATGTAAGATATTTTATCCAAACTCAGGCTTTTCATCACAAATTGTGTTTTGTATTCATTTTAAAGCCATTTGTGTGTATCTTATTTGATTTGTTGGCCTTAATTAGCTTTTAAGCTTTATATTTTTAACTGCGCATTGTAGATCAAAGAATTAATGATTATAATAAATAATATAAAACCAAGCCTAGTTTTGGAGGGGGACGTGCCATTTCGGTTCAAAATTTGGTCTCACAATTCCGCATCCGCAGGTCTGAAAAAATTTCACCCATAATTCAGCAAAAATGGTGAAAGCATTAGCCATAATTTCGCAAGGCAATAAACATTTTTCAAGACTCAACAAAGTCATCAAACAAATTTTAAATTTTATTCCCAAGATGGTACCCATAATTTTTCACGTTTCTCTACAAATGGTACCCACAATTCCGCTTAAACCTATTAAGTTACCAGCCCCACCCCTCTTCGAGGACCGTATATGCTTGTTGTTTCTTATAAAAGACAATTACGTAACAATAATACAGAATCACAGTATAGTTTGAGGTCGTACGTTGTTGCAGTCACAATGCTCCAAGTCAATAGGGTTTTCAGGCCAACTAATAAAGGCACTTAATGATAAAGGTTTTTAGGCCAACTAATAAAGTCTTACTTAATAAACTGTAGTATTTTGTGCACCTTACTTTGGAAAGAATTATCTTTTTCAGGAATCTTCCTTGTTAAAGCATTTGCTGTTGCAGCGGTGTTTCAGCTTCTTTGTCGCAGACATCCTATCATTTGTTGCAAGGTAATGTATAAAACCTCGATGTTTTCTCTGGTGTAGAAAATGAAACGGTCCTAAGTTTGATAGTTTTTGCGATCATCGGATAGCATTTTACAGCTCTTTTTGTGAAATTGCTATATGCTTGTGGCTCAAGCTCAGTACTACAAATACAGGATAAGAAAGACAACGAAATATTGTTTAGGCTTCAGATCCAATAGAGGACTGTATAAATTCGATCAATTATAACACAAATTCTAGTTTAGATTCCAACTTCGATCCGTTCTAATTCTATGTCTTCTCTAATCCCCTTCAATTCAAATTGAATTTCTAACACATCCTTCAACGTGTACAAGTGACTACAACAACAATAACTATTGAGGAGAACGTCATACCATACAATTTCTTACACTCTGTCTATATAGGATCGGTTTACATAATCTTCATTGAATATCAATGTTAGTCTATTAGCTGTTCTTTGATATAATTTCTTTGCACTCGGATGGAGCTTTCTCTATTATATATGTCATATTTCAAAAGCTTCTCCTTGAAACAGATGTACTTCTTACGGGTCCTTTTTTATCATTGATGTGATTATACCACAGAAACATTCAGGAAGTTTCTAAAAGGTATGCAAATGTGAAAATTGTTGGTCTGAAGAGCGGTATGGGACTATACCTTAACTTCATCTTTAGGCCCTAGTTTTACTTCTCATAAGTACATCTTTAAGTTCCCGATTGGGCTTTTCCAATTCATACATATTTAGGTTTTTAATGCGGCTATCCATATATACATATCTAGGCTCCTGGATTGCTCTACCCCATGGATAAATCTTTAGGTGCCCAATCGGGTTATCGCATCTTCAAACATCTTCAGGTCCCCAATGGGGCAATCAATAGCTACATCCCAAATCGGGCTACCCTATTCAAACCTATTTCAATCCTCAATTGTGCTATTCCATTCAAGCATTTTTAGGTTTCTACTTGGCAAATTCCAATATTCTGTTCTATTAAAGAACTGAAGCCCGCTGGCCAGTGTCGTGCTGGGGATGAGATCGCAGGGGGGGGGGGGGGGGCAAAGGGTCAGAATAGCGCCCCTCATTTAGCTTTCTTCAAGTTTTGGAGATGTGCAGAAAAGTACAAGAGCTCAGATGCACGCAGATCTGTATCTAGCTATCTGTGGCGCACACTGAAAGACCTTCAAATGAGGGGCGATAGGGAATTTTCAAATAGAGTATGTTATTATTTGTATTACCTAACAGTATTTTTGAGTATCGTTGTAGCGGCTGTATCATTAGCCAGCACAACAATGATAATCAGGGACGTCACTATTGAGGGAGGTTGGGGTAGGGAGGGGGCGGTAAGATCGTTCAGGAGTTTAGAGAAGGCCGTGACCATGGTTGGCGGCAAAAAATTGCAATGAAGAACTTCTAGAGATAGTCGGAAAATGCATCCATATATTTACAACATCGCTCTAGACTCATGAAAGATCCTGGACAATACCTATAGGCTTTCTTCAAAATATTGTCCAATGGCTGGTCCGAGGCAGGCCTTGTTTGGGTTTACTACAAATCTGCCTGATTGAAAAAATTACCTGAAATTCTTTAGTTGCTGACACCATCCTGCTGCAATACATTTGTCGATTCACAACATCTATATACATAATTATATCAGAACTTCCAACTCTTTTGATCTATATATCGGAAGAAGCCCAGGATATAACTATACTGTCCGATGCGGCACCATGGTTGCCGCCGAAGGAAAAGAAACTCTCGAATTTTGATTCTCCTAGTTTGCTGGAAAATGCACTTTTTGAAGCTATTTTCAATAGTGTAAGCTTTCTCTGAAATGAATACCTACAGACTGGAAGCTATTTGATTGTTTTAATCAACTTTCTTGTTTCGTTGTTTAATGTTTTAGCTCATGCAACATAATTTTCTGCAGATTGGGACGTAATTTCTCAGCTTTTTCTTCCTATAATTTCTCATTTCTATAAATCAAAACTCCTTGCACCCTCCCAATGATTTTTTAAATGGCGCCTAATCTGAACTTTTACCGTCAAGCCGAAAATTCCTCAAAAACACCCCGCAACTTCTACCTCGGTGCGCCCCTGGTATCAACTTTGTGCAAAAATCATTTAGATTTATCATGAGATCTTGAGATGGTGTTGGACGATCGTTGTTAAGAGCATCAAAGTTTGTAAGAAAGACGAGTTGATTCTTGCAAGGTGATTCTTGTTCTCTTCAAGTCCCCCTTTAATATTGTTGTGTTCTTTTATGTAATTTGTCCTCGTTTGCTAGCTATTTGGCTAGAGCGCGTGTATGAATACTTATTCTGCTAAATGTTATGTAAATTATATCCAGCCAATGATAATGATCTTTTTGTTTCCAGATGGGGTCCTGAGAGTCTATGCTTTCAGCAAGCTGAATTTTTCATTCATATGGTAAATATGATTGTTTCTAAAATTCCATGTGCTTACTTTTACCTGTGAGCAAGGACTGTTCTTATCCAATTTCTTTGCTTCACAGCTGCAGAAATTTTCTAGAATTTTTATTCTATCTGTTCTGCTTTGCTCTGCTAATGGATTGGATTAAGAAATAAGAGTAAACCTTTCCTAGCCTGTAGCCAAATATTTTCAGAACAGGGGTGTCTCCAGAGCACAAGTGTGCTTGTTCTGATAAAATAACAAACATTGTATTATTTGATCGTTACGTTAAATACTTGGGCTTTGAACCTCTAGGGTTTTTGTCCTCACCCACTGCCACCTTATCAGCTTGATCTCCGTTTTACAACGCTATTATTGTAGTCACATAGAAATTGAGCAAGTATTTCAAGGTCCTTGTTAACCAAACATTATGCGGTCAGGCTTAGATATTGCAATGCAAGAGCTTCATTCGAGATTCATCCGGGTCTTGCTTTCTACCTACCCATGTGATATGTTCTGTATGGAAGCACGTGCTTTTATATTTATCTACTTCACACAATTCTTATGAGCAATATTTTCTTTTTGCATCCCAGTAATCAGCAAAAAAGATTTAAGAAGAAAAAGATTGGATTTTTATCGATTTCTAGCTCCTTGTTGTGGCTGTTATTCTGTTGTTAGTAGAAATCATGCGTCAACAACTTTCTTTGGGCCAGTTTACATGAGTGGGCTAGCCTACTTGAGTGGGTTAGTTTCTTCAGGTGATATCGTATTCGCAAGAGTTTACACGAGGACGCGATTTGTCCCACTAAGGTGGGATGACCTCTTATTTGAAGATTTTAAATGAGGTTGTTTAGCTTTTGACACCATAAAAATGAATATCAGTTTTCCTCAACAAATGAATAACAAATGGATTCCTTTTCTGACCGTACTTCAGTTACACAGAATTTCGAATTTGTGTTCGATCTATCAAAAGTATGCGACCGGCGATCAATAGGTTCGTGTTTGAATTGAGGAAACATAATGTTTTAATTGAGGAAACTCTATTTTTCTGTACGCTTTTGCCACGGTTTTAGCAGAAGAGCCCGAACTGTTGCTGCCTATTCATACGACATTATGATTTGGTCTAGTTTGGCGCCAATTTCCTCTACGCAGGCACATTGACTCCCAGTGAGTGGGCTAGCCCACCTGATCGCGTTTAATCATGGATAATTCCCAACCCACCTGATGCGGATCCCATCTGTCATTCTCGCGGATCTCACCTGAGCGGGCTGGCCCACTCTCCGTAAATACAGAGAACAAGGGAATGTATAGAAAGTACGGATCCAACTTAAGTGGGCTAGCCCACTTCATGTAAACAGGCCCTTTGTCAGCCATTTTTTAAGTTAGGGAATCCAAAACCTGATAATTATTACACTTCCGTTTTGATACACTTTGATGCTGAACACTTCAGTTTTATAGACAAATTTCATCAACTTAAACCGAGCTGCTTCTTGCTTCAGTATTTCATTTCACTTCATGTTACATAACAAAATTATCAATATAAGATCTTATTATCAAATCTTTTTGAGTATTCTGTTGATAAAGTGCTGTCAAAACGCAGTCATCGAATCAATTTGCCCTAACGTAGTTTCGTACAGCATTGTACTTTTTCTATTAATTCAAGTCGGATGTTTTGTTTCAGATCCTGGCTGTTTTTGAAATTTCTTCCATGCAGTCAAAGATCCTCAACAGATGCAGTTTCGTCCTTCAGCGGCTGTTCCTATTGCTAGGCGACGTTAAAAAGGTAGAACATAATACTCCTCCATAAGTCCTAGAATAGGCCCCTGCGGGGGCTTTTCGCAAAAATGCTTTGGGATGGAGGCTTATTTGGCAGCAGCCAAAAATACTACAAGGGTTAATTGTCATCCTCTGTTTGAGGCTGGTATGCATGCTTAAAATTGCCGATTATTTGGGTAAACCTACTGCTGTCAAGGCAATACCTTAGTCCCTAGGGGCTTATTCCAGGGTGGGGGTTTATTTCACAAAAATTACTCCATGGTGGGGGCTTATTCGAGGGGGTACTCATTTGAAGGCGATGGCTTAGTCGAGGATTTATGATACAGCCGACTGTGATCCTTCAGCTATTCCACTGCGTAGTTCTTGCTAATGTACTTTTTAGGTCACACTACTTATTGGTGTGCGGCACAGGCTGATTTTAAATTGCTACTCCAGGTTTCACACTCATTTTGAACATCAGTCAACACTGCTTCCGTGTGTAACATGCGAACTAGGGGGCAATTGCCCCTCCAGCCAGAGTGGCTCGAAATTGGAACACGTTTGCCAAAATGAAGTGCATTGATAAAGCTTGTTTTTTTCTTGGTCGAGAAAATTGCTCGGAAAAAGACAAGACATGTTTGTCACATGGCAAAACAACTGAATAAATGCTGCCCATTAAGTGGCATGGACAACACGTAGCCAACTGCGGTCGGTATCGCATGGGTAATAGGACTGTGAATTGAACTGATGGAGAAAAGTGCAGAAGGCAAATCTTCACTTTAGATTACAGAGGAGGGGATAAAATCTAACAGAAATTTCCTCACAAAGTCACAGTTGTTGATCCATCTCCCACTTGAGGGTCTAATATTTCATAAAAAAGGACAACTTGGGAAACATTGTGCATGATTTATTAAATGTGAAAAATGAAAATATTTTTGCTAAACAAGAGGTGTAGAGCTACAAATTGACCAGCGGCCAGAGGTGCACTCGAAAATACCTCAAACACCCATACCAACAAGCAGAAATGTGTTACTTTTTGCAACGAAAGCTGGTCCCCCTCAGCCTCCCTAGCACAATAAAAATGTGCTAAACATTTTGATCTTTTTCAATGTAATAAAGCTATTTTCCTTTGGGCATTTATATTCCTTTCAAACTTTCTAACTTTTCATTAAGTGTACAAAACTGTTAAATTGCTTATTCATATTATGAAGATTTTCTGTGAGAAAATATTTAACAATGATTTCATATGACCATTGGTCACAGGGAAAATAACGCCCTGGCATCGGACAAGTTGAATCTCATAGCCCGTTTTGCATACATAATGTATATCAACATAAAATCGTCATTTAATTTATTAGATGATTTAAGTTCTATAAAAGGTGTTATAGCAACTTTTATAACCATATTATGAAATGAATTTACAGGAAGAATTTTTAAAGAGAATCTTGTCGAGAAGAGAAGATGTTGTGACCATATTGAGTATGCTTCCATTCAGCAGAATGAGCCAAGATCTCCAAGAGAAGGTTAGATTATAAGGTTGAGAATTCAAGTAATTTGCAATTTTAGTTTGCTCAAAATGATTGATTGAATTTGCTTTGTACACCCCCAAAACTTTGGGGATACCCTTGTCATTGCAGCGGGCTCTTAAAGCGATTGCTTAGAGTTTCATTTAGCAATTCTTGTTAGCAATTCGATTTCTGATGAAATGATTCGCTACAATTAAGTTATTATGGATCACAACATACAGTTGCTGGTTTTTTTCCTACTTTTAATTGTTTCTGAGATTGCTAACAACTATTTGACATATATAATTATTTCTTCTTATACAGTATTTAGGTACAATAATATCCAAAACTTTAAATGGTTTGGAAGAGTATAAGACAAAAGAAAATCAGAATATGATGGTAAGACTTGTTAATCTAATTTCTCGCAATAGTTTTTTTGTGAACAATTTTTTGGCGGTAAAGAACTTGAAAATGGTTTTGAAAATAGTTGTGGATCGAAATAGGCCAATCAGAAAAACGCAACTGGGTATATATTTTTCATCGTGTACTTTCGGACCCTTATTCTGACGTTTTATGCTCTGAGGAGTGTCAGACGGAAAAGCTTTTAGCCAATATGTTGTATAATATTTGCCTTTTTCAAAGCTATTTTCAAATAGTTTCTCTCTTGCTTTGGCTGTAGTAATCAGCGAACGATTCCTACTTAAGTCATTGTGACGCCCTTCTCAAGATTTATTTTTGAGAAATTATCAGCTCGCAGAAGAGAAGCTCGAAACTGACCCCCTCCCCACTTTTCCCTTGGAAAAATGTTGGCTGTCGAGTTAACTATCTAAGATGAATCAATTGGATGATACTGGAGCTGTGAAATTATGAGATTACATTGTTTTGATGGGAATTGTAGTCACCTTTATGACTGCCTGATTTACTCTCTCGCTACACAAGGAGCCCCTTAACAACAAAGCCATTTGCAGTAAATTTATCTTCAAGTTCATATTTTCAAGATGCTAGAATAACAATGTTTGTTCAATGTTAGTGCCATTCATCGGGGGAACGCGATGACTTTGTGTCTTAACCTTCTGTGAATGGCACCATGTTGCTGTATAGCTTTAGGTTTATAAACACAAATTTTGTACCTTTTACTTATTATTTATTTTTTACATGATATTCTAACATTAAAGAAATGCACCGATTACCTCTTGCTAGATGATGGTCATTAAAGTATGGGAACAGTCTCTTGCTAGTGTAAACGCATTTCAGCTGCTTTCACCTCTCCAAAGAAATGGCGTCATAACAACTCTAATGGACGTTTTTGAAGGTTTCCAAGATTCACAATGCACAGAGATTGTATGTTGTTTTTCATCAAGTTATATTTCCGAAATGATTTGCTGAAAGTTAGGTTTTCTTTAATCAATATTTATTCAACTATTTAAGATGAAATAATCCCCCCAGCAACCTTGAATCCCCCAGCAACCTGTCCCCTACATGCATTTTTGTTGCTACTGTTAGAACAATGCTGTCTCGAGCTCCTCAATCGGAGGGGAAGCTTCTCCTCTTTCGATAATTGGGCTGAAATTTGACCGGTCGTTATTTTTACTTTTAAGCTCACAAACCTAACTGTGACATTTTCTCTTGATTGCAGGACGAGCAATTTGTATGCTTGATTTTGGGAGCAACTAGCAAAATAGTGTGTTTTTTAGATATGCGGCAAATTGAATTGGTATGTTGATTTGCAGAAACCTTATCACCAACAATCTTTAGACTTTACTTCTCGTTATAAACATCTTACTCAAAAATAATATATGACCCGTCTGTGAGGTTCATCGTGTTGGGACATCTAGCTCTGAATATTCCAAATGATGCTGTCAAAATTAAAGAGTGGATAAAATACTTCATCCAAAAAGATACATATACCGTTGTCCTATCCAAAGAAACAAATTTTTATGCACAGCTTTGAAATAATAATTGCACAGTCAAATGTTTGGAAAGACCATCGACGCAACGTATTACAATGGTTGCTTGAGATAAAGATAATATTGATACGTTTTTAAAAGTAATGGCAAATCGTTGAAGATCTTTGTTATGATAAACGACAAGAATACTGGGTTATGCTACTCGTGTGAGTATTATGTCTTTGCTGTGCTTATTTTCTTAGCATTTTTACTGTTAATTTTTTTCGCAGACATTGCGGGTTTGTTTGACATTGGCGGAAAGCAATCACTCAGAATGTCTTTTCGTCCAGCTGTGCAAATTTCTCTCTGCCTTGAAGATGGAAGATTTTACCAACGAATTTCAGGTTTGTCATATCTTACAAGTTGTGTTGGCCTGTTTAATATTGTGATTCTTATAAAGGGACTTGGCTAGGTACAACTAGGAAACTTTGTTTTGTGCAAATGCATTAGCATTAGTCTATTAGCAATTTTCCTCTTGTCTTTTCTTTCATGTCCTTTGAAAGAAAACGTTTACAAGCAAACGTTTTGACCAGAAGACGTAAACTTGACAATAACTAACATTAAAAATGGAAATTTTCTTGTTTATCAGTCATTTTGATGGAGAAAAACATACTGAAACCTTTGAAAATCTGCAACAACTTTCTCCAAACACTATGGATTCTACAAAAAAATCTTACCTCGTGGTGATCTGAATTAATTATTAATAAACTCTTTAGGCTATGCAGCTGGCAATCGTGAAGATAAGCTTTTTACTTTCCTTGCTAGCTCATATTTTATGCGGAGTAGTACTATGAAATAGGCGGTCCTACTCTGATAGTTTCCAATCGCTCAAAGATATGTCTTAAAACAAGGGTGTTATATTTATAGAAATTCAATCTGTTGTTCTAGAACTTTTGCTCTAGAAGTTAAGCAATATAAAGTTTCAAGTTACTAGAAGATAGTAAAAGAGCTGTTTACATTTTGATTAAGGAGGGCTACACTACCGAGAAAGCAAACTGCTTATATCTAATCTGCGTTAGACTTTGAGCAGATTGAATTCTCAATCAAGTTTCGCATTTGTTTTTATGCGTACAGCTGGCCGTATTTTTTGTTTTTAAAGGCATAGAAAGCAAAAGCTAAAAAACCAATGTGTGAATAAAAGTGTAAAATCCAAAATGGAAAAATGAGAAAAAAGGAGATAAGGAGTAGTCACTACCACCTGGTTACAGCCTTAAACTCAGATGGGGGGTGGTTGTGTGTGCCATTTGAAAAGCAACTCATCAGCCAGAAACCCACGAGGGACAATTCGGGGCTTTAATTCGGTATGTCCATTCCTCGTATGCGCCCCTCGCAATCCTTCGTCCAGAATCACGGTTGCAAACGTCAGGAAATACAAATACTAAGTACCTTAAAAACTAAGTACTCTTTCGGACTGACAACCAAGGCTGACAACGAAACTATCCTTCGGAATTCTCATCACTCTAGCTTCCGAAACTTTATAAATCTTAGCTCGAATAATTTTTAGTATCAAAGACGTATAAATTTACATGGAAATAGTTGTTGAGCGCAGACATGCATTATAGCAATTCCTGCACTGTTTAAATGATATTTTTTGGTTCTTCGTAGAATAACAGCTTATTTTTCTTTCTGTCGAGTCCCTTCTTTCACGCCCCTAACGAGAAAGAAAGGGTTTAACTTTTTTAAAACAAAAAACACTTATTTTGTCGAATATATCAATTACCAGCCATTAAATTACCAGTCGTTAAACGAAGCAGTCAGTTATTGTCAGTCAGGACAAATGAGATCGAATTTGATGAGATTTCTAGCCTGCAAAACCCATTTTATTCATGAAAATGATTTTATTTGCCTTGTCGTGGACGCGGTCGTGGATAAATTCACATAACTTTAGCAATATTTATAATCCATTTTTCTCACCTTGCTAGAGTTTGTCTGTCTAATTTTCTTCCATTGACGTAAAGCTTGACTGCTAAAGAAAATTGCATGGCTTTTTACTGTTTCTGTTTCTGGCAAAGTAATTTTTTCGCTCTCCGTCGAAGCTTTTTAGGGTTAATACCATCCCCAGGTTCAGAAACTCATCTAGTACCTCTACAGTTTTATTTAAGAATGTAGAGTAGCTTTAGTTGGTTTCATACGTAATTTTTTGACGTTCAGGTTTCGTTTGTCTTAAGATTTTCCTCTTAATGGTGTCATTTTGATACAGCTGGTCTTCCCTTCTATTCCTCTCTTATATATGACAGTGCAAACCTTGCACATGTTTTTTAATATCTTTCTACAAAGGTAACGTTGCAATTGAATATTTAGCTCCAGGGCTATATGAATATAGCGGTTAAGCGCAGTGCTTGGTAAAGGCCACACTGATATGCCCCCTCTGCTTTACTATCTTTTCTGCATCCATAGCTGTCTCATTTCTAGGTGAAAAGCGACCACATCTCGTTTTTCTTCTCAGGGTGCCTGTCTGCCGTATATGATAAAATTGTTTCAGGCTTTACTTGCTCACAAGTCTCCCTTTGTTCGAATTGAAGCTTTGCAGTGTCTAGTTCAATTTTCTGAGGTGAGTTTGTGATGTCATATACCTTTGAAACTATAAATGTATATCTGATATATCTTGTGCTAAAATTTAACGACGTTGACCAGTTTTCGTATCAAAATATATCGAGAAGAAATTGGAAAAAATTGCTCGTAATTTGCAAAAACCAATTTTTTTCAAGTCTGATTATCTTTTATTTGGAATATCGATCTACCTTTGTATGAATTTTGAAATGTCTTTGTATGAAATGCAAGCATGTAAATCTGGTCTTCTTAACTCTATGAGCAAAGTTTGAAGAACTGCATATTTCAGGCATAGTTATGGCATTCTTTATTCGGGCATTCTTTAGAGTTTAGGAGTTTAGGAGGTTATTCAAGCATGCTTTAGGCATACGTCAGAGCATTTCTTTGTCCTATTCCAGGGATACTCCAGCCATATTTTAGTTGCAATTCAGGCATATTCAAAAATTCCTTGGTATAATTCATTTGGACATTCTTTAGGCTTGTTTCAGGCAGTCGTCGTAAGCTATGCTTTAACAAAATCTTTAGGCAACTGCATACGACCTTACGAAATGTACATAATATTCCAACCTTTAGCCTCTGCGTCCCTACCGATCAGGCCTGTAAATTCCAAATTTTAGGAGCATCAGTGATTATTAATCATGGGATACATTCTCTTGGCGACGATTTTCATTCAATTTTAAATATTCAAGGTAGGACGTGACAATGTTTTCTTACTGCAGGCCTCATTTCATGCTGACGTTTTATATCAGTGTCTGCCAGAAACGATGGTCGAATCCTATGAGTCACTTTCAAGTAAGGTTAGTTCCTTGCACACAACTGGCTTGATTGTTTCATGACATTTATTGCACTTGAGATAAAAGAAATCAGGCTCCCAGCAATGTAGTGCCGTTTAGTAATTTAGTTAAAATTAAAGATTTAACAATCATGAAATTAGATTGAAATGAGTATTGTCATTTTGGATTGCTTAGCGATTTGAAGTTGGAATTTAAGGATTTACAGCATTGCTACCCATTTAAAATCTTTCCAGCAACATTCACCCATGGGAAACATGCTTGGCTAAAATTCCATGATTCAGCATTATGTCAGCAATTCTAAATTCCTTTCACTGAAAAATTTCCAACAACGGTGTTTCAAAGCTAAAGAGAAACTACCATGTCATAGGATGAAAATCAAAATCGAAAATGAAAAAGGCTAGTTTCATTTTAGTTCTGTTAAGAGTTTCCGTTTTAAATTGCCTAGATGCTATCGATTCTTGTTCTTTTTTCAGACTGTGTTGTTGGATGAATTGACTGATAGAGAGAAGGTGAATATTTTTGTTTTTTTGAAGTATTTTGTAGGTAAGAGTAGTATGTAGTATGTAGTATGTAGTATGTAAGAGTCAGTAGTATGAGACTCATGGCCGTATGTAGAAATATTCATGGCCGTATATAGAGAAATTTCGCATGACATGTTACCGATTATGTAGATTTTTAACTGCCACGTTTAGCCGAATGTTTTCTGAAATCGTTGAAAAAGCACATTGTCATGTTTTGGTCGATTGAGCAATCTTTTGAAGCTTCTTTGCACAGTGCACAATGCTCAAAAAATAGTTTGGATTGGGTGCTTTTCAAAACAAAGAAAAATTATGGGATCAAGAACTTGCAAATGACATTGCCATTGAAAATTTCTCCTGAACTTCTCGTTGGATTGTCTGCCAAATGTAAGACACCAATATGATATATATGAAGAAAACTGAAACGTGCCTTTTATTTGCTTCAAATAAAATAAGCAATTTGCAAATGTCTTTAATGTTTTTCGCTATACGCCCAGAGAAGCAAAAATGTTGATAGAAGTATGTCCCTAAATATCTAAAATACATAAAGTGAAGTTAGTCAACCCTTAATAGTCTCGAGTCCTTCATAAAACATATTGTATATTTTCTTAAATGCATTGAAAGAGTGAAATTAAAGTGTAATACAGAATCAATAAGAACTTTTAAAGATTTGATGTATTCGTTGATCTTAAATGTTTCAGGAAAAAAGACTAGAAGAGGCAGTACAGCTGTTCTTAACAACTTATGAGAAAGTAAGAATTACTTAAGCGTCTCTGTTTTTGCGATTTCATTTCATGTTTTTTTCATAGTGAACTTTCATCCGTGACTTTCTCGTCAGGGCGACTATTTACAATGAAAGCACCTGAAGGAATTTGCGCTCTTTTCGGCATCTTCAGAAAAACCATCACGACGAGGTTGAATGAAGTTCGGAAAAATTTTGACATTATACGCTGCAATTAATACATCATTATTCATCGTTTCTTGTGTGAAATCGCTTTCTTTGAACATGTTAGTTCTTCTTTGAAAGACGTGACTAAAGAAGAAATGTTCCTAAATCCTGGCTACCACAGCAAATACAGTCGCAGGCTTGCTTTCCCACTGACATTTTAGATCTAAATGCGCGCGGTAGAGTGACAATCGGATTGCGTAAGTGAAATGACGTAAACATTGCTAAAAGCTGTCATTGCCCAAGCGCGTTTCATGTCAGGGGCATTAGTTAGGGGGCAGAAATTGCCGCATCCCCCGAACACTTTTTCACAAAAAGTGTTTCTCAATTAAAGGCAAATTCTTTCTTGAGAATCTTAGAACTATTTCATCCAACCATACAGAGACATCAACATTTTTAGGAGTGAAGCAAAAGATGCCTTAAGAAAAGTTGATTTCCTAGATAAACGCAACGCTGAAACTACTGACCAACCTATTTAGCAAACCATCGGTGCGCTATTATTAGAAAACACCAAATGTAAAAAATCATAAGTTGCTGACATTGCATTTTGGAATCTGTAGTTTAAGGTTGTTTACGACACAGAAGCTTAACATCTATTTATCATGATTTGATTGCTATTTTTCATTTACTTCAACACAGCGTAGCGACTGCCAGATTGCTTGCGAGAACCAGAGTGCTCCAATCTCAATGCCGGAAGCAGGGACCGGGGTATGTTTGCCATGATTTATTTTCTTTGCTTCATATAACAAATACTGAAGTTGGAAATTTCCCAAGATGCAGGCACAAACATTTGCAAATACCAAGCTTTTTTTAGAATCTTAACGGACTGACTAAAGGATTATAGACAGGGAATTTTGTAGAAAAAACTAGCAAACTGCCTAACCTCAAATTTTATTTCACATTCTTACTAAATCGACCATGGAGATTCCAAATCCAAGATGGGCCAAAAAAAATTATCACCGGAAGTTACTGTTTTTGATGACGTCATCAAAAAAATGATAAAAAATCGGCCAAGGACTCGAACTCAACTTTTTTTGCATTTCTGCACTAAATTAACTATGCAGATTTCAAATCTGAGATGAAATGAAAAATATCTTGAACGGAAGTCAAATTTTGTGATGACGTCATCAACTTGGAGAAAATTCACTTTGAACCTTTTTAATTGTTTTCTCGCAACTATCATTGTCAAATATGTTCCATATTCGAATTGCACACATTCAGTGCTTTTAAAAGTTGTATTGAATTTCTATTATACTTACTTTTAAACGTTCTTTCATGACGTCATTATCATTTTATGACGTCATCGCCTTTTAAAGGTAATTGAATAACGCGTGAAAGGATGCCTAAAAATCTTTAGCTAGTTAAAAAAGTCATTCAAAATTAAAATTTCGTTGTATAGAAAATGATATGGATCCATTCATCCTTCATCACTGTCTCCTTTGCTGGAACTCCAGAAGAAAATGTAGTTCCACTCATCATCGTCTGCTTTAAGCTGATCACCTCACCATAATTTTTCCCATGGCCTAGTCCTCATTGGTTACGGAATTTTCTTCGATTTCATCACTAGAGCGCTGCAGATCTTGCAGTTTTTTAGCGGAGGGTGTGCGGGGCCCTGCACAAGATGAACATAATTTGTGTGAAAAAATTTTGGAATTATTTTGCTGACTCCAGTATTTTCTGCAGATATTCACAGCTTTTTTAACGTTGACGATCGGATATTTTTGTCTTCAAGCCGTTAAGAAACGTTTTTCTCTATATATCCTCTTCGTGCCATTTCTTATTTATTTATCAAATGTATGTTCAAAATTAGAATATGTAAAGAAATTTTTTTCCTATAAACCACACTAATACCACCCGTGGGCCAGATCATTCTTTCCATCGTATGTCTAGCGAAAGCTTAAAGGCAATTTCTCTTACAATCTTCTTTTGATAATGTAACCAGTAGTAAATGCTTGTGTCAACCAGTATGGATCTGATTGTAGAGCTTCTGATCATCTGTTTTTCATTGCCTTGCGAATTCTTACTCTTATCTGCACAAGTGTTTCGTCACATTTTCCTTTGTATGATTATTTTTGCACAAATTTTATCGCTTTCGTGAGAATGTCTTTGCAGATTTCCTGTCTCATCGTAACTCTCTCGAGCAATTTTCCCTTTCCAGAACACTCCTAAAGCTTTTTAAAATGTTAGCTTTCCTTACAACAACATTACCGGTGTTGTTTTGCAGCCAATAACTGCATGAACAGCCGGTAGATTTTTGGAACTATCTAAACCCAGGTAAGATACGACGTTCCAAAATTAACGTACTTCTCGTTGTCAATCTTTAAGGAATATTTCCTTGAAGGCTTTTCACACAATAAGCAGTAAAAACTACATTAGTGTCCTTTCGACAACTTATAAATTTTATCGATGAGGAAAGAATGGAATATCAAGTGGATGTCAGCCTCTTCATAGCTGCAATTAAGCAAGTATGTCGTGGAATCTTTGATTATCTTTAAGGTTTGTTATTTATTGGTAAACACGAGTGCTTTCAAAATGAACTGCTTTCCTTCTTAGCCCTGGTAGAGCCTTGAACTAGCTTTAGAAAGTAAGTTTGATACAACAAGAACCAGACCAGATCATACAAAATGTTCTTGACAAGTTATCAAGTAGGAACCGAGTTTTGCAATGGGATATCGCAGAGATAAAGTGTTATACCCGCACTAAACCTATCTTATATTCCATTTCAAGGTTTTTGTTGCTGTTAGTGATGCTTGGCAGTCTTCTGCATTACAAAGATCAAGATAATCCAAAGGCTTCACCAGGGCTAAGAAATAAAGCAGTTAATTTTGAAAGCACTCATGTTTACCAATAAATAACAAACCTTAAAGATTATCAAAGATTCCACGACATACTTGCTTAATTGCAGCTATGAAGAGGCTGACATCCACTTGATATTCCATTCTTTCCTCATCGATAAAATTTATTAGTTGTCGAAAGGACACTAATGTAGTTTTTACTGCTTATTGTGTGAAAAGCCTTCAAGGAAATATTCCTTAAAGATTGACAACGAGAAGTACGTTAATTTTGGAACGTCGTATCTTACCTGGGTTTAGATAGTTCCAAAAATCTACCGGCTGTTCATGCAGTTATTGGCTGCAAAACAACACCGGTAATGTTGTTGTAAGGAAAGCTAACATTTTAAAAAGCTTTAGGAGTGTTCTGGAAAGGGAAAATTGCTCGAGAAAGTTACGATGAGACAGAAAATCTGCAAAGACATTCTCACGAAAGCGATAAAATTTGTGCAAAAATAATCATACAAAGGGAAATGTGATGAAACACTTGTGCAGATAAGAGTAAGAATTCGCAAGGCAATGAAAAACAGATAATCAGAAGCTCTACAACCAGATCCATACTGGTTGACACAAGCATTTACTACTGGTTACATTATCAAAAGAAGATTGTAAGAGAAATTGCCTTTAAGCTTTGGTTAGACATACGATGGAAAGAATGATCTGGCCCACAGGTGGTATTAGTGTGGTTTATAGGAAAAAAAATTCTTTACATCTTCTAATTTTGAACATACATTTGATAAATAAATAAGAAATGGCACGAAGAGGATATACAGAGAAAAACGTTTCTTAACGGCTTGAAAACAAAAATATCCGATCGTCAACGTTAAAAAAGCTGTGAATATCTGCAGAAAATACTGGAGTCAGCAAAATAATTCCAAAATCTTTTCACACAAATTATGTTCATCTTGTGCAGGGCCCCGCACACCCTCCGCTAAAAAACTGCAAGATCTGCAGCGCTCTAGTGATGAAATCGAGGAAAATTCCTTAACCAATGAGGACTAGGCCATGGGAAAAAATTATGGTGAGGTGATCAGCTTAAAGCAGACGATGATGAGTGGAACTACATTTTCTTCTGGAGTTCCAGCAAAGGAGACAGTGATGAAGGATGAATGGATCCATATCATTTTCTATACAACGAAATTTTAATTTGAATGACTTTTTTAACTAGCTAAAGATTTTTAGGCATCCTTTCACGCGTTATTCAATTACCTTTAAAAGGCGATGACGTCATAAAATGATGATGACGTCATGAAAGAACGTTTAAAAGTAAGTATAATAGAAATTCAATACATCTTTTAAAAGCACTGAATGTGTGCAATTCGAATATGGAACATATTTGACAATGATAGTTGCGAGAAAACAATTAAAAAGGTTCAAAGTGAATTTTCTCCAAGTTGATGACGTCATCACAAAATTTGACTTCCGTTCAAGATATTTTTCATTTCATCTCAGATTTGAAATCTGCATAATTAATTTAGTGCAAAAATGCAAAAAAAGTTGAGTTCGAGTCCTTGGCCGATTTTTAAAGATTTTTTATCATTTTTTTGATGACGTCATGAAAAACAGTAACTTCCGGTGATAATTTTTTTTGGCCCATCTTGGATTTGGAATCTCCATGGTCGATTTAGTAAGAATGTGAAATAAAATTTGAGGTTAGGCAGTTTGCTAGTTTTTTCTACAAAATTCCCTGTCTATTAGAACGTATATTGATGAGTCATAAATGGAAAATGTTTTCATAGAAGGCTTGGTTCAGAAAGCGAGACAAGAACCTAAAATTATTCACATTATTTGAATACAAATGACTTGCTTCTTTGTACTTGACCTAAATTTTGAACCGTCCTGTTCTATTCACCTTAGTCTGTCCAGCTCTACATATGCTGCATCGAGCACTATATGACAGGCCAGTAGAAGAGTAATTTTCATGACCTAATAATTGAAAATCTGCCTTCAAAACATGAAATTGGGCAGAGGGGTCTGAGAGTGGCATTTCAATTCATTCTCTATGTTGTGACCGTCCCTGTGGCCCTGGACGATGTGACCGCCATTTTGGTTGCGATCTGAGCTTGTTTTTATTTTAAGTGATGACGCATTTGAAATTGTAAAGCTCTTGCATTTGGCTGACTATTTGCAGCGATCAATGTACGTTTTAATCCTTTAATAAGTGCAACTTGAAAGACGTATTTTAAAGTCAGGTATGTTACCAAAACATGCACACCATGAATTTGAAAAATATTCAAGCAAAAACATTGCTATTGCAATGCTAGTATAAACGAGATTAACAAACACCTGTGTTATGGACATAGGCCGAATATTGTTCCAGGGACAGTCTTAAGCAAGTGCTGTACACCTAAAGTCGTTACACTGTTGGAAGGAAGGCCAGCAACATGTTTTATCATAAAGTCAACCAAATTGTCAAAATGCGGTCTTGAAAGTGTACGTGATAGGCGAGAAGTCGTTCTGCTGCTTCTATTAGCGAGCGTTATTAGCTACATGGCTGGGGGACTTCTACTTTGCGTTCTTGCAAGGTTTCTGCTGCCTTGTGATCATTTTTGTAGTCCAATGAACATGAAATCCTGTTAACCTTTTCTTACCACACATCTCTAGCTTTTGTAGACCAAAATTGTGCAAGCTAAATTTGGTTATTACACAAATACAAAGAACTAAGAAAAAACTATTTCAGTTTTCCATGGAGAAATTCACTAGCTTAATTTTTTATCTTTAGAAAAAGTTTTCAAAACAAGTAGCAAAATATCCCTTTCTGCAAGTTCTAGGGGTATGTCTAAAATTGGACTGTCGCAGTGAGTATCGTTTGGTCTTTAATGGGATAGGTATGTTTTTCAGCTAAATTTCAATGTTGTCAAAACATTCCCGTCAGTCTCGGTAACTGCTAAGTTTTGATGATCGCAACTGATTTCATTTTTACTTAGGAACTGCTTAGACTAGAGAATGACTTGACAAAAGTTGTTGCTGAAATCAAGAAGTATGCAGAAAAAAGTTCTATTCCTGACTGGATGGCGAAGAACTTTAGTGCCATAGTACAGGATCTGAATACAATACGAACTTGAATGATGTAATGGCCTCTTTGTATATAGAGTATGTAGAATAGTACATGCAAGATTAAAAAATTTAAAAGAAGTAATTGACAAGGGCCTATACTTACTTAGTGACTAGACCAATACGATTGTAACAACAAGAATGATGGGCTTTAAATTTTGAACTGCTATTTTGATGTTTATTCTGTTTTGTTTCATCGAAATGTTACAATTTTCTTTGGAAGACACAAGGTAACTTGCACACATCATAGGCGTCAACCCTTGCGACTGCCAATTTATCTGGTATGTCATTGACATATAAAGAAATGCTATAGCAAAACCTAGATTTACCAAGTTTCCATAAAGCAAACCATATTTCTAGAACAGCTATACTGGACCCATATCTATCAAAGCCTTGATTCTTATTATGAAAATTGATCGGTATTCATTTCTTTCGAATAGCTTATATTTTTGTACGAGCTAAGGAATTAGCTAAGAAAATTTCATGTATTGATTTTATCGCTATTCTAGCTATGCTTGCATTATTCCAGTGTAACTACAAGCAACTTAAATTGATCATCTTAAGAATTTACAATCCCCTCAAAGCTGTCTCCCCAAAATGGCACATTCCTTATCAGATTTTGTTTCTTCACTGCTTCAAGTCAAACTGCTAGTGGAAGAATGGAGTCTGTATTGTAAGCAACGGGGTCTTTTCTCTCATTGATTTTGAGAAAGCTATGAACTGTCATTTTTGTTTTAAACATTTTAGCCACAGGTGAAAAAGCTGTTTCTGTCAATAAGGCCTTTAACGTGCCTTTCCATTAAGATTCTACCCTTCAAAGCCTCGAGTAACCAAGGTTATGGTATTGTAGATCGATGTGGTGACGAATATTTCTGAAATTAAATTTGAACTTTATTTCTGAGACTAGATTGTTGAGACCCTTTCACCTAGGGTATGAAAATTAACTCTTTCTTCTCCGTAGAAAATATGTCCAAGGCACCAGAATTCCGTATTATATATGATCGTACTGATAATTAACTATTTATTGATTAAAATCTGTTTTCTTCTTAATTAAAACAACCACTCTAAACGGGTATCAGTTAGCACCTACTTCACACGGAATATTATGTTGATAAAGCATATCCATTGATTTTGTATTTCCGGGCAACTGATAGGAACAAGTGTACAGCATGGAACTAGCTTTGATACATTTTATCTACGAAGTACAACCCAGTGGTCCTGAATGTCCACTGCATATTTTCAACAATGGTGCCTTTCCCTTATTTATCGATCTTCTGCCTTATTTTGCTTTGAAATTTATCTTTTTGATTTGTCTCATATTCCTCATCGTATGCCAGATTTTGAAAATTTCTAGGTCCCGCAAAAGTCTAAATATATTAGTATAAAATCAATTTTGGCAAAAACCTCAAATTACCGTTGTCAAGCCTTTTCTTAAGCAGGTATACATATGGTTTCGTGTCATGTCATGACGGCTATATCTAAATGATACTGTTTTTTTGTAACTGAATCGATACTTAACAAGTATAATCATCTAAACTAAAGAAGCATTTTCTGTTCATTGTGAAAGAAGTATGGTTACGGAAAATTTATCAAGTCGAATATAATTTGAAGCTGTCTTGTCATTGTCATAAGTTAAAGCTGTCTTGTCACTGAAAGCAAGATCCATAATTTTCAAATGTTTAAATGCTTTAGAAAAACAAAAAACATTACTAGAAATACATGCTTTAAACGCCGCAAACCGCATTATGACTCATTCTGAATACGAGGTTTTGGCGGGAATTGAAATGGCCAAAATGGCGTGTGCACAGAATGAAAGTTTTAAAGCATCGAAAGATTTTACTTAAAGATTTGAAAGCCTCGAAACATCTTTCAGCAAAAGTGGCTAATGATCATATTAATTTGTACTGAGCGTCTGTTCTTCTAGTGAAATAAACGAGGCAACAGCCTGTTGCTCACTTTTTAGGACAATCATTGTTATCGGAAAAAAATAACCCGGAATGGCCTTTCGGTTTGAGCTATTGGCACCATTTTCATTGGAAATTCGCAACTTCAAGTCATCAGTACATGCTGCATCGTCGGAGAAAAGGTTTGTTGCTCAGCTTGTTTGTGTTATCTTACGGAGAAGACTTTCCAGCAAATAGGGTAGCAATTTACAATATCTGCAAAAGAAATACCAAAACAACTTACGCAAAAAAGGAAATGCTTTCCTTTTAATTAAGCTCATCGTTTACTAATTAAGTAGGATATTTATATATAGGTAGTTTGAATAAAGTAAAGCTATGCAACTGTATTGCCGTAGGTTGGGTAGTAGGCAGGGGCGGATCTAGCGAAAATTCTGAGTGGAGCAGAACCTGAGGGGGTTGGGGGGCGGAGCCCCCGAACAATTTTTTATGACCACGCCCTTTAGATTCTCTGAAAACGACTTTAATTTCATGCGAATCTCAGATAAAATTTCTAACTAGCACAAACTTTTAAATAAAGCTAGTAGCAATTTAGAGGTTATAAAAATTTTGTTAAAAAACTGCTTGAAACTGTACTTTAGTTGACGGAATTCTTTCTCAACAGAAACACGCAACTAACTCGGAATTTTAAAATAATAAACCAAACTGAATCTTTTATCTTTTCACGGCAGTAAAATTTCATGACGTATAAATGACAAGTCACGAAAGAATGGAATTTCACACCAAACGTTTTTGTTGTATTAGCCGATTACTAAAGCGACATGTGCCCTTTAATCAAATTGATGCCTTTGAAAGTTTCCTTTGCGGTGGTTTTTCGCGGAAATAGCAGTTTGTTCATCGGTAGTAGTGTCATTCTTATCAGTTTCAAAAACACGCCTATGTAATCGTAATACTAAAAAATGCTAATGGTCTGAATTCAATCAACACAAGCTGCATTTGTGAATAGCTTTTATTATCTCTTAGATGAAGGAAGACAAACATCAGTTTGAAAGACAATTTATAGAGTATTGAAATCGATTATATCATATCAGTCATTAGCGACCCACCCAGATTAGCAACGTTTGATACCAATTCCTTTCTCTTCGTATATTCAAAGAAAATCATAATATTAAAATTACATAAAACTCCTGAATTCAGAGCAGAGCTCCGTGCTTGAGACAAACACTCTTGATCGAGGGGCAAATCAACAATTGAAACCCTATAGCTCTTTTTAAAAATCCCTAGAAATCTGTTTGTTTGGAGGGAAACTGGCAGCTGAAAGAGTGAATTGCCCCTCGCCTCTGACAAGAGCTTTGATTCTATTTATTACAGCTAGCTACATTCCCACAAGTATTCCCAGCGGCCAAGGCATAAGGACCTTTTGCGCTTTTAGATTAGACAAAACGATCTGTACCATTATTACTTCCAAATAACTTTGTGATAAGAAAGTAATCTGTTAAATAACATGACTTGCTTATAGGCCTAAATGAACCCCTATCTCATTGGGTTTATAAACGTCCACAACGACAGCATCAAAAAGAGGGCTCCCTTAAACGACATACATAATTAACATTAGTAAACATACCTGTTTTGCCGTCTCTCTTTCAAAAAACTCAAATCCTTGTCGTCAGTTTTTTTTCGAATTCCCGTTACACACAGAACGTTACGAAAGCTCCAATTCGAAAGAGTGCGCTCCAACTTGCTCCCGATAACGGATTCAAACCAATCGCAGAGCTGGATTTTGCTCCAGTTGCTCAGTAGTTTGATTGGCTAACCAGCACTTCCTGGAGCAAATTTTCATCAACTGGAGCAAAATCCAGTGGTCTGATTGGTTTATTTGACCATGACGTATTTCGTGTGGAGCAAAATTGTGAACATCTCCTCCACAGTCAACACATTAGCAACTCAGACGACAAAATGTAAACCAGTTCTCTAAGGCACCTATCTAGTCCACAGGGGTTGTTTGGGGGGCATCAGGAAGTATTAATTGATGATTTATGAAGTAACAGAGCTAAGTTAATATCAAACAGGCACTATAATAAATTTAGAAAATTCTGACTGGAGCAGCTGCTCCGTTTGCTCCGGTCTAAATCCGCCACTGGTAGGAAACAGCGTACCTTTGAGTTACTCCACAATGTAAACGGTACCTTTTTTACACACAGTAAAACACAGCAAAAAAGAGGACTTGCATTTTTTTCACGATTTTCAACATTATAACAATTTACAAAGTCCAAAACGTTCTTTGATAAAACATTATCCATCCATTATAAGCAATGAATACCAAGAACGATGCTGCTCTCTACATAATCTATCCATGTCACTAAATGTCCATGTTTCTATAGTCTATTCATGTCACTAAATGTCCATATTTCCATTATTTCACCGGTTCTGTTAATTTGATATACCGAATGACCAGCATCCACATTATAAACACCTTTACAATGCAGTAGTCTGCAAATGCTACTTCGAATTTTCTAATCTACTTTCGAGGGATGACCCCTCTATCTATGCTGTAGACCAGCCGGACAAAATTTTTGTTTTTTTTTTCGAAATTTAAGTCATGCCACGAGATCCCTTAGCTACAAAATCTCCCATCCCCAAGAATTAGTACCACTTCGTGGCTCCATCAGTCATAATTTCAGTGGATTATACTGACTGCTTCAGTGTCATAACTGTTACCCAATATCATTGGTGCACCACATGTAGGCCCTCTTGAGCAATCTCTTGAAATTCTTTCTGAATTCTCTGTTCATCACTGAGTAAATGAAGAAATTCAATGTCGAATTCAGAACTGGCAGGACATCGACCAAAAGCGTTGTTTGCCATGTCTTCAGTGTAACACATCCAGGGCACCAAGCATGCAGCAGGGCAATAATGGTGACAGGCAACCAGCAGAGAACGAAAGTGCCAAAGACGACCATGATAATTTTCACCGCGCGGTATTCGCGTAGCACTTTCTTGAAGCGGTTGACGAACTGCTTTGCATGATTGATTGAACTGATTTCATCGTTAGAGCCGTCCTTGCTGACAGCAGTCATTGGAATGGCAGCATTTATATCTCTGGAATGCCTCAATGCTATAAACAGCATTCTGCCTTGTGCTATGCCCATCAGGACAGTTGGGGCGTAGAAGACTATGGTGAATAGCAGAGTGATGTAGATCTTGTTGTCTGTCCAGCATGCAACCGTCGTATCGCTAGATTCATCCGACCAATTTACGTTTGAGAGACCACCAATAAGAAGAGCGTTGAACCAAACAACACCTATCGCTATCTTTGATCGTGTTTTTGTTACGATATCTTGGTAAGTGTAGGGCCATTCCACAGCAATAAACCGGTCTGCAGTTATCACAAGCAGGTTTGTGATTGATGCGACAAAGGAAATACTGTCCATGGTTTTGTAGTAGTGGCACAGAAAGCGGCTGATACAGAGCCTCCCAAAGTTTAGTGAGGAGTAGATCTGCACCGGGACAAGGAACAGGCCGACCATCAAATCACTGACTGCCAAAGAAGCAATGAAGTGATTGGAGAGTATATTTCTTAACATCTGAGCATTATAGATGACCAAGCAAACAGTCAAGTTGCCTCCCACTGCAACGAGCAGCACCAAGACCCAGAACGTAGCCAATCCTGGAGAGCCTTGGTTCCCTTGTACATTGCATACTGGCTGAGGGCTTGTTTGGGTCGGGCAACTTTCAAGCCGCTTCTGGGCATCATGGTTCATGTTCATGATATAAAGGAGGATATCAACGAAGCTCTCTTTAGGAGAGAAGCATGGCCTGGCCAAAAGGTAGACATCAGTGAGATTGTTGATTGACTTATGATACGGCGCAACGTTCATCTTGATGCAGCAATCCACGCTCTCGTTCAACATTGCTCTAAGAAAAAGCACTTGCAAGTTAGTTGCTTTCCGATAGAAATGTTATCAAAGTCATTATAATCAACCAATGGTTTGGTTCATGATAATTTAATTCGGGTGCCAGTTCACTAGAGACGGCGGAGGAGCTGTAGGGCAAGGGGGCAAAGCCCCAAAAGTAAGGACAGAACGAAAGCAAAATAAAGAAAAATGCTAAATTTCGCGAGTGCAAGGGCAAGGTCCCCCCCCCTGGCTCAGGCGCTCCTACAGTTTACTCTAATATCCACGTGGTTGCAAAATGGGTTTTTTAAGATTAACATTACCTAGCTGAATGTATTTCTGTGTTCTTGAATAATATTTTTCATCTTCAACAACAGCAGCGCAAGCAGGCTTCTATAGCCAATTTGATCTTGGGTGAAAAATCGCACAGAATATGTTAATCATTTAATGATTCGATCGTTTGTATTTTTGCTTTGGTAGCTACCCCCAGCCGAATCACAACACAAAGTATGTAATGTCCACCCTATTACCAAGAAAAAAGAGATGGCACACCACCTTAAGTAACCAAAAAACATGGTAGCACCCACCCCAGTACCAAGATAAAGTAGATGGTACTCATCCCAGTACCGTGATAAAGAAGGTGATAGTGTCAGGACATTGTATATATGTGACACAAGCGATGAGAGAGGAAGTCTTTATAGATGAGGACTAGTGCCGTTAACTACACAGTTGAAGGTAATTCTGAGGTGTTGGGGGATTTTATTCCTTGACATACCTTACCTTTCATTAACGATACCCCACACAAAAAGATCTTTTATGTACAACAACAAGAAAAACAGGAAATCCTGCAATATTTGTAAGTACATAATTAGCCTATTATTAATGAAAATCTAAACATATCGTAATATTAAAGCCTAGGCCAGCAAGTTTGAATTCAGGCTAGAACAGAAATAAACTGGAGCACAATATAAAACATAATGTATAAATTGTCCTGACATGAGGATGCCTATTGTTTTAATGGCTTAGCAAGTATTTTCCCCCTTTCTGTGGGTTCCATTCCTTCAGACTGATTATAGAACCCTGGCAAGGCTTAAAGATAAGAGAATCTAAGGAATATATAGATTTTGTGGTTTTTGTGCTCATTCAGAACTGAAGACCAGTTAAACTGTCTTTAGCAATATACTTGCCCTACCAAGAACTTTGTTTACTGAACTCATACACCCAGTACCAATAGGGGTGTTCTTAGGGAATGTTCTTCACAAGATCAACTGTTTAATTCGTCTTAATCCGTTGACAAAATTTGGGGAAGGGGTATGATATTTGGATGAAGTACTTCATGATGTGCGTGAAAATCACTTTGGCATTGCGTAACACATGTTATTCATGGATGTACCTATTTTACTGTAGGGATGACCCCTCTTGCTAAAAGAACATTCTTGAAAATTAACAAAGCATGGTCCAAAACTTTTTCGCCGAAGTCCTATAATTGTTAGATAATTAGTATGGTTGCTTCATAGGCTAAGCCCCAACCACAGCCCCCACCACTTGTTATGAAAGGTTTTCTACGTTCTTGCAAAAAGGATGACAATTAAACAGAACGTGTTTTCGGTTAAGGTCTTGCAGAAATATTTCACATGTTTCACACTAAGTCTCGCACGGCACCTTCAGTAACATTAAGGTTAATTTAATCATGGAAAATTGTTAATTTTGTGAGCAAATTAAAGTCATTAGGTTTTGGAATCTTGATTACATTTAATAACTGCTGATAGCTTGCTAATCAAAGAAGTAGCTGTTCTATACGAGATTTTGATCGATGTAAACAAGAGCTGTACAGGAAAACCAAGAATGAACGGTGGAATACTAGCAACCCTAAACAATCTCCAGACGCGCGTCGTTTATAACTGATATGTACATATGCCAAAGTAGTTGATATTGAATAATTTACATGTCAGAGACGTGTTTTTTGCTATTGGATATAAACATCACTTACTTTCTTTGCATCGATGCTCCATCAACAGTTCTCTCGACGGCCTAAGTATCCCTCTGACACACTGTCAAATCCCAACTCAATCTAGTCATCTTCTGATATTAAACACTTAACCTACCTCAAAGAGAATTTCCTTAACTGCGTCATTATCTCGGGAATGGGCAGTTGAGTGGAACCCATTAAGTGCTAAACAATATCTGTTGCATTCTTCCAAAAATAGTACCAGTAGGGAACGCTTTGTTTAAAGGTAATTCTGTTTTCGTATCGGCAACAGACCAAAATTTCTTTATAAAGAGAGCGAAATACCATTGAAATATATAGTATTTGTTCATGTTATGGCCAATATGTTCAAGAGGATATCTGCTATATGAAAGTACTTTCCATTCTGTCAAGGTAATTAGACATTTATTGGAATTTTGCCTTCTGGTCAGCGACCCCCTTGCAGTTTGTCTTGCGAAGTTTTGAATTGATACAGATGTAGATGTACAGTACATCCGAGGGGCAAATCACTCTTGAAAATGGTGTACGAGATTAGTAATCGTTAGTGATTAATTTGTGATTTTAAGTCAATTTTGTGTGTGATTAATTTTGATTTTTAGTGATAAAGGTGATTAATTTTTTTCATTAATTGTTCTATTCTTTAGAAACTGAATCATAGATTCAAAAATGCTTTCGATTAATTTCATGCTCAATAAACGTCGTCAACGATTTTGCAACATACTAAATGAAATTTAAAAAAGTTAGCAGTTCAGCACAGGGGTGGATCCAGAAAAAAATTTGACCGTTGCAGATTTGCAAACGAAAAAGGTACAAATGTTTAATAACGTTTAGGTTACGGTAAACGTTTTTGACACGATATTTGGTTTTCTCTCCCTAAAAGCAAATAATAACGGAATCAAATTAAACTATACATCATTCGATGCACCAGAATGTGGCGATTTCAACCATATCAAAATAATTGGCAAATATTGTAAAATGATACTTTCCATGCAAATTTATTGCTCAAATGAGTGTACCACCTTCAAAAGCTATTTTGTGCCCTTGCGTTTAAGGTAAAAAAATCTGACTTATATCAGCAGAAAGCGCAGACCTTAGCTGCCAAAGTGTGTCTCAGATTTTTCAAATCCCCCCTCCCCTTGAAACTATACCCTGTCTAAAATTGGCAAACAATTGTTCTTCTCTCTCATATCTGTATTTGGCTATAAAAGACGGACCAGAGCAAATACAAAAATTTTGAGACACTTTGCTTACCCGACATCTGTCCTGGCCGTGTGCAAATTTTTGACCCATTTGATTGGTTCTTGGGTACAAAATAGCTTTTTCGTACCTGTATGTAGACGAACTGTAAGTCCGGAGAAAACGGGATTTTACTGGTCGCACTTGCAAGGTACACTCGTAAACCACAATGTAATCCGGGTCAAGTCACTTGAAGCTTTAAGATCAATAAGCCTTTTTAAATAAACACGGCTGTACATTGGATACATGGATGTGCTATGCGATATTGTAAAAGAGACATCCGACTATAACCGCAAAGCAACGATAATCGGCTTAGCAGGTCAAAAAAGTTTCAGGCCTCAACTAAAAGTTCTGATAAAGGAATTATGGAAACCTTCGTTTACATGGGATTTTTTCCATTTTCAAAACTTCTGTTAGTTTCAAATTTGGTATCATTGCGTGCCTTGAAAGCTCGGCTACTTGAATATGGAAAAATCGAAAAATGGATGTTTTCATCCAGAAAACGTTTACCATGACTTTAACAACTAAAAACAGAGATATCTTTTCTGAACAGCAGCATAAGCAAAATGTTAAATCAGTATTATAGGTTGGTGACAGTAGCCTGAAGTGAAAAACTGAAAAGTTGTCGATCACTTTTAGTGAGACATTAGGACAAATGCATGTGCTCTTTTCTGTGGGCCGTCAACTTTCGTCATAAGAATTTGAATTTGCATCAAAAGAGCTATCTTTCCTGAACATTAGTATTAGCAACATGGAAGCAAATTGCCTGGAATGAAAAACAGTGAACAGCTGATGAACACCTTGTACAAGACATTAAGACAAATGCATGTGCTCTTTTCTGGGGGCCGTCAACTTTCGTCATAAGAACTTGAATTTGCATCAAAAGAGCTATCTTTCCTGAACATTAGCATTAGCAACATGGAAGCAAGTAGCCTGGAATGAAAAACAGTGAACCGTTGTTGATGTGGAATGGTGTGAATGCAGCGCAGCGGAGAGGAATAGGTAACAGATGTTGAAGAGGGAAGGGTGGCTAGTGCGAGAGTGTGGGTGGTGATGGTGAAATGAAAGAGTTATGAGGATGGGCAGTAATGATAACAATAAAAAGTTCTGAAAGTATTAAATAATGCATGGGCTCCGACAAAGGTTGAAAAGTGGGGGGGGGGCCAAGGGAAAATTTAACACCCATAACAAAAGATTTTGAAAAAAACTCTATTGTTTTGCAAAAAAGTGGGGGGGGGGCCAAGGCCCCCGGCCTTGTAATGGTGATGATAGTGACAATGGTAGTAAAAAATGAAAAATTAATTAAATAGAAAAAATAAAATGATAACGGGAATGTAGAGAGTAATGATGATGATTGTAAAATAGTAATGTGTGGGTAGTAGAAAAAGTGACGATGTGGGTGATGGTGGTGTGTTGCTGTAAGGTTAACACACCATCACCTTGTTGAACACCTTGTAAAAGACATTAAGGCAAACGCATGTTTTCTGTTCTGTGGGCTGTTACTTTTGTCATAAGAATTTGAATATGCATCAAAAAGCTATCTTTCCTGAACAATATCATTAGCAACATGGATCCAAATAGTCTGGAATGAAAGACATTAAGACAAACGCATGTGCTGTGTTCTGTGGGCTGTTACTTTTGTCATAAGAATTTGAATATGCATCAAAAAAGCTATCTTTCCTGAACAATATCATTAGCAACATGGATCCAAATAGTCTGGAATGAAAGACATTAAGACAAACGCATGTGCTCTGTTTCTGTGGGCTGTTACTTTTGTCATAAGAATTTGAATATGCATCAAAAAAGCTATCTTTCCTGAACAATATCATTAGCAACATGGATCCAAATAGCCTGGAATGAAAGACATTAAGACAAATGCATGTGCTCTGTTCTCTGCCCTCGCAAGTGATGTAGCTATTGGGAAATTAAACTGTCATCCCTGAAACCATTCACTGATATAAAAAATTACAAGTTCCAGAAATACGGAACTTGATTATCAAACTTTATCTGTGGAAATTACAAGAATATAACATAAATCATTTCCCATAAATGTAATAGTTGTAACTGCGAAATCCGGAAATGTCTGGATCCGCCCCTGTGGCAATGGGTGAAAATGACTGCTATCAGACGTGGTTTTTGGTCAGATCAACTTCAGCGGCATTTGGGCAACAAAAACAGCAATGGTTGTTTCAGTGACCCCGGCATCATAACGAGGCCTTCAGTTTTGCTCCATTGCAGGGTACTTATAAAGGCTTGTTGTTCGCGAGCGTATGTTTGCAGATTTTCCAACGTGTTCACGAAAAGATTGGAAAAGTGTGAAAGGGAAATTATAAATATTGAATTTTTCAATAACATATCCGGATAAAAGTGGGCAAGGATTCTAATACTTGTTTTGAGTAACTTTTATGATTAATGATATACTTTGTGATTAATTTGATTTTTTATTAATGTGATTAATTTCTGATTAAAGTGTGATTATTCTTGAGGGCGTACGTGATTTTAAGCAGTGATTTGCCCCTCATGTACATCTACACGTAATTGCACGGGGTGCCCCTGTGCGGTATTCTGGACGCAAAGGAGATATTTATCAGACTTCCTGTGAAAAAGTCAAGGAAGACACTTTATTGTGATTGTCATCATTGTCGTCAACGTTGTCCTCATCGTCGTCTTCGTATTATCCTTCAATAATCATAACATCTTCAATAATATTTGAGTTGAAGACTCATGAAATTATGCAAACCTTGCATCCAGTTGTTGGATATTTCAGTTGCCTGAAGAAATAGCTGCGAAAATTCGAGATACAATCCCTAAAATCGGTATTGTTGTGTAAGAAGATTTCGTGCTATGAAATACGCACTTCTGATTTGATGAGGGAACCATATTCATTATAAACGGGTGCTTAAGTAATTAATGATTAAGTAAAAAGTCTAAGTTTTACATCCAATGGAGCCTTTTAAATCTCCTGGCCAAAACATTCCTCTTTTTTCCACGGTATTTATTCTTAGGTTGCACTTTAAACAGCTTTAGCAATGACAATTTACTATCAGTGGCATCACCTGTTCTCTGGTCATATTTTTGTAAGCATGCTTTACGGACTTGTTTCAAATGACTCTTCCACTTGGCGTTCAAGACTTCAAGAATCTACAAAATTTCACGAAAAGATTCTTGTTTCTCCGAAGTATACTGGAAATTTTCTTAAATTTATGGAATCCCACAAAATTTCATAAAGATTCATCGTTCTCTAAAGTATACTGGAATCTTTCTTGAATTTCATTATTTCCGTTATTTTTGTTTTTCCGGTATATTGAAGTTCAGGCTGGCGGAGGATGGGTTGTTTTTATTTTTAATCTTTAATTATAAGGGTGTGTGCAGTGCAGTTGCTAGCTTCTGTGCTCTAGAGGGAGGGGAGGAGGGGGGGGCGGGGGGGGGGTTTAGGCTGATTTGCCAACAAAGTGAGTGAGACATCTTGTATTTGCCGACAGTTTTGAAAATTCGCCGAAAGAGCACCTATGGATGACGAAAAAGACCTCGTTTTTGAGATGGAATTTTTTAAAGGGGGTTGACAACATTTCTCAAAATTTGAAAAAATTTATAAAAAAGAGTGTATTGCATGTAAGGGTGAAAGATAGATAAGTTAGAGGTCTTTATGTTCAAGGAAGCCAAAAGAGCATAGAACTATCAAAGCGTCATAGAAATGAAATTTGAAGACCAAAAGCAGGAAAACTGTGAAAATCCCAAAGTGTTTTAGGAAGAGATGTGAGTATTTGTTACAGCATTTTTTAGAAAAATGACAACCTATTGAAGCGCCCCAAGGCGCCGGGAGCATATGAAGTGACGGGAGCAGAAGCCTAAAAGGGGACCGAAGAGTGGATATGCGCAAAGTCAATGCTCAGTTCGCTTCTTATGCAAGAATATTCAAAAGCTATTCTATTTTAAATCTTACAATCGTGTGAATTTCGACTTATTGGGTTATTTCCCCGGGGCTCGCAGCACGTGTCTCCCCTTTTATTGGCCCCCTAACAAAGCATTTTCGTCACAACTGGAAGGTCAATATCCTATACGTTTTTATAAACGCGAAGTATATTGGTCTAAACTAAAAGTAATAGTTGCAGAATCCTCTTTCCTTGATAGGATTCGTCCTGAAAACAATTTCATTGTTATGTGCGGCAGATGGCGGGGATGGGACATCCCGAATGGTCAGTCAAGCACAGTGACTGTTCGACAGTGAATTTTTTGTAGCTGCTTTTCAAGGC